GTCTTTGATATTTTGCCATATGATTCACGGAACGAGGCCAGTATATATCAAACCAACAGCGACATATGGCAGACAGTATATATATATCTATCTAGCTTACTCGCGAGGTCTTCGAAGTCTGTCCTAGAATAACGCTTGAAGTGCTAGTCTCAAACGGCAGTGCTGTATAACATCGATTTATGTACTGAAATAGGGTATATTCATTAAATATGGAAAATCTCAGTGAGTCGGTCAAAAAGAATTCATCAAATCTTGTAATAGGAGAACAGAGTAATCAAATCATAGAGCTATCAGTTGAGCTTCTTAGCGGTTTGCTCGTTCGCAACAGCAGCGGTTGCAAAAGCAGCCTTGATCTCTCCCCAAGCAACAGATATCACCCAGAGCGGAACAATGACCCAAAGGACGTTGAAGAAAACCAGGTAGAGCCATAGATAGACCGGATCGCTCGTCTCCAAGCCAACACTGCCCGAGAACCACTCTGGTCCAAAGGTCATGAACCCGCCATACAGCTCCCCCACAGCCAAGATAATGGATGAAAACCACAGGCAGCTGGAGTACTTCGCTTTAGAAGCAGTTGTAGCACTCGTGGATGAAGACATAGTTAGCAAGTAGCAGATATAAACTGCCAGCGGACCCCCAATTAACACCGTCAATATCTCTAGGCAGACCACGCACAGGTCAGCACCTAGCCAGCGCGCATCCGCCTTGCCATATTCCTGCCACATTCTAGCACTGGCTCCCACGCCGTAAGCGGGACCATAGGCTCTATCTGGCCTGTTAAGGAAGTAAGGTGGTCCATAGACGCCGGGAATGGTTTCGCCGGGCTGAAGTTGCTTGTAGCTGAAGAAACAGTGGTAAAGGAATGATCCCTCAATCAAGAGATGAGTTCCGGCATCGTAGGCGTGCCAGAAGAAAAGGAGGCGGTTGCGAAGCTGGTTGGAAGGGATAAGGGCGGTGCCTAGGAAATAGGATAGAGGCATTATTGAGAGGGCGGCCGTGATGGAGAGTAGCGTCGGAAGGTCAGCGGTAAACGCTGGAACTGCGGTAGAGGTCGTCATCTTGTCCCCTTTCTTTGCTTCAATTCAATGAGACTTCGAGTAACTAGTTATTGCTTGTGTCGTGGGTTACGAGTTGTTTAGAAGCAGAGCTCCGGATGGGAAGTGTTTTGTGCCTCTTTCCCTTTCGATTCTTGTCCAATGGTGCAATGCACAGCCTGGTTATCGAACCTCGTCGTCCTTGTTCGTCTCCCCTTAACTTCGCAATCCCTATTGTCCCATTGTCCTCAAATTGTCTTTGTCGTATTCTTTGTTTTCTTCTTGTTCTTCTTGTTCTTTTTCTCCTCAATAACGCCGCGCCTGAGATGACGATCACGTGGTTCTCGATTAAGCTGCTTATTCATCAAAATTAACCTTAATTGGATCAAGGTTAATCCGTAACTCTATTAATAAACAATTGTAAACTTAATAAAAACATCAGACGAAAAGATGAAGAAATAAATTTGATCGAAAAGTGAATTATGTTAGATAAATAAAGAGTTCTGGTACGCAAGGCATAAATTTCAGATGAACAGATGATAACATTCCTCCCGAGTTGAAGTGGTTTAAATTTTTAGAGTGTGGTTCGATACTTTGAAGACTAGAACTAGTTCCTCGGCCCTCGAACAAGATGTTCCAAGACACGGATGGATACCTCCTTTCGCATCCCACTTTGCACCTCAGGAAGGACGTGTTTCTTATCGTATAGCCTCTCCCCCTCGTCTAGTTCATGCAGGTACAGCCTAGCCTGCATATCAATGTCTCCCGTCACATCCAAGTTGAACCGTTCGGCCTCATCTAGATGACTGGTAAGATGAGCAAGCATGAGCCGATTGGCCTGGGCGTTGGCGTCTTTGCGGAGTATAAAACATTCAGACATCTCAGTGTATTTAGTGCTCTGTACCTCAGCTTGGGCAGGGTGCTCACTGGTGGTATCGCCAACGGGGGTGGTTTGGATTTGCTCGACTATGGTATATATTTTGGTAGGTATACGCTCCAGTTTAATCCTTTTCTTGCGTTTTACTGGTTCTTCGTGGATTTCGCGTTCAACTCGCACTATTACCATGCGACCAGATGCAAACTCTATTGTTTGTTCAGTGAAGTCTTCTTCGAATGTTACGCGGAATTCCATGCGGGTGCGTTCCTTCAAGTTGCCGTAGCTGGCTGATATTTGGTCTCGCATCTTGCTCTCTGCACGAAGTCTGCTGAGATGCGACGATATATATACGGGCGTTGGATCTGGATTTGCTGGATCGATTTCAGTGCGGAAAACATGGTAGGCCCAGACGGGTTCTGGTGCGTCATCCTCCTGAGCCTCTTCGGTATCATCATCGTCTTCTTCGTCATCTGTTGTTTCGACTTCCATACCAGATTTGTCATCTTCCTGTATTAGTTCGGCTTGCTCAGCCGCATGGCTAGTTGGACGTTTTCTCCTTGATGAGGAGGGGTTGGGTTCATCGGGGTTCCTGGAAGATGTGCTCGTCTCACTAACATTGGCTTCTGCCGATGTATTGACAGCCGAATAACCCCTCTTCTTGACAATATTCTTTTCCAGAGCCATTTTATTAACAGACCAGCTGTACTCCCTGCGCTCGATATTCCGCTGGATATCAAGCAACCTTCTCCTCTCTGTGCTAGTCAGGGGTATCTTTGCATCAAATTTCGCCTTGAAGTTCTCAAACTCCATCTTCTCAATACTAGACCGTTCATTCATTAGCCCAATTTGTTCAAGCCTTTTGAAAGCTGCTTCTATAGCATCTAGTCTCTCCAGACAGGCTGCATGCTTTCGGTCCACAGGTAAAAAACTTGGAGACATCCATATGTTTGGCTTGCGGCGAAGGCTTTGGGATCTCCATGCCGCATCTGTTGGCCGGATAGGGGTTGGAGATGGTGGGTGTGGTCGTTGTTGAGAACTAGCAGGTGGAAGGGGTGCAAATATTGTACGCTTCTTTTTAGCATCTTCTTCGGTAAGGCGTAGTTGTAACCACGATTCAGCTTCATCATCACTCATACGCGTTTGGATAGAGCTGGTAGAACGTCGAGATGATTGGGAGAGTTGTTCCACTTTTGTTGTCTCTTGATTCAGTGGATTCGTGCTTTTAGTGGGGCTTAGATAGTTAATTTCTGGAGGAGTAGCAGTTTCCTGGCTATTCTCGGTCAAGTCAACAATTTCAGGGGGTTCTTTTGTATCCTGGCCTTCAATATCATCGTCGTCTTCGTCTTCTTCGGAGCTACTGCTACCATTAGAGCCATTTTCATTGCTGTCAACGTTGAAGAGGTAATTGAGATTAGCGGGAGGTCTAAAAAGCTGTTCGTTGCTGCTTCGTTGGCTAGATGGGCTTGGGCGGGAGATTTGGCTGGATCGTTGTGCGTATTGCTGCAGGGAAAGACGACCTGTTTGACGGCCAGCAATTGATGTAGAGGAACGAGGCTGAAGGCCCAAGGGCTTGCTGGCCTGTATATCTTTAGCACGGAACATGCTTCTATATAACGTTGAATTCAGCCACTAAGCGGGAGTAAAGCCGGATAGTTGTAGAAGATAAGAAAAGCAAGTCAATGAACGGTAACTAACTAGTAGTTTGAACCAGAATTAGTGTAAGTAGGTAGCGAACAAGAGTAAAGATGGTAAACTGAAGATGTAGCTAGCAGCGAATGTGAGCTGTAGGTGAAAAACAAAAAAAAAGGTAAAATGTTAAAGCATCTCATGTGAAGATCAGTGATATCTTAGCAGGCTGTATCTAGCTCAAGTGAAGTTATCAAGCTTCGGCATATTGGTATATTGTGGATATAGTAGACGGAATATTAAAGGATAAATGTGAGTCTGGTAACATCTGTCCATATATCCGAGGGGCCGTAACGATATCCAAAGTAGTAAACATATCCTTAACTCCAAGATGGAGAACCATGAAAGGACAGCCCCTTTCGTCTAAGGATAGACCCTATCCTTAGAGTTGAGGAGATGCTCCAGAGATATAGTTAGCCTTGGACTCAAGGCTTCCGGAGTATTATAGGCATACATGATATGATATCTCCAGATGCAATATCAACGTCCATCCTAAACCTCCAGGTCATAGATTCTTTGATAGATAAAGAGATATGGGTATTTTATCCCAGGTTCCTTGCCAGAAAGAGTTGCGTTTCGACGAATATTGTATTGATAGTGGGAATAGTAACCCCCCGAATTCCCGAAGACATAGCATGCGTTGGTTACCATATTCAGACGGCATGAAAACACTATTGCCAGTTATCTTTGTCCCTTTTAACCATCATTACCTCTGTGGTCTCGTGGTATATCCATTCTCAACAGCTACGGTCGTCTTGGGTAGTCTCCCGTACGGCCAGAGGGTTAACTAGCATTTACCCACGAGCATCTCGCAAAGCCAGAGGCGCAGTCCAACAGGCTGTAGCTATGATTATGATCTCCTTTCTTTATCTGGTCCACAGGAATTAGCAATGTCTATCATATTATAAAAGTCCTTCTAGCTGGTCCTGGCCCACCAGAGCATTCGGCGACAGAGCAGGACTCTCCAACAGCGCACTGCAGTAAACACGGTCAGAGACCGTCAAGCTGGTCAAACTGTCTATTCTGCATCGCGAATACCTCTAGGCAAAGGGAGATGGGAAAAAACAAGAAAAAGGTCACGAAGTCACTTGTTTTGCGTGTCTTGTGTGTGGGGGTGTGACATATTTTTGTCTCAGGCGAAGGGAAGAAACATCTTGGGATTATTCAACATCCGCCAGCGACAACCGCCGACGACAACACCACCACCACCATGATATGCCAGTGCTAGCGAGGACGCTCGGTATTACTTCAGCTTTCGTATCTCCTCCTCTACGGTAGCTGGCGTCTCGAGCGAGAAGCCATGCTCGACTTTGACCGGCGGTAGACGCACATACGGGGACTGGGACTGCGGTCCGCTTGCTTATACAACTACACATACCACACCACAGCCGCTCTCTGGGAGGATGGAAAAGCCCAAGGAGGGCGGTTCGGCGCTGGTAGATTTGGGAAAAGAGCTGACTTGCTCTGTGAGTGTTGTTTTTTTCTAACTTCGGTTATGGTATTGCGCCTGTTCTGACCGCAAGATAGATATGCACCGAGATTCTCTACCAGCCGCTGACCTTGCTCGACTGCCTACATACATTTTGCGGATCGTGTTTGAAAAGCTGGTTCTCATGGCAGGCATCGAATCCAACGGATGGCAACAGACCGCGGTTTACATGTCCATCATGTCGGGCATCTGTTCGAGATACAAGACACGATGCGAAAGTGGCCACCTTGCTCGATCTCTTCCTCCAGTCAAACCCGGATCAAGTAAAGTCGGCTGAGGAGAAGGAGGAGATCGCATCGGAGTACAAACATGGGGATTCCGTGCTGCCTGAAGTTGGGCAGGTAGTGCGGTCTGCAAGTGACGATGAGGACGAGAGGCTCCTAGCCGAGGTCAGAGATATGAGTCTGCGGGATGTTCAGGGAGCCAGCGGTGGTGGGAGCGGCAGCAGCGGACGTCGTCATCGTAGTCCGTTGGCACCGCGCTCAAGAGGAAGATCGGAGCGCAGTCCTGGTGCACAGGCGAGGGAGCAGCGGGTGGAAGATGCTAGGCGGAGACGGCGGGCGGAAAGGCGAATGAATGCCTCACCTGCCATGCGCAACCCTCGAGACATAAGCCCGGATTCGAGAAGGGTTGAGCATCAGTCCAGCTTACGGTCGCTTATTGGGTCAACGGGCGAGTCGGCCATCGAGGATGAGATCCTACGCCAAATCGCAGAGGAAGGGCTGCTGGATGGCATCGACTTACACAGTCTGACACCTACGCAGGAAGACGAGTTGACGGAACGTATTGCGCAGGCCTTCAAGCGGCGGCACCGAGTCCCTTCTCCCACCCACATCTCAAGGCGAAGAGAGAGCGAGTCGCCAGCTCAGCCACGACCAGTATCACAGGATAGACAGCAGCAGCAGCCCCGGCAACAAGAGCGGTCTCCCAGTGCTTCAGCCTCTACGCCTCGGGCTCGAGAGCCTACCAGACGGGCTCCACCGACCTCTCGACCTCGTCTTCTAGAGCCTCTCACCGCTCATCATGCTGCAAACCACCGTCGAAGTGCCTCTGATCAAGGGATGGGCACTCGGAGACGGCGCACATCGCCAACTCCGCCCACAGGCTTCTCCCTCTCTTCCGAGGCACTGGCCCAACCCGCGGCCCGCACAGCTAGCGGTGGCTCTACTGCAGGTTCCGGCGCCGGCACTGCTGCGGGAAGTGGCCCTGGGGCTCCTTCGACTGGGCCGTCCCGCAGACGAGCCTCAAATAGCTCCCTTCCGCCGACATCACTACGGAACCAGCCAATTCCACCACTTCAGGTCAACCGTTCAAGGCGTCCTTCGTCTCCTGGAGAGAGGCAGCGCCGGCGGAGCCCTGCTGCTATCAATCCAAACGGAGGAAACACCGCTGTTGAGCCTCCTCCTGCTGCTGCTGCTGCTACTGCACCGTCTGTCGTCAGTGAAATTACTGGGCTCCATACTTCGAACAGGCGTCAGGCTTCACAGTCACAGTCACAACCATCTACTCCAGCCACCGCTACTGCTGCTGTCAACACACCAGTAACCGCCTCTCCGCCACCGGGACCAATTAGACGAGTCTCAAATCCTGTTATTCTACCGTCTACTGTGGCTCCTGCTCAGATGCCCCCCGAGCCTTCAATATCATGTGAACGGTGCGGGAAGAACAACATACAGTATGAATTGCACAAAGTTTGCAAACTTTGCAAGTCCGGCAATTATTGTCTCTGTGCTCGTTGCTATCGTCTCGGCCGCGGATGTCTGCATTGGTTTGGATTTGGTCACGCAGCGCAATACTTCTTTGAGAAGAAGATGGCATCTTTGAACAAGCCGTTGAACGAACAAGAACCGCCTCACAAGCTTACCTGGCGTAGGTACTTACGGCCACCAGAGGAACGAGTAGAACAATCGTCGTCATCTTCCCAGAGTCCACGGTCTGCTCATGTGCCGCTTTCTAGACGAGTACAAATGGGCATGTTCTGTGATATGTGCGAGCGGTTTACTGATGAATGTTTCTGGAAATGCAGAGAGTGCAATGACGGTGAATGGGGATTCTGTAACAAGTGCGTTAACCAGGACAAATGCTGCACGCATCCTCTGTTGCCGATATCCCGTGTCAAGGTGAAGCCAAAGACAGATGCACAAACATCTCCACGAACCACAACCTCGCTTCCTTCTTCAACGGAAGCCGCCGAATACAGACCCCTCACATTCTCTACACAATGCAATGTCTGTACATACCCCATCCCTCCTTCAACGACACGATTCCATTGCATCCAGTGTAACGAGGGTGACTACGATATGTGCACGAACTGCTATCTGAAATTAGGCGCATCAGGCAAAATCAGCAAGGAAAACGGCCGAAATGGCTGGAGGCGGTGCCTACAGGGCCATCGCATGATAATTGTTGGCTTTGAGGACCACCGAGTAGGACAGATGAGAGTCGTCGTCCAGGGCCTTGTGGGCGGACACGCATGGAAGGACGAACACATCCCAACCCCCTCTTCCGGCGCCAGGAGAGATACCAGCAATAACAGCAACACTCCCACCAGTCCCGTCTCCGAAACCAACGGAACACCAGGCCGATTTGCCCTCCAACGACAAAACTCCGGCCGCTGGACATGGACCGAACCCACAGACTCAAGTGACAGCAACTTCAGGCAACGACGCAGACTTAACCGAGCCAGACAACATCTCTCTTCTGGTCCCGAGAGTCCGTCGGACAGCTCCTCTTCGTCCCCCTTCCCGCTTAGCACCACCCGCTTCCCTCCATCAGGTGGCATCGGCCTACGCCTTATCGCCAAATGGTCACATCACCCTGAACCCGACAACAATGACGAGATAATGTTTCCTCGGGGCGCGGAGATCACGGAAGCTGAAAACATCAACGACGATTGGCTTTGGGGATGCTATGCTGGTCAGAAAGGGTTTTTGCCCGGCGGATACGTCCTTCTCATTGACGAGGTAGGCACCGATGGTCTCCGATGAAAGATAAACGATATGAAATGTTTTCTCGATATATTTTTTTTTTTTCTTGTTGATATCTTTCTTACTTCTTTTCTTCCTTTCTATCTGTCCCCTTCTAGCTGGACGGATGCACGAGTCATGATGAATAAGACGATGGATGGATACACATACAGGGATAACATTTATACAAAAGGGTATATACTACAGCTAGATATAATGATCATGAGTTAAACGCCTTTTCTTCTTATCTACTACCGAGTTAGTTGGTAGATTAGCGATCTACATTACTTTCGACAGAGCGGTAAAGACGATCCTTCGTGAAACAAGAATCGAAACAATGTTCCGTCTCTGTGGCCATACGTCTTGAGTCCGACATCGGCAGGCCGGGCAATAAGCTATTCAAACCAATATACTTGACTTTATGCTAGGTAAGAATCGAAAATTGACAGGCATTAGCAACGCGGGGAACAAGGCAGTGTGTCCAGAAGACTAAGGGGACTAAGAGGTACGTACGCATGTACATATACGACGGCGCATTCTGCACAGCGTACCCGCTTAAATTGCCCGGCAAAAAACCTGATATCTATATGCATAGAGGCAATAGATCGGTGTTCAACCAGTCACTTACCCGTCTGCCAGCTAATCAACCGTACGACAGCGGGAGAGATATTGAATTGCCCGAAGTATCAAAAGCCGACGGGCGAGTGTTCGTAAACAATAAGTCAAGTAGTTGCTTGTTGTTAGCCATATACTTTGAACGACGTGGCCCGCGGGTCGTCGGAGGGCGGGAACTATAACTTCGTTCATGAAACGAATCGGACATGCTCGCATCCAGGGCTAAGGAGGGTATGTGTGTCTGGATGCAAACGGGAAAAGCTCGGTGGTGCCTGTATTCAGCAGTAAAAAAGGGAAAAGAAGGGCAGATGATGCTTTGGCGTGAGGCTTTTACGCAAGCTAGGGTTACGCGACAGATGCGCTGTGTTTTTGTGTTTGTGTTTCTGTGTCTTCAAATGGGTCGTAGGAATGATATGTTTCGTCTTGTTGTAGTAGAGGGAATATGTTGTGATGTGCATGTCTGGTATCAATTTGACGCCGCGTATCCGACCGTGGCATCGTGCAGCTGTAAAAACACGACAGAGTAGCACAGGGAGGGGAGAAAAATTTTCATACGTACGAGCAGAAAATGCTTGAAGGTAGTAGTGTAATATGTAACGAGTTAAGGTGGTAGGAAGGAAGAGGGAAAAAAAGAAAAAGAAAAAGAAACCTTTTCACCACCACGGGCTGGCTCTCTGCTTCTCGCTCGATGGAGGGAGAATTCTTATCGTGGCGGCGGTTGGATGCGACTGGAACCTGATATGGGATTCGTATGTGCGCGAGTGTGTGTGTGAGTGGGGATCAACGTGAAAATCTTACCGAACTGCAGAGTTCTAAAGGGTCTGGTCAAGGTCGTTTTGAGCGAGTGCAACCATTGCTTGGGTGTTTGAGGACGGGACCGGCCGTGCGTGCACGCAGCTGGTTCAGGGGGTGAGGAAGTTGAGCGAGCGAGTTATAGTCCGTACGGAGTAGTGTGAACGAGAGCACGTAGCAGTGTGCAGAATTCATCTGAGCGAAGACCGGTGGCGGGAACTCGCATGAGCGGTACATGTGTGTACCTATGTAGCATGGACATTGTTTTTCCACATGCTATTGTCTTGAAAGGCCCAGTGATTCATTAAACGGCAAGGGGGGCACAGAGGTTCGTTGTTTTTTCTCCTCGTCGGCCTTTGAGAAATGATATAAGGGAACAAGAAATCGGCTATGGATTGGAGAGGTAGAGACCAGGTATATCTGAAGTCAAGGACGATTCACGTTGTACGCAAGAAGCACGTTATTGGACCCCTTAGTTATATATGCTTGCCTGTTTGATATGTCGCTGTCGAGCTTCCCGCAACACCTGCAGCCACCCCCGCCTGTTATCGGACTGCTGTCCCGTTTCGAGAGGAGATTGCCTGATGAAGAAGATGAAGATCTGTCTTGGGGCCGAATTGCGGCATTTGTCTTCGCAGGCCCGCATGAGCAGGCAGGGGTGAAGATGGGAGGTTGTCCAAACACGATGGGATATCAGACAGTTGGATGGGCCGATCGTTTCTATCGCGAGATCTCGACCCATGCGCATTTTTTTTTTTTTTTTTTTTTTTTTTTTGTAGTATATATTTAAATATATCCCCCATTTGCCCGTACTGCTCGTAACCAGCTCTGGTGAACTAGTGAGGGATGCATGGATAGATGGATGCGATGCGGGATGAGGGGAAAAAGAAAATAAATTTTAATCCAACAGAAGTCAAGAGTCAAAAGAGTCAATGCAGTCAGGGCTTTGACCCCCTACCTGCTGGTTTGGTTTCTGATTCTGTGGCACTGTGAAGCAAATTGACGGACAGCCGACATGGGAGCGGAAGGAGGGAGGGAGGGAGGGGGAGCTTTTCGTCTGGGCTGGTTGATCCGAAAACTGATACATATGCCCGGGGCTTAGCGCAGGGCCTACCCTTGACAATCCCACCAATCGACGCCGGGACCCTAGCTGTGATCTTCTCGAACAGCTTCTAGACGACGTCGGCTGGGTTTTTCTTCTCAGACATTGTGCTGCATCGTGTATCAGCCATTCCGCGGAGGATCTCATCGATTCGTTCAGGTCGGGCGTCAAGCTGCTTTGGTCTGATTCGAGTTCGGTAAAACCCCGTCCCTTGGCGAGAAATAGTATGAAATCTGGACTCCCGCAGGAGGAGACTGAATAGCCTGAGCGCTTTTTCGCTTTCTTGGGAGCTTGGATTGAGCTTTCCCACTAGCTTGTTAACGACATCTCCCCCTCACGGAGTCTGAGTCTGAGCACAGGCAAGAAGGGGTCTGCGGTCTGCATGCTTCTGGGCCCCCTCTGGTGGCTTAGTGAACGCGTTATCCCTACAGTGGGAGAGAGTTAAATCTCCTTGAACCTAAGGGACCCTGTAAGGCTGTTGTGTTAATGGGGCGGGTTTAATAAAATATGGATGGATGTATATGGAAGTAAACAAGTACACTCTTGGTATATAATATCGATATGAGAGGTGCAGTGATGAGGGCCGATCAGTTGGGAATAAGGTTGGAGGGGTTCCCGCGAGGCGTGAGTGAAGTGCTGAGCCGGGCCAGGAGCACTGTGCACACGCATTATTGCTGGATAATCATGGTATAATCAGGGATTGCAAAGATAGCTGGCTTGGATAGACCTTATCGTATGGGCGCGATGAAGCGAGGTCCTGTTCGAGGTCTCGCTACGGTACAGGGAAAGCTGAAAGCTAGTCGAGGTAATGGTACTGCAGCAACTCAATCCAGACGTAAATATGGCTAAACCAAGATAAGTTGCCAGGAAGTATCATGGATTTCAAGCGAAGATGCACCTCTTTTCGCCATCGTCGTCGTCGTCGTCGTCGATGATTCTAAAAAAAGAGAACAAAAAAACAAACGGCGGCTACAAAACTCTAAAAGGCGGCTAGTAGATCATGTGACTCAACCGCGTCAGTCGAAGTTTAATAGGCGCCGTCTTTTCATTCTTTTTTTTTTTTAGTTTTTGTTTTCTTTTTCTTTTTCTTTTTCTTTTTCTTTCTTTCTTTCTTTTTTGTTGAGAAAAATGAAAAAGAAAATCCAGAGAAAAGAAACAATAACTCTACATGAATGAAGAAAATATGGACTATTGACCCGGTTCAACTATTCAATTAATGAGGAATTGATGGCTTTGCTGCAGCTTTAATCAAAAGTTCCCGGTCTTTATCTGAAGTTATACTTGATAGTTGGGTGGCTTGGTTACGCTGTGCTAGTTAACTAGTTGAACCACCGGCCTGCCTTTGAGATATCTCTGTGCTACCTACGGAATATGCTATGCGGCGCAGGAGATTGCTATGTAGCTAGCTTTTTCTTCAGCCGTCTGCCGGACTGCTAGTGTCTTGCTGCTATCTCTCTTAATAATGGAGAGTATTATACCCTGATAACGAACGGTTCACATACGGACCAATGTCATGCTGTGTCGATGGTACTCCCCTCCCCCTCCCCCCTGTCTTGCTACGGTCGAGCGGGCCGACATATTGATATGCACAAGATCACCAATCCCACGCAGAGCATCATTCTCCGGAGACTGGACATTACGCCGAGATGTTTAAGTGCTGCAAACTAGCAGGACGCGGGGATGATGGCGAGAATAGATAGCGGTGTTGAATGTCAGTGCCTTTTCGACTCGCTTACGGACTTGGCTTGGGGGTAGGACGTTGACGACGACCTGCTTGATTTGACGACAAGAGATGATGGCGAGATGAGATGACGCTGCTCTGATGTTTGATTCTCCACAGATAGAGGCTTTCCGTGGCTAAAATAGTTACGCGTCGGCGTCGTGAGAAGAGTGTTTGATGAATGGCGAGTCGCAGCTCCAGTCCCACTGTATAGGAGTAAGGCGAGGGAGACAGGACAGGACTTTTTTTTTTAATAATACGAAGCAGGGGCAGAAGGAAGGGCCATTGCCAATACATTGTTGTTATTGGCATGGAGATTGGCCCGAGTTAAAGAAGAGTTAATGGGATTCTGGGGAGTTATGGAGAATGGGGAATATAGGAGTAAGTAAGGATAAGCATCCAGCGTCCAACCCAGCTGTCTGGCACCGCGTATCCCTTCCCACTCCGTCCATCTCCATTTTGCGCGGCATCTCCGCTTACCCACTCGCCCATCCTACTGAAGTTATCCGGCTTTGCTTTGCTTGTCCTTCTTTATTTTTTTTTGTTCTGACTTGTCGGTCTGTTTCAAGGTAGAGAGAGCAGAGCAGTGAAGGTTCAACCTTGACTTTTGAGGTACTTGGTACGAGGTGTATGTCTTGTATGAGAAAGGCCTTGGATGGACGCCGCCAAGGGCAGGACGCAGGAAGTATTAGATGCAGACATCGACATAAGAATGCATGTCTAATAATGCCTGTATATGCAGAGAGTAAGTATACGGAGAAGACAAGAGCGCCACAAAAGCTACCCTGTCGACTCCGCGACCGGAGGGGCAGCATTTCGGCCAACCAGTAACCACAAACCAGTGACCACACTATATATAGTTATCTCGCTGGTAGGGGTTTGCGGGTGGGTTAGAGACTTCTTCCTTGCAGGCCGTGATCGAATCTGTATGTATGTATATTTGATATTGCACTGGATGCACAGTTGATGTATGGGGGAGGCCGGGCCGGGCGGACAAGTCGGCTCGCGCAGTGACAGTAAATAAAATTAATAACAACAACAAACAGTAATAATAATAAGTCATGGAGCAATCGTACGACCTTGACTTCGCTAGTGATTTGAGCAAGCGAGCTGATTTAGTTGTTAGTTCACCAACAACCATCCATTGACTTTTGATAACTATCGTGCCGGCTGAGTATGGTCTCTCTGCCTTGTCAGCCGTCTCGACAAGAAGACTTATCTCGAAAGCAAAGAAGAGAGAAGCAAAAAGAGCAAAGCGAAAAGAAAATAAAAAAAACGAATCATTGCCACCAGAGATAAGGGAAGGGGGAGAGAAAAAAGAGAAAAAAGTCTTTCCAACTTTCCTTGCATACGCCGAGACAAGCAAGTAAGTCGAGCCCCATCTTTGCTTTTTCCTGCTGTCTTCTTTGCTTTTTATTATTTGTATATGTGCATGGATGGTGCATGCATGGATGGGTGGATGAATGGAGAGCACTCGGACGTTTGGCCTGGTGGTGGTAGCGAGGGGGAAGAGAAAGACTGGCGGCAGCAGCAGCAGCAGCAGCAGTCGGAGTTGGAGGAGGAGGAGGGATGACTTGCATTTCCATCCTTGCGCTGGGTGTGACGGGAGATAAGTAGGCCATTGGGCGGGCAGGATAGCGGTTGAATCGACCAACTGACTACAGCCTGAAGACACTGACGGTACTTCCGCCGCGTATAGCTAGTATAGCTACATACCTGCTTTGATGGTTGGTTTGATGTTGGAGATGTTTGATATCCCTCTCTCTCCCCATCCCACCAGAGACAGTAGTTATGTATCAACCACCACCTACATCATCGTACATCGCTTTATCTCTCCAATGCAGGAAGAGCCATAAACCTTGCGAGACCCTCACCGCCTCCCCCTTGCCGCGAAGGTATACGAGCAGGAGGAGGAGGAGGAGGGTGGGAAGCGTCGGCTATCGGGGTGCCAGAAGTAGTGTAAGTACCAGTACAGGTAGAAAGGCAGCTTAATCTGAGCAGAGTGGCTTGACCACCGGCGCTTGATTGGCGTTGGCATGGCGTGATGCGAGAGTTGCTTAACCAGAGTTACTGCTATCATGACCATCAATCATCCATCACGGCTGTTCCATGGGCGACATCGACCAAGGCATCAGGCGTGGCTTGCAGGCGGAGGAGGGAAGTCTGGCTCGGTGTCTTCGATGTCTGTATCAAAGGGTCATCAGCCAGCGTCGTACGATAGACAGTCCACCGGGTGGTGCAACAGCAATAGAGCAACCGAACCGCAGAAACAGCAGAGCAACAACTAGCAATTGTAACTGACAGAGCCGGACGGCCAGAGGGAGGCCGAAGGACGGGCAAAGTACCCCCCGGTACCTTTCGTGTGCAGCGTTCAGGGCCAACTTCGAGTCGCCGCCCCGAGTTTCGCAGTGGGGCCGATAAGCAGTAGAAAAGTAGAAGAAGAAGACGACGAAGACACGACGAAGTAGAAGACGAAGAAGAAGAAGAAGAAGAAGCCGTCAAAGTCTGGCCAGCTGCTGTCCGTGACTCGCCTTGTCCCTGTCACATCCTGGCCGGCGTCGCTGGTTGCTGCTGGTTGCTGACCTCCCGACCCAGAGGACGAGCGAGCGAGCTGCTGCGTCTGCGCTACCGGTGGCGACCAGGTTGACGGCAAGAAATCTGCATCCGCCGCCAGCTTTATTTCCACCTGGCGGCCTCCGCGTCCTCTTTTATCAACGTCTTCCTCCCCCCCTAGCCTGCTCCGTCTTTTCCTTTTCTCTTTTGCAAGTTCTTCTTCTTCTTCTTCTTCTCTTCTTCTCTTCGTCGTCGTCGTCGTGGTTGTTGTTCTTCTTCCTTTTTCTCTTCTTCTTCTGCGGTGGATTGTCTCGCTCGCTTGGATCCATCACCAGCACCAAAACTACACTCTTCCCTCCCCCCCTGGACACCATTATATACCAGCCTCATAGAGAGAAGACCTTGCTTGATGCAGTGATCAGTTCGACCTTTCTGTCTCGTCTGTTACTGCTGGGCTGTAAGTGGAGTTGTGGATCGACATTCTCCATCGGCCACTCTAGTCATCTCCATCTAGCTCTTCTATCTAGATATGACCAAATACACCATGCTAACGGCTGGCGTAGGAGAGCCAGGAAGAGACGAAACAGGCCGGATGCCATACATATCCCCTTCGTCCGCTCCCCCTTCGCCTACTGGAACCTCGTCGGCTCCCCCGCGAGCTGGACCGGCATCAGCTACCTCCACGGCGTCGTCCACCACCACCACCACGACTACGGCTACGACTACGGCAGCTGGATCTGCCCCTGTCCGCCGGCATGGACGTCACTGCTCCGAGCCAGCCGTGAGCTTCCAGCGGCCCTCCAGCAGCTCGTACCTGCACAGACATAGACGCAGTCCCACTATCAGAGCTCCCGTGGCTCGTCTGCAGCAGTTTGAGGCCGGCTGTCAACAGGGCCAGCAGCAGCAGGTCCATGAGGCCTGGACGGCTCCCGGGACCGGCATGGGGCTGGTGCTCTCTCCGCCGGAATCACGCAGCAATTCAAGTGACGAAGATGAGAGCAAGAAGTTGCAGGCCCAGGGGACGTCATCATTGTCATCTTCTTCATCTGCAACCACGTCAACGTCTACCGCTGCTGCAGATAAGACGAACGAGGGCAGTGGAAAGGGGATACTGATCTATTCTGTGCCGGAACAGGCTACTCAGACCCCCGAGCAGAGTGACCAGGACGAAGAAGAGATGCCCCAGAAACCACCCATGCTCCGCAAAAAGTCCGGAGAGCTCGTCCGGCCAGCTATCAGACTACGACAGGGCAGGCCGCTCAGCATGCCGGGGACACCCACTTTCTCCAAAGCAGTGCACTTTGGGGCCCAGCTGGAAGAAGTCCGTCACTTCATGCAGCTCGACCGTCCCCTGGCCGTCAGTGCTGGGTCTTCCCCCGTCGAGGAATACGACGGAGACACAGAGTTCCCTTTCACTTGCTCCAACGCAGCATGTTCTTCCTCTTCTGCACTATCAACACCCAGCAAGGACCATTGGGAGGCCAGAGTAACTAATTTCCCCAGCATGCTCGACGACGCCCGCCTGAACAAGCCTGTTCGGCTCCGTCGTATCCAGCTCTGCCCCGATACCCACGCCCTGCTCGGCACCGTAGCAGTGGCCAACATCTCCTACTCCAAGCACGTCTCTGCCCGCTTCACGCTGGATAACTGGAAGACCGTCTCTGAAGTCACGGCCGAATACGTGCATGCTAACGCTCCTTGCATCGACCGAGACGAGCGAGTGGGCTTCGACACCTTCAGCTTCTCCATCGAACTGGCCGACCAGCTCAGACACGGGATGCAGAATAAGACTCTCTTCCTGTGTCTGCGGTATAATGTCGGCGGACGGGAGTTCTGGGACAACAACGACGACATGAACTATCAGATTGTCTTTTCACGACGGGCCTCTAACACCTCTACTTCTGGCTCTGGCTCCAGTGGCTCAGTTGGTAGAGATCCGCTGTTCAGGGCCCGTATGGCCAAGGCGAAGAACGCGAGAGGAGGCCGAGCAAAGCCGTTGTCGATGGTGGCCATGGGCATGAACCTACCCATGAACATGCCTATCACCCTGCCTGACAACGTTAAAGTAGCTGTTAAGCAGCAGACACAGTTTGAAATCACCGCTTCGAAGCCCGGTGATTCAGATGTGGACGTCGACTCGGAGAAGGAAGGCTGGTTCCCGGACCCTGACTCGCCCACCAGAAAGAACAAGCTACGCACCAACGTGTTTGGTGACAGATATGACTTTTCTGCCTCTCTGACTACCTCCTCCACGTCTGGTTCTGGTGCTGGTGCTGGCGGTGCTGGTTCTGCTGGCCCTGCTCGATACGGACATAAACACAGCCACTCCATGCCCCATCTGAACATGGTTGAGAGTAGCAGTGCCAGTGCCAGTGCCAGTGCAAGCAGCCCCAGCACCCCGAGTGACTCCGACGAGTCCCCTTCCCCCGTCGGCGAGAAGAGACTTTCCGACTTCCTATCTGATAGACCCAACCACCAGTCCCAGGTCTACAAGGAGCTAGTTGACCGATACTGCTTCGTATGTCTTTACCCCTTTACTTCTTACCTCTTAACTATCTCTAACTAATAACTGTTCTAGTTCGGCTCAACAAAGTCCAGACGGTCAGGCGTGTCTTCCAAGGACGGCACTGGCGCAGAGGAAGTCGATGAAGACACCTCGACGCCCACCATGCCCATGTCGATGTCGATGTCGATGTCCACTTCCACGGCCACGTCTCTGAACATGCACCATCTCGCCCACCGCCTCTCTCCAGGCCCAGGCGGCCACACCCCAGTCTCAACATCCCCCTCGGCTTCTACTTCTGCCTCTCCCTCCGACACCGAGGGTCTAGCTACCCCTCCAGCACCAACATCAGCATCCACATCCACATCCACCTCAGTCCGTCCTTCCTTTACCTTTGGTCGTCCCCGTCCGGCTTCAGAGAGAGGGATGCCCGCCTCTCCTGCCCCCGCCCCCGCCCCAACGGCGATATTAGGATGATCCATCAAAACCAACACTCAATCTATCCATCTACTTACTCTCTACGAGTCCATCCCAATCCCAACACAACAGCATCGTCTATCAGTGACGAGTTTCCACCACCTATCACCATGACGCAACCACGACAGCACAGCACAGCACAGCACAGCACACTTAATTTGTTTATTTTTTTTCTCCATTCCGTTCAGCAGGCATCGTATTTACTTGTTCAACCAGATTGCATTATTTTATTTCTTTCCGTTTTCCTTTTCGCCTGACATCCTCCCCTCCTGTGCGCCCGTCCAATTACTCTACTTGCTTTTGCTGCATGCTTTCATGTATTTATGTATCTTCTCTCTTCCTTTGCTTTCCTTTTTGTCTTTCTTCTTCTTCCGGCGCATGGTACGGTCCGGCGTGGCGTCTTGTCTTTCCTCAGCGTCTTCTTCATGTTCATGGCTTCCGGAGTTTCTCTTCCTTTCTAATGACCTACCTCTGTTTGGCCGTCCATGGCTTGGCTCGGCTCGGCTGGAAAAGTGTTCTGTCTGTTCTGTTGCCTTTAACCTTGCGTTCTGTCTAGTTAGTTCTACAGCTTGCTTGCTGCGTAGCTCGTAGCTCCCATGACATAGTTATCAAGGGATGTCTACTACTACTACTGCTTGCTCTCTATTTATGATAATGAAGTCGCCTTGAAGTTAAAGTTGAATAAACTTCCAGAACTTGATGTTCTCCACGTGACGCTTATGTAAGACCTGACTAACAACCTTATCCTCACTTTCTTAGCAGCGAGAAGAAAAAAAAAAAAAGGCAGCCAAAAAAAGCTCCGCTTGTCGCGTCGAAATCAACGACGAAGAAAAGCAGGCAAGAAAGACGCAAGAAAAGAGCGAAAAACTCGCTGCTGGTTTAGTTTGTTAAGGCGGACAAGCCAGATCACGCTCTGACTAAGCAACCACCCACTTCGCCCACTCAGCCTTAGCCTAGTCTTAGTCTGCTAGCTAGATCACTCACCCCCTTTCGGCGCGCATATATTAAGCTTGCCCTGCCCGCCTGCGCCCGCCTGCAACTTTTGCACTTTACAACTCTCTCTCTCTTCTTCGCCTGACGACACTCGACATCGCGAGCTGCCCACCTTACGCGTCTGCTTTTATCGCCTTTTCTTCATCGCGTTTATCGTCTTACCCTACTCTTCATCAACATGACTGGACGTGAGTATCTCTTCTCTTCTTCTTGTTGATGTGATGGTCGTCGTCGTCGTCGCTGGTGGTGGTGGTGGTGGTGGTTCGTGATGGTCGTTTTGGTGGTGAGGCTTGGCGGTGCAAGTCGCCACTCAGGCCGTTGCATGTCGCGTCCACCACACGACTGTCTACTTCCCTACCTACCTACCTACCGTTCTCTTATATATATTCTTCTCTTCTCTGTCTATGAGTATGCTAACTCCCTGCAGGTGGAAAGGGAGGCAAGGGTCTCGGCAAGGGCGGCGCCAAGCGTCACCGTAAGATCCTCCGCGACAACATCCACGGCATCACCAAGCCCGCCATCCGCCGTCTCGCTCGTCGTGGCGGTGTCAAGCGTATCTCAGCCAGTAAGTCTCCCACTTGACTGCCTTTATTATGCCGTAGAGTGTGTCAGCTAACCTCTCCAGTGATCTACGGCGAAACCCGCAACGTGCTCAAGTCCTTCTTGGAGTCCGTCATCCGCGACGCCGTCACCTACACCGAACACGCTAAGCGCAAGACCGTCACATCCCTGGACGTCGTCTACGCTCTTAAGAGACAGGGCCGTACCCTCTATGGATTCGGTGGATAGAGTGTCAATCCAGACGATCAGACTATCAGACATTCAGAGACGGATGGAGTTATTTTATCACTTTGCCTTTTTTCATTACACTACTCTTTAATTCGGAAGTGGGACGGACGGGTGGACTGGGTGGGCTGGACGGGTTGCTGCATGGTTCCTTTGCGCTCTAGCTACGATACTTACACAATGGAGTCTGGTTATCTTGCCCTTTAAACTGTCATCCTTGCTGTCTCTTTTCTCTTATCGTACTTACAGTTATAACCAAAAAGTATCGGTACATTCCAAAAAAGGTAAAATTACAGCACCTTTAAAACGCGAATATCTCAGCCAAATACTCTATCTTATAGCTCCTATAAAATATATATAATAAATAGTTAATATTTAGTATACTAGCCCTTAGCTTTTTAGACTATAACTAATCGCCGTAGTATAGATTAAATAAGTCTATTAATAGTGCCCTAATTAATCGATTTCTAAGTATCCTAGATAGCTCCTCGAAATAATATCTAGTTAACTTAAGATCTTCTATATAAAGTAAGCTCCGGATAGAGCTTAAATATCTTCTATTTTAAAAGGCCCTAGACGTATTTAATTAGGTTTAAATTAGGGGAGTAAGGAGGCTATTCTATAATATATATCCTATACCTTTTAAACTACTCTTATATCTTTTTAGCTATATATATCCTTATATTATCTTACTAGAATATATAGCTAGGCTCGTAGATAGGGAGGAGAGAGTCTATAAGGCTTTAGATATAGGATTAGGCTATAAATCCGTTTCTTTTAGAAGTAGAGTCTCTTTCTATAATTATTAATTTCGATCGCGAACTAAGTCAAATTAAGCTATATACTATCTATAAAATATCCTTTCTATAGTTTATAAGATTTACTAAGTTCTACCTATAGGCCTCTCCTATAAGCCGAAAGATATAGACCTTATAAGTATTAGCCTTTCTCTATATAGAGTATTTATCTAAAAAAATATATTTTCTTCTAGTCCTTATAATTCTTCTATTCCTTTATAAACTTTAACCTCTATTATATATTATATTTTTTTAATCGAATATAGTTCTTTAAGCACTATTTTTAAAGGTAGAACTTATATAGATAATTCCTTATAGTAGATTTATAAATAGAGACCTCTAGATATATAATAAGGCTTTTATACGCAATATTAGGGTATCTATATATAATTTAATAAAGATAATATATATCTCGAGGGGATAAAGCCTTTAGCTTATCTAGTTATAATAGAGAACTAAATATAGAGTATTTTAATATATATTTAATAGTTCGATAATATATAGTACGAGAGATTTAGAAATTCTTCTAAATAATAGATAGTTTAATATTAGTAAGGTACTAGGAATAGATAGTAGAACGAGTAGATTTAGATAATTTAGTTCCTAGCCTTCTATTTAGACTAATTTTAATACTAAAGGCTCTCATATTAATAGTTTAGTTGATATTTTAAAAAAGGAAGTAGATATTGGTAGTAGAGATATTTGTGGCGATGTACCGATACTTTTTGGACCCCTTGTATGTAAGAAGTAAGAAGTACCTAAGCCGAGGCACGCTTACCTCAGCGTCGGTCAAAAGATGGTCCGTCCATGCTGACTCATCTTACCCCGGAGCACTAGTCTCCTTCTGGAAGACGCCAAGCCCAACCTAAAACACGCCAAAGAAAAAATGGAAAAAGCAACTTCATCTCGTTCTTATCACGACGACCAACATTGACCAAGCGGACTAGGAGGACCAAGAGGACCAAGAGGAAGACGACTGGGTCGACCAAGAGACGAGAAAGCCGGAGTTGGAGTCGCTGGACGCACGACAGGGACAGGCCCGCATGCACCCCAGCCAACCCGGCCAATAATGCTGATCAAGGAGGTATATATTTTCCGCCTCTTAAGGTGGCCATCCAGGGGGACAAGCATCGCCCTATGCGCCAGCCGCGGACGTATAAAATATAAATTCCTGCTTAGTAGTAGGTTACTCCAACGACATCTCCATCTCCAGTGGATTGCCATCACTGCCTAGCCCGCCGGGAAATAGCTGTGAAGAACATGTGCGCGGGAAAAGGTCGTATGTAAAGTTGTTGCAGAAGCCCACTCGGAGATGGCCCTTCTCCTCTTTTCACTTTCCCCCCTTCTGCTGGGGTTAAAGTGACTGATCGTCGGCCGCAGGAGTGATCGTCATGCTACTTCGACCACTTCCACCACTTGTTCATCCCGGCCTGAACCGAAGCTGGAGAGGAGTCACTTCAGCTAACGGAGCCAATTTACGGAGTCGCTGATTGCTCTGCGAGTCAGTCATTTTAGTCACTACGGAGTACGGAGTACTTCTGACTATATAATATGAGAGTCATGGATGGAGTCAGCTTTCGATGGAGCTTGCTGCTGGAGTGCAACCGGCCAAGAAGTGTCAGGTCAGGCCGGGACAAGCGTGTACGGCAGAAAACACTGGCTGAAACGTGTTCCATCGCGAGTTTTTCCTCGACTCACTCTGCCCTAAGTACTACTCCGTATTATCCTTTGGAACCGCCGCTCCGTACATGCGAAGCATGCGGCACGCTAAGTGAAGCAAGGCGGCAGGACTGCGTGGACTTTGGGGAAACCCTGACACCACCTCGTCTGTCCCTTTGCTGTACTGGGCCGATGTCTTGGATGATGATGTGATGTATGCAGACAAACACCAGCTGATAATACCCATGGCGGTGATGTGCCTGAAGATACCCACGGGTAGTCATGGATATTTTACTCTATTATCATGACGTCTGCCTACTTACATGATATCCCCCCATGCTCGCTCATTTTACTCTACTTGCCCAGGGAGCTGCGGAGAACCTATGGCGGGTAGACTTTGTTGGCGTTGGCGGATCCTGTTCCTTTTACCGCCCAGCCTTCCTTTTCGTGGGGAAGTCTTTGACGTTTCTGGAAATGGAAGCGCAGCTTCGTGACTTGTGTATGGTGGATGAGAAAACGACGATCAGGGCCCGGGCGGGTGAGGACGGGCAGGTTGCTGTCCCCTTCGTTTGTCTTATCTTTTGCCTTTTTGTTCATCACCCGCTGATACCCTAAAACGAGGGAGTCTAAGATGAAAAGGGTCGGAGGTCGTTGTATATATAGCCTGTCCCGTCTCGCTGTTTGACTACTCTTTTTCGCTGCCTCTTGAAACTCATCCCCCCCATCCCTCTTCCCTCTTCTCTCTTCTCTCTCTTTTTCTTCGGTTTTTCTTCTCAAGTCGGTTCAATTCCTCTGTCTGTCATCATGAAGGTCCTTGCTGCCCTCGCGCTGAGCGCCCTGGCCATGGCCAAACCAACTCCTCCCATGCCGGGCATGTCTTTGGTCCAGACTGGTCCTCAGGAGACTCGCTGGGTCACCGCCAAAGAGAAGCATGACATGGTCATGGTGAGTCTTGTGTCTACATTTATTGCTTACATATGGCCATATACTAACGATAATGTAGAACCACATTGGTTTCTTCGACATCACCAACCGACCAGAGACCGCCAGCATTGCCTCCAAGCCCAAGAGCTATGCTTTCCCTGGCAATGTCAGCCACCAGGCCGAGGTCAAGCCTCTGCTCGAGAAGATCTCTGCCGACCACATCAAGGCCAACCTTGAGAAGTTCTCCAGCTACCCCAACCGCTACTACGACGCCCAGTCCGGCGTTGAGTCCGCCCAATGGGTCATGGAACAGGCCCAGGCGGTCGTTGGCAACATCCAGGGCGCCAAGGTCGAGATGGTCAAGCACGACTGGATGCAGCCCAGCATCCGCGCCATCATCCCCGGCAAGTCTGAGAAGATCGTCGCTGTCGGTGCTCACCAGGACAGCATCAACGGCAACAACCCCCAGGGTGAGGCCCCAGGTGCCGACGACAACGGCTCTGGCTCCATGACCATCCTCGAGGCTCTGACTGCTCTTGTCTCTGACCAGAAGATTGCTGGCGGCGAGGCTGCTAACACCCTTGAGTTCCACTGGTACGCCGGTGAGGAGGAGGGTCTGCTCGGCTCCCAGGACATCTTCCAGCAGTACAGCCAGGAGGGCAAGGAGGTCGTCGCTATGCTTAACCAGGACATGACTGGCTACGGCGAGACCATGGGCGTCATCACCGACAACTCCGACCCCAACCTCACCAAGTTCACCAAGATGATCCTCGACACTGTATGTCCACCCTTCTATATTCTATGGTAATGGCGGCTTTTTTATGCTAACGAATGCTATCCTAGTACACCTCCGCCAAGTACTCTGACTCCGAGTGCGGCTACGCCTGCTCTGACCACGCCTCTGCCAACAAGGCCGGATTCCCATCTGCCTTCGTCTACGAGGCTGTTGTCGGCCAGGACAACCCAGCCATCCACTCCCCCGATGACACCATCGAGAAGCTTGACCCCGCCAAGATGGCCGAGCACGCTAAGCTCGTCGTCGGCTTCGCCTACGAGCTTGCCTTTGCTACTCTGTAAATTACACGCATAGACTGAGAAGATGTGACGATGTGGTGATGATGCAGCAGGGGGATTAGAGCCGTCCGCTTTGATAGCGGCCTTGGTATGGACATGACATGATAGTTGGGGGCATGTGTGTGCATATCTGTACATAGCTATATTACTGAACATATATATATATAAACCGAACCGTTTTGATCCACGCTTCTCTTTTGTCTCGCCGTCTTATACCTCCACTGACTCTATAGTTGATATGCAGGCTGGTCGAACTAGTGACTGAAGCCGCTTACATCATCGCGAGCTTATTCCAACTTTCAGCCATCAAAGCGACGCCGACTTCACTTTTGCTTCCACTCCTGCTTGCTGACGGTATTGTGAACTAACTATAGCTGATGTATAGCATGAACTTGTCCATCTCGATCGATCATGGTGCGTTATTACGTTGATGTCGTTGAGGATGTACCTAATTATCTAACTGACGAGCGTGCAGAACGACCTCCGCAGCTATGATCTATATACCTCCCTCGTATCCCACAGCGACTCGATCACCTCTGCATCCAACACCCTCACTGAGGGAACAGCTATAGCCCTCTCCACGGCTCTGTTGCACCCGCTAGACTCGATACTCACCCGCCTACAAGTCCGATATGCCTCCCAGCACCACAATAAGAAGAAGGGCAACCGAACCCGTACCAGGAAGCCACTAGATGTCCTGGGCGATATAGTTGACCTAGCAGCCGAGAATGTCAAGGATGCAGAGGGTAGAGCGGTGCTATACGCCGGCCTGCGTGAAGCAATATGCAAGCAGATGGTGGAGAACATGCTTGTTCCAGCTGTTTATGCAGCATTGCATGCTCGACGGCTCAACCTCGGACGGACAGTTGGGAACGAACAGGTCCTCTCCCTCGTCTCAATGGCATTGGTCAAGCTGTTTACCGAACCTCTGGGGACGATCATGGTGCGCAGACAAGTTACGGGGTCTAGCACTCGGTCTGTCGTGGATGATGTACTGCGCCAGAAAGGTGTGGGAGGGCTATGGTCTGCGTATGGGGCTACGTTGGTGCTGTGTGTGAGATCATGTGTCTTGCCAGTGGTGTATTTGGCGCTACGCAGAAGGTTGGGCATGAAGGGAGGGGGACTACTGGGCATGCTTGTTCTAAGGGCCATTGCTGAAAGCGTTGTGTATCGACTTGCTGTTCTGCAGTACTGTGCGAGGGCGGGTGTGAAGGCAGTTGGCAAAGGAAGTAAGCTTGGTTTTACCTACATGAATGATTATACTATCTGTGTGCTAATGGGTTATCTAGGCCTGCTGCTGGAAGTGATACGCACCCTGTCCAGCCAGGGAGTGACGACCGTGACGTCTGACATTGTTGCTGTGGCGATGATGCGCTTGTCTGCTGTTATGTTGTACATGCTTGAACCGTTCCTGCTGTCTGAACAAGCCATTACAGACTCGGTTCGAGAGAATGTGGATGCAGGAGCGAATCAGCCGCTGCTTGACGATGCAAAGTATATGAACAACGCCGTTAAGCGAGCTATCAGCATCGTGAACCGCGGAATCGGCCTGGCGAGTCATGGCAGGGATGATGTTGCTGTTGCTGAGCTCGTGGGTGACTACGTCGAGGACGGCCCGGAAGATGGATAGTTCTCTGGGTCAGATCTGCTGCTATCCATGGTAGGTTTTGTGTGAACTATGTTTTTGGGCACGGTATGAATAAAGGGGAGAAATGACGACACGATCGATGACTTGGATGCATGTTTGGAAAGTTTGCAGTCAGCTTTTTCTATATATGCTGCGTCTTACGATTATGCATCTGACGTTTATATGATGTCGTCATCTGCACTGCTCAACGAGATATGCATCACGGTCGATTCGAGAGATACCATCACCATGCCTTTTGCGACACCATACTATATGCCTTTAAGGGTATGTCTTTGTCTACCCCGAGCGGGTTACCGAATATAAAATACTGACTGATTGCTAGAAACTCGAGATCGAGGATGACCCCGACAAGACACCAACGCAGACTCCTCGCAGGATGCCACCGGTTCTGGACTTCAAACCCCTGGACGATGATGTCGATGGGGACCCCAGACCGCGTCCAGACATCAAATATATGATTGCTCAAGGCAAGCATGCAGAGCTGCGGGCTCTCAGCTATGCTCTTGGACATGGGCACCATGAAGACTATGCCTTTGATAATGAAGACCTGGATGCGCTGGTGGCTTGGGAAGAGGAAGAGGAACCGCTGGCCTATAAGGAATACTATCCCCTGCCTGTGTATCATGAAGCAGATGCAGCAAATGAATGGAAAGCAGAAGAAAGGAGGAGGAGGAAAGAAGAAAAGGCGAAGAGGAAGAAGGCCGCCCTGGAGAGCTCTACTTCTACTGCTGGCTGGCTGTCGACCAAAGCTCTGCTCGGCCTGTCCGTGGCCTCCCTCTCGGTAGCCCTGATGCTGTGGATGATATTCTGGGTGACAGCCGACAACCACATGCTTGTACTTGTCCTCTTTGTATAGCCGTCTCTCTAGCTATCCCTTTTATCTTATATAAAATAAAATTGCATCTTCCAGCACTGCTCGCTGTCGTCTCGTAATCCGGATCCCGCTCAGCCACAACGCCACCACCGGCTGCACCCCAGAAGCCCAGAAGCCCAGAAGCCCAGAAGCAACAACAGCGAGATGAAGCAGTTTCAAGGCTCGCCCAGGTCGCCATCTAAATAACTGCACGACGCCGGCATCGCAGCCTCTCGCAGCCTCTCGACACGCTGACCTGCCAGGCTGGCCCTGGTTTTGCTTCTTCCTCTGCCCCGATGCATGTTTAATAACCCGCCGTCCTTATTGTCTCAGACCCAGCGAGCACCCGCGGCCAGCGTCCTGCAAGAAACCGGCCCCGCCCAGCTCGAACTGCGAACTGCGAACTGCTCTATATAAGCCTGTCTGCTGCGTCTCTCTCCTCCTGTTTCGCCCTCTGCTGGATGCCACGGGGGGTTTCGGCGAGATGGCGCTGCTGCAGAACGAAGAGTGAGCACACCCCTTGCGCCGCCGGGCGACGAAACAAGCTACGAGATTGATAGTGAGACGACTGACTGACTGACTGACTTGCTGGGACGCAGATTCACGATCTGGCAGCTTCGCACGTCGTACCTGGCTACGATCAAGGACGGCGTAGGCGACCGGCTCATCAACGTCAACTCCTCGATCCTCAACTCGCCCTGCTTCCGCTCGGCTGGGTGGTCGGCCACCGCGGACCCCAACGCAGCCCATATCAAGCGGACGCACTCGCCGCCCATACCCACGGCGACGACGGTGGGGGAGCAATATGCTGGATCTGGATCTCAAAGTACTGCGCGGCGAGGGAACGGGAGCGGTAGCGGGACTGTGAGGAATGAAGCCATCACGAGAGAGGGCAGCTATGCTGGGGAGGACACGCTGCAGCTGGGGAACCGGCGTGGAACGGCGGCGGACGAAGACGACGATGAAGAGATCACGCTGAACACAGAGGGGATTACGGGCTTGGGGTTTTCGAATATTATGCGCCAGACACACAAGAAGAAGAGCAGTCAGACGGATTTGAGACGGCGAGGGAGACAGAAGGCCCCGAGACGGCCTGTTACCCCGGGCGAGGCCGAAGAGGATAGCAGCGATCTCAGCGATGAGAGCGATGAGGAAACATCTAGACAGAGGTGATATATACAATTCAAAGTGGTATATGGCGGTATCTTATGCTAACGTCTTGCTGGCAGGGCTATGAACCAGATACAGTTTACGAAGATGCCTGTTCGACACCGGGCGGATTCCTCGCCCATCAGAGGCTCAGAGCACCAGGGCGGCCCGCGGGTACTGATAACGTCGCCGTCTCTACGGTCAGTGGACAATCGGTTCCGAAGAAGCTCGCTGGGGGCCGTGGAAGCCATCAAGTCTCGGGCCAGACGAGACACAACTACAAGCAGCGACATGTCGTCTGATATTGAACTAGACCCCGAGGCCATGAAACGACGGCAGATAAAGTTCTCAAAACACGAGAACGAGACGTTTGTCCCACGGGAAGAGGACGAAGACGCAGAAAGCGAGAAGTTAGAAGAAGAAGTCGAGATGGAGGCTGAACTTGCAAATGGAGGACTAGGAGTGCGCCGGGATGATCATGATCATGACGACGACTCGATTGCCGGGTCCGTTGAGTCTGCTATATCTTCGGACTTTGGACATACAGCTGGCTCAGGCTCGCTGTTGGGCCGGGGTGGACTGGGTGCTTCGTCACCCTTGATATTGAACAAGATACCCAAGTCAGGCGGCAGTGGGAATGCAGCGCCGTCTGTATCGGCTACAGCCTCGGGAGCAGCATCAGCTGCAAATACCTCGCCGAGAAAGGATAGGGATGCAGGGACGAGTACGCCAGCGCTGCCTAGATTACCGGCTGCACAGGCGATCACACCACACCCAGAGCCCGTCAGCCTGCTGTCCAACATGCTGAATGCGCGCAAAAAGGCGCCAGAGAACCCGATGGAGAAGTATGCTGCTCTGTCGGGCAAAGGATCGTCGGAAACACCGTTGTATATCAAGCTGTATACGCCCGGTGCTGAAGACCCGGAAGAGCCGATGGACATGCCCCTGACCAAGGACACCAAGGACGGCGACCACTCGCGGCCCGTCACTGTTGCAGAGGCTATTGGGCTTGCTCTCTGGCGGTATACGGACGACAAGATCCAGCCTGCCATTGACGCATCGAAACTGGGGGTGAATTACTGGAATCTACGCATGGTTGAGGATGGAGAAGTTGACTATGACTTCCCGCCGTTAGCCAGGAAACGGCCGATTACAGACTTTACGTCGAATAACAACCGGGCAGCCGGGTTCAGAGGCCGGTCGAGAAGCAAACCGTACGATGAGTTTGCGCTGGTGGAGGCCTCGCCTGCGGAGTTTGCTGAGAACGAGGCTGCGTGCCCCGGGGATAGCATAGCCGTACCGGAGGCCTCTACACCTACGGCTACACCACCAACGGAAGCAGCAAATACACAAAGAGGAACAGCTGCCGCACCAGGTCTACCGGCAAACCACATCAAGGTGGCCATAGGCGGACGCATGAACCCGATCCTGGGCCAGCCATTCAGCTCTGCGCTCAACGACAGCTCACTGCGGCCAGCCGACCTGCCGGCCATCCCTACGATGCAGGCCACGCCTCGCCTGGGCGTATCAACCCAGCTGAAAGTGCGGTATGTCGACCTGGAGGCATCCACACGTACCACAACCCTCAACACCTCCACCGACAGTTACATCGCCGAGATCCTGGACTCGGTATGCAAGAAATGGCAGCTGGACAAGGGCAACTACCTGCTCAAGATCATGAACACCAACACCGTCGCACCGCTGGACCGCACCGTTGAGGCCCTGGGCACAAACACAGACCTCGACCTGATCCGCCGCCGTTTCGGCGCAGGCCCGTTGTCTCTCATGGGCTCGCCTGGCAGCTCATCCCCCAGTGCACCCTTGCTCGTCGACACCAGCACCAACGGGGCCTCGAAGAAGAGCAAGAAGAGCGCCGCCTCACGCATGCTGCATCCTCTCTCGCAGAAGCAGGACGTGATTGTCGGCGGCTACTATAAACGCTACAATGTCATTCGCAAGCAGTCCATGTCCTTCACCACGTCCAGCCAGCGCGTGTTGGCGTTTGACAACGACTACATGCACATCATGCCGGCGGAGACGGGCAAGACGCTGTTTGAGGCCAACAGCAAGACGACATCAATCTCGTTTTGCGATGTTATTGGGTCGAAGGTGAGCAGGCGGCATCCGAAAAGCTTCCGGTTTGTCGTCGTCAGGGGCGCGGATGCGACGGACCAGAAGAGGTATGACTTTGAGGCGAGGAATGCGGTTGAAGCCATCGAGATTGTCGATGAGATCAAGAAGAACATGGCCCATTACCGGCTGTGATGTGTGTCTTTCTTGTGGGGTTGCTATGGGTTCCTGGCTGTGATGTCTACAGTACCTGATATGGCTGGTGTTTCTGTCTGTTCGGTGTTTGTATCTATGGAACGAGGACTCAGGACTCTTGTCGGCTTGGATAGAATGCATTTACCCTCTGTATGCTTGCTCTGTATGCTTGCTCTGTGTGTCTTTTGGCTGTCTATATCCTTCTGCATCCCCTATGCCTCCTTGCTGTAGTCGCGACTCCTGATATCAAAATCTACCAAACATCGCCAACTTCACCTCAACGTCAACTCAACATAGCAACAACATCAACAACAACAATAGTAATAGTATGCTGTTAATCTGCCATATCAATAACTAACCTGTATGAACATCGGTCTGATCTCTCTCATCTTTGCTTCTTCTCAACCAGCTCACTGACCTGTGGCGTTGATCGTCTTTTCTCGTCCTGTATCTGACCAACTTCGCCAGCTTCGTCTTCACCACCAGCCGACATCAACCTCCCATCGATCGCATCTCGTCCAGCTTTCTGTCCAACGAACTGCGTACGCCCTGCCGGCCTCTTATCCTCTCGTCCTCGCTGCTGAAACAGCCCTTGTTCCACCTCTAGCCGGATCCCAGCAGTTCTCACCCGCCGCGGGCTTCACGGCACAAACGCACTACAACCAGCAGGCCAAAATAAAATAGAGACCACCGAGAGAGAGAGAGTCATCCAGCAGCCCCCAGCCGACGGCTAGAGAACGGCTTTATCCAGCGTAAACAGGCCCTTCGAACAGCCTCGCCCGCCCGCAGCGTCTAGATTATCCAGCCGTGTTGCCACGGAGCGCGGGAGGCGTTGCTGTCCCTCGCTGCCCTTGCGACCAACAAACCTCGCCCTATATCTGTCGTCATATAACAAGATACACTGCGGCCAGCTACGTAACTGCAGCCATCGCCAGCTAGTTCTAGTTAACGAGCGAGTATCTATACTTCCGTCCTCGTTATCGGCCTGTCCTGCGTCCGCCGATAACGTTTTTTCGTGCTGCATCCTCGCACCCTCGCAAGCAACCCTGGTGCCTCTTGGGCCTCGTCTCTTCCGCCGCCGCCTCCCTCCTCCTAGTGACCTACAATACGATAGTTAACTAGTTACGAGAAACAAAGCAAACGAACGGACTCTTCGACACGGCGGGCTGCTTCTGTTCCATGCCGACCTTTGGAGGCCTCCTCAAGAAGCGGCGGACGAAGGACTCGAAATCAAAGGACCTCGACTCTGAGAACTCTACTACAAACACCACGGCTGCTGCTCCTGCTGCTGCTGCTGCTGCTGCTACTGCTCCTCCTGCGCCAGCTGCCTCCGTGCAAGGCCGTCATACAGCCCAGTCCAGCGTCGACAGCGCAGATACCTCGAATCTCCCGCCATCTGCCGCCAGTAAGGACTCTGCCGCCGCTGCTGGTGCTGCTCCCGAGCCTGGTTCTGTTCCTCGCTCTGGTTCTGGCTCTGGCACTGCTGAGCCCGTCGCCTCTGCTGCCCCTGCATCTCCCGCGCCCGCTGCTGCTGGCGGAGTGACTGCCGCTGCCATTGACCCTCCCTCGACCAGTCTGACGCCTGCGCTCGCCAACATGTCGACCACCTACCAGCGTCCCAGCCCCGGAGATGTCTCGCAGTCGAGATCTCCCCAGCAGACACAGCCGTCCGCCCTCCCCCAGCCTCACAATGTCACCAGTATCAAGAATATCATAAATCCGCCCCACCATGAGGACCAGCAGCAGCACCACAACCACCAGCAACAACAACTACAACAGCATCAACATGCTACTACAGGAACGCCCGATGCCTCAATTCGAGCCTCGCAGCGCCAATTGAAGGGCAAATACTCCCTCAGCGACTTTTCCATCCACCGCACGCTGGGGACGGGCAGTTTCGGCCGAGTTCATCTCGTTCAATCTATACACAACCAGCGATTCTACGCTATCAAAGTCCTCAAGAAGGCCCAGGTTGTCAAGCTCAAGCAGGTCGAGCATACAAACGATGAGCGGGCGATGCTCGAGCGGGTCAAGCACCCGTTTCTTGTTACTCTATGGGGCACCTTTCAGGACGCAAAGAATCTCTACATGGTCATGGATTTCGCAGAGGGTGGTGAGCTCTTCAGTCTCCTCAGAAAGTCCCAGGTTTGTGCTATGTACCATCCCCGCGTTTGTTTGCCTAGTTGCTTGCGGAGCGGCTGTTTTTGCCTGGATACTGACCAAGGTTATGATGTAGCGGTTTCCCAACCCGGTGGCGAAATTCTACGCCGCCGAAGTTACACTTGCCCTGGAGTACCTGCACTCCAAACACATAGTATACCGAGACCTGAAGCCCGAGAACCTGCTTTTGGATAAGAACGGGCATCTCAAGATCACCGATTTTGGCTTCGCAAAGGAGGTACGGGATATTACGTGGACGCTATGCGGCACGCCGGACTACCTCGCCCCTGAGGTGGTTTCCTCCAAGGGCTACAACAAATCTGTCGACTGGTAGGTCTATTTTCAGCAACGTGCATACCCTATAATGCGCTCGTTGTTTGCTAACATGTAATTCAGGTGGTCGCTAGGTATACTCATCTTCGAAATGCTCTGTGGTTTCACCCCATTCTGGGACAGTGGCTCGCCCATGAAGATATACGAGAACATCCTAAAATGCCGCGTTAAATACCCGCCGTCCCTGGTTCCGGATGCGCAGGATCTACTATCGCGACTAATCACACCCGACCTGACCAAGAGACTGGGTAATTTACACGGTGGATCTCAGGATGTCAAGAACCATCCATGGTTTGCGGAGGTCACCTGGGAACTGCTTGCTCAGCGACGGATAGACGCTCCGTACATACCTCCGGTCAAGGGCGGGTCGGGCGATGCATGCATGTTCGACACCTATGCGGAAGAGACGGAACAGTATGGTCTTCCTGCTGAAGATGAGTACGTACCTTATACCCTCACACCCAGATACACCCTTGCCGGCTTCTAGCCAGGTTGAGAACTAAATATACTAACCTTGCCACGCAGGTTCGGCCATCTATTCCAGAACTTCTAACACCAAGATCCTGTTTTCTCCCCTACTGTTCCGTACTTCCTGCCTCCCGGTTCCGTAAGGCGAAGGCAGTATATATATACAAATTATATATATTCATCTATATCATATCCTTCTTGTGGGGTTCAAAGCTAGCGGGGACCATAACCTACATCTCCACTGCTTCAGCAACAGCTGGCCTGTGATTTTCCTCTTACATCTTTGGCTTACATCTCGGTCTATCTCTTCGAGACGTTCATATCCCGCCATCTGCCCATCTCAGCCTCGTCACCTTTCATCTTACGCACACTGCAAAGAACGAAAAAAAAAAAAAAAAAAAAAAAAGGATATTCATTGGACTACCCCCGGCGACAGACATGGAATACGGACGAGCAGGAAAGGTATACATCTTATCCCCATATGATTTCTTTCTTCTTGTCATTGCTTTCGTTTCCCTGCTACTTTTCCTCGTCTTAGTCGTTGCTTTCCCCTTATGAACAGGCAATTTAATACTTAATTGTCTCTGTACACCTCTGATGCATGGATGAGTCTGTTTCTTTTTTTTTTCTAATGTTCTTTTCGGGAGGGCTCGTTATCTATTCCAATTGTTCTGCTTGCTTGCCGCTATATCTACGCTGGCTATTTCTTACATCTGCCTGCTCCTGGCCGATGTCCATGCCATAGCATGGTATATATATTCCGTACCATATCCTATCATATATCGATACGTGGTGTGCATCTCCTTTGATTATGCCTTTTGTTTCCTTCTTTGTCTTTGCATGTTGACTTGGCCAGCTGGTGGCCGGCGAGGGTAGGGCGGTGGCGGTGATGTTGAATCCCATGTATGCATCTGCTCTGTATGGAGTATCCAGATGTGATAATGCGCGGAGTATTAAATCTAAAAGTGTCGTTGGTCAAAGAATGCATATATAGCATGAATTCCGTATGTTTTTGGCTCCCAAATAATGTACATGTTCAGGTAAGTTTTGCACCTGTCTTCTCCATGACAGATAGCAAGGCCAGATAATAATAACATGGCCCAACACTGACATCAACCAAGTATGATCGTACAATCTCTCCTCTCTTGTTCTCTTTCCTTTCAGCAAACACCCAGAGCTGTTCCGGTTCCAAAGGGTATCATCCGCCCATCTACAGGTTTGTATTCACAGGAAACTTCGCGCCCTCTGTCTTCAGCCGAGCAACGTACGTTTGGCTCACAGTGTTCCATAGAGCGATGTACTTCTCCATACAGGTCTTAAGGCAGGTCTGTTCGTTCGAACTCAGGCTGGATCCGGGTGTGGGAATGCACTTCTCAAAGCAATTCGAATTGAGTTTCTAGCATCCCGTTAGCATTTCTTCCTTCTTAACGAACAACATGATAAACAGCATGATAAGAGTGTATATACCTCCATGAGCATCTTCGCATTGTTCATGGCACTTTCGCTCTGAAGCTGCTGTACTATGGCACTCTTTATCTGTGACGAGGACATGTCGGAGCCATTGGAGGAGGAGCTGAAGGGGTTCGAGAGAGACATCGCGGCGGTAAATTGAATATGGCTATCGTCTTGTATCAAGTGTTTCTTCTGCGATTATAATTCTTCTTCGTCTTCTTCGTCTTTCTCGCTGTCGTTCTTTATCGCCTTTTTCGCTTCTTCAACCTTTTTTCTTAGTAAGCAATTCAAGAACAAGGTCATGTGACAAGATTAGTAAATATGATGAGTCATTAATGACTAATCATATTCCTTTCCTCGCCGCAAAAAGAAAAAAACAAAAAAAAAAAAAAACAAAAAAACAATCGAATATAAATCTGATTTGACGATCTGAAGCTGGGAATGTTGGACACTGGCGAGTTCGCGGCGAGATACGCGCTGTTTACTGGTCTTTGGCCGTGTTAGTGCTTTTGCTTAACGGCCTGCTGCCCACATCGTCCAGTCTGAAGAGCCCGGATAAAGTGTTGATCCGCCAGCTGCTCCCGTCGCCCTAGAAGTGGACACAGTTATCTATACAGGAACCAACACGTCCAGCAACCCAAGCATCAATTGAACAGACGCCGGGTGTCATGTCCTTTGTGGTCTGCTACTGCGGCATCGTCTAGACCCAGACTACAGGGACTTATTTTTACTCCCATTGCCTGCTGCAGCCTCCCTCTAGCCCTGTACGCTCGGAAAGATCCCCCCAAAGCTCAGCTAACTACTTGAGCAAGCAGATGTCCCGGTGACACACGACACTCCCTTTGGATCTTCTCTCTTCACTCTCTAATTCTTTCCCCTGCCCGGCCTATTCTTTTTCTCTCTCCATTTTCTCATAGCCCTCATTTGACCCGTCGTAAGCATGGCGTGGAAACTGTTACCTTTTATATTACTATCGGTGCTTGGTGTGGTCAATGCAAGCACCCAGGCAAACGAGAATGATTTCGAGAACCACCCTAACACCAAGAGGGTGCCGGTATGTAGTTTGTCTGGCGCATCTGGTGGTATTGGAGGGTATGCGCTAATCAGTATCCCCTGTAGATGAGATCATTTAGTTTGGCCTCGGTACGTGCAGTCGACCCGGAGGGATGGCGCATAACCAGATCCTAGCTCCCCTGAGATAGAATGGTGTTTTGCTGACTGGAGGTCGCATTCGTGTCCGTCGACGGAACAGCCCTATCTAGATTCCGATATGTCGAATCGGTGGTTTGATTTTGGAGGAGACACCGTTATCCGTGCGGATCGGTACGTTTGGCTCGCGCAAGGGACCTTAGCTAAAGGACGAGGAGCAGAATACTGATATACGCAGATACATCCGATTAACCGCCGACCGACCATCCCAGAGTGGTTGGATCTTCTCTCGCGTACCTCTCACAGCAACCAACTGGCAGGTGGGTAGTTCCTAGCCTCTCGAATATTGGACCTGCGTCCTAATATATGGCTGTACAGATTGAGGTTGACTTTGCCATCAATGGCGAGGGAACTCTCCACGGCGACGGCATGGCCCTTTGGCTTACCGAAGGTCGCGCGAACCAGGGTCCAGTGTTTGGATCTGCGGACAGATTCAAGGGCCTAGGCATATTTATCGATACCTATAAGAACGGTCGGCAAGGAATGACTTTTCCGCTGGTTATGGCCATGCTTGGTGACGGGAATACTCCATACGACCAGGCCAGAGATGGCCAGGCCAATGAGCTTGCATCGTGCTCGGTACGGTAGTGACTTATTCCTATTTTTTTCAGAGACATATTCCTCTAACCAACTGTCCGTTCTAGGCTCGTGGAATCCGCGGCTCCTCCTACCCAACGAAGCTCCGTCTTACTTACTTCCAGGATAAGTACCTAGCTCTGGACCTACAGTACAAGTCAGACATGGCCTGGACCTCGTGCTTCAAGATTCAATCCAGGCCTGAGTCCCCGATTAATCTTCCTGCCGCCTCCTATCTTGGTTTCAGTGCCGAAACTGGCGAACTAAGTGATACCCATGATATCCTAGAAGTCGATGTATACTCTCTTTACACTAAACAAGGAAGTGACAGCACCGGTCCCGGCCAGATGGCCCAGTCTGCTAACCAGAGAAACGCCCAGAGGGAGCATTCATACCATGCTGCAAAAGGTGGCGGCAGTTGGCTATGGTTCTTCTTCAAGGTCATATTATTCTTCGTGGTTGTCATTGGAGGATACGTTGGATGGACTGCTTATCGCGCCGCTGTCAGCAGGCGGTTCTAAATTGGATATCGCCTCTATTATCATACAGTCGACATAATCACCTACTACGCCCAGTTACCTAAACCTCCTTCCATTTATTTCCCTCCTCTTGGATACACACCTATACTCCGCCTATGTGTTCTTAGGCTCCATAAAATCTCTCTGTTTCAAGGCAGGCATTCATTGTTATCATTTAGGCTTCGTACAAGCGGTTTCTTTCCTACTACTGTTCTTATCTTTCTCTAATTACTCTCTACCCGTGGCTGATAAAGTTAAAATGGACGTACGATGATGCTGATATAGTGGTCAAAAGGTGCATTGCATTTACCTCTCAGTTTTAGACGTAAATTGTGTCTAAAATGTCATAGTAGAATAACCATGTCATCGTCTTGCTTGCTCTTCCACCCATATCCGATCTAAAATCTGGAATACTTCGGTGGCACCCTTGATTATATTATCATCAACTCCCAAGACTCCGTATCTATGCCGTATTTTGTCAGGATGCCATCTCACACGCTCCAGCTTCAAAACAGCCAGCATATTAGAGTGCCTTGATGTTCTAGAACTGGTGTTTTCGAGTCCAGAACTACCATTCGGAACCGGAGCGTTGCTTAGAAACTGCCTCACAGAATCTATATTCACGTCCTTCCGCTTGCCGGATTCAACAGGCCAAACCAGCACATTACGAAGAGCATCACCAGGATTAGTAGAAGCTTGACCTTCTTGTGCACGCATATTCAAATTCTCCCAGCAGTCAAGATACCGTTTCCAGATATCAAGCCAGGTGTTTGCCTGTTCTTTTCTCGACTTCCTCTCCTTTCCGCGCTTCAGGCTTTCTTCCACCATCCTATCAAACGCTTCACGCTCAGTTTCTGCTCTGCCGGTATGCCTTCCGTACGCTTTGGCCTGTTCCCTTTCAGCTTCACGTATCTTTCTCCGTCGTTCTCTTTCTTCTAGTAACCCCTGGTGAGTCTTCTCCCACATACGTGCCCTAACATAGGCAGCGTATTCATCATCGGTCATCTTTTCAAGCTCTCCCCTCTCATCCGGTCTAGCATAGGTATGTATCGGCTGGCCATACACTGCCTGCCAATAATCCGCTCCTTCGTCATCAGCAAGTGCGTCGAACAATGACTCACGAAAGGCCGTATTAGGTGAAACGGGAGGTGACCGATACTCCTCTGGTTCTGGTTCCGGTTCAGGATCCTTGCGATGACGGCGGCGACGGTGTCGATGGTGATGGTGTCTGTGTCTGCTGCTCCCATCATGGTCGTCTTCCTCGCGGGATCGTTTCTTATCGTGGGATCTCCGGCTGGATGAATGTTTAGATTTCAGCCGGACCTTACCGGGCCGTGATGCCCGGTACTCATCACCCTTAGGAATAGTATCAGCTCCATCCGTAGGCTTATCGTCGCCGTGGACCTCGCTTTGGGATGTGGTTGGATCCATCACGGGGACCATCAGAGGTTGTAAGCCTTATGAAGGTGGCTTCGGCAAAGAACGGCCGTCAGTGTCATCTATCATCGCGACAGAAGGACCGGGAATAAAGAAAGGAGCCACAAGTTTGGTATCCCCAGTCATGATAGCATCTTTGTATCTTGTGTTGTTCTTTTGTCGTTGTTTTCTCGACCAAAAATTAAAGATCTGGAAAGTGACACGTGATGCGGCTCAACTGAAGCTTTATCCACTTGCAGCTTTCGACTTTCTGACAACATCGACGACGTCGACACAACCGCAACAGCTGTGGCATAGCATTTACGATGGCTTTGGTTACATATTCAGACTCAGAAGGCGACTCTGATACCGAGACAAAACCCGTTGAGCAGCCTAAAGCGCCCCGCCAGGCTCCAAGCTCAAGCTCCAAACCCGCGTTCAAGCCGCTGGTTGACCGTGGCAACCCCAGAAAAATCCTTGTGAACCTCTCGGAAGCCAAACCCAGCGACGGAACGGATTCAGGGCAGGATAAGGAAGATGGCCCTGCGAGGAAACGGCTTCGTACTGAAGGAGGTGGGCTATTCTCCGGATTTAACGACATGCTCCCTGCACCAAAAAGATCCGCGCAGAAACCAGTCGATAAGTCACAGGCCGCGGTCAAGAAATCAATGCCTTTTACTTTGAAGACAAGTGCAGAGCCTGGTTTTGACCGCAGCGAGAGATCGGATAGCTTCAATATGTCTTATGATGAGTTCGGCAAACCGTCCAGCAGCCAGGATACTGCACAAACTCCATCGGAAGAGGCCTCTCGAACGCCCATGCCAGAGCCGGTGTTTGAGAAAAAAGGGAACGCGATGATGTTTAAACCGCTATCCGTGGCTAGAAATAAACCAAAAAGGAAGACGACGGCAGCCGCGCAGCCTGTTTCGACTCCGAAAGCACGGGCTGAAAACCCTCAGCCTCCCGTACAGCCAGAAGCAAGACCAGAAACGAAACAAAAAGTGAGCCTCTTTGGGCTTTCCAGTGGCACCGAAAGCAACCCATCAACCGACATCACTGCTCAAGATGGACCATACGAATCTATACTTTATTCAACGTCGTCAGAGCCATTAGGGGCACCCGAAACTGAAGTGCCAGATGATTCAACAGTCACAACGACCGCAGCTTACAACAATTCACCCGCACCTGCGGCCTCCAGTGGGCCACAAGATCTAGCCAGTGTTGCTAGTGATCTCAACCTTTCGAAATCGCAGATGCGACAGCTGCTAGGACGTGATCTAAAAGGTGCTTCTAGTAAAGTCATTAACTTCAACACGGATGAAGAGTACAAGTCCAACTCTGCCTATCTGGCCAACACATCCGAAGCCGAGCTCGCTGCTCAACAACATAGACCTGTTAGGACTGTTGCACCTGGAAAGCACAGCCTGCACCAGCTCGTCAATGCAGTGGCCAGCCAGGGCGATGCACTGGAGGAGAGCTTTGCTACCGGGAAGCGGAACAAGAAAGAGGCGAGCGCAAAGTATGGGTGGTAGAGTTAGATGCGAAATAACTAAGCTGTGTGTAGTGTATCCAATATCTGGATAAGCCTTTACACCTCGGAATAACTAACTTACTACCTAGTCGCCACATCTATCAAACGCTGGTATTAGCTGTTTTGGCGGCTGCCCCAGTCCGCTTCTAGAAAAATAGACCATGCTACGTCGCTGATCCCCGCTCGCAGAGCAGATGCAAGATGCCGCGGGATCGAGCTGCGTATCGAAATGTCCGCCTTTATGACGCCTCCACTGGCGCCCTCATTGGAGGTTTTTATCAGAATGGCGCAATTACTGAGGAAAATCTCATCTGGATTCTGAGAAACGTGCTTTTAGCCACGCAGGATGCAAATACGTGGACTATTCAGCAAAAAACCTCTGGAGAAACCGTTACACCTTCCAGCGAGCCAGTGAGGCCTGGAGACTATGACATCCATTCAACAGGTACAGGCTTCTTTCTGGCTTCTGGATTCTGAAATCCGCCGTTAGTATTATAATACTGAGCTTAATATATATATAGGACCGATCCAGGTAACCGGTGAGCCGTGGTTTGCCAGGATCGCTAGCCACTCCGTCTCCGGCGGGGAGGACCAGTTCCGCGATGGTGTTCGTGCTCGAGACGGCCGGTGCGTGATATCTGGGCGGATCAATCGCGGGGCGGAGTGGGACGACTGGGCAGGACTAGAGTCTGCCCATGTGTTCCCCCTGGAGAAGGAGAGTCTCTGGGTGCAGCTAGGCTACGGGCGTTGGATCACCAACATGGACGATGCTTCGGCAGAGCATAAAATCAAATCTGTTCAGAATGGACTTCTCATGTCGGCGCATTTTCACACGCGCTTTGATCAATATTTGTTCTCAATAAACCCAGATGTAAGTGTTTTTTGATGCCCAAACGCATTTTTGCTATACTGATATATCAAAGGATGGCTATAAAATTGTCGAGTTCGCATTGGACAGCTGGGGGATTGATGGCCGGACGTTGGATCCCGTTTGCCGTCATCCAGCCACTACAGATCGTGTATCAGATGAGCTGCTCCGCTGGCACTTCCGACAGGCCGTCCTTGCCAATATGCGCGGGGCGGGAGAGCCTATTTTTGAATCCGACTTCCCTCCTGGATCCGATATGATGGCAACATTGCGCGATGAGCTGTATGGCAAGGAGAGATTCGAGATGGAGCTTGAGTCAAGACTACGACCTGGAACCACAAACAGCTAGCGGAACTGTTGAACTCCCCGCTCCCTTGTGTCCCTCCATTTTTTTCTTCCTTCCCTTCTTTTTCTTTTTCTTTTTCCTTTCTTTTCTTTTTAATGATGAGCAAGGATGAAGCAGACTTATTAGTTATTATCCCTGCTTTGGACTTGAGAAAATATTCACTGCCCCTCGATGACCCTTCCATACATCATAACAAGTGACACACCATACCTGTAAACTAGCTGAACAGCCGTCAAAATGACCGTCAACACCCAAGTGATACTAGACTACACACTGAACGACCTCTACTCCCTCGACAACGATGGATCCCCTATTCCAGCTCTCGTTCTTGACTCCCAGCCAGTGGAGGACTACGCCATGGTGCCGTCTGCCAAATACGTCTACCACCTGGCAGCACAAGAAGGCTCAGACAAGATGTTGATCCTGTTAACGAGGAGCCAGACTGAGCGGCGTGTGTTTCTGGCTGGCAAAATGCCAGTCTTTATTGTGGACTTTGCATACTCGCAGCAGCATCCAGACAGCCAGACTATGCCAGCGGATAAAGCTGATGTGTACAGACATTTTTCAAAGATGAGGCCTGACCAGCAGCCTGCTCTCAAGTTCGTGCAGAGAGCCGACCAGATCAGTGTACCGCCGAACGTACCTGTGGCAGTAGTGGTTCCAATTGACCTGTTTGCCGCTCTGCCTCATGTCCTCGACCCAGATGTGCATTTCTGCATCCTAGCAAAGCGAGGACTGGCAGTTTCGGGGCTGCCTACACCCCCATCCACCGTTGTAGACGTGGCTCTCCCACTGGACCAGCTGCAGGATGAGACCAAGATGGGACAGGAGATTTCACGCATGCTGGAACTTATCGACACTTACAATACCCCGTTTGTAGTGAAGCTACCCCAGTCAGTGGCGGCGATGGGTACTTTTGCAATACGTTCGGACGATGATAGAGAGCGGGTAAAGGCCATACTCAGCACCCATATGCGTCTTATGCTAAGGCAGATCAACGCTGCCAACTATCATCTCAACCCTTGCTCTCTGATCTTCCAGAACTTCGTTTCAGGGACAGAGGTAGCCTTGTCATTTTTTGTCACCCAGACCGGACGTTGCATCTTTGTTGGATGCTTTGATCAGGAATTTGATAAACAGGGGCGCTGGACAGGGGGCTCGATTTCGTATCCTGACCAGCCAGCTTTGGAGGAGAAATATGCAACCACCATGGAGAAGACTGCCAAATTCCTGCATGAAAAGGGGTACTATGGGCCTGCAGGAGTCGATGTCCTGACAGATAGCCAAGGGAATCAATACATCGTGGATCTCAATGTTCGCCTAACAGGGCTCTGCCATCTGGGCTTCCTTAAGGGCCATTTCACCAGTAGAGGACTTGACGTGGCCTCAACAGTGACAGGATTTTTTACCTGCTCTCGAGAGAAAATTGAAGAGATATTTTGCAATGAATTTCAAATGGGGAGCCTTGTCATCATTTCCTGGTCGTATGATGACTCGATGAAACTGAGCTGTGGCGCAATTGGCGTTGGAGGGAAGACGGCTTCGGATATAGAGCGGCTGGCGGCTAGAATGCACGAGTACACCACTCCGGGAGGCCATTGTTAGAATATTACGTTGACTAGAGTCATGGATTAACAGCACCTATGGTCAATAGAATAGTAACTAAATTCTTGAATACCGGTTGAATATTTTTCTATAGCTAACAATACGCTATGATACAAAAAAGGGGAATATGTCTAGACTTTTATGAAGATATTTCCACCACCTCTGCAAACCATTGCTTCAACGCCAAAGACAAAACAGCCGGTAACTCCTGAACATTCCTCACAACCAAGTAATAAGGGAAAGGAAACCCATCTAGATACTTTTTCATCTTCCACTTTCCTTCTCCAGGCCCTGATCCGCTGGGCTCGAAGGTTGCCTGGGAGAGGTTCATGATCGAACGGCTCTCCTCCTGAACTGCATCAACAATGACAAAAACAACCATTATACGCTCTTCATGCGCCTGGCGGACAAGGCGAGCAATTCTGTCATGATCCTCGCAAACACCATCGGATATAATCAATTCCAATTGCCACAGGTCTCCCGAAGTCGATGAAGATGGCCGTTTAGCTCTAGCCTCGCGGAAAAGGGTAATAGAATCGGCAATAAGTTGTCGTACATTTGTGCCTGTTTGTTTGTAGCTGAAGTGCTGGAATACCTGCGACCCGGCTTCTGAAGAGAACGGCTTTCCAAAGTCATGAGCAACACGGATGTGTTCCTCGTTTCCAAAGCTGACAATGCAAAGATCACCGGTCTCAAGCATGCTCAAACTCCTTGCAACCAAAGCGAGAGTTTGGAATGCAAGCTGGCCACTCGAACCTTCAAGCATGGACTTGCTGTCGTCTACCGCAAGCATGATCTGGTAATTCCGCTTTGAAGGCACGGATCGACGCATCCATATTTTGTCACGCTTATACTGTGAGGCGATATAAGGGATGATGCGCTTTATATTCAGCCGCTTTCCTGTTCTGAAGTCTCCCCTGAGTTTGGTTGCCATTGTTGGCGCAAGGATAAGGCGTAGTTGTTCTGTTAAGGACAGGGAAAGCTCATGCGTAATAGACTCGTAATGAGTCCATAGTCGACGGGCTTCATCTGGAGGCGTCAGGGGAGCCAGGTCGGAGGATATATTAATGACGGAAAGATGGTTATCAACATCGTCAAGTTCGTCTTTCTCCTCTGCTGCAGCGCCTTCTTCCCCGTGAGAAGATTCCATACCAGTACCAGAGCGTGTTATGGAGGTAGTAGGTTGTTGTTGGTCATTCGACGCAAGCGGCGCATCAACATCCATCAGGTCCTCAAGGCTGTTGATATTGCTGTTGTCTTCTACCTCTTGTGCATCCGGTAGGTATTCGTTATCCTGGGGCTTAAAGTCAGATTCTATTGCCTGGGATTGGTTCATTGCTTGAGACTGCTCCTCGTTTGCCTGACCGAGTGCCTGGGTATCTGCAGTATCCTGCTCATCGGCTAGATGCTCGAAGTCAACATCCTTCTCAGCTATATCCTGCTCCTGAACTTGTTCGTTATCTTTCTCAGAAGCCTCCAGTATTTCGCGATGAGACCTATGCCATTGTTCAAGGATATCACCGAGCTTCTTGAATGACTGGAGCTGTGGATCTTGTTTCTCATTATTGCCTCCATCACCGGCTTCTTGACTCGATTGCTTCCCCTGTTGGCCTTGCTCTTCAACCCCTTTGCCCTCTCCTTCACCATCCTCCTCCATATTCTCCGTCGGCTGATTGAAGGCTGCATCTCCGGATGTACCCTTTTCATTGCTCTGATCTTGCTGGACACCCGCTGAAACCTGCTCGCTAGGCGCTGTATTGTCAGGATCGGCCTTTTGTTGCTCATCTTCCACAGGTATTATCTCCTCTTTATCTTCTTCTTCGCCGGCATCTGGCTGAGGTTCGGGGTCTGGTTCGCCAGTCTCTTCCTCCCGCTGGCCGTCTTCATCAGCGTTATCATCCGGGTTCTCTGCAATATCAACGTCAGGGCTTTCCGGCCTGGTATCCCTTTTTTCTTCATTGGTATCTGGAATATCATCTTGGTTGGCAGTCTCTTCCATGGATATCTCGCTCATACCATCGTCTGCATCAGAGCTTTCATCCTCCTTTTTCTCACCATCCAGGTCCATGTCTTCTGGTAAATCAAGGACATCATTTTCCTGGGCGTACGGATCAGTCACATCCATATCTTCGCGGCCAGCACCCTCTTTCTCATCTTCAGGGGCTTCCTCGTCACTTTCAGTAGTTTCATGTCCCTCATCAGCCTCCTTTTTCGCAGACTCATCTTCCTTGCGCTGCTCGGTAGCGGCAGACATATCTTCTGCTTTCTTGTCTCCTTTACTCTCATTGTTCTCGGTGTCTTTCTGATCCTTATCATTCGCACCGTCCCACATCTTCTCATCTACGGCTGAAGGGTCCCAGTCGTCAACACTTCCAACTTCTTCGTCCAGGTCATCTTCTTCTCCTTCATCTGCATCCGACTTGTCCTTTTCCTCTTCCTCATTATCCTTGGAATAATCGCCCTCTTGACCCTCCAGATCCTCGTTGTCCATGTTTACCGCATCGTCTGTTCCTTCAATATCTTCTTTTTCTGCATCTTCTTGCTTTTGCTGGGCGAGTTCCGAAAGGTCCTCATCGTCTTGAACATCTTTGCTTATGTCCTCTGCGCCTTCGCCCTCACCAAGGCCAGTACCGCTCTCCACTTTATCACTTTGCTGGCCTTGCTGGTCTGAGGGTTCAGAAGGACTGCAAAATCCTTCTGATGCGATCTGCTTGAACGATTTACCTAAAGTATATCCCAGTTTGCACACTGAATGGTGGAAGGCGGCATACCGATTAACAAGGTCCAGGCAGATAGTTTGATATTGCTCCAATATTGGTATGCTGATATTGAGCCCAGCGATGGCAACATTAAGCTCACGAGTATCAGAAATCTTTCTAACCACATCAAATACCGATTTCAATTTAGATGAAATATCGTCAATGTGGAGTTCGGAGAGGGACCTAGAGAACGAGGTATCGGTTTTGGATAGCCATGTAGGGCCCTCCGCTGAGATGGGAGCACTGGCAAGGGCGCTCTGAACTCTTTGTAATGCAACAAGTATGGCATCCATTACAACAAGCAGAGACGAATCCACATCATTTATGGAGGAAACAGACAGTTTATCGGCCTGCGGTTCTAGAGCACCATGGGAGTCACATTCCGCCCAAAACAGAAGCTGATTGAGAGCAAAGGCAATCTCGGGCTGAGACTTCATATGGGCCAGGATTCCAGATTTCATACTGGCCATAAAACATTCAGCGTCAAGAATTATACTCTTATGAGAGTTGGAAGCTAATCCATCAGGAAGAGCCGGAAGGTTGATGAGGCGGTTCTGTAAGGATGCTGCAGATTCCGCCCATAAGCCCAAGGATGCAAGGACTGCTGAGGAGTCGATAGAGGAGTGACTCCGATGGATGTTGATAATCGTTAAGGACAGTTCAATGATAGTCGGCAGCCATCTAAGTGCTCGATATATCGTGTGCAGAGCGTTAGACGACCTTTCACTGGAAAGTGTACTCACTGTTGAACTGCTCGTAATTGCTGTGGCCAGTTTGACATTGTTAACTAGAGACACAACTGAGGCCAACATCGGAGAGAGTGTTTCCCTCTGCTTCATCATCTGGTAAAGAAATCCTTCTGTAAATCCAGCACTTCGAGCAGCTTCAACATTGCTCAAGTCTTCAGAGTAGTTTCGTGCCGCTTGACGGATGCTTGGGACTATGTGAAGGAAGCGGTGGAAGTACTTTTCTGCGGTAACGGACAAGGGAGCCAGGTCAGGGGCGCAGAATCCCGGCGTAGTAGCGAGAACCAAGCTAACGGAGCTCTGCTTATCGAGTAAGTCTGTTCCAAGATTCGATCTAAGGCCCATATGACGCAGCTCCTTCAGCTTTGCAGCATAGAAGCTTCGTTTTTGAGTCTTAAGATGTTGGACCTCATCTTTGTTCTCTTCCGTCAGGGTTTTGGGAGTTCTCTTTTTAAAGTCGGAAATGGATGAAACCACGTCAGTCATTATGGCTTCAAGTTCGGTGGTAGCCTGGAACTCTGGTAAGGAGCCTTCATAAACCTGGTGCATATGTTTAGCTGTAGAATCAGGGGCTTGGAATCGGGCAGGTCGTTGGCTCCATAGCCCCGAATTTTGCTGGTAAACGCTTAATGCAGCAGGATTCACAGCCTTGGGTGGAAGAGACTGAGAGAACGCTGTATCCTCATTATCCGAAGTGGACTCAGGGATTTCTCTTGCAAGAAGCTCTTCACAAGATTGTGCTAGGAGAGTACGATACTTCCTGATGATTTTGAACAATTTGTGGTGAGAACGACGGGCACTTTCACGAAGTGCTGTGATATTCGTATCTTTCCAGCTTGCCAGTTGAACTTGTTCCTTTAATTCCTTTTCCAGTTTCTGCCGTCCATCTTTTAGGGAACTTTGGACCGAAGACATGAAAGGCCCATAGTGGTCAAGAAGATTCTTAAGAGCCGAAACTACCTTACCCAAGGTCGGAAGCTCAGGAAGATAAAGCATAAGGAGTTGCCTGAACTTGTCGATAAGATCAACCCGGGACGAGAACTGCCCCATGGATGTAGCATGTAGGAATTTCTCCAGTGTCAACAGGAGGTCTGATATATGACTGTCCAAGGGCTGGTTGTCTTGTATCAACTGTAGCGGGACTGCCACAATGACCTCGTATGCCATATACCACCAAGATGCCGCTTGCTCCAGACATTTCTCGTCTTCCACATCGAGCAAACGGGACCAGGTAGATAGCTCAAGGCGTCTCCAGTGAATCAGCATCGAGGTCAGGTCATTGTAGCAGTCGGCTGCAGAAAATTCTTTGCTCGCAACCGTTTGCCATTCATGTACATGTCCATGAAGTTTCTCAGCCATAGTTATAAACTTAGCAATGGGCTCCCTATGCTGGAACTTGAAGATTTTAGAGCACCATTCAACAACATCGGCAAGGGTTGCATGTTCAGGCCAGGATTCTTGTAGCTGCAAAAAGCGAACTTGCACCTTCTGGACAAGAGAAGCAAACTTATTCACTTCCTCTATATTGGCATCAGTATAAAAGTTGTAGTTGGCAACTTTGCTTGGTCGATGAACATCTTCCATGAGCAAGAAAATGGGACCGAGATGGAATTTTAGATCGACCGGTGGTATCGTCACCCCTGACTTACGCGATATTAACCCTAACAAGCGAAGGCCTTCACTGATCACATTTCTTAGACGGGAAGCCCTATTATCAGGCACAAAGAGGCTCCTGAAGGCCGTGAATAGTTTCATACGAAGCTTGTCAGCATGAGGCTCAGTATTTGCAGTTTCGTTGCCGGGCTCGTCTTGGTTATCATAAGTAGGGAACATCTGGAGAATTTCTGCGGATTCTGACTCCTTGTCGTCCTCAAAGGATCCTCTGTAATGATAGAACTTGGATTTCTCTGCTTCGAGAGACTGGTCCTTCTCCAGTTTCTCTTTCCATGAGGAATATGCTCGATCGAGAATACCATGTAAAATTTCTTTCTGGGAAGGCTTAGATAGAGTCTGGCTGTCAATGTTTTGAGCGGCGCCTAGTAGTAGCAACCTCTGAACATCTATCTCTGCCGTTGTGGCTTGGGACCCTTTAGCGGGAGACGGCCATGCAAGCGATAGATCTGGTAATTTTCCTCCTAAGAAAGGGGTTGTTCCGCATATATATTGGATAATGGGAGAAGACCGGGTCGAAGACGCAGTACTGTGACGGATCAACTCAATCCCCTGATCCAGGAGCTGGAGAAATCTAACTGGTAAGATCGTCATGTCCTCATAGCCCGGGCAGTTCTCGGAAAGACGACGGGTGATTTGACGAATATTGAGCTGGAGCAATGTTCCCGGTGCTTGGAAAGAGGCGTCCTTAGAAATTGACTCCGCAAGGGGCGCTTGAGAGGCTGAGAGGATATATTCAATTGGCTGATTCAAGACAGAGGTGAGAATGCTGCTAAACTGGGCTTGCACTTCATTCAGTTTTGATATCTCAGGGCGGACCACTGGAGTATTCGGGGGTGCAGATCCGAGACGAGCAAGATCTTCTCTTGCAGCTTGAATTCGTAAGCTTGATGTCTGCCCAGAAAACAAATGCTCACATGCCTGGAGGCACTCCAACCTCGTAGTCATCTCATGCTGTCTATGCAAATGGAGCTTATGCTCAACAGCAAGATGCAATGATGGATCGAATGGTCGGTTTGGAACGTAGCAATGCAGGAGTATAAGGGATAGCCTGACTAAAAGCTCCCCAAGTCGACCGATAGCCTCCTCATTAGCTTGCGGTGTACAGAGCTTTCGGAACAGGATAAAAATTTCACTCCCTAGAAGTTTGAAGACCAGATTATCTGATACCTCCGGATAAACTTGGACTGTGCAAATACCAGATTGTGAATCTTCAGACTCTCCTGTCTGAAGCTGCCGCAAAATTTCCATAGATATATTCAGGGAGTCTGGTCCAAGCAAGTCTGCATGACACCGTATGAACTCCTTCGAAAGTTCCAAAAGCCAACGTCTAAGGATAGTAGACTGATGAGTAGAAAGCTGGCAGGTGTTTGCAGCTAGCCCCTGTAACAGGAGGCTAATTTCTGATCCTAGAAGATCCATCTGTCCAAGAGGCACCTGGTTGATATCTTCAACTGTCTTGACCAGAGAGCATGAAATACCCCCAAGCAACGCCAATGGGCCACAGTGAGAATTTTCGCTTCCTAGGTACTGGGTAAGTTTAGAGAGTAATCCGGGGGCCGCACTGCCAATTACTGATGTGTCGCTGGGACGAGACTCTCTTCTAGCCAGGAGCTTGATAGACCCAGGAAGTGGAGCACGAGGCAAGACCTTGTCTTCTGTTAGATCATTATATTGGCACAATGCTTCAAATTCTGTAGCAAAGTGAGGAGAGTTATAAGAATCCGATTTCGAAGATTGGGCCTCGAAACGAGATATTGTTGTGTTCAATTCCTAGAAAACTACCAGTAAGATATGAGAAGATGCATGAAGAATAATACTGGTAACTTACGGGAAGTAGGGCTGTGCTATTCGCACCCCGTAAAATTGAGGTTTGGGCGTGAATAAATAGGTCATAAAGCCGCCCTAGTTCATGAACAGGCACTCGTGACTTCAATGCTACCTGATCGTATCTCGTCCGAAGTTCTCGGAACTGCATCCCCTGTTCTAATTGACTGGGGTCAGTGGGTGTTGCAGGGCGCCATGAATTCCATATACGTTGCATGCTCTTTCCGCTGCCCAACTCCCAGTTAGCATTGAAAGAGGCCAGAAGTTCTTTGAACTGGTCCACCAGTTTGAGCTGAAGATGCTCAAATTCACCACAGATATTCTTTCCAATGAGAAGGTATGTCAAAAAGGTAGCATCGTCCAAGAGCTCGCATTGGGTTAATTCAAAGCTATCCCAGCAAAAATTCAAAATATCTTCGACCAGCTGAGGGGCCTTGTCGGGGCAGGATTCCAAGGTCAGTGACTCTAAACACTCACTGACTGCATTGCAACAGCCATAGAGGAAACGGCCAATTGGCTGTGTCGAGTCTTTCAGGTGAGACTGTATAGTCCCCGAAGTGATAGATCGTTCTACGAGAGTCATTTCCGCTGACTTCTTGCCCCTTGCAGCAGATTCCACGTGCAAAAGTTGCTGATAAAACTGGACAGTTTGTAGCTGAAGTTCTTGCAGCTTTGCCGCCTGTAAAAGTTTCTCTCGATAGTTCTCTACTGGGAGCGAGAACACAAGTCGTGGTTCATTTATAAGGGGGTGGATGGGCTAAGAAAACGTTAACAGGGTATCTATAAATAGGGCAAGGAATACGGACCTCATTCTTTTCTAGGCTGTTGACATGTTGGTAGGCAAGAGTTCCATCAGATCCAGGGCCTACCAATCGTCCAACCAGCGCATTGCGACACAGGAGAGTGTTATAGCTCTCAAACAGACATTCTGCCTTTTCAGGAGTCACAGGTGAGGCCTTAGACCACAGCTGGGCGACCTGTTTGATAGAGTGCTGAAGACAAGCCACGTCCTGTGGCGATAGATGATCAAGGCCAAACCCAAGAGATTTGGAATCCCTCTCAAGGGGCTTAGGGAAACAAACCAAATTGTGACACTCCCGAATACGATATATGGCAGATTCATTCAAGTACCTTGTGCCAGTCAAACAAGACCGGTTTACTTCGTCCTCTTTGAGAAAGAAAATTTCGACAGATCTGTTTCGCATGGCTCTAGACAGTTCGCCATGTCGAGGGTCAACTGTTAAGAACAATCGGAAATCAGGGTGCGGTGTGATCACCTGGGCAAGGCCATCGGGAGACTTGCGCTCATTCACGATAAGGCACCCATTTGGCTCCAAAAGAGAATTTAACCTGTCTAAAACAGTGGCATTGCAAAGATTGGCGTTATCAAGTACCACCCAGCTGCCTTGTTTCATAGCATGAATCAGAATACCCTCAGTCCACTCGAATCCGGTTTCTCCTGCTGCTTCATCGACACAAATTTGCTTGCATTGCTCAAGAATATCCTGGAATATTGTGTCCGAGTGACGTTGAGCCAGTTTGGAGAGGGGACCTAAGAGCTCTTGCGGGCTGAAAGAGCTGTCCATCGTCATTTGGTAGAGCTGTATCAACTCTGGACCTAAGGCTGCACTGCTATCCTCTGCATGGGAGAATGAGATGACAATATGGTATCTTAAAAGGCGAATTAGTTCACTTGCGAATGAAAGATATTGCCGGTGTCTGTCTCTTTGCTCAAAGCCACCAATGAGATCCATGGCATCTGTATCGGAATTCAGAGCAAGCTCAACAAGTTTAGCGCCGCTTAGAGCAGCAAGTCGTCTTATACTTGAAGTCTTTCCACACCCAGATGGCCCGACTAGAAGGCACGGCCATGCATTCTCTATGCAGAGCATCATAGACTCAACTAGATGCAAGCTGCGAGGGAAGTCTTTCGAATCATTGACTGAAAATTCATACAACTGTTGATTGCGGTCCATCTTTCCCAGACCAACCTGGTATGAGTAAGGGCTGAGATTGTGGAAGTAGTTTTTCGTGTCGGGGACCGTTCCGAATATATCATGATATAGTTGAGAAACTAATAGTCTATCGGGAGCAGTCCTGAATCTGTGTGAAATGACCACATCAAGGTATTGCGAAGGTGATATCTCAGCAGGGCTAGAAGTAAGCAATTTGAGCCAGCGAGAGATATCTCGAAGGTTAACCTCCCAAGGGGCCCCAACAGCTCCAAGCCGACGATCAGTGAGTAGCTTTGTATTCAGCATAGTAACAAAATCAACTAGTTTGATGATTTTGTCTTCCGGGCACGCTGGGCTTAACCTCCGACAAATAATTTGCAGGTCATGAGAGGTAAATGAGTCCGCATAAACAACAGTAAATCGATTGACGAAAGACGCTGGAAGGCCCTTTCTCCCACCTCCTTGATGATGGGGGTTCTGCGCAGCAAAGAGAACGAAATCAGGGTGCCGTTGGAACGTTTGGCCAAGTTCAGCGATATAAACTTGCTGCCGGTGGTCTAAACAAGAATTCAGTCCTTCAAGCACAGATTGTGAGGCTAGATTCATTTCATCTAACAAAACCCATCCGCCGTGTTGCATTGCACGCAAAAACGGTGCATCGCTCCATGCAAAGCTACCTATATCACCTCCATCAACGGGTACGTCTGATCCAAACAGATCCGTTAAATCAGTCTGCTCCGACAAGTTTATTCGAGTAAGTGGAACCCCAATAACCTGGGCTAGCGCTGCAACAAGTGTGGTCTTCCCAACTCCAGGGCTTCCTTCCAACAGAATAGGTTTGCTCGACTGGAGGCCACGGGCAACACGGATTGTGTTGCGTAAAGTTGTAGGTGCATCAAGTGCGAACTTGGAATCTGGGTTCGAGTTAGTTCCAAGAGGCAATGAGAATTGACCAATTTTCAAAGTATGCCCGTCCAGTTGCATACTGGAGTTCTGACTATATATTGATAGAGCGTCAACCGAGAATAGCTCCCCAAGTTTCTCCAAGGATGATTGCCTGTCCCTCTCAAGGTCACCAGAGGTAGATGCTAGCAATGCAGATGGATTTGCGCCAAGGCCATCAATATAGACCAGACAGGCCCCATGTATCACGGCAGATTGGTCATTCAGTTGAGTACAAGAGTTGATAAATTGTGCCCAAGCCAGTAAGTCACGGACCGATATCGAGGATTGTGCCGAACCTCGGAACTTATCCTTGAACCATTTTGCAAAGGATACCATCCCTTGAGGTACATTACGCAGGGATGGTTTGACGTTCGCTTCCAAGATTGGCAATATGTCATCATCCTCTAGAAGTTCTGGAACCCAAATCTCTGTCAATCGATTCCTCAATGCAGCAGAAAGCTCTCGTTTTCCATAATCACCTCCAGGGTTCATAGTACCAAGGAATTGAAAGCCATCAGCAGCAGTAACAAGAGAGTCCACGGGGCCTTTCTCGGCCAGCAGCACGGTCTTTGTAGTCTCTAGTACGCTGTTAAGCCGCTCAAGGACAGAATCGTCTGCGAGAGACAACTCATCAAGGAGAAAATGCTGTCCCGTTTTCATGGCTGTCACTAAACTCCCATCAGACCATTCAAAAAGGGAGTTTGCTCTTGTTATGTTGGTCTTAATTTTGTGAATAAGGTCTGGGTCACAGTGGCCGGAAGGCGACTTTTCAATGGCATAGAATGCACCCTTGAGGTCATCAAGGGATGAAAAAGGCCCGGTATGTACCTGGTGGGCTTGTTCTAAGGCCAAGGTTATGTCTCTCTCAAGCTGATGAATGATTGAGGAGCGATTCCTTATAGGTCTCTGGGAACCGATGAGGTCTCCTGTTTCCAGATTGACGTGGGCATTGACAATGAATAGCTCTTTGCCATAGACTTCTGCAATAGCCTGGCATATCTGAGTTTTACCACACCCAGTTTCTCCGACCAGAAGAACAGGCTCGTTATGCTCAACAGCTTCGGACACAAGTATGAAGAGCCTCCTCATAGCAGGTGTCCAAACGATATTGGATGGAACTGCCGCAGATAAATGCTTCAGACGTCTTTCAACAGCGGATTTACCGTATATTTCATTTTCATCCAGCTTCACACCCATGACTTTCTCTATCACCTTTTTCACAGCGCTCCTCTCCTGGCGATTCCTTACTCTTTCAGCAAGGAGCATAAAGCCATGCACAGCCAATTGTTCTCGGTCATCTGCGCGTCTCATTGCCCACCTGAAGAGATCACGAAGTGTCGCAAAACTGTTTCTCTGTTCAAAGAGTCGGTTTGATTGACGTAGGATAGACAGCTGTCGATATACAGAGACTATCCGGGTGCAGAATGATGGCGGGATTTGTGATCGTTCCTTCAATATAAACTCGAGCTCATCTTCAGGTATATCGTCAAAATGCAATTCAAGAAATCGATTCCTGAATGCACGAGACAACACCTTTCTTCCTCCATAAAGACCCGCGGGGTTTTGAGTAGCAAATAACATGAAGTTGGGGTGTGGGCGGACTACTTCTTGTGTTTCGGGGATGAAAAGCTCCCTATTGTCATCAAGTAGACGATTTAGAGCCTCCAGAACATCGGTTGGTGCAAGATTAAGCTCATCAAGCACAATCCAGTATCCTCGTTTCAAAGCCTCGACAAGGACTCCGTCCTGGTACTTTAAGGTGCCATCTTCAGAAGTAGCATAAGAACCTAGATATTCCTGAAGATCCGTGTGTTCATGATTATTGATCCTCACAAATCGGTTTCCAGAGAGTTTGGCCAAATGCTCAACCATACTGGTTTTTCCAGAAGAAGTTGGCCCCTGTAATAGTATGGGGAATCGCCGAGTTGAACTGGCTCTGACGAGATTCATAAGATTCCTTTCGATAAAGGGGGTAATAATGTAGTGGGGTTGGGACTCTGGTGGGAAATCACCCTTTTGCATCCAATAGTGTTTATACTGAACATATTCTGCTCCATCTTTGAACTCTCTGGGAGTCTGAGAAAGTATGGATCTTGCATTTCCAACTTTCCCAAATATATGTTTCTCCAGTAAAGGTATAACTTGACGTTCAGAATCCTTGCTCAAAAGTGTTAAAAAGCTCATGGAAAAACCCTCATATATAGCACGACGAACTCCGTATATATGCGCCTGATCGGTCACATACATCAAGGTACGGACAAGAGTACGGATGCTAAAATGGGGTTTATGTCCGGCTCCGTCAGTCAATTGATTCTCCATAGCTAAACGTTTCGTTTCGAGATAGATATTTGCAAGATCCGAGGCAACACGAGAATCATGATTCAGTAGGGGGCCAAGGTAGGTACGTATCAGACTCAACAGGTCATCTATGTCGCTGTCTGGGGATCTGACGTAGAGCTCTGTAAATCTTGATCTTAACCCAGGGGCAAGGTCACGCTTCCCTGCATCAGTGGCAGGGTTCATTGCTCCAAAGATCCGGAAATTTGGATGACCGATAACTCGTTCCATCTCTCCAGCCTCAGAGAGAAGCACTGAAGGATTGCCGTCGCGCCCATGGTGCAATAAACTCGCAATACTCTCCAAGGTATCAGGCGATGCAAGATTGATCTCATCCAGAAGCACCCATTCCCCATTCCTGAGGGCTTTCACAATCTTTCCCTGGACAAAGGCGAACGAAAATTTGGCATCTCCTTGCAAAACCCTGGCTTCAAACTCTCTGAAATCGGAGGTGAATGAAGACCATTTTGTTAACAATGAGCTATATTTGGGGCTATCAAGCTTTCTCTTTTTCGCTGGTTGTTCTGCAGCCTCTTTGATATCGGCTTGGGTCTTTTTGGAGGTACCAAATAAGTCAGAAACCATTTTGACAGCCTCATTTAGGACGTTGACAAGTCGTGGCCAATTCCCCGCAGTAACACTCTTTGCAACAGAAGATAGGAACTTCTGATTTTTCTTGACAGAGAATGTAGACTCAAACAAGGAATTGAACTCGTCCACGAGAGGTACTGCGATTGATCGAAGATTGACAGGCTTGTACCCACCCAGAAGGTCAGAAGCCTCGCTTTGTTGGGATAAATTGACAACTGTCAACTTCTGGTTTAAAAGCGATGCCAGTTGCTGGACAACTGCAGTTTTACCAATGCCAGTCTCTCCAACAAGTAGGATAGGTTCCGAAACTTGAAGGGCAGCAGCAGCCTGTTCCATTAGCCGTAAAGAACTCTTCGTTGCCGCAAATGACTTAGCTTGATTAGTCCTTGCCCCTGCCATACTCCGTGATTGAATCTTTGAGCAAACCTCCCTTCCAATCAATAATTCTGAAAGTTCATCGGAGTAATTGGGCACACGTTCTGATAAGCAAAATTTCCATTTTTGCGGGGAAATATGCATTTCTTCAGCAATACTGCTTGCAAGGGCCGAACGCAGTTCATTGTTTGGGATATGAGCTGCAAAACAGTCAACGGCGTCCATGAATATTTCATCATCAATCCGAGCTGGCACTGATTCGTTCCCGCTCTTGATCCCTAGCTTTTGTAAACGAGTCTCGACCCTGTTGCAAAATTTCATTAAGTCACGAAGGCCAATCGGCCTCCCTTGCACCCGTCTGGATGCCCCGGATCCAAGGAACGTGGATATAATTCGAGAGTATAGCGTTAAGAAAGTATCGGCGTATCGGGTAATGTTTAGTAAAGGGAATTCATTCTTGATTATTTGAGAGACCTCTTCGATGGGTAAAGGTGAGATCCGAATTGTATTCCACAGACGGCCGCCTAGCATCGTCATCCCTGGAGCCACATCATCCCCTCTGTTGTTTAAAAATGATCTCATGGTTGCAATGATGCGGAATCCTTCAGCACAACGGATGTGTTCTCGGCGACTCGGAATTACAAGTTCCCTGTTCTCAATCAAGGGTAAAATGACTGAAATCACTTCAGCAGGTGCGCGATCCAAGTCTTCGATTAAAATCCACCTTCCTTCCCTCGCAGCTTGGGTTAATACTCCCGGTTGCCATTTGAAACTGCCACTTTGTCCCGAAGTGGAGTAGACGCCTAATAAGCTCTTTGAATCCGTTTGCTCGTTTAAATGCAGGGTTATCATTGAGGACAAGTTGCCCATTTCACTTGCAGCTTCCATGACCAGAGATGTCTTCCCAGCTCCTGGTTGTCCAACAAGTAATAGAGGGTCTTGAGATAGAAGTGCTTCTCCCACCTTGCGAAGATTGGCTCTAACAGCAGGTGTCTGAACAAGCTTAAAGGCCTGGGAACTAATCTTCTGCCTCAGGGTAGGAACAAGAATGCCACCGATTTCGGCCGTATAATCTAATGACCTAAAATTCTTGATCCATAGATCAAAGAAGCTTCCATTGCGGTTTTGACGAGCTGTTTCTAGCGCTGTTTCAAGGTCTTTATATCTCTGTTCCTCCCAGAAGCCGATCAACCTGAAATCAATAAGCTGACCTGCCAAAGAATTGTCAAGAGGACCATCACCGCAATAACGGTGGAGCATGTTCTCCAAAACAGCATCTGCAGCCTTTATGTGCAGACAAAAACAGCGGACTGCCATACACCGTATGATCTTATTTGAATGGGAGAACAGAGCTTGAAGCTGGTTAGGAAACACAAATGGCGAAAATGTGTCCGCGTCGAAACTTAACAGCCGAAAAGCTGAGAGTAGTAATGAGAGAAGAGATCCGTCAGTGATATGTGAAATATCTGAGGGACATTGCTCAGAGAATAATGGCAAGCCCACATTCTTGGCTTGAAGAACCCTTTCAGCAAGCGGTCGTAGATATGGAGAATGGGGCAAAATCAGTGAAAATGCCGATATTACATGTTCAAAATGAACAGTCATGTCCAGTAAGAGCCACCGAGCAGCAATATCCACAAACGCCGGCTCTAGTAATGGGAATAGTGTAGCTGTATAGCTCGGGTCTAGAGCTGCCAGAACCAGTTGATCCTGCTGGGTATTGGCTGGAGCTTCGAGAATCGATTGTGCTAGCTCCTCTGGTAGTTGATGTAAAAGACCGGGCTCTATCGAGAACTCCGGCACGGCTGGTAAAGTCTCCATTTTCGAGGGACTCTACGCAGCGCGGCGTTTTCTCCTGTAGATACAGGACGTTTGGTGTCTTGATATCGAAATCAGAATCTCAAAAAAATTCCTTATCGAAGATACTTTTCTGCCGAAACTCTAATTCTGCCGCATTTCACCGCGTTCATAACTAATCAGTCACGTGAAATACGGGCCTTATTTTGCGCACTGACCAACTAAGCAGGTACGGATAAAGCAAATTGCAGGCTAACAAGTTGACATTCTTGACGACCGCAGGCGAGAGAAACGAGTCCAGGTGCACATATATATAGTTATATATATGACAGAAGGAGAGATGTTAGCTATCGTTCCGTGACTGTGTTCGCATAACCTGGAGGTAGTATAGGATCCGTCACGCGAGACGGGATGGAGGTGCCAGGGGAGCTATCAATAGACATGGCCGATACGATTAACACCGATCAGCCAGACGACGGGTTATCGCAGTCATTTAGTCAGGGCCAGGAGTCATCAGAGGAACCGTAAGTCAGCCAACCGCAGCTGCCTTTGATAGATCGCTTCTAACAATCGATATAAAGGATCACGTTCAAGCGCAGGCAGAAACCCCCATCGCGGTTCGGTCTTCATAGCATATTTGGCAGCGCAAACGATTCTCCCTTCTCATCTCATAGCCGTCTCAGGAGCGTCGACGAGAGTCCACGGGGCTCACGACCCGGTACAGCGAATCAGAATACCAGAGAACTGGGCAATGGGTCCGGCGCATCGCACAAACCGGGAGCACCGACGGATTGGTATATCGAAGGACCTGGAAGAAGAGTAGGCTACGACGACTTGACTGCCATTGATTGGATATTTGAGTATACAAAGGAAAGGCAACGGATACGGCATCTGAATGCGAATAACCCTGGCTTGCTTGGCACATTCAGGCAGCTGCTAGACGCCAGCCAGGTTTGGATGGTGCTAGTTATGACTGGTTTGGCTGTTGGCCTTCTAGCAGGATGCATTGATATTACAAGTCGATGGCTTGCTGATATAAAAGTGGGATACTGCAAGTCAGGCGTAGAAGGGGGTAAATTCTACCTCAACCGAAGCTTTTGCTGCTGGGGATATGATGGTATGGACTACTGAAGCTATTAAGTCATTATATACAAAGATACTTACAATTATTAGACCCGGCCAACTGCAAACATTGGATTTCGTGGCACGATGCTTTCAAAATCAGCTCCAAAGCAGGTGCTTTTGTTGCAGAATATATGGTTTTTATCATGTATTCGATCCTGTTCGCCACATGCGCAGCAGTCCTTGTCACATCCTATGCAACCCACGCTAAACATAGCGGTATCCCTGAAATTAAAACAATTTTAGGGGGTTTCGTGATCAAGAAATTTATGGGGTTATGGACATTAATGATCAAATCTGTTGGCTTGGTAGGCAGCCCAACATCTTATCATCGATTCTAGGACTCACTCTTTTCTAGTGCCTTTCTGTGGCTTCTGGTATGTGGTTGGGAAAGGAGGGCCCACTGGTTCATGTTGCATGCTGCTGTGCAAATGTAATCATGAAACCATTTGGCAGCCTCAACCATAACGAAGGTGATCACCATACAAGCAACTTTTGTCCTTGTCGCCCAGTTCTAACACTTCTACAGCACGGAAGAGAGAAGTTCTTTCTGCAGCAGCTGCTGCTGGGATATCAGTGGCATTTGGATCACCCATAGGAGGTGTACTGTTCAGTCTTGAGGTACGATACCTTATTCTCATCGATCAATAAGGCCCCATCGCTAACTCAAACAGCAACTATCCTATTATTTTCCTGATAAAACTATGTGGCAGAGCTTTGTTTGTGCTATGGCTGCAGCAATCTCTCTACGCGCTGTCAACCCATTCCGTACTGGGAACATCGTCCTTTATCAAGTCACCGATTCTCAGAGATGGCATCCTATCGAGATTTTACTATTCATTCTCCTAGGCATATTTGGGGGCCTATACGGCGGACTTTTCATCAAACTCAACATGCAGATTTCTAAATGGCGAAAGTCTCGGAATTTTTCCTTCCCCGTATTAGAAGTCCTCTTTGTGGCCCTTTTAACAGGCCTAATCAACTTCCCAAACTCCTTCATGAAGGCACAGCTATCAGACCTTTTACAAGCTCTTTTTGCGGAATGTTCCAAGACTCCAGCGGATGAATTTGGCCTGTGTAAGGGTAATTCTGACCTTACTGGAGTGTTTTGGGCTTTGGTGTTTGCTGGAACTCTCGGATTCTTGCTTGCATCTATCACATTTGGACTGGATATTCCTGCTGGCGTGATTCTCCCGTCCCTTGCCATCGGTGCATTGTACGGTCGAGCTCTCGGCACCGTGGTTAGTGTTTGGCAAAAATCACATCCAAAATCCATACTATTTAGTGATTGCGAACCTGGCGCACCATGCGTTACGCCCGGTACGTATGCAATTGTTGGAGCAGCTGCCGCTCTAGGAGGGGCTACTAGGATGACTGTGTCAATCGTCGTTATCATGTTTGAGTTAACCGGCGCTCTGACGCATGTGATTCCAATTATGATTGCTGTTATGCTTTCCAAATGGTGCGGTGATATATTTGGGAAGCGAGGCATCTATGAATCCTGGATACACCTAAACGAATATCCTTTCCTTGACCAGAAAGACGACACTCCACCTCCAGATGTACCAGTCAGCCAAGTTATGACTAGCATCAATGACCTTACGGTAATCACCGCCGTAGGCCACACCGTTGAATCCCTGAGAAATCTACTTTCCAGTACCTCGTACCGAGGGTTCCCCGTGGTATCAGACATGGCCAATCCGACGCTGCTTGGATATATATCCCGCAATGAATTGTCATATGCGCTTAATGTCTCTTCTTCCCGCCATTCAGGAAGCCTCTCCCCAGAAACGCAGACCTTTTTCTCACATCAGCCTTTTGCTGATCCTGCCGAAACCCTTGACCTTCGACCGTGGATGGACCAGACGCCCATCACTATGAATATTCATACCAATCTCCTGATTGTACTAAACATGTTTCAAAGACTTGGTCTGAGATATGTGCTTATAGTAAATAGAGGGAGACTAGAAGGGTTCTTGACAAAGAAGGATATCTGGTATATTCTTAACGAGTCATCTAAAGCAGACCCTACCTCGGGAATTGGCGGAGGTATATTACGGGCAGATGGCTCGGGAGAGGCGCGCGGCTTGCTATCCCGCGCCGATAACCCGATGCTTGTCAGTCCCGTTGATGATGGTAATATGTTATGAAAAGAGCACGGTCATGTTTGTATCAGTAATGTATGTCATAGTAGTACACTTGAATATCAATATCCTTCTAGAACTGAATTTTAAGTTGTACACATTTTCCAGACCTTTTTTTTTATCGTATGAGCCTATGCGTCCGCCTTTTAACCTTCTATAATGAACCCAGGAAAATGAAAGGTATCAGTTATTTAGTACAGCTTTTCATAAGTCGACGGGGAATAGTGTTGACAAATTGTGTTAAAGGGTAAACCAGCCCATGCACAAAAAGGGTATTTTGCAACCAAAATATAAAGAATTAAAAAAAACAAAATTAAAATCGTGTTCCGTTAACACCTTGGACGCCCTTGCCAAGCTGACTGGCAACGACAGTAGCCTCTCTGACAGAGCGTGCGATGGCACCTCGGACTCGTCCCTCTTCAAGGACAAGAAGACCACCAATAGTGCAACCGCCGGGGGTGCTAGTCTTCTCGCGAATCAAAGCAGGGTGCTCGCCGTTCAGAACCATTCCAGCGGTTCCACGCATAACCTGAGCAGCCATCAGCTGCGACTCAGCCCTGGGAAGACCCATGGCGACGGCTCCATCAGCCAAGGCTTCCAACACAAGAGCAACGAAAGCAGTGCCGGATCCGGCCAAAGCAGTGCTTGCGTCCATGATGTGTGGTGGAAGGGTGATGACACGGCCCACACGAGTGAAGATCCATGACACGATGGTGCTCTGGAAGTGGGATAGTGGTGGATTGGTGCTGGCAATGACAGTCATTGACTCTCTGACAATTGCAGCAGTGTTGGGCATGGCACGAACGACACGGCATCTGTCGGCCATGTCGATCTCAGAATCCTTGTAGAGCACCTCTTCGATCTGCTCTGCAGGCACACCGGCGAGGATGCTGATCAACAGCTTGCCTTTGAGAGCTTCTCTCATGCCGGGGACATTGAGAACTTCACTCAGCATGTATGGCTTGCAGCCGAGCACGATGACATCACCGTCGGTCACACCCTTGACGTTCTCGTTTTGAAGGATGGTCAAGGGGAGGTTGTACGGGCTGAGGATGTGCTGGATCCTCTTGACAGACTCCGGTCTCCGTACACAGGCAATAAACTTGGATGGGATCTGGTGCACCGGCAGGCCCTCAGAAGGGGTGGCGGAGCCGGATGGCGGAGGATACGCCGACGAGCTCCTCGGTTCAGAGAGAGAAGCCATCACGCCGGAGAGAATCGAGGTACCGAGTGTTCCTGTGATTGACGACGCCAAGTTAGCCGCATTCGCTCGTTTGTTTTTCTTCGGAACATGCATCACTAGTTCCCCTTCCCCCCCGGCGGCGGCTGCGGGAAGAACCTACCACATCCAAGAAAGGTCACTGTCGTCCCCGAGTGACCAAGAGAAAGGGTGCCGTCCATGAACGAAGACATGATTGCAGGGAGGTGTAAGGCGAGATACAGGCGGATAAACAGCTGAGTCGGAGGTGCAAGTTGTGGTGAAACTGGAGGAACGAGGGCGTCGAGCAGTTCGTGGAGTTGCTGGGAGCGACGATGATTTTATATCTGGCGAACTTTTCCTGTTTCGTGAAAATGAGCAAAAAGCAAAAATAGAACGGAAGAACATCGGCCCGCGACAAGGGGCCCATGCGCCCGGTTTTACCCGTTTTGGTGCTTATCTAATATACTATTACGTCAGCGTGGCTTTTTTAGACTCTGCGAGGGAAGTTTCAACACGAAGAAAAAGCCGACTATCAAACCCAGAGGAAACCATCATCACAAGAGCAACGCCGGGCCAGGGGAACAAGGGACGACACGACGAGGAGCCATGATCTCATGAGGCAGAAAAGGAAGACAGATTGTGACACCGACGTTCGAGCATGGCTGACCCCTTCGAGGTCCGCATGCGCTTTACGACGCAATTGCAACATCTAAGCGCATCCTTCACCTCGTCGCAGAAGGCAGCCAACTATGTCTTGAAACACAGGGATATGGGGGAAGACCTCCACTCATGCATCTTGGAGCAATTGGAAAGGGTGATTCAAGCCAGCATCTTTGAAATGCCCCATGAAAAGAGTAAAATGAGCTGACAAATAGATCGCAGAGCAATATGAATACCAGGGCCAACATCATGTACTTCATCGAGCATCTGGCCGACATGGCCACGAACGAGAACCACCCCGAGTTCGTCCATATGATTAAACGTGATATTCTCCAAATCGTTGATGCAGTTGCCCCTGCAGACGGCTCCGGGGCTGCCAATGTGAAACATGTAAGGCGTGTTTTGAACGGTCTTCAGTCCAAGGAAATCCTCTCCCACGAAACGGTATCGGAGATCGACGCCTGTCTCAAGGAACGAGAGAGCTATCCGGCTCATCTCCTTGACCTGGAACCGCTCGAAGAACCCGCCACCACGGATACCGCAAAAACTGGATCGGATGCCACAAAGTCAAGGGTCACCGTTGACCGGAAGCAGATCGAACAGCGTGTGGAGGAAGACCGAGAGAGGAACAAGCGACTGAGAGAGAATATGTGGGCGGTACCGCCGCACGACATGAAGGAGTTTGAGAAGATGTGGGATGAGGTGAGCGACGTGGGAGACGATGACTACCTCCAGGCCGCAGAGGAGGCAGAAGAGAGACGGAGGACTGCTGAGGCTTCGGGTCTCTACAACTAAACTAACGATATACGACTATGAAATATTTACTTGGAAAGAAACATTATTGGCGTTACGGGGCGGCGCTTTGATACATTTTGAACTTCTATCTGGTATTTTCCATGTCTTCTAATATCATGCAAACCGCCAACCATACCTTCTCAAATTCATACTCCGAGCAAGACGCAACGCTCTTCATTATTTATTTTATTCTGTCATCCATTCCATTTATAAAAATCAGGTGGACGGCGATTGGCCAATGGATGTCGGCGAAATAAAAACCCGGCTCTTACTGCAAAAAAATGTTATTGGCGTAGGTAATTGGAAGAAAAAGATAACTGACTGATAGCTAAGTATATTGCAATTTTCACGACTCCTTGATCTTTTTCATTCCACATGTTGTCTCAGATAGTAACTGCTGCTCGTGGTTTGTTCAAGAGGCCAGAGAGCACCGAAGATACGGCGTCTGAGCCGGAACAATCAGCCGATATGGTCACGATAATCGAAAATTCGACTTCCTCACAAGAGACGCCCGCATCCCGGGAGCCCTCCCCAGTGTCGAGTGGAAAACGCAAAGACACATCATCCTCTGTACCTGAAAGTGTTGGAAACAGACCGCAAAAGAGGCGGAAAGGCGAGCCAAGCTCAAAGGCTGCTGATCCCAATGGTACAATAAAGGGTGAGGGTGATGCAGTCAAACAGAGGAAGCTTCAGGTATTGGAGTCTGTTACAATAGTCAATCGGCCAAATACCAATTCTGCACCGAAAATACAGGCAGATGAGAAACATGCCTTGCCTAATCCAAGGAAAATCCGCTTTGGGAGCGAAGAACCCAACGGCACTCACCTAGACGATGACGAGGAACACCAGGATGCAGAATTGGAAAATGGAACAGCCGCCGAAGCAGAAGACGATGAGGATGATAGCAGCGATGACGAAGCTCCTGAAGCAGTCAGCAATGCTGCTCAGCTATCGCAAATAAGAGAAGCTGAACGCAAAAGGGAAGAAACAAGGCAAATGTAAGCTATGCAGTCCGAATTTTCTCTCAGCACGCCTAGTACTGACTGCTTTTAAAACAGACACGAACAATTGAGAAGGGAAAAACGAAAAGAGCATGAAAAACGACTACAACAACAGGCTGCTACGAAAGCAGCAATCCAGAAGGCAGCTGATGCCCGTCGAGAGGCCAAGGCCAAACAAGCCGGAGCGAAAATATCAAAGCATGATGAACAGCAGTCCGAAAGCTCTATGACACTCAGTGCTGGAACACGAGAGTCGAAGCACGGTCTATCAGCACCATTACCCGCACTTCTTCCAGACGAAATTCTAAATGCAGAGCCATCCCAGCCACTCCAGCCACTAATAACAGGGCTTGATGTCGAAAAGCTGAAGATGAACACACCGAGACATATAAGGATTACCGATACAGCTGATCGACAACCCAAGGATCTCAAGGTTGGATCTACTTCCATCAGAGTGTTGGGTGACTCTGGTAGCAGCTCCAATCCTATACTACCACCGAAGAGTTCAAATAGTAGCAGGCGCGTTAAGGAAAATTGGGTTGGTGGGAGGCGAAAAATGGGAGCTACCGGGGCATTGCGGCATAGTACTGGCGGTCCAAAGAGTTTTGCTAGGAAATAATATATGTGAGAGCGGAGTTTAGCCCTGGAATGACGATACCATTTGTGACCTTATCTTCACCCTGTTAATCGTAAATGCCCCGGCTGACTTCATTACATCCAGGGTCGTTGTTCACCACATCTGAACCCCCAATCAGTTGAATCTAGAAAGGAGCCTTGAATCTATATCTGCTAACCTTCTTTCAGGGTCATTTGACTGTTGCCACTAGACAGTTAATTAATAAAATAGTTAATGAAGTGAATTGTTCAATTCACAGTCCAACAAGCCCCTTACAACAACTCAAAAAGCCAGAAACCACAAGGAATTTAACCGTGGACCTTGTCTTTCTACATCTCGATATCTACTACCCAGACACATAGCCATACTGTCCCAGGTATACCTGCAGTCGAGATTGCCTTCCAGATGGGCGAAGACTTGATAAAGAAGACCTCCGACGCTGCTGGCTGGGAAATCCGGGAGCCTCTGTGGCACTTTTAGGGCTGGCAGGTATCCCGCAACTTGAAAGGATCTCTATGAATCAGGACCTGACGACCTATCTTGCCGCGTTGGAGATGAGATTTGAAGACAGCCAGCTGCTTCAAAGCTGTAAGTGTGCCCATGCCAGGTCCTGTTTGAGCTAGCTGACAGCTTGCCTTCTTGTTACTATAGGGGTCTCAGAGGGTTTTCAACTCCATGCCCTTTCCAACGTCCTTGTCTGCACCAGTAATGCAAAGGAATTTGTAGCCGGCAGCACCGAGACTTCATCCTAGCTCACTGACCTCAAGTGGGATGACTAGGCCAAATATTAGGCCCAATAGGAGCGTAGGAACCCCCCCTTCATATTCTGATAAGTATCAGCCGAACTTTTTTCACTAGGGCCGATGATCTAGTTGAAGCGGCCCACGTTTTCCCATTCTCTACGAGAGAATTGCAGTCACCAGATATCATCAGGCTGTTCACAATCCGTGGAGCGCTCTCCGCATTCTCATGTGTTTTCCTCCGCAAGTACCATGAATGCACCTACTTTGCATTGGAACCTATCGAGGGGAATCCCGGGTCACACCATTCCACTGGTTGCCGCATATAGCCAACCTTCGCCGACTTAAGACTGACATCCGTCCATGATTCCCTCCTAGTATAGGCTGCGGGAACCAGATACGGTTGTGGAATGTAGTGACTGGCGAGGAAATCGTATCAGGCGCCCTCATTCGCATTCGCGCATATTCTGTGAGTCGGTTCTGCCTAGCTGCCTCAATGATACCCCGATGGTATTTCATTCTACCAATAAGAGGAGGCCGTTCAAGCCTTCGGACTCCCTTATTTCTCTGAAGCCTCCTATTGATCCCGCTAGTGCCACTAGGGCTAAGGTCAAGGAGCTAGAGGCTGAGAGCAGGGAGGACGGACGACCGGCAGTTCCCTTGGTAGCATAGCAACGCTCCTTTATATGCTTCCGTTTTCGGTAGGCGTGGTTACCTAGCACCGCTTCTTCCTCGCGTTGTTATGGTTGAAAAGTTTTCTTCCCACCATCTTCCTTCCCTCTCTCTTACATATAACCACTCACTCCTCACTTATTCCTGTTAGTCCTGCCCTCCTGCGTCGCTGCTCTGCTAACTTATCGCTTCTCTACTTGTTGTTATTCGTTACCATAGCAGACGCTACTTCTATTGATACCTCCTTGCCGTATACGCGATACCTCGGCAACCTCTACGCGGCTACTAATCCCGAGGACGATCGTGTGTTGGATCTTGACTGTTGCTATGCAGCAGGAGTGGTTTGCCAGCGCTATGAGAGCCTTAATAGGCCCTGTGAGAACGTAGGTTGATCCTGTTTTCCAGCTCTACTCTGCTTTGCTAACGTCTGGCATGGCTGAGCAGGCTCGTATTGAGCAGGAATTCACCGACTCCCTGAACCGAGAACTGCTGCAGGGGGTAAACTTCAACAATGATGGGATTCTGCACTTTTACAGGTGTAGTGGATGCTTCAATGCATTATCACCTTATCTGGCGGCATTAAGGCATTTCAGGAATCCCATGATATTGATGGCGACGATCATTACTATATACCCTTTGAGCAATTACCCCTTCTACAAGCCAGCCCAAGCTCCCTGTACTTGAGAACAAGTAGTCATTGTCTTACAGTTACAGCCCTCCCTCGCTCTTCCAACTATTATGTATGATACTGCTGCCAAGGCGATGCACGGATATTTGGCTGCACGGAGGCCTAAAGATAACCCGGGAAGTTCAGAAGTTCCACTCGAGTTAACTAGTTAAATAACTACTCCACTTGCCCAAGTGACCTCAAAGTCAACTTCCAGAGTCTGTCATTAAAAATATACTACTGTTGCGTCGTATATCTGCATATTTAACGTTACGGTACCGAGATGTCTATTCAGACACTAGTGTTAGTTTCCTTGATGAACCCACTTGGTTTCTATTTTATCTGAAGGAGTAATCTCTAGCTTTACTTATCAAGATATAAAGTACTCCAACACTATTGTTTTCAAGCAGCTTTTTGGCAATTTGTGGGACTAGGGATCTGACCATTTGTATTCGCAGAAGAGCCTGTGAGCCGGCAGGTACCATCAACATTAGAAATTGCATGGCAAAAATATTAAGTGGCATACAGTGGCTTTATAGATACCACAAAATTGCGTTGGAGTAATTAATGTAGAACAATGAAAGGTTGGAAAGGGAAAACATGTTATATTAGCCACAAACGGCCCCGAACATTAAATTTTAGTTAAGGCTAGAGATAACTAACCAACTATTTACCGAGTTCCACAATGATAACGATATGAATAATAATATCTTGATACCAATAGCTTATAGCTCTCTATTTTGTGACTTGCTCCAAAGAGAAAGTCGGAAGAACTCGGGGGTAAGGTGATATGAAGAAGATAGCAATGCGAGATGGATATGGAGTGTGAGGAGGAAGTAAGCACTTTGCAGGTCACTTTTTTTTGTCTATCTCAGCAGTTTGACATATTATCAAATCGATGAACCAAAAAATGAACTCCTAATTAACTGCAGAGAACATCACTATAAATCTTTGAGTAGTTATGGTATATGGTAACTAACCGTCTCTGCCAAGGCGATGCACGATTTTAAGGTTGGCTGCACGGGAGGCTAAAGTTAGTTTACCGCGGGAAGCCCCACTCTAGTTTAAGAGTTACCCCACTTGCTCCATAACTAACGGGTAGGCTGGCTGAATGTACAGTCACATGACAAAAGTATTTTTAATTTCGCGTTCCGGCGCGCATCACCAATGTAAACACCATCCATCTCCATCCTATTCCAGCATGCCACGTACACCCCTACGCCCAATTGATGGCAATATACAGAGGAATAAGGAACTAACTCCTTATATAAGAGCTCTAATATATGGGAGGAGCGATTCCGGCCAGAGAAATTCATATATTTTGCGAGTAATTGGTATTTTACCCCAAACTATTATATATACCCTAAAGAAAAGAGTAGAAAGAACTAGGGGAGAAAGTATTAAACGAGCTAGCAGACCTAGAAAGCTATTAGAAACTAATATTCGATATATCCTACATACTATTAAGAAGAACTCTTTTATTACTCTTTACGAATTATAGTCCGAATATTTACTCCTCGAAATTAGTATCTCTACAAGGTCCCTCTCTCGATATATTAAGGAATTAGCCTATAGGTACTAGAAGGTAAGGGAAAAGCCTCAATTAATAGAAGAAGTGGCTATTCTACGCAAGGCCTGGGCTTTAAAATATAAGGATAATACCTAGGAGGAGTGGTCTAAGGTTATATAGTCTAATAAATACTCTATAGAGTTAGGAAAAGGCAAGGATAACTTATAGGTCTTCTATAAGTATAAACTTAATATAAAATAGAAGAAGGAGTATATAAGACTAAAGATTAAGCTAAAGAGAGTCTCGATAATAATCTAGGGTACTATTTAGGACAAGGGTTATTAAGATTTTAATATAATAACTCGAGATCCGGAGTTAAATATAAGGGGGTACTCTAGTAACTCTTATCTTAATATCCTTAAGGATAATCTACCTTCTATCTAGGAACTAGATATAATATTTATATAAGATAATACTCCTATATATATAGCTAAAAAGATTATAGATTAGTTATAGGAGAATAGAATTTAAACTATAGACTAGCCCCCCTATTTACTAGATATAAACCCTATCGAATATACTTAGGCTAGGCTTAAAGTAACTCTTTATAGACTAGACCTAGATATTAAGAAATACGCAGGGCCTAAAGAGGAACTTAAGGTTAAATTTATAGCTCTTATCGAGTAAGCATAGGAGTTATTAGACTAGGATTATTTTAATAGGTTAATAAGGAGTATAGATAATAGAATTAATGCTTTACTCGAGGCAGATAGGTAGTATACACGGTATTAAATAGGGGATAACTATCCTAGCTATTTCTCTAGCTAATTTAGAGCCTATTTTATTAATTTTATATAATAATATCGATATTTAGTGGTGTAATATTTAATATAAGAATAGGGGTACTCATATAAAAATTGGTGGCGATCCCAAAAGCAAAATACTTTTGTCCTAGAACTGTATGTATGCATGAGTTGACTTATATGTGCCGCTTTCGATTCTGATGTCTTCTCAACGAGAGCTGGCTGACTCTGAAGTTTGAGTCCTGCAGTAACGGCATGTCAGATTGGGCAGCCTCAGATGTCAGTTCGGTTTGCGATCCCTTTAGGTCATGCATTTACTTTAACGGAGGCTTTGGCTCCGTTAAGAAATGGGTTTTCTCTCCTAGATACGTAGGAAGGCGTAGAATGTAGGATGTTGGTATAAATTGACTGCATATTCCGGACGGATTTTATGACTAGCAACGGCTTGGGATTCATACCTTCACTTCCCGCAGATCAACAACCAGCATTTTCTGGTACGCGTCCATCTTGTACAGGTTGGGAGCTGCTCAGGCCCTGTGTAAACAGCAAGCATGCGTAATGACACTTTAGGTATGCCCTTAACAAGGTGTTCTCAACATGTTAGCTGATCCTGGCAGTAGATGCGTTAAAGACATATTTCGATAAGGTCTATACGGACAATGATATATTGCTGGGTCTTCTGGATTCCTGCGATGACAACATGGACCATCCATCGCAATATACTGCTAGTCTCGGCTTTAAATTCAATGCAGATGATTGGAAGGTGTTCACAACTTTAGTGGATGCTGGTCCTAATTTTGAACTGCGTGTTGCCGGAGGTGTATATCGTTTTGATAGTAACGCTACGGGCTTTTGGGAATTAATGGTTCATTCTGCTACAGGGAAAATATACGGTGAATTTTTTTTTTTTTTTCAACCGCCGGCAAGACAATTCCTAGCACCAATAGGCTGACTTAATCTCCTTCACAGTGGACGGAAATTTGGTGATGAGTCAAAATGTGGATAACGATGGATGGGTCACCTTCACAACTGGATCATCCGACAATTTTCGAGTTCAGTTTCAATGCGAATTCCCAACGCAAGACCCTCAAGTCACACCGGGCTTTTCAGGAGAAACCTGGAAGAGTGAAAGTGCTGGGGAAAAGATCCCTGTTACTGCTAAACGGTATTATCCCTGGGGAAATTGCCTGGAGAAGGAATGCACCAGCCAGATGATTTCAAATCCACGCACCGATGTATCAGAGGAAACTGCTGCTGCTGCATTCAATGCCCGTGAGAATGCCGCGACCGAGTCATTGGCGATGGCTCTAGATCTAATTGGCATCAAGAAAAATCCTACAGGTCTCTCCGCCGCTGCCATAGTTGCTGACAGTGTTGATAAAGGCGATCTTATTCTCGGCACCTTCCACCTCTTATTCACAGTGGCAGCAGCCGGAGTTGGAGTCTTATATTACCAGCTCATAGGTGGAGCAGTAGGGACAGCGGCAGGGGGTTTTTCGATTACCTTTATAACGGCTTTGAGAAATTATGGCGTCGAGGGATGCTCCCGTGGCCTCAAAGCCGACGTAAAACTCACGAAAGTGGACTTTGACAAGATGTTAGATGAAAGGATCAGGGAAATTGTTAGTGAGATGAGCCCAGAGCAGACAAGGGATCCAGACCTATCCAAAATTGTCAAGGAAAAACTCGAAACCAAGTATAGACTTCATCTACATGAGGTGCTGGACGATGGTGTCTACAAAAGATACCATTATTTCAGGAAGTTGTGGACTCGAGAGTTCAAGGAGGCCTATGCCACCGCGGTCAAGGAAAAATGCGAGGAACAAGTGCCTTCAAGCGAGGTTGAAAGCCTTCTCCAGCGGTACATTGACAAGAAAATGGCGGATCAAGTATTACCGGACGATATCTTAAAGCTGGGGGAGGAGATTAAGTCTGAAGAACGCGACAGAGACAAAAAACTAAGCGAAATAACAGATCCGCCCGGTACCCCCGGATGGAGAGAAAAGGCGAAAGCTATCCAGGACGAATTCCAAAAGAAATCAAAGGGTATCCAAGATGATATCGATAGCAAGGTCAAGGATAAGACGGAGCGCGAACAGCGTTCAACGGAATCGAAGTTAAAGGAGGCAAGAGAAAAGGTGACGGAGGAGATGGACAGGCGACGAAAAGATTACGATAAAGGCCGCATTCATAAGGAGCTTGAAGGACTCATCCCTTGAACGATAGTTATTTGTGATTCGTAGGCTCGGAAATGGTATAGTCTTCCGTGGCTAAGCTGCATAGTTAGTCAAGTGGTTAGTTAGCATGATGTTCTAGTTATTACTGGCTCATCTAGTTATAGGTCTGCCAGTGGATATTGGTCACATCCTCCACTCCCCATTTTTCAAGAAAGTATACCTGCCGCTAGGAGTAAATGCACAAAGATAGACTACGTATTGGACAATCAATCAACAATCGCGGGCGTGATTCATGGCTTGGGCAGGCCACAGGTACCGCGTAGTTAAGCTGTCAACCCAACATAGACTTAGGGAACATAGTTAACTAGATCGTATAGTTACTTTTTCTAGTCAAGAACTAGTTAACATGATATGTTTCCAAATATTCATGAAAAGTCCCGAAATCATTTGCTAATTGGCATAGGAACCCGAGCATCATTATGAAATTATATTGGCTTCATTGACCCAACGTTGCCCTGGTGTAGGGAATTCCCAAGATCTCCGGGCACACCTATCTAGAGCAACTCGAATGCCTCAGCTGGGCATATTGCCGCAGAGAACCAGATCAGAGGGAAACATAAGATCGGAGACTTGGATAAACCTCTCCCCCGGAGCAAATATATTTTGGGTTGAGAAGAAGTTTAATTCAGGCAAGTCGACGGTGAACGTTGGCAAGTTAATTTCTGCCTTTATTGGGCTGATGTCTATATTGGACTTGGTAGGAGGTTGATCCGCAGATTCGAACGCAAGGGTGAACTTCATCGTGTCACCCTCAACAGTTGCAAGGGTTTTGGTTTTCTATAAGGTATCAGCAACAAGATGCAGTCCCCTACAAGATATATAAGGCTTACCGTTGGGATTTCGCATGATAAAGTGATGTGTATGATTTTATCATTCTCGATAAAGGGAAACTTGCCCGAGAATGTCCATGACCATTTATATTTCGGCTTGTCAAACGGAGCTTCATCGAAAAATTCAATGATAAGGGGATGATCGGTACAATCGATCTTGCTGGATTCAAGGGTACAAAACCACTGGCCAATCCAAGCACTTCCTCCAGAGTTCAAAAGGCCTGTAGGACGCAGTTCCAGTTTCGCGCCGGCTGCTGCGGTCTTTTCGATCACACCACCGGGGAGAACGCTTTGGATCTGCTTCCATATAAACTTTTGGAAAAACACATCTCTCGACACGATAATGGACCCTGAGTATTCTTTCGGGATTGGACTGAAGTCGAAGTGGTCGTACTTCCGGCCGAATCGGGTACCTTGGGTGTTCCCTTGCGGGTTCCCGCTGCCTTCGGTTTGGATAAACACGCATAGAGTCTCTTCTGTGATTACAAATTTATAAGACTTTGGGCGGAGGAGGACGGAAGTCGGATCCTTTTTGCTGGATATTTTATTGACAGCGTAGTCGACCCATGCTACGTGGGACTGAGACCCGAACCAAGTAGCGACATCTCCTTTAGCCTTTAAAAGGTTTTCCAGTAACGGATGAGGTTTGGTTGTGTCGGCAGTGAAATCCCAGGTTGTGGCATCTTCATTATGGAAATGAAAGACTATATGGTGCTCGGCCTCCTCGCTGGATTTAAACTCCACAACGTCCTTGCCTTCCTAAGGAGTTAATGTCAGTCTCCAGTAAAATATTCAACTCATAAACAAGGTGAACAAACATAGAACTTGTCTTCCTCAGCACTGAATGATGCAAGGGGGACGCCAATCTGTAGGAAATAGACATCCGCCGGGATCGGGGTCGTGACTGGCGGGTTAGGCTTAACGGTGCTGGTTACAGATCCAGAAAACCCCATTTTTAGAAATGCCCTTGGGTTCCCGTCCAGGTACCCAAAGTTCAGTACTGGAGAGGCCAGGGCGAAGGTGTAATCCTCTGTAAGATCGACTCCTGGAATATATGGCTTGCTCGTAAACTTGACATTCTGGAGCAGTGGCTTCGAGCCCCAGGTTTTGTCCAGGAGGTGGTTCAGCTTTTCCCGTGTATATGACACAAGAATATCCCAGTCATCAGTTGTTGTTTTACCACTGAGCTTGCCATAATACTCAGATTTATCATATGGTGAAATCATCGTGTAGAGTGAAGCGTCAATCAGGGCGCTGGAGTCTAGTGGTATCAATCAATGGTATCAACTGAGGGGCGCTTGATGGCGTTTCAGCTATCTTGTTCATTATTGGGACAAGAGCTATTGATATATATATATATATATATTGAAGCCCATCACAAACCATGTAGCTCATACGAAACTCTCCGTAGGGATTCAGGAGGTGATAGCACCCGAAATCTTTGGCTTGCGCGGAGCATTTGCCAAATATGGATAATGGTCATTTGGCCCATATCTCTCTCATATCTAAGTTACCAAATTGGAGGGAGGATACCCTTTGCCTTGAGTTGAGGAGTGCGGGGAGATTTTGCTGGAGGGGTATATACGCAGGCTGGAATGAAATCGGGCTGCCTGGGGGCTTTGATAGGTGTAGAGCGCACCGAAATACCGTTCACAATCTCGGACTGAGTATCTCCGCTTGCCTCTGACTGGGTATTTTGGCTAAATACGTAACAATTAATTATCTCGGGCTGGCTGAATTTTTTGGGCAGAGTTATTCTCGTGTTGCCTGAACTTGACGTAAAAACGCTTGCTGCAGTGCAGGGTTTATTGCATCATGCCAATGATATTGTGTCGTTTGGGGAAACGTAGTTATTAGCCTTGGAGCAGCGTAGCAAAGGTGTATAAGAGAAGAGAAACAGCAGGTGACATGAGCGAAGCGAGTGGGGGGGTAAAACAAATAAAGGACATATAGAGATAGACGGACATTCTGAGAACAGTCTAACAGTCTTCAGTAGCATTCGTCTGCCTCTGGAAAAATGGAACCATCAGCCTCAATAGTTTCGCCCAATTCAGATCCGCTTCCGGACTCGGACACGGTCAAGTATCCAATAGTCAACCCGCAGGTCTTTCTCTCGGTATCAGACGATGCACCTAGTATTGGGGGGACTGTCAAAACACCATTCGCGTTTTATGTCGAAAAGTTTTCTCTAACGCACGACTTAAAATCGGAAAATGAGGAGAAGGAACCGTTTGATAGATACTGCATCTATACAGGAGAGCTCTACGGGCCAGAGCTAACCGGTAAGGGGTGTAGCATTATCATCTCCGGAAAAGGGGGCGTTGAGAGCAATCCCGATGCATACCAAGGAGGGACATTGCAAATTTTCGCAGAGCATGTCGAGGCTGCTGCGGTAGAAAAACTGCATCTTGACGGTTAGCAAGCTATCGATTTCTATATATATGGGTAGACGGAGGTAACTAACCAGACACACTACAGCTGGAGGAGGCCCTGGAGCCAACCGGCAGCCAGTAACTGGGACAGATGTTGGACCCCGTGGCGGAAATGGAGGACAAGGGGGAAGGGTCGATGTTGTCTTTGGTTGTATTTTCGAGCAGCCCATTGAGCAAGGTGCCGAGCTTGTTAAAGGGCTGATGGATCCAAAGAAAAAGTGGCCTACGGATTTCGAAGACAAGATTAAACGGTTCGTCAGCTTCATCACCCTGAAAGAAATCATGGCAGCCATGACAATACCGCCATCAATGAGCAAAGTAGAGACTATGATGGCCGCTCCAAAAGAGTCAATACAGCCGGCTCTCATACAATTTCTTATAGATCTGGCAGCGCAGCGAGATAGCTTGACCAACGCCTTTGAGCAACACACCAGCGTCGAGGGCGGGCCATACGGTACTGGCGGCATGGGAGACAAGCAACGGGGACCAAATGGAGACACTGGTAAACCAGGGAGCCGCAGTGTTTACATATTGTCTGACCCGGCAAAACTATTGGAGAGTGAAGTGTGCTTCGTGCACCCGACACAGTGCCGGATGTTGTTAGATATGGCCAACCTGCTCTGGTTCTGTGGATCTCTCAACGAAAAAGCCCGCGCAGCAAACATTTATACCCGTCTGATGCGGAGGCTGGCCTTCTTAGGGGATGTGAAGGATGAGAAGGTATCCAAGACACGCCTAGCGGAAGCATATCGCAAATCAGAGCCATCTTTGTTCATCCTCGGCGGGGCGCCTGGGGATGAACCCATTTCATTCACCCTTTTGCGTGCAGTTAAGGACGAAGCTCACGGAAACCTGCTGAGTCTCCTATCAGGGAAGACCATCTTCGGCGATGACAGGGAGAAGGTGCCACGCGGTTCGTTTGGGTTCTACCAAACAGCCATTGCCCCGTTGCTCACTAATTTGAAAGAAGTTGAAAAGACATATCGCAGGTTTTTGGGAGGTGAAATGGATGCCGAAGAGAAGAAACAGGCAGTTCGTGACAGGCTGGCTCGGTGTGACTTCCGAAAGCGCCTTGTCCAAGATGAAATCAAAGAAAAGAAGAACGATCTCGATACAAACTTGCAACGGCTCCATCTATCAACAGAGTCCATTGGTCCGGCAAAGAAAAGCCTGATGAATGCCTATAAGGCCGTTGAGGAACAAGTCAAAACAGGGGTCACCGTCTCCTGGGAGGACCTCATGTCTGCCCTGTCACAAGTGATTTTTGTGCATGGATCCGCACCCATGGTCGCACTGCAAGGCGCAGACCTCATCCACAACGCACTAGAAAAGCTTGAATCTGATTCTGGTGTAAAGATTGACAGAAGCTTGCTGCTGCATGATGCCAAGGATATGAAGGAGTCTGTCGAAGGTTTAGCCGAAGGGTATACGTTGCTCAAAGACGGCGGCGTGGATTTCGACGACCCAGCTGCAACAAAGCTCCAAGTACTTGCGGAGAAGGCGGACGCTTTCTGGAGCCAGTTCGAAAATATCCTGGGCAAACCTGTGCTGGACAACCTGAGAAAGAGGTTCCACGACTATATTGGTAAGTTGGATGTTGAAGGTAAAAGGCGTTCATATCTTGGTTGGCTAACGATCATGGCAGCAATTGTAAAGGAGCGGAATGCCGCAGTCATTGGATATACAGAGGCAGTTCTCTTGCTGATCAAGTATCAGACAGAGCTCGACGCCCTTGCTGCTGAACGGGCTGACATCTCCCGGGAGGAGTATGACCAACTTGGTGCAGATCATCCGACTATGACAGCTTTCATGAAAAAACTTTACACAGATGCAATCCACACCACGCAGGAATGGCTATATAAAGCGCAGCGTTCGTATCAATTTGTCAGCCTAGACCGGGCAAACGTAGTGGGGGATCAAATGGAAGGGTTCAAATTCTCAACATTCAATTCGGCAACGTTGATCTCGATCAACTCAACACTCATCACAAGGTATAATACTTTCATTGAAAAAGTAGGTACCGAGCCTCAGACATTTAATGGTCTAAGATACGATATCGATGAGATGTATGTCGACATGATCCAAGATAGTGGAACGGACGGCATCACACATACAATTGAAATACCGGTCTTTGATATCCATAAGCCGAATCCATTCGGCTCTATGGTCGACATTCGATTAACCAAGGTTCGCTTCTATTTAGACGGGGCCAAGACCGATTCTCACTTCTTGGATTTGACGTTGAAGCATCAGGGGAAGGAGACGATACTCAATAAGCAAGATGAACGGTTCGACTTTGTCCACGACCCGCTGATCGCTAAATTCAGGTATAATATCGACAGCCCAATGGTCATGGGCCCAGGCACCACGGATGGGGATGTGGGATCGGTAGGAGAGGACCGCTATGCAAAGGTAGGACCTTTTACTCAGTGGACATTCCAGCTCACTACCGACAACAACCCGGGGTTAAACCTTGGCAAAGTGAGTAAGGCTTACTTCATGTTCTGGTTTACCTATTATGAGACGATGTAGAGACAACGAGGCCAGCCAGGTTTCTCTCAGGCCCGCGTGAGAAGAAGTGTTGCCAGTTCGCTGCATCTTGTGTACCCCTATTTTGGTTGTCCTGAATTTGAGTTAATCCACTGGTAGCTGTGTGTCGAAAAGATAACTTTCTTTTGGTTACCACCGGTCTAGGCTCACGCTGTTGGCTGAGAGCATCCCTGGTATCAAGTCCAGCCAGCCACAAGCGTCCTTCCAGCCTGTTTCTTTGCTTTTCACCGGTTGTTGTCGTTGTTGTCGACCCCTTGTAGAAAAACGTCGAGCTCGTATTTGTATTATGTAATCCGGCGAGCGAGGATCAAGCCACGTGCAAAAGCTTGGCACAAAGATCCATTACATAATACATGTTTTCACGTGACTAAGCTTGGTCCAACCTTGTTTTGGTTATTGCATCAACGACAAAGAAGAAGAGGCAGAAGAAGAAGGTAAATCAACCAAACTACTCCGTACGCTCTTTGCACTGCTCGGGGGACAAGAAGCGGTGACCATGCGACATCCAGGTCTCATACACTCTCCTTGAACAGCTTGAAGCCTCTCCACGATGAATCCCAACGTCTCAGAGTCATCTCCGCTCCTCCCACAATCAAAACCGACCTCCCAAACGAACCCTCAAGCTGCGACCGCCCAGCGAACCAAGTCCGTGACATTCAGCCCATCAACTAGGGGGGAGCCAGCAAGTGATGCGCAAGATGGTGGCAGCCAGCAGAAGAATCTGCATCCCAGTGCCCCCCCAGTCGTAAGGGGTCCAACCGGACAGCCTGTGCTGGCGGCGTTGAACAGCAAACTCCGACGTCGGCAAGCTCAAGAGCCATCTCTAGGAATTGTTGGCAAGGTTCCTACATTGCCGAAGATTGGCCCTCAGAGAACGACAAAAACTACACAGAAGCTCAAGCTACTACCGAACCCTGTGACGGGTGAAGATGATGTATGGATCGAAGACGAGATTCCAAGAGATGTGTACTCCCAGATCACACGGATAAAAGAACCCACAGCCAGAAGAGATGCGGCAAGGTTGGGTAAAGGGGATAGAGAACGACTTCCTCGGGTTACGGCGTACTGCACGGCCAATTCATACAAGTTGGAAAACGTGATTAGGTTTCTGAAATCGAGAGCTTCAACAAGAGGCACGAATCCGAAACTTTTTGATGAGTGTGTTTATTCACCGTACCGATATGATGACGACGATAAGACGATAGCTTCCCGACGTCGACGCAGTGAAGGTGCTGGTCACACTGGGTTGACACCCATCAACGATTCTCGCCCACAGCTAGACCGTGGGTTCTCCGATAGCGAGCTGGAGGTTGAATCGCATAAGCACCAAGAGCGAGAGGATCTGCTTGATATGCATGCAAGTAATGACGACCGTATCCAGTCCTTTTCGCCCCCGTCGTCGCCCCGTACGCTGATGACGACCGCTCTATCCGACGAACCCCTCGTCCTAGACACGGCAATTGATACTCCAGAGGTATTCCTGTTCGACTATGGAACGGTGGTAATATGGGGTATGACCGTGGAGCAAGAAACCCGGTTTCTGAACGAAGTTTCGAGGTTCGCAAACTCAGTGTTGAGTTCAGAAGACATGCAAGTCGAGAACTTCAACTTCTACTACACCCGAGACTACCAGGCTCGAATATACAACGACTTCATCTCCCTACGGGATCCACGCAGCTACATGACGAAACTTGCCATCTCCCATGCCCTCTCGCAGTCTGTCAAGACATCTCTTTTCGAAGACCTGGTCAGTGAAACTATCACGGCTACATCACCGTTGCCATCGCAGATCGCTCAGACGGGTGGTGTGAACCTTACGCGCAGGCAGATAAACATGCAGATTGGCGAACTTTTTATACTTCGCATAAACATCCATCTTCAAGGGTCTGTGCTTGATAGCCCCGAACTCATGTGGGCTGAACCTCGCCTTGATCCGATCTATCAGGCTGTGAGAAGTTATCTGGAAATGAACCAGCGGGTGGGACTGCTTACGGAGCGGCTAGATGTTATAGCTGATCTACTTGCTGTTCTCAAGGATCAGTCAAGTCATAGACATGGGGAGTACCTTGAATGGATCGGTATGTTCTCTCATTGTTACTGTTCATTAGGTAGGGATGCTAACGTAACAAAAAATAGTTATCATCCTAATTGGTGCCGAAATCCTCATCGCAGCGATAAATATCGTTGTCGACCTCTACGCTGGCTTAGATTAGGCGCCTAACCCTTGGCCTTCGTCTACAGGCGCTATCTGCTTACGGCTCGTTCTGAGGGAGGCTCTGAAAAAGCCGAATTATCTACTTCGTGATTAATATAGAGATACCAGTTGTTTCGTCGCAAGATTCCCCGATGAGTTGGCGTTTTGATTTGCTTTGCTTTGCTCTGCCTTCCTCCTCTTTTCCTCCTTGAGTAAGAATGTGTCACTATCTCTTCTTTATCTCTTTAATGTTCTCCTGTTGATGTCTTTTCTCTGTCGTGTCTATCTCCTTGCAGTGCCTTGGCCCCTTGTCTACGTCATACATAACGCGTTAGGGTTGTAAATAAACGATTTAGAGGTATGTGCATATACGGGTGCCACCAGTCTCGACCTCTACCTACTTACTCTCTATCCATCGCTTCTTCCTATACACTCTTTTTTCTCTCACTTCTTCTTGTAAATCCTGATATCAGGTCCTGACATCTACTCTCTCCCATATTATCCCTCAGAAGCAACGGCAACCTCGGTACAGGTAGGTAGGTTCAGCTTAGTCATTATTCTGGAAAAATGATAATCCTCTCCGCCGCAATACGCTGACTAAGCATCCAATTATCGCGCCTTTTAATGTCAAGGAAAAACTTGATATATCAAAAAGTCTCAACAGACAGATATAAATCCCCGGAATCAATGGAGTACAAGATGTACGGCATGTCCAAGAGCAAGGGGGCGGCTCTCCTGATCCGCAAACAGCGATCCCAAGCTCACTGGCACCGTCCGCTGTAACGCTGCCCTCACCGGCAGTCCCAATGGCACTGCTCTCTCTTGTCTCATCAAGTAGCGGCATCGCATCGAGCAATGCCCCCCCTTTTGAGCGACCTATGGGCTGCTCCTTTTTTTACTCTTTCCCGCTGGAGGGATCTTGTTCCAAAAAAAGCAGCTCGAGGAGAGACAAATCTTAAGGGATTCGACTGGCGTTTGTCTCGGATCAAGCTTGGTGCAGCCAATGGGAGTCTGGAGCTAGCCGGCAAAACTCAGCGTACCCTCGTATTCACTTGGATCTGGGGTCCCTTGATCTTTGACGATTCGATCGTTAAGGGAGGAGGGAGGAAGAAGAGGATTATTTGCCGTCAAAGTCCACCGTCTTTTGCCTGGCTCCAGTGACGTGGCGCTGAGCTCGCGAGCACTTCGCATTATCTAACAGATTGTCTTACTTCTTAAGCTTTTGGCGCTTGCAATGCAACCTGAAAATAGAATGACAAGAAACGTTCAATCTAGCGTTGATGCTCGCTTGCTGGTAAAGTGAGATGGAAGTGAGTTCGGCGGCGTATATATAAACGGACAAGGGACTCGCCTCTGGACCCTTGATATCCTCCTTCACCGCCGCAGACAACTTCCAATTCTCTCGCTACCAACAGGACGAATATCAAACCAGAACGCTCGTTTACTTTTCTATACTTGATACCACCAAAATCTTTACGATGCATTTCTCTAGCTGTGTGCTCGTCTCGGCTTTGGCCATTGTTACCAATGTTGCTACCGCCTCTCCTCCACCGCTCCATCAGTTGAGCCGTCCTGCCCTCAAGGATTCCACCATCTTCCGCTCTACTGTCCACTGCGCTGATTGCCCCGAGGGAAACTGCTACAAGTGCACTCTCGGCCATAACAATACTCTCATCGCCAACACTGGCGGCATGGCCTACCTCCGCGCTCTTGTTGGTTTCCAGCTCCCCGTTCCAGCCAAGAAGGTCAAGCAGTGCACCGTTCAGTTCCCCGCCTTCGTCAAGCTGATGGAAGCCCCTATCAACATCACTGTCTCCGAAGCCAAGTCCAACGACTGGGACGAAGACACCGTCACTGGGGAGAACGCTCCCGATTCCGGTGAACCTTTCAGCACCTCCCATGTCCCGGCTTTGACCAACCCACCTGCTCTCGATGCCACCGAGGCCTGCAAGAATGCTGCTGAGAACGGCGACTTCTCCATCTACGTTGGCGCTCAGTTCGGTCGTTTCGAGATCTGGTCCAAGGATTCTGGCAACCCAGCCATTCTTCACACTTACTACAAGTGATTTCTTTTAAGCTTTTCTTCGTGGTTAGCTTCAATAACACCACCACCATTGTACTTTCCTTTCCTTCCCTTATGACTGTACATAACGACATGACTTGAGCGTTGGGGACTACCACGGACAAACACGGAGTTAGAGAGTCGCTAGCAAGCTTGCATTAATTGATAATATCTACAACCTGAATTCAAGATACGTTTATCATGCAAGTCATTCACCTCATATGGCCCTTTTTCTCCCATATCTTCCTCTGACTCTTTGGAATAAAGGGGTAAATAAGTTTTTTTCGCGTGGCAACGGCGGCTAGCTACCAAATAAATATTTTGCTCAAACGCTTCCACCCCAGAGTCAATGATGTCAAAACAAAAACTGTGAAAATTGCCACTGGTGCTTCTGCCTATAAAAATACTTTCAGTACTGTAGACCCCCAAGATGCTACTGATTTTACAGCTAACACGTGTTTAACAGCGTACGAACTAGGTAATGATAGTCGCTGCTAATATCAACGTGGCTAATCTGCAAGATGGTCGGCATCAGGCGGGAAACTCCCGGCCTGAAGATCCAAACTTTATCAAAAGTAAGTACTTTTACGCAACTAGCCATGATATCTGCTAACTATCGGTGTAGATACACAAGAACTCCCCAGTATCGAAGCATGGTTTGCGCAAAAGGAGAAGTTCCGCGCAGTCGGCCATGGATTTCCGATGGGGATGCCGCAGATGCAGAACTGCAGCCCCGAGCTGGAGCGGCTGTTTCAGGAGACACTAAAGCCGAAGATCACGAGCATACTGGGTAAATTCAGTATTAACTACTCATCTATTCGTCTGGACGACTGGCGTTCAAAGGGGTCCGGCGAGGTGCAGCATACGATTCTAGTATCCTCGGATGATACCAACACAACCAAGTGGAAAACAGCAGCAGAGGAAATACTCAGGGTATTTCGCCATGAGCTACCTCTCGGCTTCACCGGAGACGCCCAAGTGGAAGTACAGAACAAGCAGCTCATGAACACTGACGTCTCTCGCGCCGTGCCTAATGAACCTGCCCTTATTAAGTGTCTTGAAGATACCAGGGAGGAGATCATGGAGACGGTCATGGAGAGCTTGAAGGACTGCTGGTCATCGATAGGATATCATATGCGGGTTCCCCTCGAGTCTACTCTCGATATGCAAGGACGTGCTACTGTAATGGTATATTGCCGTTTTGGAAGCTGTGGTGATTTTAAAACGGCAGAGGACCGCATCCTGAAAGTCCTAGACAAATCCCCCATGGATATACACGTGGAAATCGCCCCGGGCGAGGTATTCCTTGCCCGAAATGCCGACGGACCCAGGTTTCTTTCAGATATACCTGCCTCTCCTATTAATGGTGCGTCTATCAGTGTTCGGGGCAACAACACAGAACCCGGCTCACTCGGTGGATGGGTATGGCTCCACATACCCCGTAGAGATATGCGTGTACGCTGCGTCTTGACCTGCTACCACGTCGTCAGATCTCCAAATCAAACTATTGCAGCTCACACAGACGTTCATGGTGTCGTCCCTGACGATCGTCGGGGTCATATTGTGGCTGAATACCCTGCAGCATGCGACGGACAACACACGCTAGACATCCTCGCCAGCCTCCCGAAGCACCAAGCTAATTCACTTGAAGTGCGCTCTCAATATAGAGACCTCTACAATCGGATGATCAACCCGGCCATAGGAAAAGTCACCCTTGCGTCTGGAAATCGGATAAGCGACAACTCCAGAATGGACTGGGCTTTGATTACTTCCCCTTCCACGTTCAGACCGAATAAGCTTCCACCCAGCCCCAGCAAACAGGATACCTTCAGTCTTTCTCTCTGTGGAGCGTTTGCAATGAACCCTGACAGTTGGGTGATGAGCTTTGGGGACGTAGAGCTTGGAGACTGGGTATCTAAATACGGACGTACATCGGGTACCACCTATGGCAAAATCAACCATCTGCGTCGGGAAGTGAGGTGGCCCTCTGGTGAGCGGACATATGAGATGGAAGTTATTTCGCCGAACGGCGAATTTTCACGGCCGGGAGATTCAGGTTCGATGGTGGTTAATTCTAGGGGTGAATTCGTTGGCCTGGTTTTGGCCACAGATAGCTCAACGCCGTTTGGAGTCACTTATATTACCCCCATCAGCCATATACTCAGGGATATCAATAAGATGACTGATGGCGGTTTTCTGACCTTGAGACCTGATGACTATGGCTGGTTTACTAGCGTATAAAACCTGTTTTTTTGGCGTTTACCATATAGTATTGTGGCTCATGTTAAGGCCGTTTTGAAGGTGTTTGGATGGAGCATTTTATGATTCCATGAGCGAAGACAACTGATACAGAAAGAGCATTTGTATATCCGCACAGAAGGCGTTGGGAGGCAAACCATTATATATATTATACAGCCTCAGTGATACACCAGAGAATACTGTTTGTCAAATACGCTTGCAGCAAACGCTTTGTAGAAACAAATCAAGCAAAGGGTAATAACGATTAGCAACTGCAGTGCTAAGTTCCTATTAACAGTAGATGGAAAAAGGGAAGAAAACATAGAAAAGGTATCCCAAGAATGTAGTATGTACAGATCCAGTTCGTCACGCCGTATATTGTCCAGAAGTATCAGAAGAAGAAAAAAAGAAAACAAAAAAAGAAGGTCATTTGGTGCTGCCGGGTTAAACGGCATCATGCACACTGTTCGAAGGGTTGAGCTCTAGATAGCTGTGTCTCTTTGAAGAGGTAGATACTGAGACCTTGTGGCTATGGGTTGAGTTAGGCCAGGAGTACTGCTTTGAAGAGGCATCGGAGCTGCCGCCCTTTTCGAGCCTTCGGCTGTTGGAAGTAGAGAATAGCCCCTTGATCGAGGATGCGATGGACTTGGGCAGGTGGCGGTCAAGGAATGCAGGGAGGAGCAATAGACATCCACAGAAGATTCCAACGTTGGCTTCGATGACACTGTACAACTGTTAGACAGGGATGGACACTTATGGTGCAAGAAGAAGGTATGACTTACGCCCAGACAGCCAGTCGAGAAATATTCCACGTAGCATCGGGATTGCTTTGCAGAACAGGGGTTTCCGCAAGTCGAACCAAACTAGCAGCTACAGCACTGTAGGGGTATATGTTAGATTGGTGATAAACATTGTAATAGCCGTTGGAGGGTATACGTACAAAATACCCAGGCCGAATACACCGAGAAGCTTGATCTTGCGGCGTAGTTTCATATGCAGGTTCCAGACTGGGTATATTGGCAGGATAAGCACGTATAAGTCGGTTGTTGAGCTGAGAGCACCGGATAGATATGGAAGAATGGTGGGATTGATGCATCTGCCGGGAATAGCAATGTTCCATGCGCGTGCAATAGGGGAACACGAGAAGATGGTTGCGAAGAGAATTGCAACGTGGGTAACAGCCACGAAGACGATGCCGAAGGTGATCAGAATGTTTGATAGCGTCTGTGGTGAGAAGACACGTCGGTAGAAGAAAAGGAATGTGAGCTTGATCGTTGCGGTCAGGATCAAGTAGACGTATTGCGCAAAGGTGAACCACTGCTTTATGTTAGAAAGAGCCCTTTCGTCATGCCGATAGGGGTACAACTATATCATACTTTCAAAGCATATGGAACCCAGAGTGGTGGAGTGTCCCATAAATGCCGCCCAATGCCCAGAGTATATGCTTGAAATATATCAGCAAATATAATCTTTTTTCAAAGAGACGGCCTCCGGACTTACATTTTATCATCAACCCGGAAAATGCGACTGTCAACACCTGTATTCATGTTTTAGTCTTGAAGTCACGGAGGGTATTTGGATATTGCCGCCTACAAATGAAGCCAGACAGAAATCTATAGAAGCATATGTTAGTTATACGTCCTGAATATGTAGATATAGATTCACGCACAGTCATCTGCGCCCATCTTTGTACGGGTGACGATTGTACGGGTGTAAACCCGCATGGCAACCGCTGCAGTAGCCAGAGTGAGGCATACTGTATGAAGGGCGATATTGCCGGAGCGCTGGCTCGGAGGGTCAATGATATTAGGCGTGACACCTGGAGGAGGAGGGATAGCTCCAAGCCACTGGGTCGCCATGGTGTGTCTTCGATTGCCTCGAAGCTCAGTCTGATACGCTTCTAGGCGTCGAGGTTGGCTGGAAGGACAGAGCTGAGTCTTGTAGGATGAGCAGACAGAGGAAGGCCGGCTAGATGAAGAGGAGGGAAACAGAGACCAGACTCGGCGAGGAAAGATAATATACGTGCGCTTGAGGCTTCATCCTCCTGCAGGTCATATCATGCCGGGGGGGATGAGAATGATAAGCTACTGGAGGGCCATGCCAGCCAGCACCTCATCTCCCCTGGTCCGCTGGCTGGTCTCATGCATAGATTCTGTCCTCCCCCCCAAGCTCATCGTCGCCTCCCTGTGTAAAGACTGGCCCGGACGAAGCAAAGCAACGCCTCTTAGGGTTCCTCTGGTTCGTCGGACCGAGCAAAAGCGCCCTTTGGCTGCAGCACAGCATCCCAAGAAGCTCGTCTGACTGACAACTGGTCTGGGGTCCCTGGCCTGAAGAATCCTTCCAGCAATTCTCCAGCCGTCTGCCACCCTCGATTCCCTCAATCAGGTCGTTCGCTGTCCTCACGGAACATGCAAGCAACTTTAAGTGGAGTGCTCCAGCTGGGACGCAGCTCGTATCCCAGCAGCCGTGGTTTGCTGGGGCCATAATTTCCTTTTGCCAGCCTTGGGCCACCAGCCTAAAGGTTGATTTGGATGCACATCAGGGACTCTGCAGATCGGCAGACGCAGAGCGAGGGCCAGCGTGTGCCCTCCCAGAGAAACCAAGCAGCTCCATCGAGTGAGTTACACCAAGGACGAGGCCGGCCGAAGCTGATATCACATCCTCATCGTGGCCGGCAACTAGTGAGCTTAAGGCCAGAAGGCTGCAGCCATCTCGCCGACCAGCCGATCGTGGGGTCTCCAGCCGTGCTATCGAGTCAAGAGAGATCTCTCGATGGCCAGCAGCACCTCCGTACTCTGTAGGCGTTGGGTATCTAGATGTTGGTTAGCCAGCGCACCGTCAAAGGAGTCGGCGGTTGTGATACCAACGTCGTTCCACGAACCAGGGATAACAACATCCGTTAAGTAGTCAGCCCAGAGCCCGTAGCCACTGGCCATCCATGCGCCGGCCAGGCTAGAAGCCGATGCAGGGCATCCATTATTACGGCCTCGCCCTCATCCCTTGCGAAGAATCAAAAAAAAAGGCCCGTCCGGAGTCGTGGGATCCGGAGCGCGAAGACGCAAAGGCTGCAAGCCTGCCCGGGACCGACTCGGCAGTAAAAGAGCCAGACGAGGCCGCGAGCGCTCAACAAAAGGCCAGCAGCAGCAGCAGCTTTCTCCGTCTCTGCTCGCTAGTTAATTAGTTTCTCCCGCGCGCTGCTCTTTGTGCGCGATTTGCTTTGCTGCTCGAGATGGCCGTCTTGGAGACGCAGAGCCTCGTGGCGGCGGCAGCGGCTTTGCTGCTAGTGGTAGTTATCTACATCCGCCCATAGTTACAAGTATACTCATGCGAATACAACAGCTGGCTAACGTGGTGGTGATAGTATCCCGTCTGCAAGATCGTCTACAACCTGTACTTCCACCCGCTGGCGAAGATCCCCGGGCCGCGGGCGTGGGCAGCAACCCGTCTTCCCTACTGCCGAGCGCTCATTCAGGGGACGATAGTACACGACTTTGAGAAACTACACCAGATATACGGGCCGGTTGTGCGGACTGCGCCGGATGAGGTCACCTTTGCGCGTGGAGATGCATACAACGACATCTTCCGGGTCCGTCAGGGCCATAACCAGTTCCTCAAGGACCCCGTCTGGTGGGCGAGGCAGAAGGGCCAGCCGGACTCCATACTCAGCGCGATTAGGCCGGAAAACCATGCTCGGATTCGAAAGATACTGGCTCCCGGGTTCACTACTCGTGCGCTGAAGGCACAGGAGCCGCTGGTTCAGAAATACGTCAATCTTCTTATCCAGCGGATGCACGACAAGGCGAGCGAGGTCCAGGACGGCAAAAAGGGGGTCGAGTTTGATATCGGGCCCTGGTTCAACTTTACCACCTTTGATATCTTTGGAGAACTCGGCTTTGGAGAGTCGTTTGACTGCCTCGAGAATTCCCGGTACCATCCATGGATTGCGCTGCTTTTCAACAGTGTCAAGGCGGCCGCATTTATATCTGCTGCCAAATTCTTCCCGCTGATCACCTTAATGCTCATGAAATGTATACCCGAGTCCCTCAAGAAGGTGCAGAAGGATCACTTCCAGCAGATTGTAGATAAGGTCGACCGGCGTCTCAGCTGGGAACTGGACCGTCCGGATTTCATGTCTCATGTTATCAAGTCCGACGGAACCACGAAGATGCCGATTGGGGAGATCTATGCCACCTTCATGGTGATGACTACTGCCGGAAGCGAGACGACTGCAACCACACTCAGTGGGACGATGAATCACCTTGTTTCCCAGCCGGAGACCCTTGCAAAGCTCACCAAGGAGGTGCGCAGTGCATTCCAGAGCGAGAGTGACATGACCCTGGATGCCCTCCAGGACCTCCCGTACCTCGACGCCGTACTTCGGGAGGGCCTCCGAACCTGTCCACCCGTTCCATGGATGCTGCCCAGAGTTGTCCCGCGTGGAGGTGACACTGTCTGTGGAACCTGGTTACCCGAGGGTGTAAGTTCTTCTCTATTCCGTTCTATTTATATATATATACAGACACATACATGTACAGAATGAGACATCTGACTACCATATACCAGACCGCTGTGAGCATCCAAGCATACACCCTCAACCGCGACCCTTCATTCTTCCACTCAGCAACATCCTTTATCCCTGAGCGCTGGCTCCCCGAGGCCAGCACCAACCCAAAATCCCCCTTCTACCATGACCAGCGCAACGCTGTCCAGCCGTTCAGCGTTGGACCAAGAGAGTGCCTTGGCCAGCATCTTGCATGGGCAGAGCTGAGACTTATCCTCGCTAGATTGGTCTGGGCGTTTGATTTTGAGGCTGTAGAGGGGAAGAAACTCAGATGGGAAGAGCTGAGGACCTTTCTCCTGGTTGAGAAGAAGCCGATTCAAGTGAGAATTAAGCGGAGATCAGATTAAGGTAAAGTATACGATGTCTTTCGTGCGTCTAGCTGGTGTCTCTGCGGCTGATACCAGCTACCATATCTACATAGTCATCAAAGGGCCATGATGGAACGAAACAAAACGGGAGGAGCATTTGCTTGTATACTAATTTCTCAGGGGCAACCCATATTACTCTCTTGGAGTACATTATGAACACCACTCGATTATTTCTTCTTGGGTGCGGATTTGACCAAGCCCGCCATTTTTCCTTTCTCCTTGACACTCTTGAGATAACGCATTCGCCTCTCAGCCCCTGCCTTGCATACAAACCCATATCAATATCGGGTATAATATGCATGGTCAACGCAACAACGCGCATCCTTAGCTTATTTCGATAGTTAGCCAACTCACTGGATGTGACTGCGATACTCTCGATGTAACTAACTAACTAATGAATGACTTTCTCACCCTCCTTTTGGCCCCAGCCGCAGTACACAACTTGAAGGCAAAAACAGCAAGAAAGCAAGAAAGCAAATATGCTGTCTATCCCATATTCAGGTAACGCTTGGCTGCTATACTCCGTGCTATGACGGTGAGAAAGACTTAACCTTATGCTCGGCGCGAATACGATGCAAAGCAACCTTACGCTCATAGTTAATGGATTTTAGTCTCGGTCGGCGCCCCGGGTCCTTTGTGGCTGTCTTGGTAACTATGGGGTACCTAGCGTAATAGACTGCCCCCAATGCCAGGGATGGTAGGCCTATGGGCTCAAAGTGAGAAGCCTAGGCTTGGTAGATCTTTGTACTTAGCAGTTTTATAAATAGCCGGGCGGGAAGGATGGCCAATAATAGTACCCAATATCAGGCATTCATTAACATGTCAGTTAAGATGGGAGGTCGCAGCCCACAGTGGCAGGCCTTTTAAATTTTTACACAAATGGCGTAGGGTATAAATAACTAAGTACATGCGACTCCACGAAGAACGTTCTCCCTTCATTAGTTAACTAGTTAGTCTACTAGGGAATGATAGCTCGGACTCCCTTCGTTTCAATCTTTGGCAGGGGGATAAGGAAGTCGTGGGCTTGCTTTACGTCGCTCTCGTCCGTCTCAAATAGCTCAAACTTGGGGCCGTTGGGTCGGAAAAGGACGGCCAGGATAAGGCTCATCTCGGACATGGCAAGACTGTGTGATGGAATTAAAGAAGTCCGTTAGCCCCCGAAATTATTATTGTGGAAAGTTAGGCACCTCCGGAATACGAAGCAGACGCCGCTAACATCTGCATGTTCAGGCTGCAGGCAGATCTGTTCACAGCCACGACCTGTCCAATAACGGTAAAGGAAGATATCACTCACTTCATTCCCAGGCAGTTTCTGGACCCTCGTGTGAATGGGACATAGCTCCTGTGCATTTCAGGAGTCACCTTTCCGAGCCATCGGTCTGGAATGTACTTGTCTGGCTCGGGGAATGCTTTGGGGTCAGAGTGCATGAAATAAGCTGACATGCCGACGGGGACCTGAGCGAATGAGTAGCCATTACCACCTGATAACTAGGGCGCTAGACAGAGTTTGGAAATATTGTCTTACACCAGGTGGGATAGTGTATTGCTTGTACTGGATAGGCACGTCGGGCGAGATACGGGGAAGTCTGTGCATAACACCATAGCTGAGGCTGTAAATGTAATTTTGTTAGTCTCGACGACTTTGCGCTTTGAGTTGGGGCTGGAGCTTACCGAAGGGATTCCTTGATGAGTGCCTGCAGGAAGGGCAATTTTTCGAGCTCAGCCCAAGAAGGGACGCGCTGCGGCCAGTCTGCCATCACATCCCTGAGTTCATCTTCCAGCCTCGACCGGATATTCGGGTTAGACATGATGTAGAATGATGTAAAGCCAATAGTACGTGCAGTACTGGCGGTTCCACCACCAAGCAGGACCTGGGCCTCCTTGGCTAGTCGTTCCGGGGACCGTTCTGATTCGGGCATATCGCTCGTTGCGATATAGTGGAAAAGAGAGGCATGATTGGTATCCTCTTTGCCAGTCCTTTTACTTTCCTCTGTATCTTTCAAGGCTCGATAGATGTGCTGTTTAGCGACCTAAATTTAATTTAAACCCCCCCCCTTTTTTTTAGAAATGCCTCGTTGTGTATCTCTCTCGTTTAGCCCCCTACGCAGGGGTTTGAGAGAATTTACATACCTCTTTGAAGTTATTGAACATTTGGCCCCTAGGAAAAGCCCGTAGAAGGATTGATTCCGGAATGAAGCTCACTACCCTGCTCCCTGTTAGAAAGTTGGGCTTATTTTCAGCCTCGAGGAGGCACAAGGGTATACTATTCGACTCACTGGACAATCCATGGAAAGGCTGTAAACAAGGGAATTGATCGAACAATCGTGTGGATGGTGTCGTACCTAGTCACACGGTCAGATGTGCGTCTTTTCGCTAGGGGGCCGGCCTTTGCGTTACATACCACTCAGGGTTGAACGTTGGGTGACTCAAAAACGTCTTGCTGTCATCCCCGCTGTCCAGGCAGATTTTCCCAATGATATCGCCGGAGAATGCGGAGAATGCATGGTCCAGTCGAATCACCGTGTTTGTACCTTCAAGGGCTCTGATTCGTGATTCAAGCTTGAGGGCAACTTCTGCCAGCATGTCTTGAAGCCGCATAATTCCCTGGCGAGAGAAGAATGGCTCGAGTGGCTTTCGCCTACGGCGATGGAGATCATGGTCCACAGTAAGTAAATGCGATCCTAGTATCAAGTTAGCAACTGGACAACAAATTTGCATCTCTCTGTGTCAAGGTTATATATTTGCTGACCATCGAAATCAATTCCTTTACAGAAAACGTCATAGTGACTTGTCCTGCGTTTGCTCTCTGTGACATAGATTTCATTGTAAAAGTCGGGGTCACGAATAGACAGCTCTTCAGGATTGATTCGGATTATAGGACCTTTTCACCATTAGTTCGCTTCATCTGATGGATACTGCAACTTCTTCTAGGAATAAATCATCCCGCAGGATTGAAGATCTTATTCACCATATTTATCATGCATCTTCTCAATTTCAAAGAGGTATTTTCCATTGCACCACCAGTCATAGTAAAACTCCGGCCAGTAAGTTGCAATCACCCATTTTGAGCCCGGGAATTTGGACAGAGGGGAAAAGTAAAGGTTGTAGATAATACGGCCAAGTGAGTACAGGATATAAGACCCCGCCAATATGGTCAGGGTGAAGGGCAGATTGAGACCTATGTTATCCATTGTATCGTCTCTCCCAGCGATAAAAGTTAAAGAAACCGTATTAGAAAGCAGAAGATAACGCTTGGTTAACTCACCAGCGACCGAAATTCATCTCAGTAGTGAGCACTTTCGACCTTTTTATTTGCAGAAACGGGACATCCAGCCTCGCGCCAGGTTGTTTGGTATCAGTTTCTCGATTAAGTTCCATCCAGCCCCAGAACAAATCCTCGGATCAGCAGCCAACAGGGGTCAAGAAGAACAGACCCTGCATACGAATCCAATCAGCGTGGCTTATTCCCCTCGATGTTTAGAGATGCATACATACTGAAAACAGAACGAAAGCGGGCTCTCGTAGCCATGATGACGGCTTGTGCCGAATTATCAAAATGCTCACCAACTTTTTGGGCGGCTGAGCCATTGGTTTTCCCACGAGCCTTGCTCTATATACATACATATGCAGTTCTAGTTCTCGACCCCTGCTTGTTGTTTTACTTTTGCGTTAATTGCTGGTAAGCAAGTAAACAGGCTATTAGGCTGAAAATAGAGTCGGTTGGCCCACCTGACGGGAGTTGCTTCACGCTATCAGCCTGAAGCTCCACAGCTGGAAAGAATGGGATCATGGCCCCTTCGCTAAGTCCTGAATGGAAAGCCCCCCCTTACTTTGTGTGGGCTGAGTGCGCCGCAGATTTCCGTGCCTGAGGTACACTGTATCTTGGATGTATATGCCCGGTACAAAACAAAAGTTACCGGATAGCTGGTGAGTGGATAATGTGAAAGGATCATAGGCTGTCAACGTTAGACGTATATATCAAAATGATATATAAGGAGCCTCCAAGGCTCTGGATATGTAAAAACTCTAGCCCTCAACTGTTGCATCCTTTTCATCTTTTTTTTGCTCGCAGAAAACTCTTGCACCATTTATAACCCTTTGCCAATACCATCATCCAACCCAACATAATGGAGTTCCAATACTCTTATGAGATTGATCCACAGTTCTATGAGACAGACGGTCTCGACCTGGGCCTTCCCCTTCGTATGCATTTGGACCCATATAAGGAAATCAACGGTGCTCTACGTGCCCAAGACGACTGGAGCAAGAACGTACGCCCCGTGTATGGCTATAAGGGCGGACTTGGCTACCCGTTCAGCTTTATTCGAGTGACTGTTCCAGAGTGCCTCCCTGAGAGGCTGGAGATCATCTCGTATGCTAACGAGTTTGCTTTCCTCTATGACGGTAAGTAAGCATATATCATCACATTAACCATCCGATATTGACAAGCCATATAGATGCCATGGAGAAGCTTGATCTTAAGGGGGTGAGTGAACGACTTCTATTCTTGGTGGCTGGAATGCAACGTGATGACTGATGCTAACCATGAATAGTATAAGGATGGGCAGCACCACGATATGCTTGATGCCTTTGGCGATGAAAAGGCATTGGATCAAGAAGCCACATCTCATGATGGCCAAGAGAAGAAACTTCAGGCCCAGATTCTGGCCAACATGGTTGCCATCGATCCCCCGCGCGCTATCACGGCTATGAAGGCATGGTCTAAATTCGTTCAACTTGCTTCTCGAACAAGAACACGGCCGTTTGACACTCTGAAGGAATACATTCCCAGCCGAGTCATTGACGCTGGGGAGCTGTAAGTTTTAAATAGAAGTCATATCCTTTTCATACACCTTGTTCTAACTTCTGCGGTAGCATCTGGTTCGGGACATTGACCTTTGGAATGGGCCTTACCATCCCAGATGACGAGTTAGAGCTTTGCATGGAGTTGGCTAGGCCAGGATATGCTGCTCTTGGCCTCACAAATGACCTCTACTCCTGGAGAAAGGAGCGTGATGAAGCAGCAGCAGACGGCCTAGATTATGTCTTCAACGCTGTCTGGGTCATCATGCAGGAGCGATCTCTCAGTGAAAAAGACGCAATGATTGCATGTGCAGAGGAAATAAAAAAGCAGGTGGCCGAGTTTAACATCATTGTCGAAAAGGCGAAGCAGGACTCCAACCTTTCCAAGGATACTCGAGCATACCTTGAAGCAGTGAGATATAGCCATGTCGGGAACCTCGTCTGGAGCATCTACTGCCCACGTTATCATGACTACTGATACCCTGGAACGATAAAAGATTCGTATCCATGTACTCCTTACGGAGCAGTTATACGGGGGTATTCCTGGGGTGACGCAAAATGTGTCCTGAAGCTGGTCTTTTTCTTCCCGGTAAATTTCCTTCTTGTGCTCCGCTTTCTTTCTTATCCGCCTTCCATTTTGGCTTTCAGCGATGTAAATTTAATGAAGCATGTTCCCTTGATGATCAATAATAATTGGACTTTTAAACACCTTGTGGCAAATAGTGATGACTTCCCTAGCCTGCGAAGAGCCTAGATATTACGGAGTATCTGTGGGTTTCTTGCAATGCGGATCACCCATCAATTTCTGTTGTGTTTCGACTCAGCGAACCACAACAGAGCCGGCTATCTGTGAGGTCTGTGTCATTATACTGGTCCGATACCTCTTTTTTTGCGGGACAATCCCACTCACAGCCACGCAAAAGGCGCGTGGACTTGGAAGTGCGAGTGACTCGCCCGCCCAGCCGCGAGGAAACAAGTAGGAACCCGCATCACCCTTGCTCCCAGGTTGCATATACGCAATGCATTATTTCCACTCCAGCGCGTGTGTGGCGTGTCAAGTAACACGTTCGGGATCATCAAGACATCGGGAGGATTGGGGGAGCTTCAGCAAATCCTGGTGGAAGTGATAGAGCGACGTTGGATGTAAGGTTAAGATGCACCGAGAAAGGAAAGTGAATCCTGGCAACTTTAAAACACTGAGTCACGTGATGAAGGATTCACATCATGTGATTAACGCTTATTAAGTGGGGCTAAACCTTGATGTGCACGGACGTGTTTTGCTCTTACTAAAAATGGAAATCGATGCAGAACTTTAACACAGCCCAACGTCCCTGCCTTTTACGGAAACCACGTCAGAACTTACGTCAGGACTCCGTATGCCATTATTTTGATATACAGAATATTTTTGACACGTTTTGACTGGCAAAGACTCGAGATAGAGCACGTCAAGACAAACACTGTACAGCCACAACCGGACGTCATCTCTTTTGACGTTACGAGGTGTACCCCTGTCTCTATCAACTCGCTAATATAACCTGCATGGGTTCCCTTGACTCACTTTCCTTCAGTCAACACCACCGTGAAAGGAAAATCAGTCTCGATTGGTTACCGCAGCCCACCGTGCACGAAGATCTTTTAAGTCGGCGATTAACACGCCTTGTCTGGGGCGTGATAGTTGACAAAAAAGAGTGGTACAATCAGTACGCCGCCACGTCGATTGATCCTCCCTGTACAACAGTGTTTCAGTGCGAGTTTGAAGGATTTTAAGTACGGGGGTTATTTTTACAAGACCCTCGTCCGCGCTAAGGGACAATCACCAGCACCAAGAGCTTTGACTCAAGCGTCTCCGCAAAAAAAGGACAAGCTTCTCTTCCTTCTCGTCTCCAGACGCTTGATGTCGTTTGACTTCAACTCTAACTCCTGTCAACATTTGCTCACCCTTCACAACCAACACACAGATTGCACAGGAAGAGCAGTCTCCTACGTATATCAAGATGGGTGCTCAGTTTTCGCAGTTTTTCCCGCCCAAGCCGAACTGGACAGAAGCTAAGGTGGGCTTGCAAGATGGAAAGGTGTTTATTGTGACAGGTGGTGCTTCTGGCATCGGCTTTGAACTAGTTAAGATGCTCTACGAGAAGGGAGGAAAAGTTTACATCGCTGGACGGTCGAAAGAGAAAGCACAAAAGGCGATCGAGGAGATACAGGCTGCTATACCGAATGGTGGAAGCCTGGAGTTTCTCCATCTCGTGCTTGACGACCTGAGCACTATAAAGACATCCGCCGAAGAGTTCATGGAGAAAGAATCCAGACTCGACGTTCTTTGGAACAACGCAGGCGTGTCTCAACCGCCACTTGGAAGCTTATCCAAACAAGGGATTGAACTACAGCTTGCAACAAACTGCCTGGGACCCTTCCTATTCACACAGCTACTTCTCCCTCTTTTAGAAACCACCGCAGCAACATCTACTCCAGGCTCAGTGCGCGTTATCTGGACGGGCAGCCAAATTGTTGAGCTATCTGCTCCCCAGGGTGGGATCATCATGTCAGAGCTTACAACACCTCCAAAGGATCAAACTCGAACCTACATCACTTCCAAGGCTGGCAACATGTTCTTAGCGTCAGAACTTGCCCGGAGAGCTGGCCCTTCTCATAACATTATAAGTGTTTCACTCAACCCTGGAGCTGCCAACACAAATCTCCTCAGACACAGTCCTTGGATGAAGGTTCTAGCCATGCCATTGCTATACAAGCCGAAATTAGCCGCCATAACCGAGTTGTTCGCTGGATTGTCGTCAGATGTAAACCTGGAAGAAAACGGGTGCTACATCATACCCTGGGGTAGAATTTCTCGGTCAGTAAGGCAGGATCTAGTTGATGCGTCCAAGTCAACAGAGGATGGGGGAACGGGAAGATCACAGGAGTTTTGGGAATTTTGTGAGAAGAAGACTACAGACTACATGTAATGAAAGTGTTGAATTCTGCATCGCGATGGCTAACGATAAGCCCGAGATTACCTTTCTATATTGACTATGAGCCAAAGGAATCCTGCATTAATTACGCCCATGTTGTAATTATTATCGCTACTTATATTTATGTATATGATTTGCAGGTCTCCGAATACTCTCCCTGTCTATTCAACAGGGAGCTCAGCTTTTATCATTCCACCATTATTATTATCCGTTTAATTGATAATTGGCAGAGGTGGTCAGGCACTATTGTCTATCGATACTAACGTTTTGGTATTTTCCTAATATGGGAGTATCTTGTAAGTATTATGAGTTCAAGAGAAAAGAAATACATTTTCATCATGAGGGTATTAGCCAGGCAGCAATCCTCAAGTCTGAGCGCTTCTTCGACTTATAGACTAGTCTGATGGCTGCTGAGAGAGAAGCTGCAAAGAGCTACATGCTTGGATGTGGCTGAGCAGGGATTATAACGGCAAGGGTATATTCCCAACAGTATTTAGGCAGCAGCCTCCCCTTCCCCTCAACTGTAGACTTATAAGAACCCTCTACTGTGAATCAGATTTTACCGACCATATATGATCGTTTAGAGACAATCTTGCCACAGGCAAAGTGAACTACCCCAAAGTTGCAAAGATACCAAAATAATGGTATGTAAACTAACTAGTGGCCGAAATGGAGTACCGAATATTAACGAATATTACAAGCGCTCCTATTCCTCCGGCCGCAAAGGCTCCTGTCTGGAGTGTGGGCATCTAAATTCCGAACATACGTATGAAAAATGCCTTGCAAAGGGATGCAAAGTCGAATGGAAGCTATGCCAAGCAGGCGGCAATTGGATGCTATGCGAAGAATGCGAAGATCACCCTGGAGGAGGCCCAGATGGAACTCAGCCTGGCGGTTGGATTAGAGATGGGTGGAAGAAGCACTGAGAATAAAGATTTGAGAGCCAAATATGAGATAAAATACACAAGTGGGCTGTCGAGAGAGTCTGTCACATGTTGTGAATATGTTGAGGTGTCGAGTTTGGCAGTCTAGAGGTCCTGTATTGCATGAGACATGAAAACTGTTTGCAACCATGACGATATTGCAGATTTTGATTGCCCATTGATTGATGTCAAGTTGGAATCTGTCTCTGAAGCATTATCGTCGACCCCTAGAAGAAATTCTAGCCATTCATGGTGCCATAGCTCCTTGTCCTCTTTTCTCACACCGTCGGAGAAAAGAGTCCAGGAGAATAGATTTCGAGTAGCAACTTCGGAAAGTCTTTCGTTAATGTCCCCATTTGAAGTTCGCTGCGGTCCGGTAATGAAATCAGTCCAACAGGTGGATAACTTTCGTGTTACAGACAGGAGGGCTCTATTTACGAGTTGAGAAATGGTGCAACCAGTTTTACCATGTGCAGGGAGAGAGGATATGTTTCCTGATAGGGTAAAGCCGTAATCATCCAAGCATCGCACCTCTCCTGAATCTTGACCTTGCCAAACCCAGTGGCTATAGTTTAAACTATGACCGCATAAGACGTGTAGCTGAACTTCGAGGGCAGTATCTCCGAGTCCCACATACCCAAATGGAGGGTATGGGCTTAGGGGTAAAGCTGGGTAGTCTGCAGATTCAAAATCGGTAGTGTATAGAATCCGGAATTCATCTTCGCGCGTAATTAATTTCTTAAATGCAATATTCCTTCGTAATTTCGGCATGTGGTGAAAAACTGGATCCATAAAGGATTGTTGTGACGAACTCCAGACAGCCGCTTCGAGGCAAATCGGGGGTATAAACGATTTGTATACTTCTGGTATGCGATGCAGCATTCCAGTGATAGCTGAGCCTAGTAGCAAAGGCGCCACATTTGGAGACCTTGTGGCTAGCATTTGTATGATACTGCGATGCTTTCGCTCAAGAATAAGAGCCGGTAAGATATCACTAAGTGGTGTATGTAGCCATTCGCTAGCAAGGTTACAGGGTATTCCCACTTCCCAGAAACAACTAAAGAGGCATGACGATATCACATTAGGTATAGTGGAAAATGACATGAAATATGGAAGCTCGTCAAAGGTCGGGATCTTCTGTTTATATCCAATAGTGCTCTGCTTCTTTGGGCGGGTATGTAGGTGAGGTTCAGGAAGGTTGACAGGTGCTCCAAATCTCATATGGTACGGGACAGTAAGGACAGCAGTGAAGGCTGCGAGGAGCTGATCGAATATATCATGCATTTCCGCTACCCGAAGGAGATAACTCTGAGCCTGAGCTGATGACGGAGGATCTCTTTCGGAAGATATGATTAATTCCAATTTATCATGAATAATAGTAAACGGTTTTCCACCATCCTTCAAGTGGCAACTCCATGGAGGATAGTACTCCTTATCCTGGCGGGTAAGCGTTGCTCGCCATCCACACCCATTGGCGAGAACTGCAGCCCACCATCTGGACTCTTGTGCTGTTGCATCACCAATAGGCAGCTCATATCCAGTATTTGAATTCAAGCCACCTGATTTGTTTGCCATTATTGCTATATTGTTGGTATACTGAGCCTGGTCGTGTTGATTCCCTCGAAGTTCAATCAAGCGTGTAGAAAGGACGTATGACCAGCCCAAAACGAACACTGAAAGAAAATTGCTACCAGATGCATCGGGTAAAGCTTCAAAACCTGGCCATTCTGGAAGAAAATTCTCTGAAAGGGAACAGAATGTAGGTTTTAGCACCCCGATACGTATCATCTGAGGCCTGGCCTTCTTAGTCTCGGTGGTAAGAGAACAGGGTGATGTTGAGTTGATACTCCATATTGAGTATCCTTCCAGGAATAGAGAGTGATCCTCAGCAAACTCAGAAATTTTGGAAGTGTCTGGAATAGCAGGAGTACTATGCAAAAGGGCCCTTATACTGCTACAAGCATCGGGCAGTTGTGCTTTGGCTTCGGCAGACCAAAGGAGTTGATGCCATGTATTATATGAGTAGTCCAGGATTTTTGCTGAATCTCGAGAAGCCGGACGAAGGAGATCACCCTCCTTGCAACTCCTGTTCTTCCAACAGGCCATTATTGCCCGTGGACATCGAGCATGTCCTCCTTTCGTTGTCTGTTTTTCAATATTTGTTCTCAACTTTGATGTTGTTGCCTTTGGAGCTAAATCGTGCGGCTCAAAATATACCACGTGACAATGACTAAGCATTGACTAAGCAATAAATGACATAAGCAGGAGGGCGCAGCTTTCTCGGCTTTCGACACGAAGTCGCGGCGTTTCTTCTTCGCTCCCTTTCTTCCTCGTCGCAAAGCAGAACAGAGAGGCCGTCGGATGTTTTGACGGTAATAGCGTACTCCTTTGTCGCTTATTTTGGATAAGACTGCAGCGTGCACCATGGCCGGGTGAGATGCCATGGGCTTAGGGTCTGCTTCCGCCATGCTTGGGTCCGCCAAGACGTTCCTGATCCTCTTCCTGCTGGTGGTGACTGTGTTCGCTCAGCCCGTCAGCATCTCCCATAGAAGCGGCCAGTTTGATACTGTGAAGCTCCATAGAAGTTAGTCCTCCATGTCAATTGGATCCACCTGCTTGTTTGTGCAGCTGACGGCTGATGTGACGTATCTGTAGGCAAAGATGCCGTTTCGGTAGAGTTTGAGACGCCATGTAGGCAGTGTTTTAAAGACGGGGAGTCCAATGTTGTAAGTTGGAGTACAATTTACGATCTCCGTACGCGCATACTACTCGGTCCTAATAGGTTGGACTAGATATTTCACATTCAAATTGCACGGACAAACAGTGTCTGTGGTGAAAATGATGTGCGACTCAATGACCAAAAGCTCGCGTTCACCTGGGATGGAGCCAATGCTGTTGGAGATGGTATAGTTACTGCCCAGTTAATGGGTCGAAAAGAAGGCGTTAATTTACGTCTGCATTGGAGAAGCTTGTGCATTGCCAGTCCCAGAGGATCTATTGGAGACTATGCTGCCCAGATACTCACCTTCACATTTTATCCTGCAGGCCAGGAAGAAGGAAATGACACATCTGGCTTTGCTGTCTCATTCAATTCCGTGGATAAACCGGAGATTTTGCGCCTCGTAACTTCGCCAGCGCCAACTACTAATGAACCCTCGGTTCTGGAAGAATGGCTGAAAGCCAGTGGGAATGGCAGGCTACACCAAGAGAGTCTTGTCAAGAGCCATCCCATCACAGATTCTGAGTTAGAAGAACAACTCAAGGAACTACATAAACTAAGAGACCAAGCCAAGGCTCTCGACGACGTTATCAAGGAGAAAGATGAAAAGATCCGTGAACACCTTTTTGATGACTGTACCAATCTTACTGCGCAGCTCAAGGAGTGTAAGACCTTACAGTGCTTCATATCAGCTACCTTCCAGCTTGTCCCGGACATGTTCCGCCTCGTGAAACATCGGTTTGGACCTTTACCAACCTCTTTAGCTGATAGTCCCTGTCGACCAGTCTCCAAGGTCCGTCAGAATGGATCGGAAAAGGGATATAAAGGGAAAAACAGTACAAGCCCATACCACATACCTCATGCAGTTGGATCTAACAATACATCCATTATTGACTCTACACAAAACTCCAATACAGGTTGGACAGAACCATCACCTGCAAACTCCCCTCCCTCAAATCAACTACCTTCTCGTTCAGCCATAATAAAACATGTCATTCGTGACTTTGCTTTTGTCTCCCTCTTTGTGGCTGTTCTTTACATGCTCCTGAAACATTGCGGAAATTCAATAAGCTGTCGAAGACGTCGAGTAGATATGTTAGCTCGTCGTGAGCAGAGACGAACACTACATGCGTATCGAGCAGCAGCGTGCCGATACCGACTTAGACAATGGTGGCATAGGCTGCTCGGTCGTGAAGACATGACTCCCATAGCCCAGTCTCCGACTACTCCTATCAACGGTCAGCAAAACGATACCATCCGGATATCAGCTTTACCTCCTGGCTCTTTGACTCCAGAATTAGAGGACGATACAATGCCGAATGAAATCCTGGGGTTGCGACGCGTATTTGAATTTGTCGGGGAACTCGTGAATCCTAACGGGCCACCTGCTGCCGGTGATCAAGTACAATCTTCACTCGCGGCTCAAGATATTACCGAAATTACTGCGCGGAGATACTCAGCAGGAACACCAGCCCCATCATCCACCGCTCCTTTGACCACAATCGGGTCTCCAAGGGCAAGTACCAGCATACTTAGTTTTGAGACTGATTCAGAAGATACGGTCGACAGCCTTGATCCAGAAACAGCCACGATGATGAGTGGATAGGAGTACCACCTATCTTCCACCATATGTCATCTGTTTCTCATCCATCCTTTAGATCTCCTATTTTGGACCCAATCCATTATTTATTTATTTTGATTAATTTATACTTCATGCTACTTACCGTTCGTTCGTACTCAACGTTGTCCTTTTTACAGTTGGATGTGGCTATGCATATTTACGTCTATTCTCCGACTGACTTTTGAGTCCTTGTGCTGTCATGAGACGAACATCTCCCAATCTCACGGAAGCGGAAGTAAGGATACTTACGTCTTGCACTAGCCTCCTTTAATTCTGTTGATTTATACATCTTGGCTAGTATATTTGTTTATTTACGAATCTGCACGTTCACGCAAATGTCTCTTGATAAATATTTGTCAATTGCTCGCTAGAAGACCATAATTATCATACAGATTTACAATACAGTTAAGACCTTGGAGAGCGAGCTCACAGCTCAGCTCTACCAACCCTGTCTTAGACCTTTGGCTTCTTCCCACCTCTATTCTTCGCCGACGGGGCATCTTCCATCTCATCATCGTCATCTTCAACAGTGAACTTCCTCTTTGAGCGCATTTTAGTCGCAGAGGCGGAAGCCTCATTCCCATCCTCGTTATCATCGGCTTCTCGGTCCTTACCCTTCCCATTGCCTGATACCTTTGAAGCCCGCTCATCAAACGCCTTCAGCAGAACATCATACCCTTCTTCCACGTTCTGCAGCGTCTCGTCAAGTTTGACTACCCGTTCATCCTTATCAATCTGTATTAACATATCACGGTGTCGTTTGTACAATCGCTGCTTAACAAGCATGCGCCACCAATAATACCGTCTATCATGCTCATTCTGCAGTCGAGACTTCTGCGTTGTAAGACGAGTCATGTTGACGTTTTCCGCCCCACGGTGGGACTGAGGTATCTGGCTAAGAAGATACATCTCAACCAGATGGGCGAATTGAGTAGGGGCGATTTTGAACTCTTGCCTGAGATCATCAAGGGTTTTTGTAGGGATTAGCAGAGAGGTTGGCATGACGCGGGGATGTTTTGGAGGTTGAGAAGAGGAGCTTCCAGGGGTAGTGTTTGGGATGGGGTTGGCGTTGATTGTAATATTATGTTTAGAGAATTCTGGTTTTAACGTGTGGTAGTCGTTTGAGTCTCGAAGTGCATCAAATGACTCGTTTGGATCCTCGATGGTAAGTTCGAAGATGGTAGGGTCCTCAAGGCAGGCTTTTTGAATTGTGCGATAGAGCTGGGATCCATGACCAGCGTGCTGATGTGGTTTAATAATGAGGAACTGAGCAATGCGTAAACGCGCGGGTATCTTTGAGACTGGGAATGAATCGAAAGCCTCCGTTTTCTGGGCCTCGTATGCCAACTTTGCAGCATTCGATGATTGAGGATGGAAAAAGTACCATCTGTATGTGGTTGCGTATCCTGCAAAGGAGTACCTTGATGCTTTTGGGCTAGATGGCTCTTTTTGCTTTTCGTATCTATTACCAATGTTAGAACACTGCCGACCTGAAAAGGAGTGAGCAGAACATACACAAAATATATTATCCATCTTTCCAGAGTCCAGTCAAAGTCGTCTGTTTCAATGGGGGTTCCACCTTCGATGAAGAACGACACGAAGATCTGTATCCTATCCAGAGTCTTGCGTACTTCTGGATCGGCCAGGGAGCCCGCCCATATCTCATAGTCTTTATCATCTCTCGAATAGCTATGAACGAGCTTGCCTGGGGGTGTAAAGCTCGCCGCATCCCCCTCGTTTATACGCTTCTTAAACTCATCGATGGTCGAAAATGAAACTAACCGCACGTCAGTGTTCACATCTTCATTTATTCCCTGCTGTACATACCCTCTGGAAGACACGGTTTGAGGATCCCAAGGAGGTCAGCAGCTTTTATATCCTCTACCTGCTTGAACTTCTCATTGTACGAGATCTGAACGTGTGATTGGAGGTCATGCGCCGCAAATCGAAGCTTGATATTCAGCTTTTTATAGCCAAAGATCGATTCCTCATCTCCGAAAAGTGGATATGTGAACTGGGGGTTGAAGGTTGAGAGGGTGGTCAGCTTCTGGCCGTCATCACCTGGCTGGACCATGGATATTTCCACTGCATCGTTGGCATCGCAAGTCCCTGGGGAGCAGTGTCAGTGCGGGAGCTATCAGTAGGAATTAATAGCTTTAAATACTCACACTCGTTATGTTTATCCATCTTGAATCAGTGTATCTGCGCTTCTCTGGTTCTTCTCGTCGTCGCTCAGCGTGAAGTCAAGAATTAAATTAAAGAAACGCGACGCGATTAGATTTGCTGACTAAGCTAAATATTCTTGTTAAGTAATGATTATATAAGTTGATTATATAATGTTGTATTACTTAATCTTCACTTCCGCGACTCCAAGCATATTTTGCACTTTGAAATAGAAATTCAAGCTGTCCACGATGACCCGAAAGTTATATTTATGCTATCAAGGATGATATCAGAGCTGATTCTAATAGCATGCTAGGCCCATATCAATTAAAGTATTTACAAAGGGGGAAAAAAGATATATACATCTCTAAACATGCAACAAAATCCAGTATGCAGCGGCAAAAGAATTAAGAGAATTAAATCAAACGACGACATTGAACTCATCAATAACGCTCCTGGGCCTCTGGTACTTCCCAATGCTCTTCCACTCCATGTCGAGGCCGAAATACTTAGGTCCACCGACATCAAGGCCTCTCTGGTCCTGGGTCCAGAGCGGATGAGCGGCCATGCCGATGACATGTACTCGGAGACCGTACTTGAGTTCCTGGGACCCAACTGCCTCACCGTCCTTATCTAGGATGGAGATGAGGTCGGGGACTGTGCAGATGACGTCCTGGTTGACTGGCTCTTGGGGTTTGTCGAGGTTAGATACGTGAGCGGCGTAGAGATATTCGTTTTGGAAAGGGATGATGAGGTGTGGCTCGGTTTCGGTGGAAGATGGGGAAGATGAGGTGCTATTGGTGTTGTCGTAGGAGTCTGCTACTTCGTCGCTGGATAGAGGGGCAAGGATGCAGTAGCCCATAGTGTAGCCGTGGCTGACGTCTCGGTGGACGTCGATTATTTTGCCTGTGTATAGGAGGCGGCCGGGGGTGGTTTTGAACTAGGCATGTTAGTTTGATGGTGTATACATGGGTGAGAGGGAAAGGAATGACTTACGATTGCTTCGATAACATCGACCTTCTCACGGCGAGCGAGATGGATGGCTCGTCCGAGGTACCAGGCTTGAGACATGGTGTTTTCCACAGCGTACTTCTTGATGGCCTTCCCGGTAAGAGGAGCAGCGGAAACGGAGGTGAAGAGACCCAATTCTACACAGGTAGTTCGAAGCATGGTCTCGATTCTCTGGTTGGACTCGGCGTGCATGACAACCGAGACATTACCCTTCGAGTCAGCCAGGGCGCATGGTGAGATTGTTTCACCGTAGACGTAAGGGGTCCCGTGCTGGATGGTAGGATAAGCTCGTCCCATCAGATCTGCATCAATGGTGGGGATATCATAGTGCACTGCAGTAGGGAAGGTGACCATTCCGTTTCCTCCGCCAATCTCATCGGCCATGATGGCATGGAACTTCTCGTGTCTGGTAAGCTTGATGGATTCTTCGACGGATCGGATGAGTTCGTTGCCCTGGGGGATACGCTCGGATGACACGCTGGGGGCTCCGTACCAGGAAGCAAAGACGCAGACATCTGTGTCAGCCATGCTTTCGGGCTTGACTACTCTCATTTTCCGCTTGCCCTTCTTGCGAAGACATTCGAGTGCAATGAGGTATTGTTGGTATGAAGGGCCACCACCACCTGTTCCCAGCACGCCGGTGCCAGAAGCAATGAATTCCAGGTCAAGAGCGCTTAGGTACCAGACTCCATTCTCGACTTCGGGCTTGTATGATGGTATATCGACGTAGATCGAGTGCTTGACAGCAGATCTAGACACGTCCTCGGCGGCAGCAGCTTTCTCGCCTTCAACACCGTTGCCGTTGTGGCCGTTGGCTCCGTTGGTACCGTTGGTATAGGCAGGTAGTTTAGCCCGCTCCTGCTCGGCCTCTTCCTCCGCGGGTACTCTCAGTTTACCGACAGCCTTGATCATGATACGGGTAGCCTTGTTGGTCACATATTGAAGAGGCAGCTTTTCGATCTCAGCAATCTTCACGGTATCTCTGTCTGCACCTCGTTGAATAGCCATGTCGACAGCTGCAGCTTCGACTTGCTTGAGAACTTCTTTCTCGTCCTTTCCAGCAAGGATCTCAATGACGTCTACTGTTCCCGCAACCTTGGCTATGGCTGCACCGACGGCGTTGGCAGAGTCATGGTGAGGGGGGATGATGCATTCTTCGACGCCTTCGAGGTCGTCCATGTAGACGATCGAACCACCTCCAACCAGGAGGACGGTAACGGGAAGAGAGGAGACCTTCATGCTTTCGATGCCACGGTTAAGCAGCTTGGTGATGGCCTTCCGTGCATCCTCGATGGTCTGCTGAGTGACATCGGCAACCTTGGATGCATCTCCTATCTGCTCCTTACCAGCGGCAACGACGATGTCAGTGGTCGTAAGGGTATCACCTCCAAACACTTTAGCCTTGCTGGTCAGGTAATGGCCAACAGAGTCGGGTCCTACAGAGACATAAGCTCCATCCTGACGAACAATGCTACCTCCACCGAGTCCGATGGAGAGCACTTCTGGCATGGAGAACATGGTACGCACACCACCGACTTCAACGAAGTTCGATGCCTGGCGGGGGAAGCCCGACGGCATCAAGGCACAGATATCGGAAGTCGTCCCGCCGATATCAATGACCAGTGTCTGTCTCTCTGCAGTTGACCTGCTGCCGGTTCTCCGGTCCAGGGAGGCCAAGAAGGCAGCTCCGGTCAAGCTGTTGGTTGGGCCGCTGGCAAAGGTCTTGATGGGCAGCTCAGAGGCAGTGACAGCATCCGTCAAGGTACCGTCATTCTGCGTCAGATAGAGGCTGCAGTTAAGCCTGAGGTCCGACATGGCCTGCACAAAGGCCCGGACGGTCTTCTGGGCCAGCTGGAGGATGGAGGCGTTGAGGATGGTGGCATTCTCACGCTCGAGCAGGCCCACGCCGCCGATGGTATGGGAGCATACGACCGAGAGGCCCGGGTCGACCTCGAGCATGAGCTTCTTGCAGGCCTCCTCGTGGATGCCGCTGTGGTCGAGGGGCGAGAAGATGCCTACGAGGGCCACCTTGGTGATTCCCGCTGCGCTGATGCGCCTGGCGGTCTCCCGGATCTGCTCGGGGTCCAGCCGAGTGATCTCGCGGCCATCGATCTCGAGGCCTGCAGCCGGCGTCAGCTCAGCATTCCATTAACTGGTTATAATATAGAGTGAGTGGTAGTAGACAGTCCCTTACCTCCGTCCAGATAGTAGGACTGGCACTCGATGATGCTCCGCAGTGCCGGCGGGAAGTTTGTAAAGGGCGGAATCTACAACCACCGGCATCAGCAACAAACCACAACAGCTAGCAACGACAGCAAGGGAACGAGGAACAGAATAGAAGACGACGGACATCCTGGCTGAAGGTGCCGCAGAGCCTGACGACGGCGACCTTGCTGAGTCTCCGCGCATCGGCTTCAACGACGGCATTGACAAAGTGCGTGGTCCCAATGGCCACGCTGAGGATACGGGCCGGGTCGATGCCCGACTTGCTCAGGACGCCCTCGACGACGCTCTTGATGCCGCTGGTGACATCTGGGGTCGTGGGCGTCTTGCTCGAGGCGAGGACTCCGCGCGAGGGCGTCTCGCTGGCCGTGATATCGAGGATGGCGGCATCAGTGTTGGTCCCGCCGACGTCTACGCCTATGCGGTACATCCTGACGTCTGCAGAAGCGAGGGACAGCAACAGCAACGACAGCAAACGAACGACAGCAGCGACGGCGGCTACCAGTTAACTATTACTCTGCCTAGCAACGGAGAGGACACAGCGAGTCTCAGACCCTGTTTGAGGTTATATGCGAAGGGAGCAGCTGGGAAGGGGGGGGAGTCCAGAGAGAGTACTCGATCGCCGCGAGGTCTCCATCAGCAGTTTATATATCAAGCTGGCCGGGCCTGACTAGCCGTGGCCGTCACTGTCTCCGCCCAAAGGGCAGGCTACAAACGAAATGGGCATGCGGTGGAAGACTGGAAAAAGGAGGCAAACGCCCTTCGCCGGCCATCTCCTGCTGTGTCAACAAGCCTCGTTTGCCGGCGCTGCTGCGAACCCTCGACTGATCTTCCCGGAGGACAAACCTGCATGGTCCCCCCGTTTGACGCTGTCAAGCAAGTCATGATGCAAGCGTTTTGGCCGAACGAGCCTACATTTCCACCAACCATCGCCATCTCCGACTGCTCCGGTCAGGCGTCAGCTCCCATTCGCGGAACGGCGGGATGCCAGAGCCCACCTGGCGGGAGGTCATGGTCATGGCTGAGCTGGCAGACGGGGAGGGGGGGCCGTTGGTTAGTGAGTTACAGGCCGAATATTATTGCCAGAAGATCTCCAGGACGAAACCAGCTGCTGCTGTGTAACTAAACCGATACGAGAGCCTGACTCGCCGTTGGGGGACCTAGCTGGGCGATATCTCACACTAGCTTGCCCATCGAAGCCGTGGTCTCCATGCTTCGGGCGGGCTTGGTCCAGGCCTCGAGCCTGTTTGGCGGTCCACCAGCAAAGCTACCAGGCCCAGCAAGCCGGTTGCTTTCCGGGGCAATGGACGGACGAAGTCTATCTCGACGGCTCTGGGGGGTTGAAGAAGTCGTATCCCGGCTCGAAGCTTGGGTTATCCAGAGCTCTATTATAGCTTGGGGCAGTCAGTAGTAAGCTGACAGTGGAATGCCTGAAGAAGTTCGCCGACAGGAGTTTGGCCGGCCTGCACGGCGAATATCTTTACCTCCCTGCGTCAGTAACGAGCAACTACCATGTCTAGCCGAGGAACAGAGAGAGGGTCGAACCCATGGCCGTCGTCTTATCGTCCTCTCCTTCAGGGCATTGTGCGGAGAGCCAGAGTTAGATTGTACGAGCTGAGGTCCGGGGGGGTGATGAGTCGTACAGCTGAATGACATACATATAACTACGCCAGACTTAGCAAGTGGTCATCTACTTACGTGCTGAAAGCATACTCGAAACTATCACCAACCAAGCCTTAACCATTCCTAGATTGCTGAAATGAACAGGATACTGAAGAAGCTGGAGATCGAGCATGAAGGAGGTACGCTGCCAGACCCCTGGATCAACTTCGACATCAAGCCCATCGAGGCTGGACGGAGGACATGGTCGGCATGGACATTCACCACCTACTGGGTTCTCATAAACTCCAACATTTCTTCGTACATGACTGGCAGCTCCCTGATAGCACTGGGACTACATTGGTGGCAGGCCATCATCGCCATCGTCATCGGTAATCTGCTGGCGACTCTCTTCGTCGTGCTCAACTCCCTACCAGGAGCCTACTACCATCTTGGCTTCCCGGTGGTCAACAGATATGTCTGGGGGATGTACGGTAGCCAGTTTGTCATCTGGAATCGTATCTTCTTGTCTATCGGTATGTTCCCTTACCTTTTTATTATTACTTTTTTTATTTTTTACTTAGTAAATAGACTTGCTAACAGTGTTCCAGTATGGTGAGTTTATTCTGCGGATGGATGAAGAGCTGTCGACTAACTAATGTAGGTACGGCTTCCAGTCATACATTGGAGGACAGTGCGTCTACGTCTGTCTCAAGGCGATATGGCCCTCCCTCGAGCAGCGTATACCAAACCACCTCTCCCCTTCAACAGGGATAACTACCGCCCAGTTCGTCAGCTACATCGTCTTCATGATCATCTCCCTTCCGGTTGCATACATACGCCCGCACAACCTGCGCATGTTCTTCTACATCTCCGCCTCTGTCGTTGTCGTTTTCGAATTCGTCCTTCTCATCTGGGCGTTAGCCACCATGGGCCCTGCAGGGTTTGGCTCCACAATCTCAGGCGGAGGGCCAGGGGAGCCAGTCAAGGATGCTGGCTGGCTCGTTGTGTTTGGTATCATCAGTACAATTGGCGCCATATCCGCCGGAATCCTTAACCAAAATGACTATGCTAGGTTTGCAAGGAAGCCCAGAGACGCTATTCTCGGACAGGTCATCAGCTTCCCAATCTCCAGCATCATTTGCTCTGTCATCGGCGTGCTCGTCACTGCCGCCACGCAGAAGAGATTTGGTGAAGCACACTGGGACCTGCCGTCTCTCATTGGAGCTATCATCGACCACGGAGGATCCAGATCGAGAGCTGCTGCCTTCTTCGCCGGTGGTGCTCTCGTCATTTCTCAGATCGGCGTCAACATCCCTGGAAACGCTCTTTCGGGAGGTAATGCCAACCATCCCGGCTGCTCATCAAAAAATCCTAATTTAACTGACCTATGTATGTTGAACTAGGCTTTGACCTCGCGGCCACATTCCCCAAATACATCAACATCCGGCGTGGCGCATACATTACTATCGCCCTCTCCATAGCCTGTAACCCGTGGAAACTCGTCTCCACGGCCACTATATTCCTCAGCGTCCTGAGCAGTTACGCTGTTTTCCTGGGCCCGATGACCGGCCTCATATTCTCAGCCTGGTTCATCGTTCACAGACGGAAGCTCAAAGTCGAGGATCTCTACACCGGCAACCGCACCAGCATCTACTGGTTTAGCCACGGCTTCAACTGGCGTGCTTTCATTGCAGTAAGAAACACCATTATCTCAAACACCTGCTCAACGCTTCGTATTCATTAGTTAATTGATTTGTCTCCAGTGGATATGCGGAACCGTTCCATCCCTGCCGGGCTTTATTGCAACGGTCAACACGGATGTCCATGTCCCCGTTGGCTTCACCCGTATCTACCAGCTCTGTTTCCTGGTCGGCTTCCTAATCAGTGCATTCGTATATAGCGGGTTGCATCTGCTTGTTCCCGACAGGAAGCTGCAGGAGTATGTTTCGACTGCTGCCTCGCCTGCGGTCCTGATACAGGATTATCGAGACAGCATCGACAGAGGGCAGGGCCTTGTCGAAAACAAGATTTTGTCAGATGCATAGACTTCTCCATCGCCATTCATGCTGTCCTGTTGACGAATTTTCTCTTTCTCATGAACAATTTGTATATTTTCATCTTCATCTTCATCTTTTGAATCTTTAATGGATTTTTTTTATCTTTTTTTTTTAAGTTTTCATCACATGACTGTTCCTGACGCTTATGTAATAAATGCACCCGTCACGTGATATTTCGAAAGCCGAAAAAGAAACGAAAAAAAGTCGAAAAATCATCAAAAAAAACCACCAAAAAACTTCCTGATGTTTATTGTTGTTATTGTAGATTTTATTCATTCGCTGCTGTGTTTTTATTGTTCTATTTGTACTTTTACTATCGCTCTCTTTGTCCCTGTTACTAGCTCCGGAGCGGCTTTTGACGAGCACGTCCATTCCCTTCAAACTCGCCGAGGCGCAAGGTAGCCACATCTACCAAAACCTCATACCTTGTGCAGCAACTATAAAACTACTATACGAATTAATGCAGAGAGCGGACAGCGGTTCATAATGGAATGAGGGCATAGAGAGACGGATAACTTGCATTCTTTAATTGGATATTAATTTGGGAAGGCTTCGAACAAGAAATACAGCAGCGCCGAAGCAATGGATGGGCTTTTTACGCTCGTATGCCTAAGTCTCCTTATGGGAGCAGCGTGAGTCCTGATATTGCCCCTTTGAGAGCACTACACGATCATAGACTGACGTTTTGACGGGTGCCGGGATAGGTCGTTTATCGTTGGGTCGCTGCCATTGACCTTTTCTTTATCCTCGTCTCAGCTCCGGCTTATGTCTGCGCTTGGTATGGGCCTGCTAGTCGGCACGTCCTTGATTGTGATTATCCCCGAGGGAGTTGAGACGTTATATAGCTCTCGTGTGAAACCGAGTCAGCAGGGACATGAATCTGGGCACCGAAGGAGGGATGTGCTAGAACATGGTGTTGAGGTTCGATGGAACCACAGGGCGGAAGTAGTATCTGTTCCTCAATCTATGAATGGACGTGGAATTGAGGATGAGGCGAATTGGCGCCTGTCTAGACGGGAGGAGGCGGCTCCTGAAGCCGAAAAACCACAGCCTGACGCTCCTGTGGATGGAGACGGCAGTGACGGCAAGGGGAAGAAGGAGGGCAAGAAGGGTGACGAGGACAAGAATAAGCCGGATGGACATCATGATGATGACGAGCATGAGCATGGCCATAAGCATGAACATGAAGATAGCGGGCCACATGCTTGGATTGGTGTCGGGCTTATTGGTGGATTTATACTAATGTATTTGGTTGACAAGTTGCCGCAATATGCGTCTTCGTCTTCCAAGCAGCAACAGAGACCATACCATATCTCACTGGATAACCTGGGATCGGGTATAGGGCGAGGCATATCGCCTGCACGAACGAGTGGCAGCGGCTCACGATCCGGCAGCAGCAGTGCGGGCATGGCTACGACGGCTGGATTGGTGATACATGCGGCGGCAGACGGCATTGCACTAGGAGCATCCACGTCCAACATGAGCCTGAGCCTGATCATTTTTGTGGCGATTATGGTACATAAGGCTCCTGCATCCTTTGGCCTGACGTCTGTCTTGCTGAAGCAGGGTCATACAACCAAGAGTGCCCGGGCACATCTGCTGGTGTTCAGTCTTGCTGCGCCGGTGGGAGCGCTGTTGACGTGGATTGTTGCACATACCATACTTGCAGGCCATGCCAGTGACGAGCAGAGCACCCGGTGGAGGACAGGAATGCTCCTGTTGTTCTCTGCCGGCACATTTTTGTAAGTCACACACCACCATCCTTTAAAGAAGGATTGCTCCCTGGACGATGACGGCGGTGGTGACGACATTTCTTTACTGACCGGCGCGCATGCAGGTATGTTGCCATGCATACGATGCAGGAGAATCCCCTCGAGCCAGCCCGTCGAGAGTCTCATGCAAACGGCTATGTCGATGGGCGGGACCCACCGCAACGGCCTAAGCAGTCGATGAGAGACCTCGTTGCGTCTGTCGTTGGGATGGTGCTGCCGCTGTTCCTGCAAGTCGGCCATGCCCATTGACCCCTGACCTGTATAGTTTTCTATCACCCACCTATCTACAGCGTCACAACATCTATCAGCATCTAGACTACAGCTTCTACTTCTACTCAACTGGATATACTTTCTCACGACGAATGACACACTCATAGAAGAACAGAGACTACGGAGTACATTATCAACCGCAACTTTTTTGCTTCTTGTATATACATACACATTATAAAACAACCGCCCCATGTGACGAGAATATTTTATCCAGGCCAGCTGATCGATCGGCTAAAAAGCCTTCGCTTCCTCCGGGGAAACGAGAGAGAGAGAGAAAAAAAAAGGATGAGAGACACCAAACCAGGGGCCCCTGACGCTGGAAGTATAGCTCAGTTGTACCTCGAGGATCGCCCTGCATGCTGGGACCGGCCTCGTAGCGCCCCAGATAACTCCAGACGCCGGATAGATCAAGTAGCCAGCCACTCGATATACAGGACTAGACGGTGCCAGACTGCTCGCTCGCTCGTCTGCTCGTCTGCTCGTCCGCTTGACCGTCTCTGCCCTATAAGCGCTGGGCCCTTGCTGGGCTGGTTGATACATCCAAAGGCCCCGTCCGGTACTTCATGCTTCATCTGCAGCCCCCAGCGCCACCGCGATCACCAGGAAAACCAACCCAAGCCACCGAGAGAGCCTGAAGGGCAACATCGCCTTTGACTGACTGACGGGGGACTGACCTGTTCTACCAGACCTCGAATCCCACCTCCAGATCCTGCCTGCTTGCGTCCTGCTCGAGTCGAGGCATGCGAGAGTAACGCTGGCCGACGGACCGTCAACCCAACAGCCCCATCCCGGCCTTTTTTCGTCTGGACAGGCGCTGGCGAGCTTTGAGGTCACCTTTCCGCCACTCGACCATCTATCCATCCTCCTCCTACGCCTCTCCTCTATACACCGAGTTACTTTCGCTGCCCGAGAAGACCACGGCATGTCGGCAGGCCTGACTGCTGCAAAGGACTCTGCTTATTCGACCCCGATCTGAAAAAGTTGTTTGGAGAAAGATAGCTGCGTCGGCTCAAAGGGTTCTTTCTCAGCGCATGACATCTCCAGCCCGTGTATAAAAAAAAATAAAAGAAAAAAAAAAAAAAAAACGACTGCTCGGGACCTATCTACAACCTCTATATATATAACCTCTTCCAGATGTTCCCCAGGCCTGGATCAAGCAGCTTGGGAAACCGGCGCCCCGTCTCTATGATAGAAGCAGACGATCTGACGTCTCAAGGAGAATTCAGCAGCGGTTCCAGCAGCAACAGCACCAGCAACACCAACAAAAGCCATCATCCACCTCGTTCGACCGTACGACGACACTCGGGAACTATGCGACCCAGCTCGGCTTCTCGAACAAAACCTCTCTCGACGCCCAGCAAGGCTCGTCCGACTCTACATAACCTGCACCCTTCAGCTCCTGCGTCTCCTCCCACTCCCGCACCAAGTCCGACGCCGCACCAGCGAGTGCCCAGCTGGCAGAGCGCCGGCGAAGACGAAGATACCTTCCTGCGAGATGCGAGGTCACATTTCAGCGTGCTGGGCCAGGCGGAGAAGCAGAGGTTTCTGGCAGAGATGCTAAACCTGTGTGATAGCCAGCTGCTCAGCTTTGTGCATCATTTCGTGAGCCCGCGGCTGAAGAAGGATCCCTTTGAAACCCTGCCGAACGAGCTATGTCTGAGGGTGAGATATGACTTCATACTATTTAGTACCCCCCGGATTTTGGTTCGGATAACTGACTGTGAATAGGTACTTTCTTTTGTAGACGATCCCAAGACGCTGTCCAGGGCGTCTCAAGTGTCGACTCGCTGGCACGAGCTGCTCAACGATGAGCTGACGTGGAAGATACTCTGTGAGAAACATGCTTATAGAAGAGTCTCTGAAGACCTCATCGATAGTCCCGTCAGCCCTTCCTCTACCCTCTCCCCTTCCAGACAGCCCTTATCCTCCATGGACACAGATATGGAATCCGAATCGTGTCCTCCCCAACCTCAAATATTACCGGAAGACATGAAGGTTTTTGCTCCGGTAGCAGAGTCCTCGAGCAGAAGCCGGGTTCGCAAGACCCGACCAAAGGCGACCTCCTACCGCTCGCATTTTAAACAAAAGTACATGATCGAGGCGGCATGGAGAAAAGGCGGCACCGTCGTGACGAAGAATATCACGACCGACCAGGGAGTGGTGACCAGTCTGCATCTGACTCCCAAGTATATAGTTGTTGCATTGGACAACGCAAAGATACATATATTCAATACCGAGGGTGAGCATCAGAGAGTTCTACAGGGACATATGATAGGTGTCTGGGCCATGGTGCCGTGGGACGACCTGCTTGTTAGCGGAGGATGTGACCGAGACGTTCGTGTCTGGAATATGGCTACAGGGTGAGTCTACTGATATTTCGACTTTTCGACCCTCTGGAAAAGACGCCAGACTCTAACTCGTTACCCAGTGAGAGTATTCATAAGCTGCGAGGGCACACTTCTACCGTCCGCTGCTTGAAGATGTCGAACAAGACGACCGCCATCTCCGGCTCGCGAGATACGACTCTCCGTATCTGGGATCTAGCTACGGGAGTATGCAAGAACATCCTCGTCGGCCATCAGGCAAGTGTACGGTGTCTCGAGATCCACGGCGACTTGGTTGTCTCCGGAAGCTACGATACCACGGCCAGAATCTGGAGCATCTCGGGAGGCAAGTGTCTCAAGACCCTTGCCGGGCATTTTAGCCAGATCTATGCCATCGCCTTTGACGGCAAACGCATAGCTACCGGCAGTCTTGACACCAGCGTACGCATCTGGGACCCCCATACCGGCCAGTGCCATGCCATCCTGCAAGGCCACACCTCTCTCGTCGGCCAGCTACAGCTCCGTGGGGATACCCTGGTGACGGGTGGCTCCGATGGCTCCATCCGCGTCTGGTCCCTCGAGCGTATGACCCCGATCCACCGTCTGGCGGCCCACGACAACAGCATCACCAGTCTGCAGTTCGACGACAACCGGATCGTCAGTGGCGGTAGTGACGGCCGGGTCAAGACATGGGATCTCAAGACTGGCCAGCAGGTCCGCGAGCTCAGCCAGCCTGCCGACACCATCTGGCGTATTGCCTTTGAAGCCGAAAAGGCCGTCATCCTCGCTACCCGAGCCGGCAAGACGACCATGGAGGTGAGACTTGCCCCCCCTGTTAATTGATCAATCATCTATTCGTCTATTCATCCGTCTAACCGTCTGTCTCTAGGTATGGTCATTTTCTCCTCCCGACGACACATATATAGACAGATCCTCCTGTCCCAGCCCGGACACAACGCTCGAGGCCTCGACGACCTCCATATCCACGACAGAGTCCATGTCCTCTGAAACAGAGCCGGCTCATATGATGGAGTACGAGATGCAGGATCTAAAAATGAACGGATGTAGCTGATATCTGGTGTCCTTTTGCTTGTTTTTTTTTCTCATCATTTCATAGATAGCTTTCTACCTGTTTGTCCCTTGCTTATCATTTTCATATACCCATCATCATCATCATCATCATCATCACCGCCGCCTCCGCCACCATCGAGTCTGAACATGTCACTTAGAGATGGGAAATATATAGTCTTAACTTGGATTATACTGTAAATGCACAATATAGACATTAAGCCGTCGTCGTCGTTGTCGTAGGTTGTTTTACTGCTTGGTAGTTTAGTTTAGCGGCGAACTTTTGCGATTTGCGCCACAAGAAGCTCGCAACTTCTCACCAACTCCAACTTTTCGCCAGCAAACAAGCAAGCAAGCCATCTTCGCCCTCGCGACACTCGCATCACCAGCCGCCGCAGCACCAGGCCTGTGTGTTCTGTCTCCTCCGTCCTGTCGAGCGCCCCAAGACCGATTTCAGCCTGCGTGCCAGCTCACTGATATCGTGGACCTCCAGTGAGCATCCTTTCTTGCGGAACTCCTGCTCCCAGCCCAGCCAGCACACGCTACGCCCCCAGTTCGAACAGCCTGCAAAGGACCTCTAAACACCTCCGAGAGCCCATCTGTCCTCCGTCTGCATACATTGATACCAGCTGCTAATGCGATAATGGCCAGCGAGCCGGACTCCAACCTCCATTCCAACCCGCAGAACGCGTCGATGCCGCCGCACCCGAACCCCCCCAGCATCGAAGCAGCCTACAAGCGCAAATGCATCGCGCTGAAGAAAAGACTGAACGAGGTCGAGGCTCACAATGAAGCGATGCGTCTGCGGAATGCGCAGGGAATCAGATATATACAGAAAATGCGCCTGGAGTCGTGCATGATCCTGGAACGGCTCTCCGTGCTCATGGGCATGGCTGACGGCAGCGGCAGACAGGGAGAATCAGAGGTTACGGGGCGTGCAGTGGCGTTAATGAGGGAGTCTGGCCATTTGCTAGACGAAGAGCGCTCGAGGTCCGGGCAGAAGCGATCTGGAGAGGACCTGGATGCGTTGGGCGAAGAGAGTGATGGTAGCTCTGGTCACCATCCGCCTACAGTAAGATGCAGCTGCTTCCTCTTCCCCCATTTCCCTTCTGATGGAGGGCAGACGTGTGCATCCGAGCAGTTACTGACGATGCTGCGTGGATGCGCCAGCCACAGGAACGTCCGCTACGACCAAAACGAAGCCGCAAGAGTGACGAGAGACCCGCGGGCCACGGCGCCGGCGATAGTACCAATATCAACGATGCTGGCAATAGCAATAGCAACATGGACTCAGTTAGCACAACCTTTCCTATTTCAAGCTACCCTCCGTCTACATACTCAACGCCCTTGCAACATGAACCCCCTATCCTCCCCCTTCCACGTGTGACACCGTGCCCGGGTTACCGCGGCCCTCCGCTTCCTCCTACACCCATTCCTACTCCTCTACCTTATCCTCATCTTTCTTTTCGATCAGCTCTAGGGCACTACCATTTCAATATTCCACATCTACAAGAATGTCTGGACGCAATTGAACAACGTGGCAATCGCTCTGGGCCTCTATTAACCCCCATCAACACGTATACCCCGACTCATACCCCGGCTATTACTCCTCCTAGAACAGCATCCTCTTATAACAGCAATACAACTCCAACTCCAACTCCAACCACCCAACAATATACAGCAGTGCATCGGCCAACTGACTCATACGCTATGCAGGTTGACCACCACCATACTAGCAGCGCGAACCCATCCGCCAACGATCTCAGCAGCTTCCCCCCTGCCACCTCGGGACGGGAACCCCCTCATCGATATGTATCCGCCTTTGAGGCCTTCACTAACTATAAGAGAGCCAGCTTAACCGAAGCATTGGTCCGGTCATACGGTCAGAGAGTTACTGACGAGGACATCGACCGTGCTTTGGTCAAAGAGTGGGATGCTCTAGACCCAGCTAAAAAAAGGGAATTCGGCGAAAGACTTGAAAAGGAAAATGGCGTCTAAAGGCTTATTCTCTTTTTTCCTACCTTTTCCCCCCTTTTCTTCATTCTTTTCATTACTTTTGTTCTTAATATAACCGGCTAGGGTCTGGGACGCGTCTCCTTGTTTATGGTCTCATTTGTATCATTATTCTTTTTTTCATTGGAGGGGACTATCTATCAAACCTGAGCCCCCCCCAATACCCACCTTTCTTCATCCTTATTGGTGTCTTCGGTGCCTGGCAGTTGCAACTACGGCGTGGGTCAATCGGAGTATTACTTTATTTCATCGTAATAGACAGTGGGATAATTGTGTACGCATTCCATTCATCAGCTTCGTGTCTGTCCATTAGGAATGAAAACACTATAAGCATGCTATCATACACAACCGAAGGAATAATTAATACAATCAACAGCCATGAGAGCTACTTTCATCCGGAGTGCGGACTGGCGTTGTTGAACGTGGCGTATGAATTCCAGGACCATCCTCAACAGCCTCAGGACAAAGAAAGCAGATTGGAAAAGTGCCCTAGTACCGAGTGTATGTCCGATTCTTCAACATGACTCCAGGCAAGGACTCCAATACACAGCAAACGTGAAATGGCGCTCGCAAGGCCAAAATAGGGGTGCCATCGTTGCCGCGTTCGGACACATAATGAATATACACCCTCATACACTGATCGAGACTATCTATCCATTGCGTCAGTCTTTCAAGATCGCCTAAGGCTGGGTCATGAGCAATTCTGCAAGTAATAAGGGCATCTATTTGCCCCGGAACAGGCTCTAGTCGGGACTCCTGAGAATCTACTGGTAGATCATTCTCGTGTGGTGGAATGCCGATCTTAATGGGTAACGACCCAGCAAGAAACTTGTGTATTGGGTTGTATATGACCTCATCCTCTTGCGCGACACCAAGAAGGGTAGCAAAATTCATGTCTCTGAAACCGAGTAATTTCCACTGCGTTAGAAGTTGGACTATCCTTGATGTGAATGTGTTTGTGATATCAGCAGATCTTCTGGGCTCGACAACAGTCATCGGATATTTATCGTTGCTATACCCAAGGGGCGCAAGAAGCTCAATTGTCTGGCCTGATCTTGGTTGGACGGCGGGAGTAATGGATGGAGAACAGTATGAATCAATAATCAAAACAACGTTGAAGGCCGGTCCATCGATTTCCACAAAGTTAGTGATATGGTGCAGAAGGGATCGAAGGTAGAATCGCTGCGAAGAGTCTTCAGTAGGGAAGAAGTATTGTCCTTGCTCTGGTTCATAGAGTCCATTGCCAGCATAGTGAATGATAATAAGGTGCGCTCCATCATTTTGGGCTGCAAAGCTACTCTTTATGCAGCTTGCGATCGCCCCTTCAACATGCGTGCTAGGGACCGTATCTGCGCCAGAAATCTCGCACTCGAGTACATCGTTAACGCCGAGTATTCTGGCAAACTCTTTGAAATACAAAGCATCTGTCTTTGCATTGGTATCGTCATTCTCCCATCTGATTGTTATGGCAGACCTATGGCTGTAGATGCGTCGACGCTGCTCGACACATTGACGGATCTTCGTCTCTACCTCGGCACAGGTCGTTAGCTGTTTTGGTTTCATTGTGCTCCTAAATCAAGAGGGGAGCACAGTATGCTGAAGAGATAAAACATTATGAGGTTGTCAAGAGTTCTTGATGTGAGTTACTTTGTTATCAACAATAACCTTCTTTGGATAAACAAGTTGGTTGCTGGTCCTTCCTTCCTCTTTCGGCAGTGATCTATATCGCGCTTAGTCCACGTTGTGGCGTTTATTAGAGTTGATGACTCACTTCTACGCTAGTCTTAATATGGAAACTTAGGCGCGGTACCCGATATGCCAAGATATAATCCACACTAACTGTATTTGTCATGGAAGTCACGTGTAAAATGAAGCTTATATAATCATCCTCGACTGTCTCTTTTCATTCGACGCCTCGATTTTATATTTCAAGTCCAGCTTTTGTCGATAAATATTTATGTTAAATTCGAAATTCCCTAATATAATAATATATATATATTCTCAGGCCTCCTCCATACGTTTATCATAATTCATGAACAGTGCTCCGGCAAATAACTAACATCCCGTAGTCGCAACGCCGAATATCCAACCAAACCCCAACCCCGATTGCTGGGTATTTATACAGTCCTCCAACCTATATTACCATAAAGAACTTAATAATATGTATATAAACGGTCGTTGTATCGCATTTATCGGAAGCCGAAAAATTGCGGCGACCCCACTACCCGTTCCTCCATTGATTGCGATATCGGCTTGCCCTCCGGCTTTTCATATAACAGAGCCTCTTTCAACCCTTTCTGTCTCAGGACATATTTCCTGAAAACATACACGATCTGTTTCAGCGCCCAGCGGGCATGTACCTTGGTGGGGACGGAAAAAACCTGGTCCAGTTCTTCAAGGGTCTTACCCTTTGTTTCGGGCATGAAGAGCAATATGAGGACAAACCCTATGAGATTCCAGGCTGCATACCATCCAAATGCGCCTTGCGGGGTGAACGCTCGTAATAGGCTGGGCCATGTTATTGCAAGGGTAAAGTTAAAGAACCATGTCGTTGCAGTTGCCAATGCCATTCCGTACGATCGCACATACAGTGGGTATGCTTCTGCAGAGTAAGTGAATGGTACCGGCCCTTCTCCGGGAGAATACACAATGCCGAAAAGGTATATACCCAGCGCAACACACCCCGTTTGGGCAGCATGATCAGGAATCCAAAATGCAAAGCCTGTGAGGAGCAGAAAGAGCCCCATCAAGGGGAAGGTGACGAGCAGAAGGTTTCGTCGACCAAAGGTATCGATCGTGTATACGGCAGGGATGGCAAAGAGCCAGTTGATTACCCCGAAGCCGAGCGATGCGGCAAGGGCGGACAGTTCCGAGTAGCCTGCCTGCAAGAAGACTTCGGAGGAGTAGTATGCGATCACATTAACGCCGCAGAACTATGCATGAAAAATGACGTCAGCACAGCGCACATAATCCCAAAAGTGGCAGGAGATATGTGCATCGTATACGCACCTGTTGCATGAACATCACAATTTCAGATGCGACCAAGGCTCTCCTGTTCCGCGGAACGGTGATGAGTTCCAAGATCTTTGGCTGGCCGAGTTTCATCGTCGATTCTGCCTCGAGCAAAGTATGCATATAGAATAAATCGCGGGCGGCTTGGACTTTGTTGAACCGAAGTTGACACATCGATTGATATGCTTTATGATGGGCTCCCTTACTCATATACCAGCGAGGAGATTCCGGGCAGATAAACACCATACAACAGACTAGAATAGCAGGAAACATGGCTGAACCCATCATTAATCGCCAACCTAACCCCGTAACATTTGGGATATCTGGGACATTGAAGAAAATGAGATCCGAAGCATAACCCATCATAATACCAAATGCAGTCCACATCTGCCACTGCATGACCAAGGCACCTCGAATGGCAGGGGGACTAGTCTCCGCTGCATATATGGGGACTGTTGCTGATTTGGGGCCGATACCGAATCCCAATGCGAAACGCGCGATGAACATATGCCACCATGTATTGACGAAGCCTTGCCAAAAACAGGCCAAGGTCGAAAAGCAGCAGGTAATGAAAATTGTTCCTCGCCTACCAAACCAGTGGTTAAAAGGGACGGTCAACCAACAGCCGATTAACGCGCAACATAGATATGGTGCAGCGTTTATCAGCCCGGCAAGCCACGTTGATCTGAAGTCGTCGTCATCGATGCCAAATTGTGGTTTGTAAAATATCTGAGCGCCATTGACAACTGTTTCGTCTGCTTGAATAGTTAGCTCGGTTGTCTCCTTTCCATGGTAAGTTAATGGAACGCTTACCCATTCCCTGAACAGCAGCAGATATCGAGCACAGCACAATAACCAAATACATCTCCTTTGGCTGTGACCAACGATTCGTGAATTCCTTTCGCAGGACGTCCAATTCCTCCTTCGTCAGTCCTTCAACCTTCTCAAACTGCTCAGGATCTTGCGCCAGGACAGCACCAAGTTCAAATGCCCGAACATCATCGTCGTCTCCAATTTGATATTTCTGAGCATATCGGCTTCCCCGGCTTCTCAAGGTTGCATGGCTAAGTCCAGCGAGAGGGTTGGCAAGCTTTGCGTTCAAATTGCGCCTCGCCCGTTCGGCCGCTGTCAGGGATTCTCTCCTCGAGGTAAAGGAGTTAAGCCGTTCGGTGTGATGGTCCGATGCTGTTGCTGCTGACCCTTTCGTATTTGAACTCTGCAGCTCAGCAGATGAACGACTGGAAGTATATCCGATGATCTCGCGGGGTATCATCGTCTCGGCTGCACACCTGTGCCCGCTAGATAAGGTATGATAAATAGAAAAAGTGCCAGATGTACCGTTATCAATCGAATGACAACCCCATCGGAGTACTATCCTTGTGAAATGATAGGCTCGGGTGCGGTTGCAATGCTCGAGATAAGGAAAACAACAAGAGCATTCAATACCGTAGAAGAGATAAAGGGGGAGAGAATGCGCATAAATAAGAAACAGATTTGATAGTGGCCTATCTTCAGGTACTTGAAGGCCCTTTTAATAAAAGGCTATATATACTCTCCTGGCCTCCCAATCTACTGTAGTTCCCAAGCAACCGGGTTATTATCATCAAATGCGGTATCAGGTCATTACCGACTGGCCATGGATGGGCGAGCTTGGGGGCGAATGAGGCGTATTCAGTTACTCTCTTTCCTGGCCGGTAGTTATATTGATATTGATCTGGTTGGACGGCGAGGCACCACCGTAAGGCGCATAATATTAATAGGTGTGGTCCCGCTATGCCGAACGAATAGATCTGGACTTTTTGGCCCCGGATCTTCTCTATGCTCTTTGCTTTTGGCCCCGTGCGTTCCCTTGTTCTTATTTACTCATGCGCGGTTTTCTCTTTAGCCTCTTGACGGCGGTGGGGAGTTGGATGGTTGAACAAAGGATATACGAGATGCTAGCTCTCGAGCGATGCCAGAACCGGCGACGAGGAGGTGAAAGAGAACTCGTCACGCTGGCTGGCTAGCTGGCTGGGTGGAAGAGGGTATAATAGCCACTGGCTGCCTCGTCTCGTTTCTTTGATCAATAAGGGCAGCCCCGGGGGAATAAAATAGTTAACAACCCTAGGTTGTGCTGCAGAGGCTGGAGAAAGGAGGAGAGTTCGAAGCCGCATATATATAACCAACTGCCGCTGGCTGCGCGAGGAAATGCCATTTTGAGAGCACCCATCACGATGTAACACATATATTATCGTATTTATATCGAGCTGTCAGCCCTGGAATAATGACGGTGTAGACCATTCAGCTGCACCGTTGGTGACATGCATCGTTGGGCACTCTGGCGGAGGCTGAGCAGCACCCGCCAGCCTGGCGAGGCTAGAGAGCCGAACCCTGTCAAGTCCAGGGTGATAAGGAAGGCAGACAACCGTGAACCCTGCATCGATTAGCAGCATGTCGTGCATATCTGCCGTTGGCAGTGTTGCTGGTGCGGTTGTGTCTGAGATTAAGGGAGGGTTGAAGTCGAAAAGCCGCCGCGGGAGATGGAGGACGAGACGATAACTCTCCGCCTACGGAGGCCATCGACAGGGATCTTCGGCGGTGGGAGGGATACAAGAATGCTCAGTGTATTATACGTTATTATTGAATAATAATATTATTATATTAGTTAAGGTGCAGGAGTGAGTGTTATAAATAGCAGGTCTCCCGATGCATGGTGGGCATACCATGCACGAAGAATAAAGCCAATATCTTATTAACAACGAATGTCCTCTGTCTCTGCAAGAGACAGTTCTCTATATCCATCTCCAAGGCGTATTTATATAACTATATACAAAAAAAAAAAAAGGCAAAAAGATGCAAAAGGGAGCCGGGGAGAATATCCACAGTTGCAATCAAAACTGCAAGGAAGATTAGGGGGTGGAAAAAAAGTGTCCAAGAAGTGTATGTCAGTCGAGTTCGAGAGAGATACCGTATATGCATGCAGAAATCGCCTCAGGAGCTTCCAGGGTTCGGCAGGAATGCTCCACCGTTGATATTAAACCCGGCATGAGCAAATAGGTTCTCCCACGTTCCGGTATTGCTGAATGGTGTGACATTCTGAGCGTTGGTAGGAGTGTAGTTGTCGTAGCCGTCGTTACTGTCGCTGCTGTTCGGGGCGTTTCCAGCAGCGCCAGGACTTGACGTCACTGGTATCCCTGACGCAGATGCTGTCCCACCGCTCCCCATCATAGTGCCCGTGTTATTGCTGTTGGCTTGGTGGGTCGACGATGGGTGAAGACTTGGGGAAGCAAATATCCTGCCCGAGCTCATCATGCCGCTATTTATGGACCCGCTGATAGTGCACTCGATGTTCGATGGCGGGAGCAGAGGTCGTGCACATGCTAGTAGTTGCTGGTTATGATCAGGGTGGATCAAAGGGAGGGTCTGCTGGTCGTGGTGCGGGTTGTGCAGTGGGTCGTTTAGCGGCATATGCATGGGTATCGGCGGTGGAGTGTTTGAGGACGAGAATAGGTCGTTTTGAAGGTGCGATGTCACCTGGAGATGGTGGTTAAGAGGCGTGAGATGTTGTTGTTGTTGTTGTTGTTGTTGTTGTTGTTGTTGTTGTTGTTGTTGTTGTTGTTGTTGTTGTTGTTGTTGTTGTTGTGGTTGCTGTGGCTGGCTGAGTCCGTCTTCCTGCTGCTGTTGCTGCTGTTGCTGAGATGTTTGAAAGGGCGACGGAAGAGACGTCTGGTGAAGTGGTGGTACAGCTATCGGTGAGAGATTTACTTGCGTTTTGGCGTCTGCGCCGCTTGTAGTCTCCTGCATCAGATCACAGAGCTCTTTCGAAGCCGGTCGTTTCACAGATGATGCAGGGGAGGCCCTGGAGGCTCGGTATTGTGCAACCACATTCGCGAGGAACTGGCTCTGGTAATGACAGCTAGTGTTGTCTGTCGGCGATTGTCGGCCAAAATACTCACTTGCCTCTAGTATGTAGTCGAGTACTTTACTCTCCGCTTCGCCTGGGAGTTCCCCGGGGAATGATAGGAGGATCTAAAGCAGAACAGTGAGCAACGCCAGTCACAGCGTGGGGTGTACAGAGATGTTTTAAGTCCACCAACCTTTACAATGGCGACAGCGGCGTATGCAACCATCAAATGGATTGAATCCTGGCAATAATATAGATAGGAAGTTGTCCCAAGGCGATCTATAATTAATCGGACCATTTCTAACGAGCTCGCGTAGCACACCCACAGCGCAGGTTTAGACGCAGACCCGTTAGCGATGGATAGCTGTAATTGAAAGGAGTGGAGAAGTAATCTCAAATGGTAGCCATAAAATCGAACAAGGAATCGCTGGGCAAGAGTCGCGTCGGCTTCAAAGTACGTTAGCTTTGATCCCAAGCAGACAGGAGGCAAACTTGAAATGAATCTCACCTTCATCTACGATCAAATGCCATCGAGCCTCCCATCTGTCCAGTTCATTATTGCATAACCGAAGTATGAATTCATCCTTTTTCATGAACTCTGGTGATGTATGGAGTGGATCAAGCCAGAAAAGATCTAGTAGCTCGAAGCCGATTATGCGTAACTGCGTCAGGGCCGTGACCATCTCATCGATTCCAGGGGTGGCATATGCATGCTGGTGCCAATTCTGTACGTTTCGGATCAGAGGGTCCATTGTAATCATTGATGGCATGCCCAGCTGGAGACTTAGACTATATATACGGTGTACTTAGTATGGAGACGGACAGAAGAGAAAGGGAGCAATGAATATAGGAGGGATAGTTGCGTACCTCCTATCATAAATGAACAGCACGAGCCAGGTGCGTTCCTTGCTGCGTTGTTCCCGTAACTCCATTTCCTCCTCAAACCCAGAAGCAAGCTGCATTGGTTTATCTAGAATAGATGGCTTAAGTTTATTCAAGCCTAATTCTAAGCCTCCCCTAATGGCATATCCGATAAACATCCACGCACGCGTGTCGTTGGATTCCTTCCAATGTGTCAAAAGACAGACGCCCTGGATTATCTCTAGAGACTTCTCGCCTGAGCCCATGATATTGTGAAGGAGCTTCTCGCTATGTTCGTGTAGTTTGGTATATATAGCCGGACAGAAAACCTTTGCAGCAACGCTAAGGAGGGCGGTGAATAGGAACGGCGATCGATTTCGAACATATCGTACAGTATGGAGGACAGGATCGAATTGGCATATGAAGGGGTTCATGTATTTGAAAAAACTGTAACCATCCGTACGCTTATGTTAGATCTCTAACTACAGCCACTACATCAAGTCTAGCATGGGCGAAGGAACGAAGGGAACCTACCTATCGAAAAGGCCTTGAGCTATAGGGAGATTGATCAAATTTTGGAGTACTGGATCATTCTGGTCGATGGGGGCATCGTTTGCCAAACAATCTTTCCAACGAGATGGCTCCTCGGCCGGGCTTTCGTTTTCGGCATTCAAGATATTTGCAATCGAGAAGTTTCCAGGGGTAGATGACTTCTTCAACAAGGCGAATGGTGCAAGGCTATCTGAAAGAGGGTGCGTTAATTGTACTATAGAAGCCAGCTTCGTAGGCAGTGGGTTCTCGGAGGTGATGGCGGGCTGTATTGGTTTATCGGGCAGGTCTGGGGAGCTAAAGCTGGTATCCGACTTTATTCGTTTTGGAGAGCGTGTGTCTATTGAAGACTGGACGACTTCTTCTGGCGTCACGGCAGAGCTGTTGTCTGGTGGCGGCGCGCTCGAGAGCAAGGCAGGGAGCCCGGCAGCCTTTAACCGTTCAGCTTTGGGCCGGAGTCTGCATAGTTAGTGTTATTACAGCGGTTAGCGATTCGCTTGTTCTTCCGACCCAGCAAATAAAAAAGAACAATGCGCACCATCAATCATAGCTGAAGGGACGAAACTGAACTCTCATAAGCAGGAGTCAAGATAACACTCACTTTGTGCCCGGTTTGCGACCGCGCCGATGGGATTCGTAGAAACAGCTTAGTGACTTGCGCTTGCAGCGATTGCAGGACGCCGAGTCTGGATCTCGCGTACACTTCATCTTCACGGTGCGGCATGGCGTGCATGCCGCGGCTGCGGCCGCGGACGGATTACCGGAAGCCATAGTGCGCTGCAAACGCCCGGGAAAGACGGGTGTCTATGCGGAGTATATTCGAATGTAGCAGGCCAAAAAATCGTCTGTTCACCTGGCCCTTGTATCCGCCATCCTCCCATGGGAAAGACGGGCGCACTACCCTCCCTCCTCCCCACGACTGTTGTCGAACCGAGAGAGAATCTTCTTGGTCGAAAAGGAATGTGTACGACGTTGGCGTTGGGGGTTGGGAAAGTCGTCCGCCTTTTTCTTGCTGGGCAGTTGGAAAAAAAACGTGGAAGACGGCGGTGTCTGGCCGTTCTGGAATAGTTATGGATACGAGCGCCCCGGATCTCCACGGTGGTAAGTGTATTTTTAAATGCGGAGTAAACCCGCAGCCAAAGGTGCCTAGGGCCTCAGTGATGCTGGTTTTACACTCTGTTGGAGCCCCGATTGTCCAGACGACCGAGAGTGTCGCATCCACGTTTGATGAGATTTCGCTCAGCAAGGTCAACGCGATACGACGATTTAGGGCGACCAAGGCGAGGGAGCGTCGCATGGCACTCCCCGCAGATATAAAGGCATCGACCTGGAATCAGCTCACATGATGGGCCGGGGTGTGAATTGGTGGCAGCCAAACAATTTCCAGCATTGGTCAGGAATTATGTTATCCGTTGCGAGAATGCCTAAATTAAACATTGCACATCTTTCTCGGTTGGGGCCGCGTACTTCTGATCTAGCGGCCTTCGTCGGCTAGGTCAAGGTCAAGGTGCCAGGGATTGTCCTGGCACGCCCCAGGAAGCCCTAGGGAGGGCCTGGGGTGCTCCGCGAGGGCCTTGGGGGTGCAGCAGCCCAACTGCCTAACCAAGCCTCATAACCCGGCTCGGCTTGGCGGGTTAGAGAATGCCGCCGCATCGCTGGACGATAGGGGGGCAGCCCGGAGGAGTGTGGGAGTAGTGGGTATAACTACCCAGGTCAGAGTAGCATTGCATTTGACGGAACGGGACCCAGCAGGGTGTGCGAGTCGCCATTTATTCGTTGGCGTTCTGAAACGCAACCCATCTCCGCAGACTCTTCAGCAGTCGCGGTCAAGCATTTGTCTCGTAACGGCCATGCCGGCTCCGCCCAAAGTATGGCATCATGCTGAGATTGCTGCTTATTCCTGGCAGAGCGAGATACCCTAACTACTTAGTACCGGTGCTTGACTGACGCCATGGGACAGCGTGCAACCTCACGTTTGACGTCTGTCTGGAGCGTGCAGGTGCTGCAGGCAAATCGGCTCCGTCCCTTGTCGATGACCGGGGGGGTTACGGGCTGATCCCTGGATTTAGTTAGTTGGATAATATAACACAAATGTCCAGATGAAGGTTGGAGGATCAAAAGTATCAGTGCAATCTTGGTCAGACCTTACGAAGGCCCTCTGTGGGTGGCGTAGCTCAGCGGGCTCTCGTACCTGTTATTCGTCCCTTTTATCGTCCTGTATCCAGTGTGAGGCAGCGAAAGTTCTTCCCCCCCAAACGCGGCGTGATTCCATCCTCTCTCGTATATCTACATCCGCCACTCGGGAATTTTCCGGCCAAGAAGGCAGATCGAGTCCTACCTTCGGGGACAAGAAGAGCTGAATCCGCATCATCCCGGCAATTCTGCTGCACGCTTGCGTTGTAAGATGTTTGGTCGCGGCCAAAGAGCAAAAGCAAAACTTCACCAAATCTTCGGTCGATGTTGTTTTTTGCCCAAAAGGGACGGAAAGGGATGAAATAGTCACGTGAATAACAAATAGTCACCTGATATATGACTAAGAATGAAGCCAAGAAGAAGCCAAGTCCGCGTCTAAGTCGGTAGGCGCCGCTTATATGCTTGGCATGTATCTAATTTTAGCGGATGATCTTTGGCGCAGCCTTATTTACTGTGAGGAGAAGAGTGGATTGAAAGAGACAATGTGCCATTTGCCGTACACTATAGATACTGATATACCCTGGTAGATAGCATAAAGAGCTGGTAGGGATGCGAGAGAGTAGCCGCAATGTATATTTCAAGGGAACTCTGCGAAAGTATAAGTGAAAGCAAGAACCCTATCAAGCCCTAATAAGAGCGCCCAGTGAAGATAGAAGCTAGAGCAAAGGATTGATTGTCCAAGGAGGGGTACATGCTTGTCTGATGTACTCAAAATCTAATATAAGAATCTGCTCACCGTATATAAACTCGTCTGCCTAGCACAATCTGGGCTAAAATAGAACCGTAATAGCTAAACTAGCCTAACTATACCCCTTACGTTGGAGAATTGTATCTAGCAATAACTCATTGCTGTCAATCAATTTTAAATTTCCGGCTGCACTCAACAGACTGGTGCTCGCGTTTGTGCCGGGCTGTTTTCGGCCCCTTTTCGGTATATAAGGATATTGTCAAAATGACAGCAGCAGAAGCGATTATTATTATTATTATTATTCATTATACTCCTATGCAGTCAAAGACTATGAGAAGTTCTATATCTAGAATCTAAATACAGAGAAAAACAAAAGGAAATCAAAATTTAGCCTCCTAAGGCTCTAAGGTTTAGGGAAGGTGCAAATTGGTAGTAGCAGCAGAAGCGAATATTTGTCGTTTCGACTTCGAACTTGCGCATACCTCGCAAATTGGCTTAGGGTTACCAGCTTCGGGCGTTGGCTTCAAACGGATAACTTCAACATCATCGGAGACTGCTTCAAGGTGTTTGACAGCCTCGTTACTCGGGTGACCGAGTCGCTTGTGCCAAAGAGCCTCGTTCGCAGTGCTCTTCTTGCGTATATACGAGGATATAAGGGCTGCGTTTGTTGCCGGCGGAGTATTATACTTAATAACAAGCAAACCGTCAATTCGCTGCGTCGTAGCTATAACTTCTCTGCCTGGGCCCCTTCTTCTAATATACTCGGTCTTGCCGTCGTAAAAAAGCCCCTTCTTTTTTATTTACAGGTCGGTATCAAACTGGTGTGAAAGCCAGGAATGTACCAGGCGTTCTCGAGCCGTCCTTGCCTTCTCTTACCGTCTGGCGTTGTAAGCTAAATATTGGTCACTCCAACTCCGTGTATTGCGGTCTCTCTGGTGCCAGTCAAGACAACTCCCTTACACGGCTCGAGCGTGTCAAATCGGTTGCTGTCGTTAAGAACACCTTACACCTACGTATATTCGCTCAATTCAACGTTTAACCAATCATATTCGCTTCGGCTGCTGTCATGTGGGAGAATTCGTGTGTATGCGTGCCATCATATTCGATAGACAGGTCTTTGGTGTCTCTCAGGTAGCAAATCAGTCTGTCTACCTGTTCGAGGTGCAATCGGCTTGGATTTTTCAAGGACTGCGCGAGCTTGCTCGTTGCAAAGGCGATATCTGGTCTGGTGGTGACAGCGGCGTAGAGGACTGAGCCCACCTTTTGTTGGTATTCGTGTATTTGGCCAGGCGTTGCTTGTCCTTCGTTCTTTGCAAGCGTTACGTCCTTTAGCAACGGCGTTGAGGCCTTCTTGCCGTGCTCCAGATGGTAACGTTTGACGATCTTCTCAATGTAGGCTCGTTGATTTAGCCAAAGCTTGCCGGCGTTACGGTCCCGTTCGATAGCAATACTAAGGAACCAGTTAGCTGCACCGAAGCCCTGTATTTCAAAGGTCTTCTTGATGTAAGCTATACAGCACCACTTTCAGCCTCCTTCGGTCCGTGTTTTTCTGATCTCACTTCGCCAGAACGCCGTTTGACCACACAGGCCTTCATAGAGAAGGTATCCAGGTCAAAAAGAGAGCGGAGCGGGTTCACCATTACAACATGTAGTATCATAAGTCCCAATGCTAATGTAGCAACCCAAGTGGTCTTTAGGTACCATGAAGTGTGATAATTCTGACTCTTGTTATGACGGCGAGCGTGACTCTGGCTGATTCCGCAATCCGCATCGGTGCATCCTGCAGGCGTTTGCGGATTCCGAGATGGCGTTTCTGGAATTTCGACCAAAGGTCTGCGTGGCTCCCGATTCGCTACCATCGCGTCCCCCCAGGCTAGTTTGAGAATGTCATGGCCTTTCTGGTTCGTTCGGTCGAGTTAAAGGTTACTGCGATATCAGGACGAGCAAACGGTTAAACATAGTTGTAACTTCAGCTGTACTTGATTTCGATGGGATAGAAAAGGCTAAATTAATAGCATTCCCAATTTCGTAGCCCCCCAGAGGCTTCTGGTTCTTTGGGATACTAATATAGAGCTTTCTTTGGGAGGAAGGTATATTAGTAGCTAGGGGTGCGGTAGCTGTAGGTCCCTTGTTCGACTGCGGTTGAGGGTGTTTCAGGTTCGTTCTTAGTCGTGCTCTTCTTCGGGTTTTCCCTGGCTTGCTCCTTGCCCGCAGTTTTCTTGTTCTTGGCCACTCGGCCTGTCTTCGCCTGTTTAGAGCTTAACACAGAAGGCTTATACTCAGAAGGGGCTTTAAGACTCACTCTAAGTAAGTGCATTTCTAGTTGGTGGTTCCTCAGAACCAGAGGTCGCTTGCCAAAGAGGTGGTTCCGCGATCCGTCTCGGTGCACCTCGATTATTATTATTCTTCATTATACTCCTATGCAGTCAAAGACTATGAGGAGTCCTATATATATAGATACAAGAAAAAGAAACGGTGCACCTCGAAGAACGGCGCTTGGCCAGCTCGGGAATCCAGGTCCATGGCTCCTGACTGGGCTGAAGGGTTGAACCGGGATACCGAAGACCTTGGGTCCGTTGAGTGGTTCCAGGCTCCAGAGTCACGCTTGTTCGTCTACCTCATAATATAAGATCCCACAGATAATAGCGATCAGATTTGGCGGTCATATATATTTTAATCCGCCCCCAGAACCCAGGGAGATGAACCCTACGTTCGAAAGTTGGGCCTCACATTAGCTTAGTATTAGATGCAATAGAGGAATGTACGATCCATTTCCTATCCGGGGGAAATCTAGTGGGATAAATGGGATAAAAGTGGTATAAAAGCGGTATAAATAGGATGTACCACATCTCGAGCGAACACGGCTAGCGATGGGCATTCAGTCCCCCATGAAAGGAATATCCAGAGGAATGCCCACGGAACAATTCCCAAGAGCGAGTTCAACAAAGTCGAGGCAAGTGGTCAAATCTTCCCAAAGCCAACACCGTAAGCCGGTGAGGCTCCATAGTGGCAAATAGAAACAAAACGTCTGCTAGAGGCCGGAGCTTGCACACAGCAACAGGGAGGGCGATGGATAGTGAAGAGTTTATCGGATCTTCGCAACAAGACTAATTGGCACGTCATTGTGAGGACATGACAATTTAAAGTAGTGCGGTTGTGGAGGTTGGAGAGTGCATTAGATGAGAGACAAGGGTTGGTCGTATTAAATCAGTATTAGTCATTTTTCCTAGATCGAGCCCGACGACTTGCAGAGGATGCTGGCTCTTCGCGTCCATCCTCGTCCTCGGCATCATCCTCATCATCATCGTCTAGCGGTACATCCATGACTCGCTGTCCAGCAGTTTCAAGTACTCTGCAACTCCAAGCACGGACGCCTTTATACACTCCCTGGTTTTGGTTGCTTGTGTTAGTGCGTGGGACAATGCATCTGCATAGGGAGAAATACATACCCAGAGAAATGTAGCTACGCCAATAGCAAGCACTATCCAGCTCACTGATGCAGCCCTGCTTCTCCCGGTGTTAGCTGATCTCCGGCCTGACCCGCCGAGAAGTCCAGAGTTGCGTAGATTCCACCACTGCCACGGCGAGGCAGCGAGCACCACTTTCAGAAAAGAGAGCACTCCAAGCGACGCAAGCCCTTTCATAAGATGCTCAAACCAGGTCGACCTCGCGTCCATAACCCCCAGTCCATCAGTGCCATCGTCCCACAAGTCACCAGTGATGGTATCAAGAGGATCTAGGTATATATTGATGATCGGGTCTGCCACAAACCCGAGCAGAAAAATAGTAAAGAGCAGGATTCCCACTGTAAGTGTCAATTGAGCAACCTGACTGTTGATCCATTTTGCCCATGTCATCCGCTCCAGCCTGTATTCAAACCCGCAAGTCGGACACTGCCAGTAGTTCCGTCTCCCGTATGCGGGGTCGGCATTCCTCCAGAGCTTCAGGCAACCCTCGTGAACGTATCGTGACGAGCCCTTGCACTTGCAGGGCCGAAGCAGGCGACCCAGCTCAGGGTCCGAGGATTCGTATGTCACTCTGATCTTCGATTGCAGGAAGCTTGGGAAGCTATCTGAGGGCAGATGCGTGGTTGGAGGCACACTCTCGAGACAGATCCGGCACGTCCGGTGAGGGTATCTCTTGGGTTCCGGCGCGGGCTGGCCACCTGTCTCCTCCTTCTCAGGCTCTGCACTGCCTCCTGCTCTCGAATCAGCGGTGCTGGCAGCTTCAGGCCACTGCCACGACGGAGCCGAGTCCATGGCCACCTAGTAGTACTGTAGTTATCTTGTAGTGATGTAGACAGCTTCCTTTTCAGCCAGCTTCAACATGCACGTCCGTTGTCAGCCATCCGGTCAGGGAGCGTAGCATCGTCCTGGAGCCGGCGAGCAGCAGCAACGGCGTCGTCTGTCGTCTGTCGTCTGTCGTCGTCTTATGTAGCTTGTTGTGTGGGATGTTTTTATTCTCTTCGTCGTCGAGAAGAAAAGAAAGAAAAGCGAAAGCTGGCCCGATCGCCCGGAGGCGCAGGTTTAGCCGGGCGGCTAATCTTGCCGTTTGCGGCGCCGCGTCAACATCTGCCTTGCGATTCCTCGCTGGAACCAAAAAGCAACGCCAGCAAGCAACGAGAACGACGCCGTGAAGTAGACAAAACAGCTTGACGAACGGCCGCCGCAGAGCTTCGAGAGGGACAGCCGCAGACACCGACAGCTACCGCCAGACCGTGCCTTTCGCGTTTCAAGCTCGCCGTCTCGATTCCGCCCTTTGGCCATGGCCGACCGCTACTCGTTCTCGCTGACGACCTTCTCCCCCAGGTACTGTGTTTCTCTCCACTGCGCCGCGATGCTGCGGGATGTGAGCTTGGAAGCTGACCTTTGACACAGCGGGAAACTAGTTCAGATCGGTAGGACAGCTGAGCCGCGGCCGGCAGAGACAGTATCAAGCTAACTTGGGTGTAGAATATGCTCTGAACGCTGTCAACCAGGGTGTAACTGCCCTGGGAATCAAAGGTTGGGGCGAGCCGCCAGGTAACCCTCTCTAATGTCGACCGGTTACTGATGCTGTGTTGCCTCCCATAGCTACGAATGGAGTAGTCCTAGCTACAGAGAAGAAGTCTACGAGCCCGCTTGTCGATCCCCCCTCGCTCTCCAAAGTCTCCCTGATCACCCCGGATATAGGCATGGTCTACTCTGGAATGGGCCCAGACTACCGCGTGCTCGTCGACAAGGCCCGCAAGACCTCCCACACAAACTACAAGCGCATCTACAACGAATATCCCCCCACCAGAATACTTGTACAAGACGTTGCTCGAGTTGTACAGGAAGCTACCCAGTCCGGTGGTGTCCGGCCGTACGGCGTGAGCTTGCTCATTGCTGGCTGGGATGACGGTATCGAGCCAGAGACCGCAGAAGCCAAGGAGGGAGAGACGGATGCTGAGAAGAAGAAGGCGTCCGGCAAGACAGGAGGCATTTTGAAGGGAGGGCCAAGCTTGTACCAGGTCGACCCCAGTGGAAGCTATTTCCCCTGGAAGGCCACGGCCATTGGGAAGAGCTCCACAAGTGCAAAGACCTTCCTCGAGAAGAGATATACTGAAGGCCTAGAGTTGGAGGACGCCGTACACATCGCTCTCCTGACCCTGAAGGAGACGATCGAAGGTGAAATGAACGGTGATACCATTGAGATTGGTCAGTAGTTCATTCTACAAGGCTGACCTTCCTACCCATTATAAAAAGGCTTTTGAACTAACCCATGTATTGCAGGTATCGTCGGACCTCCAGCACACCATCTGCTCGGATATGAAGGCGTTGAGGGAGCCCGAGGCCCTCGGTTCAGAAAGCTCAGCAAGGAGGAGATCGAAGACTACCTGACCAACCTATGATAGACTACAACTTTTTACCATAATATCAGTAATGACAGCTCCTGAGCCATGGTGACACTCTTCGTATGCCCTGTTCTCCCTGTTCTAGTTTCTTTCATAGGTTTATGCACGCAACGCGGGGTTTCTTCGCGCTCATGCATGGCCAAAAAAAGCGCCGGAGAATCCCATTGGCGTCTAAGTATTTAAAAGACCGTTCATCTTCGTAGGCGAGACTCTTCTTCCTCTTCATCGCACCGTCGCCGTGGCTTTTCTATCCTGGTGTTTCTTCCTCTCTCCCTCTCCAGCCAACTAAATAACTAACTAGTTAGTTAACCAACTGCAACGTCAATCAAGACCCACCAAGGAGAACATCTTTGGACTACAACCGCCGAACCAAATACGTCGACAACAACGCTGCATGGCCGCCGCGAAGCCAGAACTTCCTGGCCAGATGCTTGCCCTAGAGGAGCATAAGTGGGGGAGGAAACGGTCCAGGTCAAGTTCTGGCTCAGGCGATATGCCTCAAAATGAAGCAGCGCAGAAAGCGGGCTTTGACAGCCTGGAGGATGCTCCAGATACGATCAGACCAAGAGGATATCAAAGAGAGATGCTGGAGGCGAGCATAAAACAGAATATAATAGTCGCGGTTAGTTTATGCATCTGTTTGCTTCATATATGGCTTAAAAGGCTTCTAATACCGCAACCAGATGGACACTGGCAGTGGAAAGACTCAAATGTCAGTGAACTATATACATCCTTGAAAACATTGAGATATGATCAATTGAATGATCAAGCACCTTCTAATACAATTGGTCACATATACAGTGCTATTCTTCGCATTAGATACGAACTAGAAAGGTGTTCAAACGATAAGGTATGAACTCCCCAGAAGAATTAACCAGCAGGCACCACAATATATTAACGGGTGTATAGCTCGTATGGTTTCTGGCTCCAAGAGTACCCCTTGCAGAGCAACAGTACAGGGCCATTTCCGAACAGCTCCCTGCCTATCAGACGAAGATCCTGACCGGAGCAGACAACCTAGAACGCTGGTCCACACAGCAGATTTGGGATGCTTTTCTGCTAAATACCAGAATTGTTGTATCAACACCCCAGATTCTTCTAGATGTGCTGTCCAATGGCTTCATTACCTTACGGCGAATAGCATTGCTTGTTTTTGATGAAGGTAATTACTTAAATTATACCACCCTATCTATTTCTTTTACCCCTTGCTAACTTTTTGAGCAGCACACCATTGCGTCAAGGCCTCGCCAGAAAACAAGATTATGAGAAATTTCTATCATGCCCGTATAGACCAGCTCAGTGAGACAAATGATCTCCCGTCTATTCTCGGCCTTACTGCTAGTCCCACTTCTAAATTAATCGAAGATTCTCTGAGGTAAGTACTTGGCTATGAAGTCGCCAGTGTGAATGCAGTTTGCTCATGGAAAGTAGACAACTGGAGCAAAATCTCGATGCTTTCTGTAAAACACCAGCTATTCACCGGGAAGAGATGATGCAATATGTGCATATACCAGAACTACGAAGAATTTCGTACCAGAAAGACTCGATAATACCTCACAATATGGAAATGAAATTTCTGCATATGCTGGATGACATAGATATCGAGAGTGACCCGTTTTTCCAGAGGCATAAAGGAAAAACAGACAGCAAAAGCACAGAGAAGTGCCTACGTGCTCTTGCCCGCAAAACTCCTTGCCTTGATCAGCTGAAACGATGCTTCACTAAGATTAGCCATATGTACGGCGAGCTTGGACACTGGGCCTCGTCGGCGTTTATCTCTGAGATATACCGACGGACCCGCGAGAAAAGGGCCAAGCTCGTTGACCATAGTTGGTCTGAATGGGATAGAGATGACTCCTCCTTCATGTGCAATGCATTGGAGCCTGTGGTTGCGATCATGGGTGAAAGATGCTGGAATTCAACCCCTGATGCGGTTTCACAAAAGGTTGAACATCTAATTGACCTTTTGTCGTCAGAACTTACAGGTTCTTCAAGGGGCATAATCTTCGTTGAGCAAAGGGCAACAGCGGTTATGCTCTCCCATCTAATCTCCCATTACCCAGAGCTTACACACATAAAGTCAGATTATTTCCTAGGGAACTCTGCCTTTTCTGACAGGAAGGCAGATCTTACTGAGCTCAGCAAGCCAGGAGACATGAAGAATTCTATAGCTGACTTGAAGTCGGGCAAAAAGAACTTACTTGTTGCTACCTCTGTCCTTGAAGAAGGCATAGATGTTTCCGCATGCGACCTTGTTGTATGCTTTGATCCCCCGAAACAGCTACGCTCCTTTGTTCAAAGACGGGGTAGAGCAAGAAAGAAGAGCTCGAAATTTGTTATATTTTATGCCGAAGATGATACTGCGACATACAAGGACTGGGAAGCGATGGAGGATATCATGAAAGAAAGGTATTTAAGCAACAAGGAGTTTATAGAAAGGCTCCGGGAAGAGGATGATGAAGAAGAAGTCGAATATGAAAGCCTTAGAATAGAATCAACCGGGTACGGTGTTACTCCTGGGCTGGTTTTGTGGGATTGCTTGCTGACTATTTATTATTCTGTCAGGGCGTTATTAACCCTCGAGAATGCTCGCGCGCACCTTTCCCACTTCTGCTCAACAATACCTTGTGAATTCACAGATACTCAGCCGGACTTCATCATCTCTAAGACCGGAATTAAAGACATGCTAACCGCCAAAGTGTTGCTCCCCACAGTTCTAGATCTCCAATTTCGTGAATTCGAGGGAATTCAAGCATGGAAAAGAGAAAAAATGGCCAAAAGAGATGCCGCATTTCAAGCATACCTGCAGCTTTACAAGGCCGGTCTGGTTAACGACCACTTGATGCCTGAACACTGCCGTACCACCGACGAAGAAATAGCACATATTGAAAAACGCTCTAGCATGACAACATGCTCCGAGGTGTTCAACCCCTGGAAAATGGTTTCTGATCGATGGCACAGTACAGATACCTTCTATCAGAGCAGTATCGTCATTTCCTCTGGAACGGAGGAGCTACCGAGAATGATACTAATCCTACCAATACCCCTCCCATGCAACTTTACTGTTAAGCTATTCTGGAACGAGACAAGCACTCTTTCAGCGTCAGTTTCACCGCAAGAATTGACCGTTTCGGACGAGGATATTGTCTCAGCCCCACTAGCTACACATATTCTTCTATCCTCTGTGTTCCCATCTAGAATGAACGGAACTTCTCGTGATTTCTCTTGCATATTTGTCCCCGAACTTGCCAAGGGGCATGGAGGGCTTGAGTCATGGTGCACTAAAGTCAGCAAGTCCATTTTGGGACGGGACATTGAGAGCGGCAGCCTGCGGTCGATGGGAGATTTTGGCCTTGCAAGACGAACTGATATCTATGCTAGGGCATGGGTAGCAGAAAGATTTGTATGGATGAAACACGTCAGAGCAGAAGATGACAGTGAGTCTGTAGAGGACGAAGAGGAAGAGGGAGAGACCCTGCATGTCGAAGGAGAAAAGTGGCCGAAGAGGGCTGATTTCTTACACCCCGTCGCCAACTCGACCGACTCTAAACCACATCACACTGCGAGGAACTGTATTCCAGCTCGACAAAGCTGTATATCCATGTTACCTGTCGGGTTCGCAAAATTTGCACTCTTCATCCCATCCCTGATACACACCATTGGGCGCTACTTGCTGGCCGAGGAACTCTCAAAAACTATATTGTCGCCCATAGGATTCCAGAATATTCAGCTAGTGCTGACCGCAATCACTGCCACCTCAGCAAGGGAGGATACCAACTATCAACGCCTGGAATTTCTTGGAGACAGTGCTTTGAAGCTGCATGCATCTATGCAGCTTTTGGCAGAGCATCCACTCTGGCATGAGGGGATATTGTCGAAAAAGAAGGACTCCATCGTATCCAACTCTCGACTTTGGAAAGCTGCGGTAGACACGGGACTGGACCAGTTTATCCTTACTACGTGCTTCACGGGTGCGAAATGGCGGCCGCTATACAACAGCACGTACACGGACAATGCGGGGAAAATTGGAGAGAAATCCACCCGGAAATTGTCTACAAAGACCCTTGCAGATGTTGTGGAATCATTAATTGGGGTCGCCATTATCGATGGGGGAGAGAACAAAGTGCTACGTTGCCTGGAGCTATTTCTCCCCGAAATCAACTGGCTACCGTCTGGGGAGCGCATCGAAATTCTCTACGACTCCGCACCGGACTTCAACGACGATTGCCCCCGCGATATTCTGTCGAAAATAGAACCCCTGATCGATTACTCGTTTACGAAAAAGGCCCTCCTGGCCGCCTCCCTGTCGCATCCCAGCAATCCAATTAGTGGGATGACGTATCAGAGGCTCGAGTTCCTCGGAGATTCGATTCTGGACAACATTGTTACGAGGGCACTGTTCCGCTGCAAAAAAGAGATTCCTCATCAAGATATGCACCTGATACGCACTGCATTGGTCAACGCCGACTTCCTTGCTTTCTTATGCATGAACACGTCCACGGACGAAACGCGGGAAGATGTCTGCGTGTCTCCAACCGGGGAGGTAGAAGTCACCTCGTCTACCCGCCAAGTGTCCCTGTGGCAGTATATGTCGCATTCAAGTACGGATATCGTCGAGACCCAGCAGGCCATGGCCCGCACGTTTGAGGAGTTACGAGACCAAATAGAAAATGCGTTGCGGTCAGGTGCTAGATACCCCTGGACGTTACTTTCGACGCTCAATGCACCCAAATTCTTTTCGGATATTATCGAGAGTATCCTGGGCGCAATATTCATTGACTCACGCGGCTCGATACTCGCATGCCAAAAGTTTCTTACACGCATTGGTCTGATGGACTATCTCCAGCGTGTTCTCGAAGATGATGGTATTGACTTTATGCATCCGAAACAGCGTCTCGGCGTAGTGGCTCAGTCCCTCAGTGTGCAGTACGTTGTGTCAGAGGTCCATGTGAAACCCGGGGTTACACAATGGAAGTGTCAGGTCCTGGTAGGGGATGAGGAGATATCTCGAGTTGACGATGGCGTAAGTCAAAACCAGGCCAGGGCGAAAGCAGCGGATCTTGCCCTTGAAGTGCTGCGCACGAAGAATTAATGACAATACGATGTGATGATTACACCTTTTGGATTTTCTTATGTTGGATTATTTGGACCATGCTAGATACCCCTAGATTGAGTCAGACATTGGGAAGAAATAATAATGATTTGGAGAGATAAGCCATAAACTCATTAACCTTTATCTGGCGAAGATAGCATCATTTCAAACTATACCACTGTGCTCTTCTACAGCGCAGGGCTTTCATTCAATGGATCCTCACACTTTGTAAAGACGTTTATCGTCAAGCTCAGCCCAGGCTTCACTACCAACAGTCGCACGGCCCGAAGTATATTCGAAGGGTCATATCTCCACCCTCTTTATGCTGAGAAGTTCCCAGTACTGAAATCGATAGCAGGCAAACTGCCAGTTAGGTACTGATTCTGGGATGGAGATGCAGTTACAAGGTCTCCCTTGGGCGTAGCAACCTCCCATTTTAGGACTTGGTCGGCAGGCCGTACTTGGTGGTGAGCAGACTATGACTGTCACCATGAGTATATTTATACACCGTCCATCCGTTTCAACGCCCAAAGCCAGACGTCTTTACCTCGTAGTAGGTCCGATGCAGTTACTAGTGATGGCGGAAGTGAAGCTGATCTGATAGGATTTATTATGTCAATGACGGAGATTCCGGGCTATCTTCAGCTTGGCCCATTGACTACTGATCCTGCAAGCAAAACGAATACCCCAATTAGCCTCCTACGCCTTGCAAAAGCCACTCCTTCGAGTTCCGCATGAGCCTCACTATCACTGTGGATACTAAATATCGACATAGGTAAGTAATGCCTCTGGGCCATAACCCTACGTGTGTGAACCCCTCTTCTCCATCGCCTCGATCCTCTTACAAAACCCACCATCAACAGCTGTGATCTCCGTCTCGTTACTCTGTTTCCGTGGCCTCTGGGTACTCTCGCAGCCACTCGTCCTTTGACAGACACCGACCGCTGCCCTCGAGGAAACGAGTGATTTTGGCATTGAGATCTAGACAGTTAGTCAAGCCGTAATCGATGGATTGCGTGTCCGGCTTACCTTCTACCGTCATGATGTTCCTGGCCTGCAGGGAGTAATGATCTTTGAACTCATGGACCAGTATAAGGTCGTCCGGTACTCGAATGCCTGAGTATATCGTCAGACTCGATATTGAGCCAAAATTGACGTATTTTGGGTACTAACCTGCATCCAACGTGTAAATACAGGCCGAACTACCCCTAAGGCTGGCTGCATTCTGCTGCATTTTTGGAGTATTCGGCCGCATTGAAGCCCCGTTCGGTGCTAATCTCATCAACACAGACATGAATTAGCCTTATACTGGTGTTTATATCGATTGTACAAGGTGGTTGGTGTTCTTACGCTGGTAAGTGGCCGGGTTGAGTGCCTTTGGCTGCACCATTCCGTTGTGCGTCAGGAGATCAAACAGCCCAGGAGGCCGTCGAGGACCAGGATAAGCCCGCAAACGAACAACACGGCCGTTGTTTATGCGGAAGAGCTCCTTTGGTATTACGCTGTAGGACTTTATGAATCTCGACATATTGCTGTCTGGCTACTAGTTATATAGACCGTGCGATTCTTCCAGGATTGATCGACGAAATAAATCATTTATATTATTACGCATAGCTAGTTAGTGCGAGCCAATTAGTTAGTTATAAGCTTAAACTCCGCGAGAATTAAAAAATAATGGGTTAACCAATCAATTAACTGTTAACTAGTTGTGGTTTGATCAAATTGTTTGGTGTTAATTTGCCCCTGAAGCACAACTTCTGCTAAAATTGAAAACTGCCATTGCTGTACGGAGTATATCAATCATCAATCAGTCACCATGTTTAGAACCGCCGTACTCCGCCCTATAATCAGGGCTAAACCTGTGTTTAATGCCCGGCGTCATCTTACTGTTACCTCCATCCATGATACCTTTCCTGCCACCCTCTATCGATTCCAGATTCACCGGGACTCCCGGCTCTATGACAAGGAACTAAAGAAGGAAAACGAAGACCTTGAGTATGCAGATGGCGTGGAGATTTCCAAAGACGGATTGGTATACCCAGGGATTACCAATATCGGTATGGCATCTTCTAACCTACTATTCTTTTATTCCCTTCGTATGCTTACTTACTGTGTGGGTAGTGTCAAACGGGGCGGTCTTTATGGCAAATACTCGTTGGATGCAGCAGTCAACACGCATGTCATACGAGTACTTCCTCGAGGACATGGCAGACAGACAGCCCCCAGATGCATTTCCTCATTTCTTATGCATTCCTAAAGGTACGTCTTCAATGTGTGTCTAACGGTGGAAACCGGCTGATCATTCTAGGGACCGTGATACCCAAGTCCCTTGTGCTCCTGCGAGGGCGAGATATCCGTTGTGAATTCTCCCTCCAGCCGTCGTCCCCCATGACGTTGAAAGGTAAGACAAGCTGGCCTCTTTGAGATGAGGAATGTTGCTTATGATTGATAGAGTTGAATGATACCTTGACGGAGTTCTATCTCAGACATGGAACCGCTACGCCTGCCGATGAGTGGCTGGAAGGCCATGATTACGCTGAGTCCTTTGATGAAAGCACGGATGATTACATGCGCTACTAAGACTTGTCTCTGGGATCTGTCGAATCTTCCAAAGGATGAACATCCGCTTAGCGGTAAGTGGCATAAGCTGTCCGTTTGATATAATAATGACAAGCCCGGGAAGAAGGGATAAAGAAGCACAATGAGCATACCCCAAGGAGCATGTCTAAGGAGCAGGTTTAAGGAGCAGGCCTAGGTAAAGTGACTTAGTTCCAGTCACTCCTCTGATTGAATGGCCTGTTTGCTATGGTTGTATGCGGGATACCGGCTGCGAGACTTCCTGGTCTCCTTTCATTGATGATATGGCTTCATCTCCGGCTAATTCACTACCGGAATGCATTCACTCTGGCAGCATAGCTAGTCCCCCAGGCTGTCTATAAATACCCAGCATCTTCCTCCATCTTCCTCTGTCTCTTTCTCTTCCTTACACTACTCCAACCATCGACTCCACCATTTCCACAGTTTTATCACGATAACCCCCCTGGATTTGCCCCTGAAACTCCGCCAGGTATACACAAACACATCAGTCGCCAGGAGGTCAGGCCGGCAACGAGAAAGCTCGACATTGCCCCCTGTGCCGTATGTTCAAGCCAACTTGTTGCACATTTATATCCCACTCCAGCTCTCCTATATAATCATTCAGATGCAAGTATACGACACCTAGGAGGGTATAACTACCTTTACAGCTACCACCCGAAGAAAAGATGTCGACTTTAAGCCCATGGAGAAGGGAAGAGCCGTGCACCCGTTGCACCCCCGTTAAGAAGCCCTACATCAAGGAGATCGAAATATCCAGGGACGAATAACTTGCAATGTACCATTCAACCAAAAGATGGGAGGCTATATTCCACCCATATCAACACTGCTAAAGCAACTCCGATGATGAATCTGAGCTATCCTCGAACGAGCCGAATCTCCAGGATGGGGCTACAGGTCATTGAAGGCGAGATGCATACAATTCCTTGCGATTATCATGAAAGCAATATTATCATAACGCAATCTCTCGCATGCAAGCTGCTTTACTGCTGTAGAGTAGTCCTGGCAGGCCGCTCGCTCCGTAATGGAGCCTTGGGATCTACGGAGACAGCACCTCCTCTAACTATATATTCTTTATTTATACACTGGTATACCAAATTACTCCCGAGCCACGTCTTGTACTCGACTCGACAAGCTATTCGCCGATTCCCGAAGCTTGTATTGTGGTTCAAGAACCTCGGGAAGCGGAGTGATCTATAGAAACGCCCCCAGACTCACTTATAGAAGCAATAAAGGGATGCTACACCTTGGCCACCTCGAAGGTGTCTCCTCGAAGGTGTCTATCAATAGATGGCTATCAGAAGAATTCCCAATAACCCGAGGAGTGAGGCGAGGAGACCCCTTCACCGATACCATTCAAGCCGCCGCCCCTTTTATCAGCTGGGTAACCAGTCATTTGGATACCCCCAGAAACGCAATGCCTGCATATCATGGCCGTTAGAGACCCTTCGATGTTCTAACTATCGGAGGGCAAGTTCTGCTCAGGGCCCTCGACCCAGCGACAGGCTCACTTTATTGCTCACACTCGGTCTGTTGCGTTTACATCACGACGTTCGATTGCCCCAGCAAGCAACCTCCTCTAAATAAAGCGCAATACTTGATACGCCTCCCCGACAACCTAAAGCTGGAGATGCCCGTGTATCAATTGTGAATAACAAACCCAACTATGGACGGCTACGGAGTTCTCCTTCTCGTTCAGATAACCGACAACCCCCAAAGAGAAGAGGCCTAAGCAGAGAGATCTGGATACAACTACAACTACATTTTCAGCGCCCAAGAGTCCTGCATCTCTCAAAGACAGAATGGAGTCCTTAGCTCATACCTTCACGCGATCCCCCCTGTGGAAGGCCTTCGACGTAAGCCAGGCCTGGGACAAAGACGAGCAATACCTAAAACACACTGTATCTGATCCACTCACTGCACTTCGGGCGAAGAAAATAGCCTGTAGTTCTCCCATAGTAAGAATTCCACTTACTATCTAAAGTCACCTTAAGTACTTCTCTACTAAACTGGTGGGAAAACTGCTAGTATGATAATTGGGTAGGTGGATTGGGCTTGGAATTTTGGACGGCCCTGGCTGGTTTACCAAGGAGAATCTGGCTGTGGCTCGGGTCTTGATAAAAAATTACTCTTTCTTGCAAATCGAACGGATGTCTATCTAACTGCCTATAAAGGGAGAGATTCCACACGAAAATCCTTTAGACAGAACATTATGGACTACTCTTTGACTAGATAGTTAACTAGTTATTTGTCGGATAGACTATGAAATATATTGAACATCTTGCAGTTTGGAGATCTACTTAGCCTTCTCTACATTGAATGCAGATTTGGATACCCTAGGCGAACAGCTGGCCTTTGCATAACTATAGACCGTAACTGCTTCCGACGGCCTGATCTGCTTGGGCCTATGGACATACTGCGCATGCAGAGCCAGAAGCCGCACACTTGCGTCCCGGGGCCAGTTCATCAAGAGGGAACACGCTCATCCTGTAAACGAAGCTGAATACATCGCCCAAGCCAGTCCACGGCGAACAGCTGGTCATCGAACCTGCAAGCGCAAACTAGACGCCCAACTGGCTACAGAGGACTGCGTTATGCCTCTGGATTGACGGCCATAAAGTCACACTCGCAGGTTATTTGCAGCCATAACCGCAGCATCCAAACCATTAACCGCAGTGCCACGGCCCCGGCTATGCACGACAGCATCGAGCGGTTGGCTGCCCGTCTATCAAAACCGCCTTTTTCCATCCCCGCAGCTCATGCAGCTGCGAGTGGGACATCGACGTGGCTAGCTCTGACTTGCCGCAAGCCACACACAAAGGTTGAAGGGAAGAGAGAGGGAGGGAAAAAAATTTAGTCAATTGGCCTGGGACTGGTCGGGTTCGATTTGTTTCCTTTTATTCTTTGCGTCTTTGGCTCCTTTTTATGCAGCGGTTTGTGCCCAAGTCGATGAGATGTAAGTCAAGTGAGAGCTGCGATTCCCACGCTGTCTGATTTGATCCTTGTCGGAGAGGAGAGGGCCAAAAGGGACGCCCAAAAATTCCGTGGGAGCGGGCCGGGTGAAGGGAAAAACCACATAGACAAGACATATTTATATCCTGTTTTCGGTCCTGGAGTCGATATTATTGCCGTCTTGCGTTGCGGGTTTGGGCACTTCGCTGGGCGGTTTAGAGGGCGTACAACTATATACAAGTCGAGGCCAGGGACCAGAGGTCGACTTCGCTGCCCTTCCAGCGTCTTCTTCTGCATAATTATTGTCTATCCTGGCTGTATAATTCAGGTTTGCCCACCGGACTGAGACATCGATGCAGTAGTTATCGAGCCCTCTCCGTCGTGTCGAGCATCTAGTTTAAGCAGCCCCGTCCGCCGGCGTAACTACACCGACTTTCAGCATGATTGTCTCGATATGCACGCCGCAGTCGATGCCCTCTGGCTCCAGCATCGACTCGACAGACCGCAGTCCGCATGTCTACTCCTCCCGGCCCAAGATCCTCCATCAGAACGACGGCGGCCCTGTCGTTGCCCTGCCAGCTCCCTTCCCTGACCATGACGAGACCCTAGACCCGTTCGCCCTCAAGTGTATCTTTGCCGGAATATTCGAATGCGATAAATCATTCGAAGACCCCGAGGACTGGAAACTGCACGTCACCGGCCATCTCATGTCCCATCAACCCCCGAGCAAAGTGAGCTGCATAGTGTGCAAGCAGGTCTTTTCAAATCCGCAGGTCCAGCCTGTCCAGCTGCAGATAGAGATGCCGAATCAACAGCATCAACAACAGCAGCAGCAACAACAACAGCCCGTGGGAGGAGAGGCATGGCAGAACATGCTGGATCATATCCTTGCTGAACATCCACGCTGGGGAGCCTGTGGCCAGGTAGAGCCGTGTCCGGACTTTGACCTGATGCGCCATATGTACTGCATGGGTATCATATCAACAGAGCAGTTCAAGCTGCTGCAGCTCACGAGAGAGACGCCGCCGCATCTCCCGCAGAATGGCTCCGCTGCAGAGCCGTACTTCATCCAGACCAGCTCGCGGAGGGAGCGTAGACAACGACGGCCGCGTCTTTCAAATGCCGGCTCAAGGTCGAAGATCCATCTATGACGACCACTTTTCGATGACTTTCTTCCTTTATATTATTACCGTCTTCATGTCTCTCATAGTTAGCCTGCATCTGCATACCCCATTTTCGCGCATTTTGGATTCTTGTTTTATTAGTGAGAAGATTCGTCAAATTTGATTCAATCCTTTCTTTCTTTCATTTGGTCAATCTGATAGTTAACTACTTATCTGATATTAGCCATGCATGCCTTGTTTTTTTTCTGGTTTCGAGAACGCTTTCATGTAAATAATTGCAATCAAATAGCAACACGTGATGGATATAAAACAGGTAACGAGCTGAAGCTGAAACCGAGAAGATAAATTTGATAGATCAACCGAAAAACCCCCCGAGACAGAATGGGAGATTGCATGATATGTAGCTAACCCGACTATCCCCGTATCCCCGGCCAGTCATAGCGATGGGCATTAAAGAAAGACAGCTCAGCCTCCATGAACTGCGTTGGCAGCATTTTGGCTCCTTCATACTTCAGATACTCCAGGCTCGCGGACAGGGATGGGATATATGCATCTGACTCAGTGCCTTTAAGGACAACCTGCTTCAGGGAGTCAAAGTTCTTGTTCATAGCGGCAGCAACTTCATCGACCAGCTTCATGTTCATGATATGAGCTCCAGATGTCAACGCCGGCATCAACAGGTCGGATATATACTCTGCCTGAATGATCGAACCAGCCCGCCAGATCTTCAGACAGTCTCCTAGATCGGTGTTCCATTTCTCATCCTTGGATCCACGGGCAATCAGCTCGAGTCCCTGGCAGAACGATGCCAGAATGGAGATGTATGCTGCGTCTCGAAGCTTTTCGACAAAGGTCGGGACATCATGGATGTGCGTGAGCCTCTTCGGGGGCGCTATGCCTAGCTTCTGGGCCACTTTGAGCCTCTGTCTCCTGTTCACGCTGGAGACTCGCAGGAATTGGCCCGCTGCGATGCTGGGAGCAGAGACGTGCCGGTCTGCTGCCTCCATGACAGACCAGTACAGTGTACCTGCAGTGTCGTCATCATCTGCATGTCTTACAGCATCGGGCATGTCATCCAGGATATAGGGCTTGTCGGCAGCTTGGCTTTTATCGCTGTCCTTCTGGGGTTTCTTCTTTTCTCGACAGATGCTGGCCCCTATCTGGACAAGGAACGTATTCCTCAGGGGTCCCTCCGAGTTCCAGTTCTCGAATATATCCCCGATTTCATCATATGATTTACCCAAGCCATAATGCAGCAATGCCCACGCCTCACATATGGTAGACAGCATTCCGTTCTCAATCGCATTGTGAACCATCTTGACATAGTGGCCTGCACCCCTGGTTCCGACATTGGCCACGCAGGATTCACCAGTTCGAGCGTCCTGCGCTGCAAACTCCTTCATCAGGGGCATCACAGCCCTGATGGCATCAGAGTCACCTCCAAGTGCTAGACTAGGTCCAGGTCTAGTCGAGTGATTGCCCCCTGACACTCCCATCCCAATCCAACTAACTCCCTGCTTCTCCATCTCCTCTTGTCTTCGCTCCGTGTTTCGATAATTCTCATTGCCTCCATCGAGTATGATATCTCCATCTTCAAGGTCATCCATCATTGAGGCCAAGACACAGTCTGCCGGCCAGCCATGGGTGATTGAGAAGATGAACGGTCGACGACCCCGTCCGTCCTGGTCGATTGCCACATCAACGCTCTTGACGAAGTCATGGATATCGTAGAATGGCCGTATGTTCTCCTCCACTCCCTTCTCTCCTTCGACCTTGTCCATCACGTTCCTCACATTCTCGGCTTTGGCGTCCCAGAGTGACACCTTGATGCCCCTTTCAGCAAAGCCAAACGCCATCGTGGCCCCCATATTCCCCGCTCCAACGATGCCGATACACTTGAATATTTGCTTCGACGGAGCCATGGTAACGGTTATTCGCTTATCGTCGAATAACGAGGGTGTCATGTAACGTATGTCAATATATAGTCTTATATGGATGTGCTAGGCAGCCATATCTAGTAGACAACACTGGCAGAGAGCCACACAGCAATACAAATTATGGAAGACGGGACCCCTCAATGAATATCTAGAGGCAAGATATCCAAGTTGCCATCAGCTTGTGTAGAGACATGATTGGAAGGGAAAGGGGCTTATGACGACATACCTCAGCCCCCGAAACTCTCTGGCATCCCGACCTATAAAAGAATCACAAACAAAAACTCGGGCCTTTCCAGTGTAAACAATCCAATTGATTCTAAATAGCAGATCATCTATATACGTCCAAAGAAGTGCTCATCAGGAAAACGGAGGGACGCTTCGCTAAAACGGCACATTGATCAAAAATATGTTCAGGAAATCGGGGTAAATAAATAAAGGAAAGGGTTTGCACATCAAGCGACAAACACCAGCCCCGAAAATTCAAAGAAAATAAGAAGATGAAGGAGAGATTAGGTTGCTTTTGGGTGCTGAGTGTGTTTACTTCTCCGCGGCATCGTTTACACTGGTTCCCTCGCTTGGAGGGATACCCTGAAGGTCTTTCGACCCTGCACCGCCCTTTCGCATCGGTGGGAACCAGAATCCGGGATGGAAGATGGTGAATGTGGCAGCGCCCAAAGCAATCATCCTAGGGTCGTGTCAGTCATTAACCAAGTATAGGTGTACAAGAGACATCATATCAGCCTTACATTCCGTCGAGGAGCAGAAAGTCCTTCTCATTTCGCATGAGCGGGTTGCCCCAGCCGCCGGCCATCTCAGGTAGACTATACAACCACCTTGTAAATATTAAGCCCCAGGATAAAAGCATATCTTGAGCACTTACCGGTATATGCATCTGATCAGGATGGCGGTATAGGCAAAGACATCTGCCGCACAGAAGATCCAGAACGATTTACGTGCTGCAGCTCCATGGGGCAAGCCGCTGGAAGAAAATCCCTTTCCACTTCGGTATGCTCGGATGAAGAACTCAAGGGCAAGAAGCCCGCAAACCGACATGGTAGCTACCTGGAAAGCAATACCGGCAATAATGATACCGTTGCCGACGTTCAGCAGCTTGTAGTTACTCTTAGTTGCTGCGGCAGCAACCCCGCCACCAACTGATTGCAGTATAAGAGAACCAATATCGCACAGAATGAACACCCATGTGTATAGCTTTGGCTTGATACGGGAGTGCCCCGGGCCAACAAAGATGACGATATGCTTGATTGTCAGGTAGACGCCAGCAGCCAAGAAGGTGGGAGCCAGGATGAGGCAGACAATTTGGATTTGAAATGCGTCTTTCGACCAGGGGTTCTTGTTCATGAGCAGACGCCCCCCGTACCCGATCGCTTCTAGGGCGCAGGCCATGAACAACGCAATCAGAAAAGACCATGTGCGAGTGAAAACTCCAAGGCCTAGCTGGACGAGAGCCAGAAAGGCGAAGAATGCGGTCAGGAAGGCATTTGACCCGAGCTGGGGATAGTAGCCGTAGGTGGTGGCCACCACAGGGCACGCTGGCCCAACCTCTGTACACGTAGCAAAACTTGGCTGTGGCATTGTTCCCTTTTTTTTTTTATTTTTTTTTTATTTGGTGTTTCTCCGCTGGATAGTTAATGAGCAGCGTTTAATGAGGGTATATTTGAGATCGGGCTTGTGTCCGGCCCAGCAAGACGTAGGAGGAAGGGAAACCAGCAGAGCAAAAGGGAAGAAAAGAACGAGACAGCCGGATATCGCCTGCCATAAGTACGGAGTCATGAATTATGCATAACTTTTTTGTACCGGTTCATTAATAATAATATGCTGGGCGAGGACGGGGGCCGGGGAGGACTTGATATCGAGTCGTTCTCGCATTCCTGCGCTCGTTCTCGCTCTCGTTTTCTCTCTCCAGGCGTTCCGAACCCTGGATGGGCTCCACGGGGTCGGCCATGTCTCCCGTAAACCCGTGCAGGATGTCCAGGCTGGCTAGCTTGGAGATGGAAAAAGAATAGAAACGAAAAGAAAAGAAAAGAAAGCAAGCAAGAGGTAGCTTGTCCCCAGAAGAGTGCTGGCAGCCAGTCAGGGGGGTTCGTAGCTCGTTAATTCGATGATCGCTGCTTGCGTGCCTCAGAGCTGGACGGTGGATTATCCGGGCCTTCCGCCGGCATCATTGGCCAGCGCTCCCGAAAAGCCTTATCCCAACCACGCTACGGTGACAGCCAGGCCAGCGGACACTGAGCGACCTGTCATTCTGGGACATGCCGGCAGGTAATGGCTGTTATTAATGCGGCGGGACTGCTGGTCAAAACATGGCGCCCCGGAGATCGCACAAGAAGTCGCGGAATGGATGCGACCAGTGCAAGCAGAGACGAGTCAAGGTAGGGTTGTTGTTGTCCAAGCCAGCAGAGCTTTTTTTTCGTTCGGTTTGCCCTTGCACCGCAGGCTTCCCCCCTCGCTGCTACTAGCTATTGGGTCGTGTTAAGGCGTGGGATGGATGCTGTCTGCATCAGGGCCGATGGCATCGTATCTCTCTGTCCTTAACCGGTTGTTGATGGAGCCTGGCCGGTCAGGCATAATATATTGCTGCGTACCGGGCAACGCACAGTATATGGGGATTTCAATACATCTGCCCATCCACATCCAACTCCCTCCCCCATCAGCCGCGAAGGTGCCTGGCCCCATGCTTATTTCTTGTTTCTCTCCTGTTTTAGTGTGACGAACGAGGTCCTCCTTGCACCAACTGTCAGAATCGAGAGATAAATTGCGTTTACTCATTGGCGGCTGCTCGCCGGGTCAAAGCAGCCTCAACGACGTCTGCCGAAGCGTCACCCATACAATCATCCCTATCACCAAACGCGCCTCCCGTCCCCAGCGGTAACCAATACCATAATGGGCGGGCCGAGCCAAGTCCAGGCCCACCACCTCCTGTAGCACCACCTATTCTTCCTCTACCTCCTGCCGTCCGCCTGCTTGAGTTCGAATTAGCCCACAAATACACTACCGATTCATATAAAAGTCTTTCTGGCGTGCCCGAAGACGGGTATGCCTGGCAGGTCCATATCCCACGCCTGGCAATATCTAGTCCTTTTTTGATGGATGGGATTTTTGGGTTGGCAGCCCTGCATATAGCGTCAAGTGCAAAGCATCCGTCTGAAATTGTTTCGTACTTTGATGCTGCACTTCGATACCATACCCTTGCCTCGTCACCTTTCCGTGAGGCCTTAAACAACATCACACCGGCCAATTGTGAAGCCGTCTTTGCCTTTGCCATCATCACTACGGTTTTCACATTTTCCTCAACGCAGATAGCGCCAGGCGGTAGGGAAAGCGGGACTGTACTTGAAGATGTGATAGCAATATTCGAGTTATTGCAGGGAATCAAAGGCATCTTCTCAGTTAGTGAAGGTTGGCTGGAAATCGGCTGGTTCTCGTCAAGCATCAGGATAGAATCAGAAGATGTCCCGGTAAATAACGAGCCAGGAACTGAAATTGCCTTCCGAAAGTTAATGGCCTTTACGGATGAGACGTTAGCCTCTGCCAATGCGGAAGAATATAACGTTTTCAAGCGCCTAGTCCACAAGCTTGAGCTATGTTTCTCAATATTCCGTGAGAAACAAGATCAGAGCCTGGTATTATCGTGGCTAAGCATGCTGGATAAGAATACTGTATGCGAAGCCCGGCGCGGCAATCCCTTAGTACTGCTTCTCTTTATGCATTGGGCGGTTCTCATGCATCTTATGGAACCTCGCACCTGGTGGGCTAAAGGCCTCGGAGCCGGGCTAGTTGCAGAGTTGCTAACTCGATTCCCGTCCGATCCCCGGTTGGATGAAATGACTCGGTGGCCACGAGAGAAGGTAAACCTTCGCCCAATCAAGCTTTTGACATAGAAAGTATTTTGGGTCAAACTTCACCGGCGCGGGAGGTATGACGATAAAAGCTGAGTTCGGAGCAGGCTTGTTCTTTCTTTTTTTTTTTTTTTCTCACCTCCCCTTCTCCTCTCTTCGGATGAGATTAATTATCCTTCTCAAATGATGTAACACGATGGCAATGTTGGCAATGTTGCCTTCGTTATACTTTACGTTCGTCTTTTTTTTTTCCCCCATGTATATTTTAGTTTATTTTAGTTCAGCCGATAATGGACTCGTGTCTTCAAATCTGCAATCTAAGCGGAAAGTTTCAATTTGGAGAGTTCCTAAGGTGAGGGTCTAGTTCATCAGCTTGAAACTCAAGAAATAAAGATATGACCAGTTCACTCACCATTGGAAAAGTCAGCGTGGGAGCCACCCAGGCGCATGATAAGAGACCAAATTACCCCGGCAATCCTGCAATAATATTTCTGTGTCTCATTGCAACATATCACTCCACATCCCTGAGTTATAACAAACATGGGCCACTCCACAATTCCCACTGCTTTTTTCTCAGTTCTGCCAGGAAATAATATATACTAAAAATTAAAAGAGACGCGCAGGGTGTTCTTTCGGTGCCAAGAACGGGGGACTGTCGGACGAACGGGATATAAGAGTTAAAAATGCCATAAGTGTGACGGCCTGTTAAACCCAGGAAAGTATCCCGGAAGTATGGAGTACTAGGGCTGAACTGGCCAAGTACGAAACTCAGTTCAAGCAGGATTCCAGGGCCAAAGATGAGCAACGTTAAGACTCGCCATGTCTCATGGCGCCTGGCTGTCTGTGCTACCGAGCTAGGATATCTGTCCAACACTCATGGGAATCGAATCCGACGATAATGCGAGAATTGCCCGGAGACCAAGGCACGACACCCTTGGTCGTGTGATCGACTCTCTCAACTTTTTTGGCATATGTAAGGGGAGTGTCGTTTTGGGGTATTATGCGGCTCTCACTTCTGATAACCGTCCTGTTTATAGATCCCTGCCGTTGTTCTCTTAAAATAGCAATCGACGCTCCCAAGCCAGCTTAGGCAGTATTCAGGGCCAGAGCTCCGCCTTTCTCGCCAATCCATAGCACGCTCGGCCAGTAGGAGGGAGATACCGTCGCGTCTATGAGTGTCATTTACGTCGTGTTGACGTTGAGCCAACGGAGTACTTCAGCTGTCGTTGAAAAATAGATATCACGTGATTTGTATTTCGGGGAGTCTATTTTCACCTCTTGTTTGTTTTTCTGTCTGGAGAGCGATCTCACCTGCGAGACTAGCTAACTGACTAACTAACTAGTTCACGAACTAGTTAAACGGAAGAGAACGGCAGCGAGCCATCGCCGCTAGCTACCTCCATATATCCGGCCCTAGTGTCAATACTACTCATTCCTGCATGCTACTTTATAGTTCGTTGATGGCGCAAACTAACAAATCTTTCTGGATGTTTAGAAACAATACGGAGTACATGGGGTTCTTCATTGCATCTATATCCAGCTACCATGATGACAAGGACAATATCTCTCTATTGCATTCCCCGGCCTCCACAGAAGTCCGAATGACAGGTCTGTATACAGGAATATTCGGGCATCTAGCTTGGCCATGGGCGGCAGCGACCGTTGTTGCCATCGTTGTCCTAGCGAGTTCGTTAGCGGCGATTGACAACATTGCTCGCTAAGAGGGGATATCCACTTACAACCACGCAACGGCAGTATCTGGCGGCACAGTCTTGGTTGTGGTTGCACGGGCGGTCAACGGGGCACTGGATATCGCATTCAGTGTTAGCGGTGAACACGTCTAGCTGCTGTACGGAGTATAGCAGGTGTGAATTACCTCGTCAGCGAGATGGTTGTTGTTCCTAGCACCGAGGGTTGCTGCAAAACCGGTGGCAGCGAGCATCATGCTGACGATCAAGGAGAGCTTCATATTTGCGATTCTTCTGAAGTGGAATTGTTTTTGAATGACTGTACGGAGTATGTTTGTGCCTGGAAAGATTATGAGGAACACAGCAGGTCAATTACACCTTATATATCTCTCCATGCTCGTTTGTTGCCTCCTCTTTGCAGCCGAGAGGATCAAAAAACACCGCACAGCATACGGAGTAAAGCAGGATCAAACCAGCTGTTGACCTCTTGGTAGCTACGGTTTCAATTCTCGGGCATGATACCTGCATTGAATCGCCTACCCCAGATGTGCTGTTAAGCGAAACATCCTCCCGAAGGATTGGAATTCTGAGACATGCTTCCAGAGATGTACTATTATTTTGCTTCTGTGGTTCAACCAAGCCACAACGATCGACAGGCAGAGGAGCATCGCTCCAGTTGAAGCCAAAGGCTAACAATAAATTTTTGTCTGCTTCACTTCAGCTCGATCCTATGGTCTTATCTTTGGCATTTTTATGGTAAACTAAGCGAGATCTAAGTACGTAGTAAGACGATCGATTCTTCCAAATTGCTGTCACATATTTATTCTATTAATATCCTTTGATAGCGAAGATCTAGCCCTGGAAGATCGCTCTTGTGTACGGAGTACTCCGTAGTAATCGTCGGGCATTGGCTTCGCATCTCCAACTTCAGCCCGCCCACAATCCATTCAGGTACTCAGTATGGAGGTATCTTAGAGCCGCCAGCAGCTCCTTCGCTGTCTCTTAATATCAATGGAACTTCCCCTACCTACTGCTAAACACCTTCCTCTTTAGGCCCGGAAAAAACACTTCCATCACGTGATTAAAAGGAACAATGTAAATCCGAAACAAATGCAAACGAGACAAACAAGCCAGAAAGCGTAGTTTCTGCCCGATCCGGCAGTGCGTCTTCGATCTTCCAAACTGGGCAAAATCGACGACTTCGACTTCGGCTTCAGCTTCTTCGTCTTGTTCCTTTTTGCGCGCGCATTCACGATCTTCGTCGACTGTTCTGCTCGCTGAGACTGGCGAAGCGCGATGCCCAGGAGAGGCCGCTGCATAAGACCCTGACGCCGAGCGAGTTTCACTGCAGACGGAATACTACCGACCTGGACATCTACATCTACCTCACCCGCACATCCAAAGCGCATCACTACGAACGCCCTTTCCCAGATACACATACGATGGAGAACTTCCCGACACTAGAACAGGCCGCGCGAGGGCGGCAAGGTGATCCTATGCGCCATCCCCACGGCGGAGGACATCACGGACCCAGCCCGCCGAGCAACCCGCAGCAGCAACAACCGCAGCAGCTGCAGCAGCCTCAGATCCCCCCGGCTTCCGCTATTCCGCTTCTTGAGCCCCAGGGCCCTCCTCAGCTGCCTCCCCAGCTCTTTACGACTGCGGCACAGCTACTAGACTTGACAGACAGTGAGATCCTTACCTTTCCGCGCTGATAGTGGGGGAACTTGTGTGTGTGTGTGCTTGAATTTGGGGTACATCTGGAATCGGAGAGTGAGGTTTTATAAAGTCGTGGCTAATTGATACATGATATCTGGCGTGCAGAGAAGTTGGTGTTGGTTCTGCGTGATGGCCGCAAGTTAATTGGAGTATTGCGAAGCTGGGACCAATTCGGTATGTCAATGGGCATCTCCCTAGTCCCTGCATTGCGTTAATAGAGAGAATACAAAGGCTAACAGCTATCCAGCCAACATTGTACTGCAGGACACTATTGAACGACTATACGCCGAGAATCTGTATGCTGACATCCCTCGTGGAGTGTTTCTGGTCAGAGGAGAGAACGTATTGCTTCTTGGAGAGATTGTACGTCAATGTCCCTGCAAAGATACCAGCCTCCAACCACTAATTATGTCTCCAATGCAGGACCTCGATAAAGATGATGACATCCCAGAGCCTTACCGACAAGCACCTGCGTCCGAAGTCCTCAAGCTAAAGAAGCAGGCCGAGGAGCGGCGGAAACGCAAGGACAAGAGGCGAAGCACGCATTTGCAAGCCCTCGGGTTTGAGCCTGAGCACAGCGGAGAGATTCTCTTCTGAAATGACTTCCCCCCATCAGATCTAATCTAGTCTTTACACGAAATAGTGCTGCTACTCTTAAGGACTATGCTGGACACCGCTACGAAGCACACACAAAGCATTGATATGTGAACAACCAGCTATGCCAGGTACTGCCCGGGAGCCACCTGCACAGGCTCTGTCTGCCCAAGGTGCCCTCCCTTTTCCTGTCTAAATAGAGCTCTGAAGATGGATACGCCAGGCCATGCAGAATATTGTGAAATGCATCTCCTGCGCCAAAGCGTCTGTTTTATATTTCACACAATGACAGACCACCTTTTTTTTCTCTTACCAACCCCGTCTCTCTTATCCATCTGACCCTCGAGTCTATAGATCAAAGATAGAACTATCTTTTTCTGCTTCTTCGTTAAAAAATAATCTGCTGTCTTGCTGGCCCACACACTGAACTTCCGCTATCGATAAAAAACCCACTTGGCTCAACTAAGAAAAAAAAATAACGACGCCAAAAAATTATCTCGAAAACCATAAAAAGAGCATAAGAAGAAGAGAAGTAACTCCGGCTTCACCACCAACAAAAGCTGGTGACAGCTTCGACTCTAGCATCGCCGGCAGAAGCAGAGACAGGAAGCGAGAGCGAGTCTCCTGTATTTCGCCGTCATGGCGTCGCTGCACGAGAAGCTGGACAAGATCAAGTCCCCCAAGCTGCAGAACCAGCACCATGTAAGCAGCCCATCTACAGCTATACAGACAGGCAGACAGACAGACAGAGAGAGAGAGATAACTGACAATGGCATACGCAGACCGGAGTCGTCCTTTCAGCAGTCGAAGACACCCTGCGCGACCAGAATGCCGAGTTCACCGCAACGGCCTACTTTGCTGCGCTGCTCGCCCTCCTCCCGCAGTCCATCAACACCACCCAGGGCATCGTGAATAAAGAGCTGGCAACCTCCGTCGTATATCTGCTCGACACGGTCTCGGCCTTTGTCCCCGCGCCGCTGCTCCGCTCCAAGTTTGCGCAGATACTGGGCAGCTTGGTGCCGGCCCTGACGCTCGCCGAAGTCGAGGCCCCGCTGCTCAAGTCGTCCGTCGGTTGTCTGCAGAACCTGCTGATAGCGCAGGACGCGGCGGCATGGGCGCTGCCGGCGTCGGAGATCGGGCCTCGCAGGGCCATTGCGGGCATGCTGGCGCTGGCGGTCGATCACAGACCAAAGGTCCGGAAGAGGGTGCAGGATGCGCTGATACAGATACTCAGACAGCCCCCGCCGAGCCCATCGCTGGACCACCCTGCGGCTGATCTATGCGCTGAGACGGCACTGAGGACTCTAAATGACAGTGTCACTGCTACATTGAAGGCGCAGGGGAGGAAAGGGAAGCATCAGCCGGACCACCACCAGCAGCAACAGCAGCATCATGAACCCGCGGTGTCGCATGCCCTGCAGCTTGTCAAGGCTATTGCGGCGGCCTCAGGAGGCTGGCCGAGCAGGAAGATCGAGCCACTGTGCGAGCTGCTTATGAACGTTGCCCGGTCGTCGAACGAGTACCTTACCATGGGCACATTCGAGGTGTTTGAAGTGATATTTACAGGAATGGCAGACGAGTTCACTTCCTCCAAGCTACCGCGTCTGCTAGACGCTATATCAGAGCTGAAGCCAGCACACAACGATTCGCAGCTGCTCCCACCGTGGATTGCAGTTCTGTCTCGAGGCTACGATGTCTCTGCCCAGGTTTCTGCGCAGGAAACGTTTGAGAAGCTGCCGGAGCTCTTCGACCTGTTCGCGAGCTTCCTCACCTCGCCATCACGGAATATCCGCACTTCTGCCTCGGAAGGTATGATTTCGCTTCTGGTTGCGTGTGTTCCGGAGTCTGTTTTGCTAGAGGCATCAGTGTACGATGAGAAGATCATTGAAAGGCTGGCCAGGTCAGCTACGGGATTGCTTGCAGTCAAGTACCAAGTTGCTCGATCAGAGGTATTCAATGTCCTCGAAGCCATGTTCAACGCCTTGCAGTGGAAGAGCTCGCCTGTGATGAACGAGGTGGTGAAGATAGTTGGTGATCTGCGTGCAAACGAGAACTTCCAGGGCAAAAAGGAGGCCGAGAAGGTGCTGGGTGCTGCCATCAATGTCATGGGCCCCAAGGCTGTGCTTGATATCATCCCACTCAATATCGTGAATCAAAAGGCCGGCCAACCCGGTCGAGTGTGGCTTCTGCCTATTCTACGAGACCATGTCGCCAACACAAGTCTGGCCTACTTCCGCTCTGAGTTTGTGCCATTGAGTGAAGCCCTGTATCAGCGGGTGATGGACTACGGTGATGCAGAGAAGACTGTTGAGGTCAAGATCTTCGAGACGCTGGTACAGCAGACTTGGGCCTGCCTGCCTGGATTCTGCGAACTGCCGCTGGACATGAGAGAAGCCTTTGATCAGCCGTTTGCCGAGCTGCTGTCAAATGTGCTGTATAAGCAGGCAGAGCTACGAGTAGACGTGTGCAAGGCGCTGCAGAACCTGGTCGAGTCGAACCAGGCGATTACCTCCGTTGAGTCAGAGACTGAAGATCTCGTCTTGCAGCGGCGAGTTACCCGGGAGGAAGCGAGGAAGAATATCCAGCATCTTTCTGGGTTTGCAGGAAACATGCTTGCGGTGCTCTTTAATGTCTACAGCCAGACACTGCCGCAGTTCAGGGGCTATATCCTGCAATGCATCAACGCATATCTGAGCATTACAGGCGAGCAGGTATGTTATTACTCTACATATACATACTACTTCTATTACTAGTCTAACAAGAGTAGGAACTCATTGAAACGTTTGGCCGAGTAACGTCTATGCTGGAGGGCGCTCTAGAGGAAGAAGTCAATGCCAACAACAAGCCCAGCACGGGTCGCAAGGACAAGATGCCTCCAACCTCGCACACACTGATGGATCTTATTGTGACGATGTCCATCTACCTACCTCGCAGCAGCTTTGCGACTCTCTTCTCGCTTGCCTCGGTGGTGCTGAACAAGTCCTCTTCGGACCCCCAGCTTATCAAAAAGGCATACAAACTCATCCCCCGTCTTGCAGGCACAGAGGCCGGCCGCGCAGCTCTAAGCGAACGTAGCTCGGAGCTACAGGCCCTCATCCTGTCAACAGCAGACAAGACGCCTGCCCCAGCTCACCGGGACCGTTTGCTCGCGATTCACGAGATCATCACCCACCTACCGACCGAAGACCTCCATTTCATCCCCGGCATCCTCTCTGAGGTCGTACTGGGCTGCAAGGAGAGCAACGAAAAGGCACGGACAGCTGCATTTGCCTTGCTTGTCCACACCTCGCAGCGAATGATCGACTCCGAACGCAACCCGCCGGGCACGAAGATCCGCAACTCGCTGGTAGCACATATGCCAGACGACGCACCAGACGCACCCGCCACCATTGAGGAACTATTCACAATGGTTTCTGCTGGTCTGGCCGGTAGTTCACCACACATGGTTGCGGCCAGTGTAACGGCCATGTCACGTCTGCTGTTCGAGTATCACTCGCAGCTCCCGACCTCGATGCAGTCCGACCTGGTGCAGACCATCGAGCTGTTCCTGACCAGTAACAACCGTGAGATCGTCCGTTCGGTGCTTGGCTTCGTTAAAGTGGCTGTGGTAGCGCTACCGGACGATCTGCTCAAGCCGCGCCTCCCGTCCGCGGTGCCTAAGCTCATGATGTGGAGCAAGGAGCACAAGGGCCGACTGAGGAGTAAAGTCAAAGGCATACTGGACCGGCTGATACGTAAATTCGGAGCGGCCTTTGTGGAAGGGCTGGTGGAAGAGTCAGATCGGAAGCTGGTTGTATCGATACGCAAGGAACGAGAACGGCAGAAACGCAAGAAGGAAGCAAAGCACGACGAAGACGACGAGGATACACAGCAGCAGCAACAACATCATGTCCGAGGCCAGCAGTCTGCTCAGGCGGGACAGAAGTCGTTCAGCAATGAGTTCGACAAGGCAGTGTACGGCTCTGATTCGGACTTCATGTCAGGCGACGAGTCGGACGCAAGCGAGATTGAAATCGACAGTGCAGGCAACACCACCAAGCGGGCCATTTCGTCAAGGGAGAAAGGCAGCAGCAGACGACGTACGGGTGCGGGTGCTGGTGCTGGTGCTGGCGATACAGGAGAGCAATACATCCGTGAGCTCTCGCCTGAATCCAACCCGCTGGACCTGCTTGCCCCCGATGCACTGGCGAGTATATCCAGCACCAAGCCCAGCGTGCGCTTCCTAGCGTCGAAACATAAGCAGAAACGCCGCCCGCGCATGGACGAGGACGGCAAGCTGCTTCTGGGCGAGCATGACGACGAGATGGACGCTTCTGCCGGCGGTGCGGGCGCAGAGTCCGGTGTAAACGCCTATGTCACTGCCGTCAGTGGCCCGGATGCGCTGCGGAAGGGCCAAAAGGGCCGCCTGAGAGCCAGCCAGAGCAAGAAGGGAGACGATGACGACGAGATGGAGATGGATGTGGATGTGGATGTGGATGTGGATGTGGATGATGTTGAGAAGAGTAAGACGGCGCGTGGACAGGGACAGGCTGGCAGGGGCAAAGCCAAGGGGCTTGCAGCCAAGTCTGGCCGAAGAGGCCTCGGGATGGGCAAAGAGAGAGGCAGCCCCGGGGGAAGCGGGAGGATTGAGAAGCGCAGGAGGGATTCCAGGGGTGCCGGCGGTGCTGGTGGTAGGGGGCGAGTTGGTAGGTGAGAAGTGAAGAGAAGCGGCAGTTGGAAGAGGAAAAATGGCTTGTGTGGTATAGATTGATATATCCATGGTTATACAGCGATCAGAAGTCTTTTTTTGTTTTTAAGAGCAGGGAAGAGTGACGATTATCTACTCCGTAAAGTGACTCTCTATATGCATGTGTGACTTAGCATGAACAGCGATGATTCCCTAATACGGTCGATCGATCTTGATTAGACGAAGGGTGTGGGAGAGGGCGTATGTATGCGGTGGGTTTGGGTGGTATTATTCGTTCATCGTAAAGAGAAAGAAAAAGTACATATGCTCAGCAAAAACAACGATAGTAAAAACACACACAAGATAGATCAATACATAGATAGATAGCAAGTAGAAGATAAAAAACAAAGAGCAAAAGGGGGGGGGGGGGGGGGAGGGGAGGAAGAGGCAGCCCGTCTATACAGATCCCGCTTCCGGGTCTCGTTTTCTGCGTTTCCTCCTGGCGCTGGCGAGCCAGAGACACCACCAATTCCTAACCGCCAAGACAGCAGCGCGGCCATCGTCGGTCTTCTCCTTGCCGTCAGGATTGCCCATGATCATGACGAAGATCCAGAAGCAGGCGCATATCCAGGCGGCCAGCAAGGTGGGAGGGAGGAGTAAAGGGGAGAGCAGGTGGACGACCACGAGCATGGGGGCCGAGTAGTTGGCGTACAGCCTTGATGTCGAGCTGTCGGCGGCGGCGGGCGTAGTCGTAGATGCAGGAGTGCTGGCTGAATCGGTGGCAGTGACAGGCTGGGTGGGGATGGTGGAACTGGAAAGCGACGCTGAGACGGGCGTAGAGGTAGAGATGGTATAGGACTGTCGCGGGGAGGTCAGGGCGGACGCTGGCAGGCTCGAGTGGGTGCTGTAGTGCCGCCGCGAGCGTTTTGCGTGGTGGCTATGATGGTCATGGCGATGGTGATGGCTGCTACTGCTGCTGCTGCTGCGGCGGCGGCGGCGGCGGTGATCGTGGTTGTTGGTTGGGCTGGTGACAGTCCGGCGGTTGAGACGGAGCAAAGGAACGAGCAGCCGGCAGACCTGTTCCGTGAGAGAGGTGGGCGGTTTGAAGAAGTGCGAAGGGGGACAGAGGCGTAGGGGGATGGCGAGGAGGAGGAATATTAGGGATATAAAGGCGTAGAGGGCGGCGAAGATGGTGAACGGCGGCAGACAGAAGGATATCCGGAGCTACATCAATAACCCGTGTGTCAGTTGGTCTGTGTAGTAAAATATTTTTTGATATACGGAGTATATCGGATTCATTAACAGGAGGAATTAAGGGGAGGAAAAGGGAAGGGAGAGAGAGAGAGAGAGAGAGGAAAAAAACACAAGAGAGCACGTACTAGCACGAAGAAGGCGTTTTCATGCGAGCAGCCAGGCTCAAGCTCGTCTTCATCGGCCTCTTCGTCATATTCTTCTTCGTCGTATTCACGTTCTTCTCGCTCTGCTTCTTCGTCTTCCTCTTGTTGTTGTTGTTGTTCTTCCTCCTCCTCTTCATGGTCGCGGCCGGCGGCGTCCTGGTGGTCGGCCTGGCTGCTGTGCCGTCTGCTCTGCTGGCTGAGACGGCTCCGGTGGCTCTGGTGGCTGCGACGGGAGTGCGAGAGCGAGTGCGAGTGCGAGTGCGAGAGCAGGTCTGTCCGAAGCTGGCTGCCCTCCGTCGAGCCCGTCGAGTCCGCGGCGAGCATCTTGATCCTCCGCCAGTCCTCCGCGTCCCGGTCGGTGTCAGCGTCGACCTCTGCTGCGTCTGCGTCGACGACCTCGATGTCGACGGGGAAGTCCATGCAGCCAGCATCGAGGATGTATGCGGCCTGGGGCACCCGGACCGCCCCGTCTGGCTCAGGAGCACCGGAGCTGCTGACGCTGGCCGGCGGGTGTAGATGAGACAGCCGCAGGGCCGCGGCGGCGATACGGCGATGCTCGTCGTTGGCGTAGGACGGCGTGTAGCTCATGCCCTGCGGCGGCGTCTTCGACCTGGTCCTCATTGTCGTCTGGCCGCCGGAGTCGTCGTCGTCGTCGTCGTCGCCGTCGCCGTCGCCGTCGCCGTCGCTGCTACTGGGCGCTGGGTGTCTCCTGCGAGGGTCTGCAACCGATGCCCGCGTCGATGCGAGGGCGACATGTTATATATATATAGACATATATATATATGGCGGGAGAGAGAGACAGAGAGAGAGAGAGAGAGAGGACAGGAGAGGGAGTGCCAGCCGTCGCTCCGTCCGCCGTCTTGCTGCCTTTTCCCGCCAGATTCTCCGACACGACCAAGAAAAGACCAAGAGGCCCCAAGCCCGGCGAGGTTTGGCAGGTTTGGCGCTGGGAGGAGCGAGCTGGCGCGAAAAGGCGTCGCTGGGCACTGGGCGGAGGCTGGGCAGGAGTCCTTTAGCTGGGCTTTAACTAGGCTTTAGCTGGGCTTTAACTGGGCTTTAACTGGGTGTAGCTGGCGTAGTCAGTAGTAGGTTCCGCGGTCTTTAACTGGGCTTCCGGCGGTTAGTTAAAGGCCTGGTTAAGAGACTCAGTTAAAGCCCGCCGTTCCACTGACCTTTTCGCCCAGCGCTCTTAACTGACTGCAGGCGCCTTTAGCTGGCTCCAGTTAAAGGCCCAGTTAAAGGCCCAGTTAAAGGCCCAGTTAAAGCCCAGTTAAAGCCCAGTTAAAGGCTTAACTAACTCCAGTTAAAGGCCCAGTTAAAAGGCTTAACTGCGCGCAGCAGCCAAGCTCGCCCAGGCGCCGAGCCCCTTGGCGCGGACAGGGTCGCCCGGAAGTGGAAAAGGTGGCGTCCATCTCTTGCTCTCGCGTTGGTCTTGAGCTGGTTTGGCGCGGCAGGGCAGGGCGGCGGTCGGTCTCCCGCCGTGGGACGCTGCGGGCAGGGCGGTTCTTGGTTGGCGGCGATGGGATGAGGGTGCGGGTTCGTGTAGCAGAGCCAACGCGACGAGACGAGGAGAGGAGAGAAAGAGAGGGAAGAAGAAGGATAAAGAGGAAGAAAAGCGAGAGACGCAAGCGAATTCGAGAGCAAGAGATCAGCGATTAGTCAGCGCCAAGGGCTTAGTCATGGATGAGGTAACACGGCTTAAGTAAGATGGTTACTAAGGAGTGACTAAGCATGAGGCTGAGAAGGCTAAAGGTTAAAGTTAAGTAAAAGTTGACGACGACGACGACGAGATAGATACTAAGTAGAAGATACTTAAAGACAGAAGACAAGACATAAAGACAGGTAGAGATATGATGTTGGAACAAGTGAGACGACGACTGATGATGACAGAGAAAAAGGACATAAGACGGCCTTGCGCTTGGTTTTCCCTTCCTGCTCCACTCCCGGTTTTCCTCCCTCCAGGCCCCAGCAAGTTGAAAGTACTAAAAACACGAACACAGACAAAAAAAAAAGACACAGGACGAACTGAACTGAACTCGAACAGGTAGAGGGGTCAAACGAACATTAAGAAAACGTAGTAGGAGAGATGCAGACTGGATAAGTTTATCAAAGAAAAGCAAGGAAAAGAAAGGAAAAACGAGACAAGAAAACAGAAGGAGAAGAAGAAGAAGAAAGACGAAAAAAGACAAAGCAGAATGAATACAGTTGAAGAAACGAAGATGAGAAGAGATAAGAATGTCATCATCATCCCCTCGTCAGAGTCAGTCAAGTAGAGATAAGAGGCTAGAGATAGAGATGGGTTAATCAGTCAAGTAGAGAGGGCTACGCCTCGGCCTTCGTCTGGCTGTCGCGCTCGCCACGCTCTCTCTCCCGCTCTCGGTCCCTATCCCTGTCCCGCTGGGAGCCCTGGCCGTCTCGGTCTCGCTCCCTCTCACGGTCACGGCCAGTCACACTCCCGCTTCCATTGACGCTGCCGGGACTGCCGCCCTTGCCCACCATGGCAGCAGGCTTCTTGCTGCCCGTATCGTCGTCCCCTTCATCGTCGTAGTCTTCGTCAACGTCCATTTTGCGGGCGGGCGGCTCAAGCGGGCCCTGGGACGAGACTGAGACAGGAGGCAGAGCAGAGTGGTCCTTGCGATCCCGCTGGTCCCGGCCGTCATGGTCTCGGTCCCTCTCCCTCTGCTCTCGCTCTCGCTCTCGCTCACGGTCTCGCTGTTCTCGCTCCCGTTCACGCTCTCGCTCGCGGTCTCGGTCTCGCTCCCGCTCCCGCTCCCGCTGCTCTCGCTCACGTTCCCTCTCCCGCTCTCTCTCGCGGTCTCGCTCACGATCACGATCTCGCTCGCGCTCCCGTTCTCTTTGTTCTCGCTCCCGCTCTCGCTCGCGGTCCCGGTCCCGGTCCCGCTGTTCACGCTCTCTTTCCCTTTCACGCTCACGCTCACGCTCCCTGTCGCGCTCTCGCTCTCTGTCACGATCACGCTCGTCCTTTGGGAGACCGGCGGACAGCGAAGGGAGAGACTGGGGCCCTCCCGATGGGCCGGTGGGAGCTTGGCCGGGGGTCTGAGGCTCGCTCTTGGGTCCCCCCCCCATGTGCTGGATTGGGGGTAAGGTTGGCGGGTGGTGAGCTGCGTCGGACGGATGGTATGGCTCATGGGCACGGCGAGCATGGTCACGATCCTCGCGACGGGCTTCGGACGAGCTGCGTCGGCGGAGATCTCGTGGTGACGCCAGGCGTACGTTCAATCCTCCCATGCCCGATACCGGACCGGCGGGACCAGGGGAGCCACGGCGTGATGGCCCCTGTGGTGGGCCGGGTGGTGGTGGAGGGGGTCCTTGTCCCTGCACAGGGACCTGTCCGGGGCCCGGCTGATCTTCCATGCGAGTGTCGTGTCGTCCGTCAAGTCGACTGCGTGTTTCTTCATTTGCAATCTTCTTGACCGGTCCGGCCCCGGGCCCCGGCTCGGGCTCCCATTCTCGCACTCGCTTCATGCTCGACGCTGGTCGCTCGTCTCGCTCACGAGCGGCCGCTTCAGCCGCTGCGATGGCTGAGGCGGGTGCGGGGGCTCCCGAGGCGATGCCGCCGTTCTGCTGAACCCCTTGCTGGCCCGGTCCGCCGGGTCCAGGAACATGGTGGTATGGCGGCTGGTGTGGTGCGAACGCCGGGCCGGGTCCGCCGGCAGTGTTGGCACCGTTGCCTGGGCCAGTGCCGTTGGCGGAGGCAGGACGTTCCTCGCGGATGGGACGGATTTCAGTTGGGGGAGTGAACGGTCGGCCGTACTGTGAGGGCCCGGCGCCGTTGGGACCTTGGTTGTTGGGACCGGGGCCGCCCGGTCCGTGGCCAGGACCAGGTCCGAGGCCTTGTCGAGGCTGTGGGAAAGGGGGAGGACCTGGTGCTGGACCGTTGTTAGGACCTTCGTGCTGCTGTTGAGGCTGTTGTTGTTGCTGTTGCTGTTGTTGTTGCGGGGGAGCTAGCTGTGGAAGAACCTGGGTTCCAGTATAAGTATGCGTGTTGGACAAGGGGAATTTGGGAGAAGGGGAGGATTGGCCACCCTTGCGGGAGGATATGGAATGATGGGGAGGCCGGTAGGGCGGGTGCGGTTCGTGGAACTGCTCCTGGCGTGGACTGGCCTGAACCCGAGGCTGGGAAGGAGGAGGTCCTCTTACGTTATCTCGTTGCTCAAACTGGCTGCCCGGTCCATGAGCGTTGCTGGCATTCTGCGGCTCTCCGCTTGGTCTGCCCCATTCCGCGATCCGGGCTGGCGGAGCGGGACCCTGAGGTGGCAGTCCGCCTGGTCCAGGGGCCGGAGCACCCCATTGAGGTCCAGGCGGAGCGCCGACGTTCTGCTGGTATGCTTGCGGATGCACGTCCTGCGGTGCCGGGGCGTTGCCTGCGTTGGCCCCGCCTGCCTGGCCGCTTTGGAGCAGCTGCAGCCTCGCTTTGATGTGGACGTTGGTTGGGTCGAGGTCTGCAGCGCGGCCGTACGCATCCAGTGCATCGCTCGTTTGGTTGTTGCAGGATTCGTACTACATGCTGTTAATATGCGACAAAGACGACAATTCAAAAATAGAGACAATAAAAATTGGAGCAAGGGAATTAAAAAAAGAGACATACCAAAGTGCCTAGGTCGTACCAAACCTCTGAGATGTACGGGTTCAGGCGGATGGCGCGCGAATATGCATCCAAAGCATCGCGGTACTGGTTGATCTGGTAATACAGGACTCCGATGGAGCACCAGAAGGTTGGGTTGCGCCCGTCTCTGTATACCGCCTGCTGGTAAGCTTCATATGCCTTGGGATACTTGGCCTGAGACATATAGCATCGTCCAAGCAGGTACCAACTCTGCGCATCGCTGTTGTCTATACGCTTGTTAGCCTAGAGATTACGTCTATGCAGTTATGTAAAAGGCTAACGTACCAGCTGAAACAGACTTCTCAAGGTATTCGATAGCCTGTTCCTGGCTGCTGTAGTTGTTGTTCTGCTGATGGTAGAGCCATCCAAGCTGCTGGAGAACCTTTGCGTGGTTGGGCTCGCGCTCAAGCACACGTCTGTAAGCTGCCTTGGCTGCTTCGAACTGTGGAGATAGTCAGTATATACATACATACATATATATGAAAGTCAACAAGCAAAAAGTCAACAACTCCATGGGCTAGAAACGTACGTCTTTCTGCTGTTCATGAACATGGCCGATCTGGAACCAGATGTCTTCTTCCGTAAGCGGACGAGGTGGGTCGTTGACGATGTATCTAAAACACTACCAAGAACAGTGGTGTAAGCCGAGAGCCCGCCAATTATGGGGCAGCGAATTGCACTTACGTCTAAACTCTGCCCGAACTTCTGCTGTTGCTTGTATATTATGCCGAGACGGAAGTAGATCTCGTTTGCCTTCTCAAAGTCTGGCTGCATGCGCATGACCTGGGAGAAGGCCTCTTCGGCGTGATCAAGGGATCCGTACCGATCATACAGGATACCAATGCCATACCAGAGTTTGGGCTCCTTGGGGTCGCGAAGATGGTAAAGGGCCTGCTGGTAGGCCGTGTATGCTTCTTGCAGATTATCAAGCATGAGATAGCAGTGTCCTTGTCAACGTTGTTAGTTTATGTTTTTTGAACCTTGTCTTTGTTGTAGTTTGGTTTGAAAGGAAAGGTGAAACCTACCAAGTGAACCCCATGACTCGCCGGACTGGGGATCGAGCTTGAGAATGGCCTGGAGATACTCGATGGCCTTCTGGAACTGCTCACGGCTGCGCAGGAGGCAGGAGATGGCACTCATGGCAGGAATAGACCACTGGTTGTGCCGAATAGCCTGTTCAAAGGCGTACATGGCGCCATCAGGGTCATTCATCAACTCAGACAAAGTGCCTACGCGTGTTAGTCTTAAAATAAAGATTTTATAAAGTAGGAATATTCAAAGACATACCAATCTGAAGCCAGACTCCTTCGTTAAGCTGGGCGATCTTCTGTGAAATAGTAGGTGGCATCCCCTTTTGAGGCTGGCCAGGAGCTTGCTGCGGTGGACCAGGCGGACCAGGCTGCGGCTGGGGACCCTGCTGAGGACCCGGCGGCGGCTGTTGCTGCTGCTGGGCCTGCTGAGCCTGTTGTTGAGCGGCCTGCTGCTGAGCTGCTTGCTGCTGGGCCTGAGCCTGAGCCTGCTGCTGCTGAGCCTGCTGCTGGGCCATGGGAGGGTGGCCGTTGACCTGCGGATGGTTTGCCAGGGCCGGATGGTGGGAGGGATGGGGGTGCATTGGGGGCGATGGCTGCGGATGAGACGCCATCGCGTGTCTCGCAGCCTCAAGGGGCGTTTTTAAGCAGTGTCTTTGACTGCTATCTTGCACGCTGCCAGGCACCCAAGGACAAAATCAGAAGGAAAAAAATAAGTAAAATAAACACGGGGGAAGCTCTTTTTGGTCCTGTGTTCAACTGGTTAGCTGGCCTGCTGCAGAGCTGGCTTCGCAGCGAGAGCCAAACAGGACTGGGGAGCAGGGCAATTGAACGTACAGAAAGAAGTGTGCTTGAGATTGCGGCGACGGTGACAGCGGCAGGAGAGGCTGTCACGGCGCCCGTCACGCAGAGGGAGCGACGGCGGAGGCGAAGGAGGCTGGTCGGTGGTGGTGCTGGGACGAGAGGTCGAGGAGCGCGGGGCGCGAGATGAAGCCGGCCTGGACACAGCAGACGGGCGTGGAGAGGGTGAAGCTGGGCAGAGGCAGAGAGGTGAGGCCGTGAAGTGCAGAGGAGAAGAAGGAGAGAAGACGAAGGGTAAGAAGAGTGGGAGACGGGCTTGAACGAGGATTTGGCGCTAGTGGGAAGGGTTTCCAGGCGGCGCTTAGTCAGTCACCCATCACCCTAGCCCAGCTCCATCTGACGTCTCCATCGCGATCTCCCGCCGGGGGGGGCCAGCTTCAGTGCCGCCGCTTGGCTCGCCGCCCTTTGCTGCGGTGCCTGTTTCAGCCTCTACTGCCGTCTTCTCCCTCGCCGTCCTCTCTGCTGTTTGTCCTCGTGTTGTCGCTGTTGGAGTCCGAATAACACACTGTCAGGATGTCCAGGACTGCCAGATCGGGCGTGGTCAAACCATGAAACAGGCTCTGCTCGCCCTTTCCTTCTTCGGCCGCCTTCGTCATGCCGCGCCCCACCCACCGGGGCCCACTTTTATTATTATGCTTTTTATGCTTTTTTTGGTCTGCAAAAATCGGGAAGGGAAAGGGCCAAAAAAATATAAAAAAAAACACTCTCCAGAAAAAGCAAGCACGAAGGGCTAAAGAGTGGGTCCTGTCCTTTCTCCATGGTCCCCACCTTCCTGCACGCTTGAACCGCGCTAGCACCGCCAAGAATGGACCCGCCCGTAGACCCGCATCTTTGAGGAAGGATCCACCCGTGTCCTTCCCTCCTTCGTTCTTTCCCTCCCCTCCCAAAGCTTGAGCCCTAACTTTCTTTGCCTTTCCTTGGCTTATGTCAGCACCTTCTACTCGCGCGTGCTTATGTAACACCCAACGTGCGGACTGCCAAGCACTGATTATGTCATCCCATCCCCTGCTGTAAATTATGCTTATGTCATCGTCCCTCCTCCTCCTCCTCCTCCTCATGTCGTTCGACTTTCCCAGCGTTACTCTGTGTATCTCAGCACAGTATACGTACATACTGACTAGCAGGTAGCTATATGATGGATATGCTATATTTATATGGGGCGGATGCTGTTCACCCGCCAAGTACCTGACGTGTATGCGATACCTCTCGCCAAGGTGCATGTCCGAAGCATCATCGTGAGCAGCCAACCCTGTCCACGACTCGCCAGGCGCAGAGAAAAAGTCACCCGAACCAGCCAACAAACCAACGGTGCGATCGCATCGGGCGCATCCCCGGCCGCCAGCAGCGCCCTTGCTCGCTTGTCCGCTTCATCTCCTGCTCGTCTTCTCCAGCTCTCCACTCTGTGCTGCTTCCCTGGCTTTCTCTCTGGCTTCTCCCTCGCTGCTCCACCGCCCCTGCTCTCCCGTGCCCCCGAAGTGAGCACGTTTCCACACTCATCACAAGCATAACACGCCTATATAAACACTGGCTGCAAAAGTAAGCCGTCGTGAAAAAATAATATAATAAAAACCGCACAAGGAACAGCATGCTAATTTATCGTTTGCTTCATTTCCATACCCGTGATGACCTTTACCGGCGAGATATGGACCGGCTGCTGCTGCACCGCACTATTTGCTCTGGATGGCTGGCTGCTGTACCAAGTTTGACTGCGTGAGAACGGAGTAAGTACTTAATGATTTGGGGTGGCTGGTTATTTTCATCTCCATTTTTTTGCAAGGAAGCCGGCGACGATCTTCGCCACCCTCCTCACTCTGCACTCACCGTGACGATGATAACTAGCTACTAGTACTGAAATACGGATGGAGTGCTTCACTACCCTCCTCTGTGGTTGCTAGCTGCCTGAGAGGAGCAAACAATTTAATTAAAAATTATCTGGCTTTTTCGTCTCCTTTCAGTTTCTGTCCGCCTTCGAGAAGACGCTTACATGCCACATACATATATGACCATGTCTGTCCCAGCCGATCTGTCGGTCAGCCTAGGTCTCTCCCCTCGCCAGCCACCCTCGCATGCGACTGTATCGATACGGAAGCACTCTTGTGTGAATCTCCTTGCAGTCACAACCAGTCGCAGACAAAAGAGAAGCATGAGTTATACGGTCAGTATACGAGCTGAAGCAGATGAAAGGGCGAGCAGAGAGAGGCGAAAAAAGAAAAAGAAAAAGAAAGAACAACCGACGTACCACCGTCGTAGCCAGCCGCCCATCCATCCATCCCATCATCAATCTGACAGCCGGCACCGACCGTTCAACTTGAGCAAGCCCGATCCCCAGCCCATCCCATCCCATCATTCCCCATTCTCCCCCCTGAAAAAAAAGGAAAAACAGGGAATCAAAAAAAAAAGAAAAGAAAAGGAAAGAAAAGAAAAGAAATAAAAAGAAACGGGCCAGCACAAATAAAAGAAGTATAGTCGGGAAAAAAAAAAGGAAAAAAAGGACGAGGGATACCTGACGGAGCAAGCCAGCCAGACCAGGAGGAAAAAGCAACGATGAGGACAAACCCAAAAAAGCAAAAAAAGCGAGAAAGAAGTAAAAAAAAGCAGAGCAAAAAAAAGAAATGAGAGAGTCGAAAAAAATAAAAAAAAAGGCGAACAAGAGAAGGAGAAGAAGCAGCAGCAGCAGAAGAAGAACGGGTATGTGGATGTGGATGTGGATGTGGGCGGGCAAAGAAGCAAATATAGTGCAAAAAAGGGGGATGGATGTTTGCAAAAAAAAAGGGGGGGTGAAGAAGAAGACACAGACACGACAGCCAGAGAGACCATCGACAGGCGCAGAAAGAAGCAGAACCAACCTCGCTCTGGACAAGGGGAGGAGAGGGAGGGAGGAGTGGGAGATTTGCGTTTACTTTTCGTGTCACGGACGGAGACTAACGTCGAGCATCAGACAGAACAAGCCGATAGTCTCGTTGGAAGGGGGATGGTCTACCGGACTTTGACCTGGGGGATGGACACCAACTGTCTCCCTCCACTCTCTCTCTCTCCCCCTTGAGATGATGACTTATGACTTCTGATGGTCGAGCGGTGTCTTAGGGAGAATACAGGGAGTGGCCTGCCATCGGTCCTCCCCTGCAGCACATCCCACAGTTCGCTGGCAGATGATTTTTTTTTTTTTTTTTAATTAAGTATATTATTATCCGCACTCCGTCCACATCCATCCGCCGACGCATACCTGCATACTTCCACTTCCGTCCTCCATCCAGACACAGACACACATGCATATTCCGGACGGACAGACATATTTTATTTCGATTATTCCTGCAGCTGAGGGCTTGAATACACGGCTCATGGGTCATGGATCGATCGGGTAGCGTGTACCACTACACCCACTCGACGGACACTTACATATTCCTGACCGACCTACTGATCCGTCACCCACACACGCACTCACACCTATGACAAGGAGGGTCGCACGCTCCCTTGCAGTTGCAGCGTCGTTGCAGTGTCGTTAAGCAGCATCCCCCAGGATCGAAGCAGCAGCAGGCAGACAGGCAGGCAGGCTGACAGGCAGGCAACACAAGGGAGGGGAGGGGGGGGGAATGGGCTAGAGTTACCTTAATGTGCAGCGTCGGTAGAGAACAAGAAGAGGCTTAGGCTTCGGCTTGGGCTACAGCACGGCAGATATGCATGAGCAGTGACCCAGTTCGTTGCGTTCGCGAGTTGGCAGGCGAGCGAGCCTGTTAGGGTGCATGCTAGCTGCAGCTCCTTGCAACTCTAGCACCAGCACTAAGTACTTACATAAGTTCCCTCCGCTTCCCCTGGCGCTGGGCTCTGGGACGCCGTCGCTGTTCCACGGTACCAGGGAACTCTAGCTCTGGAGAAAAAAGACCCTCTGAAACCACTCAAAAGAGGGCCCCCTAGTTGGCCGAGTGATCCATGCATGTCATGGTCCTGCGCCGTTTATAGAATATTACTCCGGCCAAACGACTAGTTATAACGCTCTATTATCCCCCTACATATCCCCCTAGTCGTCCTGGCATGGCTCTCTAGCTAGTTAGCCTCAACCCCCTATCGAAGTATCGAAGCATCGAAGTATCGAAGCATCGAAGTATCGAAGCCCCTTATCACGTTGCTGACTAAGCTATGTCTGGGCAACCGCGGAGTTAGGGTTAGTCACGTGTAATTAAGCTTTCATGAGTCAGCATGTGGGCCCGTCGATATAAAGTCGACAAAAGCAGAAGAAAAAACCGGCGAGATGAAGAAAGGCGAAGACGACGACGACGATGATAAGGTACAGATGAGGATTAAGATGAAGATGAAGATGACGATGAAAATGATAGATTCGATCGCTTAGGATGCAGGCTCCGATGAGCAGATCGCATGCAGCTCCCGCATCAGTCACGTCACTTAAGCAAGCCACACGCCTGTCCGGCGAGGGCGAGGTCTATATGCAGGCCGCCAGAAGGACACACATACATACATACTTACACAATATATACTTCCTCCCGTACATATGCACTCTCGACAACTTGGTAGTTGACCACTACCTGGCTACTTAAACATCTATATGGTTGACTCGCCTATGTAGACGCGGGCAAAACAGGTTTTTTCGGTTTATCTGGTCACTGTAACCGCCACCCGTCGGTCGTTCTAGTTACTTGATGATACCCGGGCACTTCTGGCCGATGAGAGCACGATTTCCTCGCCGGTCAGTGTTCGTTGCACAATCGACGTAAGAGAGTTCCCGGTTGTGTCTCTCCCCCTTTTTTTTTATTTTATTTTCGCCGCTGGTCAAATGTCCGTGAGTGCATTTGCTGGGCGTCGTCTACCGGATACATCAGGCTATGGGGATCGATCGTCTTTAGGCATATGCTGACATCAAAAACATGTGGACGACCATCCATGGGCGAGCGAGGCTCCGCTCGGTCCGGTCAGCGGTGGTAAGCAGAGGGGGTGGTCGAGCTACGTGTCTAGTAGTCATCCTGCTTCCGACTCCGCCGAGCCACAACCCATGAGCAGGTACTAAGTATGTAGGTATGTAACACATAGTTACGATTACATGTCTGTCTGTCTGGTCTAGCGTCGATCCTCTGCCGAAAGAGCCCATGTCTAGTGACCGCTTGGGAAAGGAGCTTTTGCCCAGCAGGCATGAACTTGGATAAGGTGAGGCTGCATATGGCTCTGTTAGGGGACGAAGGAAGTTATGCACATTTTGATTATTATTATTATTTCAACTAGCAGTCACCACGACGTCACTACGCACACTAAGTACGTGACTCCATAAGCTCCCTCCCTCCACTGACTACGAGCAAGCCCGACTTGGTGATTGGATGCGGGTGGTAGTAATATAGGCTCCGGGGGCCATCACTCACGAGAGCCGAGATCCCTGTCCTTAGGCATCGACGTTATAACCGCTCAGTACTTAGACGTTCCCCGGTGCTTAAACTGGGCCCTGTATAACTGCACTAGAAGCACTATCAGTTACTAACTGACCTCTTTAAGTAGTAGTATAAGTATATGGCCAGTTCCCCAGCAGAGCCCCGGGCCAGCGGGAGTTCAGGATGAGAACTCACCTGGTCAGGGAAGGGCTAGGCGAGCTCTCACGCCACAGCTCTCAAGCATGCAGGGTCCAGTTCACTCCATAAGGCAGTCAGTTGGCTGGGTAAGGTGGACTATTTGTTTACTACTGACTATACATATGCTTGGGATGGGGTTGGTACCCGGTTGGTTATTGTCTCCAGCCTGCATCTAATCTAACTCTGTACTGAACTAACTCTATACTTAGGTAAACATGAACATCTAAGGGATCGCCTTGGTCAAAGCTGTGTTTCATCAGTATGGATATCAGTACTAGTATGGACTGTTTCTCTACTGTTTTTGGGCGGTGGCTGTCAGGACTAACTGGGGATCCTGTTTGACCATCGATACGGAGTAGAGTGAGAGATTTGTCTGTAGACACGCAGCCATCCATGTGTACGGAGTATCTGCAGAAGACTTGTCCAGAAATTCGTCTATCCTTACTATCATCCGTCTATCAAGTAACCATGAGTAACCACGCTCTTGTCCTCTGCCTTCATCTCCTGTCAGATGCCATAAGTATCGAGCAGAGAGAAGTAATAGCAGAGAAGTGATGCAGTCGACAGAGTAGTCACCATAACATCATCTCATCACTCCGTCTACTCTATCCTCTACCCTCACCACCATCATCTCATCACTCCATCTACCTTTACCTTAATCCTCTCTATCCTTACTCTATCCTCATCTCATCGTCTCATCGTCTCTCATCGACTTTGGTTATGTCCCCACGTGACCTCATGTGACCCTTACATAATCACACAAACTCGGCAAGCGCACAAAAAAAGGCGAAAACACCAAAAAGACTAAGCGAGAAAAGCGAAAGACGAAGAAAGAAGAACTTTCAACCTGCTGCGAATTTCCCCGACGGACAACCAACGACGCAGGACATCCCAAGGGTCGACAGAGGGTCAAGATGTGAGTGCAGACAGGACGCCCAGCAGGCGGGAGACTGCAATTGAGTGAACTGAGAGCTGACCATGGCCGCTGCAGGAGTCACCGAAAATACGAAGCCCCGAGGCACGGTAAGACGACGTCGTCGAGATAGTTGAAGAGAGAGAAGTTGGAGGTAGAAGACGATGAGACTGACGATGAGACAGGCTCTCTTGCCTACCTGCCGCGAAAGCGCGCTGCCAGACACCGTGGAAAGGTCAAGAGGTAGGTTTTTATATATATTTATATGTATCCATAAGAGAGAGACTGACGGCGTGAAGCTTCCCCAAAGATGACCCCAAGAAGCCCGTCCACCTCACTGCCACTATGGGCTACAAGGCCGGCATGACCACGATCGTGCGAGACCTCGAGCGTCCCGGAGCCAAGATGCACCGCAAGGAGATTGTCGAGGCTGTTACCATCGTCGAGACCCCACCAGTAGGTTATCCATCTCGAAGAAAATACAAAGAATAAGGATGAGTGATTGACAGAGATAGATGATTGCTGTTGGCATTGTGGGCTACATCGAGACCCCCCGCGGCCTCCGCTCGCTGACCACGGTCTGGGCCGACCACCTGTCTGACGAGGTCAAGCGCCGGTTCTACAAGAACTGGTACAAGAGCAAGAAGAAGGCATTCACCCGCTACGCCAAAACCCACGCCGACGCGGCCAGCACCACCCGCGAGCTCGAGCGCATCAAGAACTACTGCACCGTCGTGCGCCTGCTCGCACACACCCAGATCCGCAAGACCCCGTTGAAGCAGAAGAAGGCCCATCTGATGGAGATCCAGGTCAACGGCGGCAGCATCGCCGACAAGGTCGAGTTTGCCCACGGCCTCTTTGAGAAGCCGATCGACGTCGACAGCGTGTTCGAGAAGGACGAAGTGGTGGATGTTATTGCTGTGACCAAGGGCCACGGCTTCAGCGGCGTCACCTCCCGATGGGGCACGAAGAAGCTGCCTCGCAAGACGCACAAGGGTCTGCGAAAGGTTGCGTGTATCGGCGCCTGGCATCCTTCGCATGTGCAGTGGACCGTTGCGCGTGCCGGTCAGGACGGCTACCACCACCGCACCTCTGCCAACCACAAGATCTACCGCATTGGCAAGGCCGACGACGAGGGCAATGCCTCGACCGACTTTGACGTCTCCAAGAAGAGAATCACCCCGTAAGACTTCCTTATCTCTATATATATCTATATATATCTATATACTGACGACTTGTAGGATGGGCGGCTTCGTCCGCTACGGCGAGGTCAAGAACGACTACGTGATGCTCAAGGGCTCGATCCCCGGCGTCCGCAAGCGCGTGGTCACCCTGCGCAAGACCCTGTGGCCGCAGGTCTCCCGCAAGGCCACCGAGAAGGTCGACCTCAAATGGATCGACACCTCCTCCAAGTTCGGCCACGGCGCCTACCAGACCCCAGCCGAGAAGCGGGCGTTCCTGGGCACTCTCAAGAAGGATCTTGCTTCGTCTTCGTAACTCTAGCCATGACATGATAATAAAACGATTCTCAATAAAAATTACGAGTAATATAAGTGTATAAGGGTATAAGCATAGTTCTCCGTAGTGTATAAGAGTATTAAGTATAAGAGTGTGTCCAGTAGTCTAGTAACTCGCCACCAACAACACCATGCGAGCGAGCCTGGCTTGCGTCATAAGGGCTCGACGGGCTCTGTCTTCTCGTCTTTCTCTACCGTCTCTCTCTCTCCGACTTGCTCTACGGCATCAGTATCGACAGTATCGACAGTATCAACAGTATCAACTTCGTCAACTTTCGAAGATGTCGTCCGACTCTGCCTACGCCGCGTTCCTCGACAAGGCCAACCAAGGCCTCGACAGCACCGCGGCCACAGCCACCGACAAGGCCGACAAGAAAGACGATCAGGACTCCGGCTTCATCGCGAGCAAGACGCTGGACGTCGACGAGCAGCGAGTCCCTCCCAGCCTGCGCGTCGACGCCTTCTACTCCTCCGAGACCGACGAGCCCTTTGAGCCCGTCGTCCTGGCCCTCGACCACCTCCCCTCAGAGGGTATCCCATCCCTATCCCTATCCCTATCTCTACTCTACTTCTACGACTTCTACCTGGCTATTGAATGCTAATATTAATTCCACGTAGATGAGTTCCCACAGCTCGTCCACGGCTCCACCGCGCCCAAAGTCCAAGTGAGCGTCCTCTCGCCTGCCCAGTTCGACCGCCGCGGCCAGTACACGTCAGTCCTCGAGGCAGTGAAGGCCGCCTGCTCGTCCACGGCGTCGGCGTCCGCATCGGCAGCTGAAGCTGAAGCTGAAGTGCGAGTCTACAGAGTGCAGCACGACCATTCTCGCGCAGAGTACTGGCTGCTCGCCCTCGACGTCGACGGGGGCCGCCTGCTCGGTCTGAAGGCGAGGGCCGTCGAGACCTAGTTCTTTTTTTTTTTTTTTTTTTTTGCCTTTTCCTTTTCCTTTTCTACCTTTATATTTTTTAATTACTCCGTACGAGCCCTAAGCCAGTCGAGTCGACTAACTCACAAGATGATCGCTTGGCTTGAAATCTCTTACGATTAAAAGGGGGCGGACGGTTGGCTGGCTGGGCGATGGGCGATCGGCGGGCGGGCGGGCAGAGAGGCAAGGCAAGCAGGCCAGCAGCGAAGAGAGCAGCAGCACCAGCAGGAGGACCAGCAGGAGGACCAGCAGCAGCCAGCAGGACAAGGCCTGCCTTGGAGGCGGCCTGGCTTGATTTGACTAAGACGGGCGGGCTGGGATGTATCACTTAATTTCCACGCAAGGGGATGGGGATGGGATGGCTTGCGAGGCCCAGTGGCGACGTCATGAAGGGGACGCACCGCGATGGGAATGGGATGGGAGTAAGACAGGTTGACGAAGGGTTTCAGGAACCCGCGGTGGATCTGTCTTGAGTCTTTCTCTTGCGTCTTGTCTCTTTTGATTCCTCAGTAGTGTCTTTTTCTCGCTGTCTCTTCTGTCCTTTTTGCTGTATCTATCGAGGCTGGTCTGGTCTTGTCGTGTTTAGCTTCGCCTGGCTTTTTCCCTGCAACTTTTCTCTATCGCTCTCTACTGCCAACTATTCTCTATTAACTGCTATCAACATCGCCAACATCGCCAACATCGCCAACGTCGTCAATATCACGATCTCTGCCACGGAATAATAATAATAATACTGAGTCTGGTGGCTGTCCGCCTGCCGCTCTTTTGTCTACGTCAGCTTCGCCATCGCACATCAACAACGCCAACGCCATCATCAAACATCAACAACATCAAACACCAAACATCGCCAAACCAGCAACAACCAACATCCACATCGACTCCAACACCAGCACCATCCTCCGCGGCCTCAACAGATGACTGTGATATAGGAGAGACTCGACCATGGACCCTCTCGGGCCCGGCAATGGCAGCGGGCACCCGCCAAACCGCCTCCGCAAGACTCCCACGCTCCAGATCAACTCCCAGGTCCAGCGAGAGCCCAGCAACCCCTTCGCAGACGCCAGCAGCAGCAGCAACAACAACATCTCCTCCGCCAGCACGCTCGCGGGGCCCTCGCCCATCACGCCCCGGGCCCTCATCTCGCCCCAGCAGCGCACCTTCTCGCCCTCCCCGGCTCCCGCTGACTCGCTCTCCCGCAACGAGTCCACCGAACGCCTCGCCGTGCCCGGGCCGGGAGGAAGCCTGCCTCGCTCGCGGGCCTACGTAGACGACTCCCAGAGCGGCTATCCCTATCCGACTTCTCAGAACCAGCAGCAGTTGCAGCAACAGCGTTATTCAGGCGGTAATGGTGGCGGCGGTGGTGGTGGTGGTGCGTATGGTGCAGACTACACCAGCTTCTCCTCGCGGCGCACCAGCTGGAGTTCGGACGCGGCCAGTCGCCATGCCAGCTACGGCTACGGAGGGTACACCTACTCGAGCCCGTTTGACGACTCGCGGGTGCCCTCGAGGGCCGGCAGCAGCGACGACGAAGGTGGCATCACCACGCAGACCGTGACGGAGAAGTTTGCCATCTTCCCGGACGGAGACCTGATCGTGTACCCGCACGACGTCGAAAAGGACGACGAGCTGCACAACCCGGACCCCAACGACAAGGAGCGCAAGTGTGATATCTGGCACAAGCGAGGCATCACCAACATCGGTGCCCTGATCTTCCTCATCGGCGGTGTCTTGACCCTCTTCATCGGATATCCTGTAATGTATGTCACCGCCACTCAGACCAACCACTATAACCAACCACTTTTTGATCGTATTTTTATGCTGACAACCCTTCCAGATCGTATATCCAGGGATTGACGAGCATCAAGGGAGGATGTGCCGGTGACCCCATGTGCATAGACGCGGATATACCGCTGCTCAAGAACATACGGACCGGCCTGATCGATCCAGACACGCCCAAGTCCGCCATGAAGAAGAAGTCCGCCAACGGAAAGGACCTCGAGCTAGTGGTGCGTTCAAGCCTTACCCATATATTCTTGCTGCTATAGTGCTAATTGAGTAGTTCTCCGACGAGTTCAATCTCGATGGACGGACCTTCTTCCAGGAAGACGACCCTTACCTGCAGGCCGTCGACATCTGGTACGGTGTCACCCAGGATCTCGAGGTAAGCATCAACCTTTGTCTCTTTCAAAAAATAATAAAAAAAAGGACAAAAACTAATAAATGCAGTGGTATGACCCCGATGCTGTAACGACGAAGAACGGCAAGCTGGAACTCCGCTTCGACGCCTTCCAGAACCACTACCTCAACTACCGCTCCGGCATGGTCCAGTCCTGGAACCAGATGTGCTTCACCGGCGGCAGACTCGAGGCCAGCATCTCCCTGCCCGGGCGAGGAGACGTCTCTGGTCTCTGGCCCGGTTTCTGGGCCATGGGCAACCTAGGTAGACCCGGGTATCCTGCCACCACAGACGGCATGTGGCCCTACAGCTACCACGACAAGTGTGACGCCGGAATCACTGCCAACCAGAGTGATCCCGGCGGCCTCAGCTTCCTGCCGGGTATGAGGCTTCCCGCCTGTACGTGTGACGATGCGGACCATCCCACGCCAGGCAAATCACGCACCTCTCCCGAGATAGACGTGATCGAAGCCAGTGTCCACGCTCTGCATGGCGAGAAGAAGCCCATCAACGTCATTGGAGACGTCTCCCAGAGTTGTCAGGTCGCTCCCTTTGACGTCTGGTACATGCCAGACTACGGTAAGCATCTACTCCCAGTTAGCATAATTCATAGCCAGGAAAAGAAAAAATCAACTAACGAAAGCAGATTTCACCGAGTTGTATGACCCCGAAATCACCATCATGAACGCCTACCGAGGAGGTGTCTACCAACAGGCCATCTCCGGCGTCACCAACCTCAACAACAACTGGTACAACGGCAAGGAGTACCAGGTCTACGCCTTCGACTACATCCCCGGCGACAAGGGCGAAATCACCTGGTACGTAGGCAAGGAGAAGTCATGGAAGCTCGACGCCCGCGCCCTCGGCCCCAACGGCAACGTCGGCCAGCGCGTCATCCCCCGCGAGCCCATGGCCCTGATTGCAAACTTGGGCATGTCCAACAGTTTCGCTGCCCTGAATCTCACTGGCCTCGCGCCCCTGTTCCCCGCTACAATGAGGATAGATTATATCCGCATCTATCAGGAAAAGGACAAGAAGAGCGTCACCTGTGATCCGCCGGGAATGGAGACAACAGACTACATCAGGAAGCACAAGGATGTTTATCACAACCCCAACCTGACCACATGGTATGTTCAGAATTCTCTCTTTCTGTCTCTCTTTTTATTCTCGCTCGTTTTCTCCTTCTTTCATTCTCGCTCTTTTTTTTTCCCACTTCATATGTACAGTGGACGTGGGCGTGCTGGAGGCTCTTATATACATCCCTCGTACTCGAATAAGAGCCTCCCTCGTATCCCCGATCCTCCCCCATCTCCGCGCCCTGCCTTTAGCCTTTTTTGCTCCCCAATTCAATCCCCGACTCTGAACATGCGACACGCCAAGCGACTAGAACTTTTAGAGCGCCAGCCTTGCTAACCGTTGGATTTTTGTTCTTCCTACAGGGCGGATACGGGCTATCCTTGGCCGAAGAACAGCTTCGTGCATGGTTGTGGTTGAGCCATCTTGCTGGCACCGCGCCGTTCTCTCGGGCTGTTGGTAAGCTCGCTCGAGCCCGCCAGCAGTAAGTATTTACTACCAGGACCAACCCACAAGCCAGAACAGTGGATGGCCCTGGTAAATATATCTCCCCCTTGCCACCCAGGCAAACAAGGGATCTTTACTGTTGGATGACTCGACGTTGCCTGGATCCCTGTCTTCCTCCAACATCCATCGTTCAACTTGGGGCGACCTGGCTTAAGACACATCACACCTCCTCTTCCTCCACCAAAAACACCATCCACGCTACATCCCGCCGTCATGCCATGCCGTGTCATGCCATGCTATGCCATCTCAAGCCAGCTCGAATCGAGTCGAGCCTAAACAACCGAGAAACACGCACGAGTACCACAAAACAACCACACAAACACGCCAGAAAACGCATACTAAAAAAAAATGAGAAAAACGAAGCAAATCAAATCATTCCAAAAACACGCCAAAAAGCAACGCAAGTCTAAATATTAAAAAAAAGCAAAAGCACATAACAAAAAAGTCAGTCATGTCTCTCGTCTAGACAAGACCAGTACAGAAGAAAACGACTACCAGCTCGTCCACCTTAGCGGCATCAAACGAAGCCCACGACCAAACACGTAGACCGTCCACAATCCCGGCCGTCTACCTGTCCAGTGGGTTCAGGGAGTTCAAAGGCGTTTTATCGGTGTCTTCCAACTTACCATTCCCTCCCGTTAACCAGTTCATTCTCATTCTCATTCACATTCACATTCCCTCCTCCGCTTCTTTTTTTCCTTATCAATCTACTTTGCCTTTTATTTATGTTACCTACTTACTGCCTTACTTGCCATGTATGCTGTTATGCGGAGGGATAGAATGGGTTTTTTTGTTTGTCACTTTACTTCGTTCCGTTTCATTCTATTCCACTTCTTGATTCCATCTAGGTCGGCTGGTTGTGTCTGTCTGCTTGTTTGCCGGTCTAGATGGGATGAACGAGTACGTTTGGTTCCTGTTTCTTCTGCTTTACTTCTACCTAGATGATGGGAGAGGGGAGAGAGGGGATAGATGCGTGCTCGCTTGAATCTTTTTGCTTTCTTTTATGTATATTAATTAATGCATTAATTTTCTACCGTGTCTGTGAAGATGTTGTTTATTTATATCAATATCCAGCCAACTTGATAAGTAGTTATCTGCTTACGTAAGGGATCAAACGACTTCAACGTCGACTTTCCTTGATTATCTAGATCGACGACAACCACGACTTGATACCCATATCTATACCCATAGACAAAGATACAAAGCTAGAGACAAGCGGTATATAATATATAGAGTGTTGCCAGAATGGACCTGGACAACCCCACGTCTCCGAATAACCCTCCCAACATCGAAGAGGAGGCATACGAAATTGCCCCCCGCGCTCCAGGTAGAGAAAACACCCCATATTTAAAACGAAATGATATATAAAGCAGATGTTAATACTCCGTAATGTCCAGTACCCGGCCAACCATACCGAACTCAAGATCTGCATCCGAGATTCGTCTATGCAGAAGAGCTAAATGAGCCAACTGAGTCGCGAGAACGCCGGCACGCAGCCCTAGGCGTCCTAGACGATCTGGAAATGCTCATGTTCCACGCCGTCTCTAACAACGAGGTACGCACCCCCATCCATCCCATGCATTACGTTCGTCCCGCTAACAGGCATCTAGTCCATTCCCCAAACAAGACAACGATTCATACACTCCCTGGCCCGCAGACCAGCTGATAAGCCGCCTCTGCGGAAATACGTCGTGCATGACCTCCGGGCAGGACGGCTGCTGCAGGCACATAAGTCGGATGCGGTGGGCGCTAGTCTAACGGGTATGAGCATTCCCAAGTCCATGCCGGGACGGAGGTGGATGGATGACGGGCGCTCGTTGGGGGGTACGTCTGAGGCGACGGTTCGAACGGACACGCCTATCGTTGATATCGTGGAGGTCAATGGGGGGTGGAGGAATGAGGAAATCCCGTCTGGAGGCACGGTTCCTGGAACTGGGATGGGAGTGGGAGGGAATGTTGCTGGTTCAAGTTCTAGTTCTACAAGAAAGGGAAAGGGAAGAGTATGAAGTATTTAGCGCTGTATTTCTTGTTCTTAACTAGCTAACAATGAAGAATATCTAACCAAGACATGTATGTTGTAGTGCGCTACGCTGACATTGTTAGAACGTGTGATATCATCTCAATAACTCCTCCCCCCAAGACATCAGATTTTTTTATCCTGCCTGTGTGCTCCTCTCTGCTCCAGCTCCGTGGTAAATGCAGTAAGATGGATCGGTAGGGTTGGTACCTCCCTTTGCATGGTAGGTGGTTTCCACCTGGTCTTCCACTTGTCTTGTATCTGTCCTTATCAAGCCGGGGGGCGCAAGGAACAGATAGACAGTGGTATGTGCATATGTACAATGAATAAAAACCAGAGGGAAAGAAAAGAGAAAAAGAAAAGAAATAGAACCAAAAGAAAGAAGAAGAAGAAGAAAAATCCAAGAGATAGTCAGGCTACAGACCTGCTCTCTCGGGGTTAACCAGTATCTCGGCATCGCCAACTTGCTTTCTCTCCGAGACTTCTCTGCGTTTCACCCGTGATCGAATCACGGACGAATTCATGGCCGTCAAGCCCGTCACGCCAGCCAGGCGCTGGTATAAATTCAACTTCGGCTTTTTCGAAGCCGGTATCGCTAGCCAGGAGGGTCCTGCTTCCTTGGCTGCGGGGCGGGAAGAGGATTTATATAAGTATGGAAATAGTTCGGGGGTGCTTGGGGGTGGTGGGATGGCTGATTCATTTGTTGTTGGCGTCAATGAGGATGGGCTTGGAAGAGTGTTTGCAAGAGTGGTTGGCGTGAAGTGTCGGGATGTCTGGACTAGGGGGCGCCCATTCCTCATGACTGGTAGTTGTCACTGGAGAGGCTCGGAGCTGGACGAGAGGCGGTTGAGGTGGAGGTAGACGTCCGTTCCGTATCTATAGTTGTGTGTTAGTTGATGGGGGGGTTATATTGAATAAAAGTAAAAGACAAAAGACTCACCCTTCCATGCTGATGAGTTTGAGATCACCGCCAAAGTACCGGGCGTAGAGTCGACTGATGGGTAGACCGTATCCGAATCCGGCCATGGGGGCCTTGAAGTCGCTCTTGTTGAAGTCTGGGTCGAGATTGGGCGTCTGGTCAACGGTGGTGTACATGTACGTCCATACAAGCGGGATGGCTGATCGAGGAATACCGCCACCTTCATCAGAGATCTTGATGGTAATGTCCTCCCTTCCCTCGGCCACGATGACTTTGGTTACGGGGAACGAATCATTCTCTGGTCCATGCGTCTCTACCACCGCACGCAGCGAGTTCTTGATCGTCTCGAAGAGCATGTGTGACAGGTGGCCGGGCACGTACATGAAATCGAGATCATCGCGGCAAACGAGCTGGACCTTGGGAGCTTCAAAGAGGCCATAGTGGTCTTCGCAGACAAAGCGGGCGTTGTCAATGGCTTCCTGCGCCAACTGACGGACGTTTGTCTTTGTGCAGATAATTCCGACGTAGTTTGGATGGAATGTGTGGTGCTGGTTGGTAAGAGCAATGTGCTGCCCAATAAGCATACGAATGCCAATACGGGACATGTAAAACCGGTCCAAGAAGGCTTGTATTCCAGAGTCGATCTGCAGCCGCTGCTTCTTGCGCTTCCACTCCAGCACGCCCTGTGCCACCGTCGTCACAACGCTGTCGTGTCGTCTCTTGATTGTGTCCAGGGTCGAAGCCAAACGAGCGTTGTAGTCGATCAATTCCGGCGGCCAATCGGCGCCGTCGTCCGCAGCAACAAAGTACCGGCGAGTCCCTGCAACCCGGTGTTTCGCGCCATTAGTCGCCGTGGTTGTCGTCGTTGTGCTGCCATTGTTGCCGATTACGCTGGAGTTACCGTTGCTGTAGATGCTGTTGAGGATGGATGTCGTTGGCGAGGAGCGGTACTGGCCCTGCTTTATGCTGGGGTTGGGGGTTGCTTGCTCCAGCATGCGTGGCTCGCGGCCGTTCATCCTGCTGGAATTGAGCAGCCGTGACCGTACTTCTTCTGTCAACTTTGGCCGTTCCAACTTGGTGATCTCCTAATCTACATGTTAATATCATTTCTTCGTAGTGATTGGTCTGGTAAATCAGTATATCTATGTAGACGTACCTCGAACGACTGAGCGTACCAGTCCTGGACTTTCTTGATAGACGGCATCTCATTCAACCCATCCGGTAGGTCTCCTAGCTCTCGTACCCTGTGAGCCAGACGTATGGGCAGCTCCTCCGACAGGAATTGTGACGCCCGGAAGAGTGTTCCTACAGCAATGAGTCAGTACAACCACCCAACAATACAATAGCTAATCTAGACATACCTGTCGACGGCTTGTCGCCAAACTGCACCATCTGTCGCAGCGACACTCCTGTTGCCGGGAACGAGGCATAGTGCCGGATGGTCTCCATGAGACGCTCCGAAGCCCTCCACGCCATGGCTACCCTCGCTGCCTCGATCTCACGGTATCCTCAAGTAACCTCCCTGCGGCCAGTGTGCCTGGACTGTTCGACCAGTGTATTTGTATCTCAGACGTCTCTTACAACCGCAGGAATGCCTTATATCGTACGACTATGACTCGAGCCGGCGTCACGAGAGCATGGAGCCCTGCCGAGGTCGAAAGCGTCCTAAGTTTGCCGTTGGCGGGCGTCGTTTCTTCCCGGGTCCCTTTCTGCTTCTGCCGCTTCTACTTCCCTCGTCTTCTGCGTCGTCGCTCTGCACCGCCGCGGGTGCGCGCCAATTGACCTCGTTAGCCAGCCAGTTGCAGAACAGGCAAACGTGAAGCCATATACGTAGCAACAACGGCAGCAGAGAACGACGTTTTGGGGGGAGAAGAGGAGGGAAAAAAGGTCTCAACTCAAGCGGAAAAGACGCACGAGGAAGTTTCCCGCAGCCAGCAAAAGCAAAGAAGAGCCAGGTCCCCCTCTCGCGTCATGGCCGGCGATACTTCGAGATACTTCTGGAGGCGCAGTCGCTGCGGCGGCGAAGGAAGTATTCCGAGGTATCTCGCAGGTTGCTTAGGTAAGATAGCCGGCGAGGTCACGGGGTCCGCTCGGAGCAAGACTCTCCGTCGGCCCGAGGTTCCCCGTGCCCGCAAATTCCCGCCGCACGTGGGAGCACGTGAGGAAGGGCCGATTTCACCCGCGAATGACTAAGAGATGAGTAAGACATATCAGGTGATAGTCACGTGGTAATCTCAAAGGGGTAAACGGAGGGAAAGGAAGGACGTCGACCTCAACTTCGTCTCGACGACGTCAATAATGACAACATATCAAAATATCCACATCAACATACAGCATGAAGAAGACGATGAAGGTGAAAATGATGATACTGATGACGAACAAGAGTATGGAAGTGACGGGGAGACAGGATGGTCGCTGTCGAGTTAAGGGAGATAAGATAAGACAGACACAAGGGGCCAAGGCTAAGGCTAACAGCAGGCATCGGAGGAACGCACGAGACCCCAGACCAGCGAAGGCTTGAGTCTTGAACAAGCGGACTCCATGGCTCAAAATTATACCCATGCAGTGGCAAAGCAAAAGATATCCGACATGTCAAGATGCAAGCGGGCGGGCAGAGCTAAAAATAACCTCATGGTTTGGAGCAAACATAACCCTCTTTTTTTTGGTACCAAAGGCTTGACCATGTCCATGAACAATGGGAAAGTCATGTACGGAGTACGGAGTAGTAATAATAATGCATGGCATGGCACTGCATGGCCACAGGTACCATGGCAACAACGTGGTCGGCCCCTCGAGCGATTTGAAAGATGTGAAAGAAAACCCGCGTTTTTCTATCATGTTCAGTTCGCTGCGGCTGAAGCACGGAGGACAGAAAGAAAAAGAGGCTGATATTTCTCGCTAAAATTGATGCGGTGTATCAGCTTGGTAACGGTTCGGTCGGCTCGCTCTTCCAACCACATGAGATGGCTGTTTCTGTATTACGATAGGATACAGCCTGCGGTCTCCGAGGCGCAGTTTGCAGCTGTCTTGTTCTGCTGTGCCTATTTCTATCTATATGCTTGCTTTTTTTGACCTTTTCGCTGGCCGGACATTTTTATTTTGAACAGGGCCATCCTGGACGGGACCGCATCCTTCAGCCCCTGAATATGAGCGAAGGGAAATGATGAGATCTGAAGTCCGTCAACAAAAGAACACTGAAATATATCGAATACTTCCACGAAATATTTCAAAAGAATGAGTGACCTGCTTCGAGGAAGCTTGAAAGTTAGCTGCGACACTATTTATGTCTTGACCACTGGCACCAGTGTGAGTCTCGTTTAAGGTGCCATCGTGTGTATTTTATGCCTCCATTGGTTCAAGTCTCGTTTCCGAGTCCACCCTCACCTCGCGATAGACCCAATTATTGACTCGGGGGAACGAAGCCTAACCTCCTCTCCACAAGTCAGCGGGCGGGAAATACGAGCCTCACCTTCTCGCTAGCTCGTTCTGAGATAGCTTGGGTATGGCACCCCTTTCAATTGAGCTTGCGGCGAGGCTCAAAGCTTCCTCCATCTGTCGCTGTTCGTGTTTTTCTTCGCTTTCTTTCCTTTCTTTTTTAGAAAGAAAAGGTGACCAGCCGATCTTTTCTTCCTTCACACCTCCCCTTTCTCTTTCTCTTCTTCCTGTTCCTCATCTACTTGTTGCTTCTCTGTTGTGCTGGCGTTGCTCGGGTCGAGGAGATATCCTGACGCGAATATTGCTGTATTCGTTCTGTGTGTCGCTGGGATAATCGGGAGATATCAGACCTGAGATCTGCTATTTCTATTTTTATCCTATCTCCCGGCAGAGGAAGACCAGCAGATTTTCTGAACTTGGGGGACGTTCGGTTCAATATCCATCAGCCGTCAACTTCACCCTCTATACCACCTTCCTCTGTGCAAGTCGGGTACCATCAGTCCAACGACATGGTTGGATATTCACTGGCCCTTGTGGCCGCCCTCCTCTCCGTCGCTATCGTCGATGCAGCCGACCTGGAACACATGGTGCCTGTTGCAACTCCCGCTGGCCTCATTGCCCTCAACGGGAGGTCTCCGAAGCCTACACCCCCTCCCGGTTTGCCTGATGGAATACCCCTGGAATTAGTGAAGAGACAGGCCAGCAGCTCTGCCAGCTTGTTGATTCCTTTCCCTCCTCCAGCTTATTATTGTGGTTTGGTTGATGGTGACCCAGGTTCGTCTAGATGCCCGTCAGCTTGAAAGTAGGGAAAACTAACTTGATATATAGAGAATCCCCTGACTTGTGTCAATGCCCGCGCAACCTGTATATATACTGGAAACGCTGCTGGTTGCTGTCTAAGCAAAAATATCAATGACTGCACTACTATTCCAACCACCTGCTACCCATCAAGTGTCAGTTGCGACTCAGCTTGTTCCAGGGATTCACTGGCTCTCAGGTGTAGCATCTCAACCCTTCCCTACTGCGGAACCTATGTCTTCAACCAAAATACCAAGCTCTACGGATGCTACTCGTACGCTTCGGTTTCCAACAACATTTCGCCATTGTCACAATATTATTCCTCCGTCCTCGGACCCGACTATGCCTCTAAATACTCTGCCACCCACATCCCGTCCACCACCACCGAGTCTTACTCTAACCAACCCACCAATACCGGTACAGATGGCTCCCCACAGCCATCTAACTCAACCTCACCAACTCCCAGCCCTACCCCACCCCCACCCCCCAGCGGCGCCGGGCTTGGGGGCGGCGCTATCGCTGGCATCGTTGTAGGCTGCGTCGCTGGAGTTTCCGCCATCCTCATCGCGATCTGGTGGTTTGTTCTGCGCAAGAAGCCAGATAACACCCCAGCCCCAGCCCCTGCTACCGCCTACACGCAAAATAACAACATGCCACCACCAAGCATGAACCAGCAGGGTTATAACCAAACTCCCTCTGCCGCTGGAGGATACTACGCGCCGGTTGAACAGAAACCCCCAGTTGACGACCAGCTACCAACGTACCCGAACGAACAGAAGATTTCTCCGTTCTCGCAACCCCCGCAACAACCACCTCAGACTCAGCACGCTGAAATGCCTGGGTCAAACGTCGGCTCGCCACAGCAGATGTCGCCTATTCCGTCCGAGCTGGCTTCGACGCCTATGTCTGCTACACATAACGGACCCGTTCCTGAACAGATCTACGAGATGGGACCTGGTCGGTAGCCATCCCCATAGCATAACATAAATAAGTATACTGGAAATTTCTTTTCTAGAAACAAAAGAATTAACATGACCGATCTTGAATTCCTTGCATTTTGTTATTAATGTTTATATATCTAGCCTGCCTCTCCGCAAATTCCCTTTCTACCTTCATCATTCATATACTCCTCAATTTTTTGTCCATGAATTACTTGCCTAGCCTTTGCTTCTTACCTCCCCTATTCATAGGGATTCTCATCTATGTTCATTATTTATATACCGACTACATACCCATTCACCTACCCAGCTGCCTATAACCATGTGTATATCCTTAGATATATCAACTTGTCAATACTAATCTAAATGATTCAATTTTGCACCTAGCCTCTCTCTTCAAGCTAGAAACGCCATTTAATTTGTAGACTTTGAAAATCCCCAAGGGCTGTAATGAATTACCACAATGAATGTGTTCCTAGTGACAACATATCAAACGTCCGAGATAAGCATCAATAAACAAAGTCCTCCTTCTATCTAAATTCGCTCCTAAGTCTTCCAAGTTCGCTTGTCGAATTATCTGTGACCAACAGGCAACACAGAGGTGTAATAGGTTACATTCACCAAGCAATAAAATAGTCAATTATTTGCGTCTCTTGCTACAGTGAGGCCTGCGTCGTCCCATTAACACACGGGCAAATTCACTTCTTCCGCAGCGAGGCAAATCCCAGGGCAGCCTCTCCTTTCGGTGTCTTGAGGCCCAACAGCGGTTTACCGATCCTGGAATGTATGATTTCGAACCCAATGCTATCAAAAAAAGTCCTGCCACAACCATATATTGCACTCTTCGGCTCGAGATGTTTTTTTGTCTCGGGATTGGTTTTGAATAACCCATTAAGCGTCCTGAGGACACCCAAGTGAAAGTCTAGGTCATCAATGGAATGCTTTCCACCATTATTGGCCGTCTTCGACCGTGGCTAACTTCAGCCTTAGTTGCTCGAGTTTATCCTCAATTTGGAGGGTTGTAAGTTCTGTGGGTATAGCAGGCCCAGCCTTCCCCACGACAGTTTTTTCATCAGCACCCGCTTCTAGTAGCATTGCTGCTATATCCGCCCTCCCGTCTGTCTTAGCCAACAGCAATGTCGAAGAGAGGATGTCGTTTATAAACCGGTCATCTCCATCACTGAAGCCACGGGTTCGATTTGCATAATCAATTAAACTTGTAACAAGGTCCAGGCTGGGTGATTCGTCTGAGAAATGCGTGAAGTTGGAAAAAACATTCCGTATCTGCGCCGGCCCCTGAAAGACCAATTCCTCTAGAAGGAGAAAAGTGAAGTGATCGTTCTGCAGGCGAAGTCCGTCATTGATTGAGCAACCGCTGCTGGAGCTGATGTGATCGGCGTGTTTGTCATAAATGAGAACCCTCAAGAACGCCCTTAAAAAAGATTCCTTCCGTGGATGCCTACGGGCTGTTTGTGCCATCAAGTCAACGTCATAATACTGGTCAATGACCCATGATAAAACATGTAACCTTTGGCCGGGGCTCAATGTCTCCAGTAAAAACACCAGAGGCTGGGCTTTGAGTTGGTCAACTGAATGTAGGAGAAGGGCGCCATGCACACGATACGGGGAATTTTGTATCGCGTTCTGAATAGTTGGACGGAAGTCACTGCGGCTCTCTGTCAATGCAAATAATAAAATATCAAACTGGACGCTTAGCGGTGACTCTAAGAATAGTAGCCTAAACAGTTTGGATCCTCCAGGAACCTCCAAAACGAGTTTTAATTGGCGTAATTCGCCCAATACCATAACAGTGTATTCGCCCTGACACTCTATAAGACATCCAAAACCTTCGGGATAGTTTAATGATATGGTGAGATCGAGTAGAGATCGTATAATCGAATGAAACTTCGGAAGCCGTGGTTCGGTGGAATATCCGTATGCCCCAGAGGTCCTTCTCTCACCAAATAGATTTTGCGAGAAGCTTAGGGGAGGCGGAGGCTGACCAAAGATCCCACGCTCTGTAGAGCCACTGGATGCACTACCAAATGGCGAGGCAGTCGGGTAACGTGAAGCGGAGTCTCGACTGATATTTTGATATCTGTGAGCAAGCGAAGGCATCTGAGGCGTGGGAGGTGATGATGTAGGCTCCTGTTGAGTGGATCTGCCTGTATATCCATACTTTTGACTGTGCGAAAGATACATTGGGGCGCGCGGATGAGCTTCCCGGCGCAGTACGTCAGAATAGTCTACTCTAGACTCATAATCGGCCGACCAGGGGCACTCTAGAAGCCGTTTCAGAGTTGCTGTATCTCGACGCTGGACGATAGAATGTGCTGGTGACCACTCGTTGATATCCAAACTAGGCCTTATATCTTTGTCTAACAGGAAGTTGACCATGCGGGTTTGGCCATGGTGAGCCGCAAAATGAAGAGCCGTCCATTGATTTGGGTCTCTCTGATGTAATAGTGAGTTGTCTCTCTTTATTAATTCTTGCGCACTTTCAATATCTCCAGACTGGGCTGCAAGATGTAAGACCGTACGACCATCTGGGAGAGTAAGCTTGGTTTTAACCACACGTGCGATGAGATACATAATCGCAGTCCAGTTATTATCCGCGGCAATGCTAAAAGCTGTGGTCCCATCATGTGTTATTAGATTGACGTTTGCCCCAGCCGAAAGGAGTGATATCACGGCATTTTTGTCTCCCAGTTCTATCGTTTTATGTAAAGCTGACTGGCCATATCCATCTTGGGTATTGATTGGTACCCCAGCTTTAATAAGACTTCCAATTAATTCTGGATGGCCATTGTCAATAGCAAGGTGAAGTGCTGTCTGCCCTCTCTCAGTACGTATGTCTGCATTCTCTTTTGGAGAGGCAAGCTGGATGACCTCTTCACAGGCACCAACTATGGAGCAGATATGGAGCGGCGTCAACTTGGACGGAATCCGAAACCTTCCGTAGGTATATTGCGCAAACGCAATCCAAAATTTCAGGCCTCCAAGCTCTGGGTTGAAGAACTTTTTGATAATAGGTTCTAATAAGCACTGGGACTCAGCATAAATGGTGGGAATATGGCGAGACCAGTTGCATGTAGCATAACTAAGGAAAGGGTATTCAGCAACGAGCCTATCCAGAGCATCTTCAGGAATATCCTCAGAAATTGAAAGAGTGTGACAGTTTTGAAAATTAAGATACGTGAGGCATGACATTGCAATTTTGATCGAGGCATCAATATCGCTGATGTAAAAAGGATTGAGCTCCCCCGACTCTAGAGAAGGGGATATCAAGAATTCCCGAACAGAGTGGTGAGCTAGCATGATATGTCCAGTTGCCTTTGAGCGCCGTATGAGATTGCTGCAAATCTCAAAAACATCATCTTCATTGCGAAGCTTGTTTCCCTTGAGTTGCTGTGGATTCGTCTGGCCGGGATCTATAGCTATTGCTTCCACTAGTTCCGCCGGATGTAAGCCACGCTCAGAACACAAAATAAATTGCAGTATTCTGAGGGCTAGATGTTTGTCTTCATCCGATAGTTTCGACAGAATCATTTCGTATGTACGTCCTAAACCTCGTGGTAATGAATTAAGGGCTGATTTTGGTATCGCTGTCCGTATGCGTGACAGAGAATCCAGCTGATAAGCAACCCATAAAAACCTGTGTATTTCACTCAGTACTGCAAAAAACAATGTAAACAAGAGATATCCATAGGTGGCATAACCTACATTCCATCTGCACCTTTGACCAGCCCTTGAATTATTTCTTCCATGTCCGGAACGTCATGCCACCGGAAGTTTGAGACACGAAATCGTACATATCGTTCAATATCACCGTCGATAAGGTCGCAGTTCAAACTGAGGTGACGACAGTTTGACAATGAATCAACAACCATAGCGTTGCTTCGGCTTGATATCAAGAATTTGAAAGACTTGGAAGCGATGGAGATCTCTCGAATGATGCGCAGTAAGCCGTCAGAGTCAGAAAGCTCATCGATGCCATCTATAACCATGAAAACGGTGGATAAGCAATTTCCAATGGTATTCAATGTCTTTTTCATTTGTTCCAGGGGAGGGTATCTAGACCGCAATTTGAGGCGGCTTAGAGTCTCGAACGTATCACTCAAGGCAGATCCCGACTTAGCTTGCCGGAGAACTTGGGACACAAGTCTACCAAGCAGCTTTCCAAGGCCATCCTTGTGTGTCTCTGGAGACCCGCAATAGTGATAAGCCACGCTCAACTCGTCCTTGTTTTCTGCAAGCTCCTGAAGGTAGTCGATAGCCATAGACCTGATAAAATGTTAGCCATCTACATTCCCAATTATTATAAGGGATTTCAAATATCCGAACCACTTGCATTAGAATCGTTTTTCCTGAGCCAGCTACAACGTAAAACATTAGCTCTCTCTGAATAGATAATATGTGTGATAGAGGTATGTACCTATGCCATCAAGCCAGAGGTTGGAGGAATCGTCCGATATCCAATTTATAAATTCAGAGCTGCTAAGAAACCATGTCCCTGTCTCCGGGTGTCTTGATTCCAGAGAGTCACTGTGAGCTGCTACTGTGGCATTCCCCAGCCAGTCGAAGATTTCGTCCTTCATCTTGCCTAAGATTTGTGTAAGAAATCCTACATACCCGTGAATATGCAACAGAGAATAAACTGCTTACCCTGTATTTGAGCCTCATGTTTATCTTCAAGACGTCTTTGTGCGGCTCCGATCGTCTCCAATTGATTCTTCATCAAAGAAGTAATCGGCCGGGATTCTTCTTCGCGTGCCCTGATAAATGTTATCGACTGCCGACATTTACTTGGGTATAATTAAGGCGTTCATACCAGCTGTTTATCTGAAAGGCTAGTATAAAAAAGGATTTGTAACGCTCTAGTTTGGCAGCGTGTTTGACAGCCTCTTTTAAAAAGACCTCACGGCGAAGAACCAGTTGGAAGGAGGGCGTGATGGATATCTTTTCTACCAACCTTTTCACATCTTCTAATATAGACTTGCAATCGTTGAGAGCAGTATAAAGATGCCCGGCTGGAGTCGTTGGTGATTGGTCCCTTTCTCTGAGCCTTGGTAGGTTCAGAGAGTATATGGAAAAAGGGGTTGAAGCTTGATGCTGTTCAAAATGTGACTGCACACCAACTAAGAGACCAGAAAAGCTGGAAACTTCATTTAGAAGCGAATTCAGCTCTTTCTCGGTATTGGTAAACCTGTCCGAGATTTGAAACCCTTTCGAGATGATGACTCCTGCAAGCGTTATCAGTCCAGCGACACTGGCGGTGATGGACAACGGATCCATTTTCAGATATTGCTGTTAGTTCATCACCTATGTAGAAGCCAAATATTCACTTCTAGGCAGCGTGAAGAATATATCTAGAGGACATGGGGGTGCTTGCTGGATAAATAGCATGCAGATCCCTCTAACAGCTGATGATTGTTGGCTGAGTAAATGCAGGACGCCTGGGAGCCTAGTTCGGCTGCAGCCTGCAATCTCTCCGCACTGACTCGTATCCAGCGTAATGCTGGTCAAAGGGGACCCTGCTATAGCCTTGTAAGATATCCATGATCGCATAGCGGATGAGATGGTTAAACCTCGAGAGCTCTAAGTCAGAGGTACGGGTTGTTGAACAACACTCACGATATTTAAATAATCCGTGCTTAACTAATGAGAGGAGGAGGGGGGGCGCGGGAAGAGGGGGCTTTTAATGGATATCCCGGCTGGCTTAGACTGGCGGAAATTTACCGTTATAAACTGGATAATGTTCAGGGGGATAAAGGAATTTGGTGCGAAAATTAGATATATCTCATTAGGTGCAAAGGACAGGCTCAAAATATATACTGGAAAACATCGGTCAGAAATCCCACCCAAGGAGAACGCATCCTAGCTTAGAGCTGAGAGCTGTGCAGAGAGGCTCCCCTTGTCATACTTGGCGTACTTCCCTCTTCCCTTGTCGATTTCATGGTATCTGTCCCAAAACCTCGCGTAAAGGGGCTCAATGACAGCCTGTACCTCGCGGGAGAGAGACGTGCGAACAGGCTTTTCCATGTTTAATGACTTATGTTTCGCGATCAGTTCGTCGAATGAAGAGTTGAAAGCCTTAAATTTATCTTTGATCACATCTCTATCCTTGGAGGAGAGTGACTTCACGATGGCGCTGGAATCGACGGGTCCTCCTGAGGTTGGTCGGGCACCGCCTCTGCTTGTATATTGTACGTCCAGTAGATGGGAGGACGGATCACGCCAAGCATCAAGGTATATCGACACACCCTTCTTGCGCCATACTTCAAGTTTGCTTGCGTTTTCTGGCGTTGACAAACAGTTCGATAGTTCTGGAGTACTGCGTATGACTCTGTCGACTATGTGAACATTATTAGCAATGAAGGCGCCAAGCGTGGCTTTGCTTTTATGCACCGCCCGGGCGCGAGCTTCAAGGGAAGAGAGAAGTGTGTCGATCATGTCGAGTATGAAATGGGATAGTAGGGTAGAGCTGTCTGGGCCCACGTCAAGAGGTGCGGTGTTCGGGACTGCAGAGGGTTTCCAGTTGCCGTCTCCTAGTGATGTGAGGATGGAAGCAAGAGGTTTGGAGTAAGCGGTTAGCGTGGATAGAGAGCTCATTACTTCGTTCACCAGTGGGACAGGTGAGCCGTCTTGGGGTAAGGTGGTAAGGGCTGCTGATCGGCGCTTGGTCTCTTCTAATAGTTCAGTCAGAGATGATTTGGCTGTTTCTCGTATGGGCCTTAGAGCTTCAAAAAATAGATTCTTAAGATCACCAGTCTTTGAATCTAGGCGGTATGATAGAGAAGTGACGATATCGATTATTTCAAAAGCAAGGAAACAATCGTTGATCAGGTTCGATTTGATATACATGTTTAGCTCTCGCATAGTTTTGGAGAATTCTGCCAGAGGGGGTCGACATGTTGCCTGCAGAGCCTTGCCTTGTTGGTCTGGAGGGAATATTTTGACGATGTTTTCATACTCTGAAACGAACATTCCTTCGATGACATTTGAGTACACGCCGATTCCATTGGTGCCTTGCTTGTAAGGACCGTCAACTGCCCTGCGTTTTGCCGTATTGATTGAAGCGGTAGCTAGGTTTTGCAAGCTGTTCGTCAAGTAAGGGCCTCGGACTTCCGCGTAGATAGAGATAGCTGGGTTTTCTATATGACCCTGCTGAGGGATGTGCTTGGAGGCAGCGGTAATTGCACCGGCAACGGGCGTAAGTTCGGAGAAAGCATCCTGGGACAGCAAAGGAAAGGGGAGTTCTATAGAAATATTAGCTGGGAAAAGTTGCACGTGTCTATGTTCTATCAAGGTGGGTACAGTAGCTCACGTTTAGTAAGGTAATGAAGTGGTTCGATAGTATTAGCTTCCGCTCTCAGGGTAGAGTGGAAGAGATCCTGGAGCTTACTGCTACCCGAGCTGAGCAGTGAGCTAAATTCAGAGACAGCCTTTTGGTTTGAGCGCAGTTTGGTAGCGCTCAGGTCTGTGAGTGCGAGGTCAATACGTTTTAACGCCCCAATGAATTGGGGCAAGCCAGCATTTTGCGGTCTATAGATGCTACGAGTTAGATCAAACAGATGGTAAAGAAGGTGATAGGTGAAATCCGTACCCAGCCCGTATGATACTCTCTTCCTGGCCCTTTACGTCTAACGGCCGGCGCATTCGCTCGATAGCATCGTTTACCCTATCGATATTTGTGTTGGTGGCATGTAGCGCCTGTGTGTTGCCATATATGGGGCCGATCGCATTCTTGACCACCTTTCCGCTAGCCTCTAGCCGAGATAAAGACCCTTGAATCCGTTTAGTGAGTGTGTTGAGCTTCTCGAGGTCCGCATAGAGCACTTCGACTTCTGCGCTTTCTTCGGCGTAGACGGCGTTTCGTGGAGCGCCCATTGCGCCGGCCTATCTGAAGAGTGTCAGTCATTGGCAGATGGGCGGCGATTCTCAGGACAAGATGGTAATACCGAACTCCCGCTCGATGGGTGCTCCTTAGTTCATCGGGGGGTAGCACAAGAGTCCCCTTTTCACATAGGGGGTAACGGCTAGTCCAACGGTCCGGAGGCGGGGAGTAACAACGGTCCTTCCGGCAAGATTTCACACCGAGAGCCGGCAACGACCTTTTGCCAGAGTCTTCCGTAGTAAGATATGGTAGTTGGAGGTCAAAACCGCGTCAAAAGATGGAAACACACAAGTGACCGGCGTGGACAAGCCGCATGATAAAGCGATGGAATGATATCATGGACGACTTTCCTTTTGCCAAGAGCCTCATACTGCCAAGACGTAATCTCCAGCTAGAGCCAATGATAAATAAATGAAGCTAGATAAGCCAATGAAATGCAATATCCTATAATTTGACAATCCAAGTTAGCCTTTTATTGGTGGAAATAATGAAAATACCCTGCCTCACGTGATATAGAGCTTAGGTATCTGTACCTAAGTGATAAGCGAGAGAGAAGCAGCGAGAAGTGGGAAAAATGACAAAACTCATATATCGGAGAAGACATGGGGAGGCCTCTATCTAACTAAGGGGAGAATATCTGATGCTGCAGTACTGCTAAACTGCAGCTTGGAACACCTGGGGCAACGTGAAACACTACAGAGTACGGAGTACTAGCTTGCTGAACCTGTATGTAAGTGCACTTGAGAACGTAACTATGACACCATGAATATTTGGCAAGATACGGTTGCCAAAAAAAAAAAAAAACAACCACCACTAAGAATCTTCGATTCAGCCATGATGAAGCGCCTATAATAGCCGTGATAAGCGCTGGGGTCGCTTCATGCCGGAATATCTAAGCGCCGACCGAAACTCAATTGCTGCCGCGGGCAAATGTTGGCCGGAAACCCCAAATCTCCCTGTCGAGACAACAGGATCTTTGCCAACCGGGACATGGCAGCTGCTTCAAAGTAGACATTGACTGTCATTAACCATCAATCGTGCTGTCATGGGCGCCGCTAGGTTCCTACAGGCGAGATGGCGACAGGCGCTGAAGGGAGCGCTATTCGTGTCCGGCAGTGCCTCCATTGCGCTGCTGGGGAAGCAGAGTGTCCGGTGTGATGCCGGACGCAGCACTGCGGTGTGGAATGCGAAGAAAACGCCTCAGACCCCAGAAGAGTCTGCACTGGATAAGCTAGTCAAGTCGGGGATACAGTCCGGAGAGAAGGAGAACAAGCATGATGCTGATGCCGGTGGCGACGCTGAGCCCAAGTCTGCATGGGAGACGATGACGGACAGGCTAGGGACTGCAGAGGGCTACTTCAGCTCTTCGGACTGGAGCGCAGACTGGTCGGCTGTCTTCAAGGACTATATCTCGCCTGGCTGGACCTTTTTCTCACCAGATATCCTTCGAAACCTGCAACGGGAGCTCTCAATGGCTCCCGGGTCCGTGGCCGACGATGTATGGAAAGAAGCCTGTGACCCTAGTTTCAACCCCAGCATTGTTGAAGAAGCCAGTGTTAGGATTGGAGGTACATTGTGCTCAGAGGAAGAAGCCTTTCTCTCGGACCGCCGTAAGGTTGTTGCAAGAAACCTCGCGTCTTACTTGGGCTTGCCGGAAGATGAAGTGCACCCTGATGACGTGCCTGTGATCGCCATGTGTGCTTCTGGAGGAGGACTGAGAGCTCTCATTGCCGGAACAGGATCGTACATGGCTGCCAAGGAAGCCGGGCTCTGGGACTGCTTGACGTATACTGCTGGCGTGAGCGGTTCATGCTGGCTGCAGACTCTCTTTAACTCGTCTATTGGCGGTCAGGACTTTGGTAAGATGATTGACCATCTCAAGGCAAGGCTTCACACGCATATTGCTTTCCCTCCAGAGGCACTTGATATCCTGACTACCCCGCCTACAAACAAATATCTCCTACGCGGTGTGATTGAGAAGCTCAAGGGAGACCCCAAAGCCGATTTTGGCCTCGTCGATGTATATGGTATATTGCTCGCAGCCAGACTCATGGTCCCCCAGGATACGGCTGCTTTGAACGACAGCGACCTGCAACTTTCTAGTCAACGCGCTGTGGTAAAAGGAGGGGCGAACCCGATGCCAATTTACACCGCAGTTCGACACGAAATACCCAAGCCATCCAAGCCGGGTGCTTCCGAAGACGAGCTGGAGGAAATATCCAAACGCGAGAGCTGGTTCCAGTGGTTCGAGTTTACCCCTTACGAGCTGTTCTGCGAGGAATTTGCTGCAGGTATCCCCACATGGGCCGTGGGTCGAAACTTCAAGAATGGGAAGGGCATTGCCGCCGCTCATGGATATGCTGTTCCTGAACTACGTGTTCCCGCGCTCATGGGAGTTTGGGGGAGTGCATTTTGCGCCACGCTAGCTCATTACTACAGGGAGATCCGACCCGCGTTCATGGGCCTCGCCGGATTCAGCAGCATCGACGCCCTGATCGAAGGTAAAAGCGAAGACCTCACTCGTGTCCACCCAATTGATCCTGCCACCGTACCAAATTTCGTCCTGGGAATGGAGGGCAAACTGCCTGATTCCTGTCCCGACTCTGTCTTCCAGGACTCCCACTTACGACTAATGGATGCGGGTATGAGTAACAATCTGCCTATCTATCCACTACTTCGGCCGGGACGTAATGTCGATCTCATCGTCGCATTTGATGTCTCAGCTGACAGCAAAGAAGCAAACTGGCTCTCCGTTGTTGATGGTTATGCTCATCAGCGAGGTATCAAGGGATGGCCCATCGGAGCTGGATGGCCAAAATCTAGTGCATCCCCCGAGGAAACGGCAGACATCATCGCCGAGGAAGCCCAATTAACAAAGGAAGAAGCGGATAAGAAAGTTGCTGCCGCTCAAAAGGCTAGCAAAGAACGCACTCCTGACTCACGTGGAAACGACCCCGACCTGACCTTCTGCAACATCTGGCTCGGCACCACAGAGGAGAGGATATCGTCCGCTGAACCCCCACCGTCCAAACGCCTGTTCCACGAAGCAGCTCTAAATGAAAAGGACTCCGAATTTCAACTCACACAGCCTCATGCTGGTATTGCAGTTGCTTATTTCCCCCTTTTGCCAAATCCTGCATGCCTAGCTCTGCCTGATCCCGATAAAGATGAGCCTGACGCGGAACGCAAGATCCTCGATCCGCTTGAGGAGGATTATCTGAGTACTTGGAACTTTATATATACCGCAGAGCAGATCGATTCCGCCGTCCATCTTGCCAAATGCAACTTTTCTGAAGGTGAGGACCAATTGAAGAGGGTTGTCAGGGGTATCTATGAGCGGAAAAAGAGAGAGCGGCTTCAGCGCGAGAAGGATACGGCTAGAACAAGTGCGAGCTATTTGGCATAGATGCTCGAAAATAGGTGTATATAGAAAAAGAAAACCAGCTACATATTTTTTTGATCCTCTGCCTTCACCTCCCTCCATACGCCTGTTCTTCGCTCAGGGCAAGACGGCCGGGGCCCAGGAACCATCACGTGACCATCTCGCAGCCTCCCAATTCTTCTTGTTGAAGTTACCAAAGAGAATTAAGAGAGAGCGAAGAGCAAAGCATGTCGACCAGAACAGTGGCCATAGACGGGCTATGGCTTTGCTTCCGGCCTTCGCTAGGCCGTTTGCTGTCTGAATCACCAAGACAGCGTTTTCCAGTTGACAATGACGCTCCGTCGCCGAGGCGCAGAGCTTTCCACTGCTCCCCCAGATCCGCATTCTCTGCGACATTCAATCAGCTGAGTATTGCTGAACCCGTCAGTTCCTCGATGCCAGGGTCATATACCGCAGAAGGTAGCCAGGGCAAGGAACAGACTGGCTCCAAGTCGAAATCAGCGTCCAGTCGTCATAGAACACCCCGACCGAGGGAACAGAAGACAGTAAGGAAGCTCTTACGGCAGAGCAAAATACCGTCGGATCTTAGCCAGAGAACGGAAGGAAATTTGGAGAATATACTGCAGAATGTAGTTGAAAAGCTACCCAACCATACTGCTGCTCTAGATGTTGTTACGGAGCTTGTACGGAGGAGGCATGTTCGCCCGCAGACTCGGCATTATCGTGCGATGATACTTGCGAATACTCAATGTATTCGAGGCTCAGCTAAGCAAGTAGAGGCACTGTTAAATGACATGAAGGAGAATGGAGTAGTGGTGGACTCAGGAACTTTGCATGCTGCATTAAAGGTGAGTTGCTGCAGAGTGTTGTCTTCTGTCTGTTGGTTAGAATAGCTTGCTGACAATATATACTCATCTGTTAGGCCCTGGCTGTACACCCCGATTATCTGCTTCGTTCCGAAATCATACGGAAACTCCGAGAGCGATGGATATCACTTAGTCCGACAGGTTGGCATAATATAGTGACGGGATATATTCGAGAAGGACAATTTGAAATGGCACTGGAGACTCTGGAGCACATGAAGTTGCAGCATGTGCCTGTCCAAGGCTGGCTTCACTCACTCCTCCTCTACAACCTTGCGGAATATGGAGAGTTCGAGGAAGTACTGCACTTGTTGCGATCTAGAGTTGAAGCTGGCCTGACACTATCGCCAAATCTATGGCACCGTTTACTGGACATCTCAAGTGCTGCGATGCATCCTGAATTGACCCAGTTTATCTGGGAACAACAGGTCGAGCTAGGCCATTTGAATCCACCATACGGTATCTGTGACAATGTGCTTGCTATCAGCGCTCGAACAGGCAACGCCAGACTGGCGGCGTCAGTGTTTAAGGTGTTAGGAAACCGCAATGGTGTACTAACCTTGAATGATTATGAATCACTTGTTGATACGTACGTTGAGTCTGGTGACGTCGAATCAGCGATTCGTATCCTCTGCAGCATGGACAGCAGCAGTATCGGAGTCAAAACCGGCTCTACTAGATCACTCCTATCCCATCTCATTATGGCCGGGTCAAAGCCGACGGATGTTTGGGATACGTTCAAGCGGATGAAAAAAGAGGAAGATCTAGTTTTCCCTCTGCCCCTTCTAAATGTTGCGCTGGAACTCTGTGCTCATCTAGGTGATGCGAAGACCGCATGGGACTTATACCGGGAACTTCATACCCTCTGCTCCTCTAGTGTGGAGACATCAACCTTCAACATCCTGTTCAAGGCATGCCGCGGGTCCAACGATGCTGATCTGGCCGGCTACTTTGTGCAAGAGATGATACAGATGAAGATACTTCCCGACCGCAAAACCTACGAGAATCTAGTCCTGCTTTGTGTTGAGATCTCTCGTTTCGAAACGGCATATAAATATCTCGTTGAAATGAGTGGCTCCGGATTCGAGTTGTCAAGACAAGCAAAGGAAGATATTCGCGCTAAGTGTGACGGACAGGAAGATCCACATGCCTCCAAGATTATCCATGACTCCGCTGTCCGCAAGCCGGCTTCTCGAGGCATCATAAGGCCCCATCGTGTACGGCGCTCGTTTACTATCCCGGCCAGGGGTAAAGGAGTGGAGCCAGAGGAGGTGAAAAGAATAGACGCAACGGGTCAGTACGAGCATGGGGACTAGACTTGGCTTCACCTATGTATATCACTGTGCAATATCCAATGTATTATAGCTATCTATCAAGCATCTTTAATGTAGTCTTGCATTATGTGTTTCTATAACCTCTAAGATAGGCCAAGCCTTGTGCCAAGCCTAGAAAGACTACGGGTGACATCATCCCGCATTCTTCTTCCTTGCTCGGACATCTTTAAATGCAGGACAAGACGACGATGGACGCCAGGGCAGACGTCAAATTGTAAAATTTACGGAGTACAATGGTGAGCGATACTCGATGGATGTCTATATCTGCGACATGTCTTCTAACCTCTCACGATAGGCCTCCGTTCTCCGGCGAATCGTGGCAGGTCCACGAAATCAGCACCCAGAGGCAAGCCTTGATCTGTGCTATGTTACCGATGACAGTAAGTAGATCATGTACCATACTTATATCTGGATCAATGCGCTCTATGCAGCGATGTACACCAATATACTAAACTATATCGCAGTAATAGCAACATCAGGCCCTTCGTCGACCTACCCTAAGCGCGCGTACCGAAACCCTACAGAAGATTTGGTCCGTTTCCTCGACTCAAAACACGGAGAAGATTGGTCGATATTTGAATTCCGCGCTGAAGGAACTGGATATCCTGATGATGAAGTATATGGGAGGATTCACCATTTCCCATGGCCGGACCATCACCCACCGCCGTTCGGACTGATACCCTCACTCATGGCCAGCATGCGAAATTGGATAAATGGCGTGGGGAAAGGTAAAAGGATCGCCGTGGTACACTGCAAAGCAGGCAAAGGTAGAAGTGGAACTGTTGCCTGCAGCTATCTGATCAGTGAACAGGGCTGGAGCGCAGAAGATGCGATGAAACAGTTCACGGAGCGCAGGATGAGGGCTGGATTTGGCGCCGGCGTGAGCATACCCAGTCAAGTTCGGTGGGTGAACTATGTTGAACGATGGAAAAATGTGTTCAGCAAGATATATGTCGAACGACCTGTTGAGATTGTTGAGATTCATATCTGGGGTTTGAGGAAGGGACTTAAAATCGATGTAGAAGGATTTGTGGATGAAGGCCGAAAGATAAAACGCTTCCATCGGTTCGGCAAAGATGAGTTCTTCTACCAGAATGGCGGCAGTGTACCGCAAGATACCTCCTCTTCTGGAGAGGAAGAGCAAGACAAGGGAGCGGATAAGCCAGACGTTTTGTCCTCAAACGCATCGTCTACTCCAGTCCAGTCTGCTCGGGAACTCACAGAGCCGGAGCCTGTGACTGAAGCAGCGTGGTCGGCTCTCGCCTCTGCTCCGGCTGATTCAACGGACAATGTCGTTCTTCGGCCCAAAAACCCAGTCATTGTTCCGACCTCAGATGTGAACATCGACTTTGAACGGCGGGCCGTGGTATCATACACAGATTGGTCTATGATAACATCTGTCGGCCACGTATGGTTCAACGCCTATTTCGAAGGTGGCCATGACCACGACTCCGGGGTATTTGAAATCGACTGGGAGGCTATGGATGGTATCAAGGGAACCTCGAGGAAAGGTATACGATCTCTCGAGCGTCTCAAGGTCGTCTGGCGGTACCATAAACCAGCCAAGGAAGAGGAATCGCCTTCAGTAGGTAAAGAGCCTGAAGCTCAGGTGCCAGGCGCTCCTCCGCCTGGAAAGGTCATATCCGAGCCCGGCCCTGGGGAAGAGGTACCCGAAGGCCGTGCTGCGGATTGGCGGGGACAGGAAGAAGACGTTGAGGGCGGGGAAGAGAGAGAGCTGCTTGAGCCACGGCGTCAGCAGGAAGGCGAGAAAAAGGAGAGCGATTCCACTGCTGCCGAGTCGACGCCGAAGGGGTGAATTAGATTCAGGATTAAATGTGGTATATATAGGGGTTAATTGGGCATGCTGTTGGTCCCAGGATTGTTTCGGTTGCTAACATTATTATATATAATAGAGACGGATGAAGTTTGGTATGTAAATAGATAAAGAGACAAGAATATCATGAGGCATTTCTTCTTAGTTTTAGCCTGCTCGAGCTAATGGTATTTCTATCTTCCTCTAAACGCAGCAGTGATCCGAGTTATAGATTCCGACCTATAGTATACATCCTCTTCTGAGCCGTATAACTCCCGCTAGCCCTAGTCTCGTTATACATGTTCGTTGGGTTGGTAGTTAACCGTAGAAGTTGGTGTTTGGTACTCGTTGATCGTAATTCGATATGAAGAAGGCACGTTGTTGGTTGCTTTGCTTGCGTGGGTGTGCGCATGCGTTTCCATTATGATATTGAAGAGATGATTCGAAGATCGAAAATTGTGATATCCCAACAGCCATGTTTTATCTCCCCCTGCCACGTCCTCTGCCGCCGCGGCCACCACGCCCTCCACGGTCACCTCGTCCTGAATCCCTGTGCTGCCTGTCGCCTCCACGATTCCGTCCTGATTGCTGGCTCTGTTGTTGGTCTCTGGCTAAATCAACCACTTCTTCTGGGACTCGGAGGTATTTTATCTGTAGACAGATACATATCAATGGTCAGTTGGTGTCCAACAGCAGATATGGTGCGTTCATATTGACATACGTTATTTCCCCGAACATAAACTTCGGGTAGTCTGAAGAAACGGTCGCCCTCGGGACTTGTTTGCACCACCTCCTTCAACGTCAAGTTCATCCAGTTGTCACAGTTCACGAGGTGACCGTTTAGTGTTTCTCCATTCTTCAACTCCACGAGCATTGGGTGGCCTTGCGCCGCGGTTAAAAGCCCAAGGGGCAGCTGCATTAAGAGCCGGATTAGCAATGTAACTAGAGAAGATATAGAGAAGCGGTTCGCGCAGGACCTACCATTGTGATAATGAGGTAGGATCACAGGGTATGGGGTAGAGGGGATGGATCTGGGCTCTTTTGATACAAGAGTCCTTCGCAGTGAAGTTCAGGGCCCGGTAACCAAGTAAACCGCAAGCCCGCTTAAGAAATCAAGCCAAAATATCAGCTGTCCACAGGGCCCCTATGCCTTGCGCTTCCTGTGTCTGTTTTACTACCATCTGTTGCTTCATTGCTTCAGCATCAAAAGAAACCAAAAGGCCGCGATCCCAGATTGGGTCACGTGAAACAAGCTGCTTGCCCTAGTTTTGCTTATATAATCAACTAAAATAAATAAGAAAAAAAAATTCGAAGTTTTTTTTTTTTCTTTCAACTCAACTTCAATTTCAACTCCACGAGGCTGAATACTTGATGAAACAGCCTCACTGCCTTCAGGTTGGCCTCGCGGATGGTTCATTGGTGGTGTGATGTGGTTTTCTGCAGACACATCCAGTTTCAATGGAGCAGTCTGCAGTCTGTCACCATGAAAGATGAGACTCTATCTGATCCGTCACGCTGAGAGCGAACACAATGTGGCCCAAGTCTAGTACGAAGAAGACACAAGTTTCGTTTCCGTTCCATGGGCTCAATGCTTACCTTCATTCTTGTTGGCAGCGCGGGCGTCACGGACTCGGCATTGACGAACCATGGGATGCTTCAAGTCGAGAAGCTAGCGGGATACCTTAGCCAGCAGGGTGTGTGTTTCACTCGCGTCTTCTGCTCTCCCTTGCAACGTGCTCGGGCTACAGCTGATGCATTGAAAAGCACTCATGGCGATACGATGGGAAAACCGTTCGTCATTCCTTGTCTTCGCGAGAAGGACTATGGGTCGCTCGAAGGCAAGTCGTGGGTGTCCCCCAACGTCAATGTCAAGGAGAAGCATGACGGCTTTGCCCCTGCAGAGACTTTCGATGAATTATTTTCAAGAGCAAAGGAGTTTGTTAAGGACTTCTTGTTGCCTCTTCTACGTGATGGCAGCGACAACCATACAGTCGCTGTCGTGTCTCACGGAGTCATCCTGTCTGTCATCTGGCGAACACTGAAACAAATGCGTGTCCCACCATGCTCGTCTTCTAGCTCTCATGGTATCCCGGGAGACCCTTTGGTTATGTGGTCAAACACAGGTTACCTGGAACTCGATCTTAGCATGGCAATGGCCACTGACCAGAACCGGACGGCCTTATCCAACCTTGAAATATCCGTGTTGGCCATTAACAGTCGTCAGCATCTAACTAACTTGAAGCGCACTCGGGGCATCGGCAACTCCAAACACGACCCAAAACAACAAAAGCTGGAATCTTTTTTTCACCGTCGACAATGAACGATGAATTTCCCAAAAAAGGTATGTTGTCTCTAGTTATATTTACCCTCCTTCATACCACTATATATGATGAATACAATACACAGACCTGATCCGAACATTTAATGTGGATACCGTATTGTTGCCTTCCTTCTGATATCATTTTCCCTTTCACCATGGTTATTATATCAATATTACTACATTGATCAATAGCTAACTGCTTTAGTTTCAGGGCTTATGCTAAGAGCTTGAATATTTCTTGCACCAATACGCAGTACATGTATTTTATTTATTAGTGCAAGTAGCAAGCAGATTAACTACTTCTGAATTCTATGACGTCATAATAAATGAAAGTTTATATATTCACACGTACCTCGCAGCTGTGCATCACGTCGGTCTACTCTAAATAGGCATACACTGCGGCAACATGGCTTCGTCAGGGAAGGAGACACCGGAGGGTGACTCCATGTTGTTGATAGGGCTCCCGGAAGGCACACCCCAGATCCAATATACCGATATGAATCAACTCTACAACTCGGTGGAGAGACGGGCAGCGGCGTGTTGCTCAGATGACACATTGAGCCCCTTCATTGTTGTGCGAGATATACCGCGTGCCATTCTCCAAGATCTCGACGATAAATACCCGGACAAACCTCCAAAGGTCAGTGGAGATATCCCTGGAAATATAATAGTTGTCGAGGTTATGGCTAAGCCGCCTCATGAAACTGCAGCGTGGGCGTTGACGGGCTATATTGACCATGAAGTTATCAATATGGACCTTCATGAAGATATAATTATTACTGGGGCTAGTAGAGTAGAGAATGAAGACAAGAGTTTTGTCAAAGGTCCTGACGGTAGCTTCACGCTCTGGCACCACCACTGGCCCATTTTAGCTATCGAAGCTGGGCCTTCAGAGACAGAAGCCAGGCTGGTCATTGACGCAAGACGATGGTTGGAAGCAAGAGGCTCCGAGACAGAAACTGTCATCACAGTAAAAGTTGACCGGGAGCATCCTCATATATCTTTCAAGAGATGGCAACACTCCGAGCCGCAGAGAGTCACGCGGTCAACTCAACAACCGGCCAAGGTAGTCGAGCAAGTGGACGTCTCTTACCACAACTCCGTCACCAATGCTACAGGGGAAATGGTTATATCATTTCGGGCCATCGCCGGTCGTGAGCCGCAGAGCTCCAAGGAAAAGAACATTGTCATTACAAAGAGTATTTGTGAAAACATAGCTAGGAGGGTGTGGGTAGCTCAGGAATTTCTGTAACGTAAATTATATCACCCGGAAGGAAGCCAGCATTCAACTTACTCATTTCCTGCGATATATAACCCTGCTCTCATCCTCTTCGCTCCACCATCCACGCCCACCCTCCAAATAAATCTCAGTCCTCCGTTGGTGGGATCGAAGTACCTTCTCTCTCATGTCCCGCGCAACCTCGGGTGGTTCACGCGGCGGTGGCTGCCATGGAACTCGGAGCAAGCCCCAATTCGAAAGCCTGCTGTAATCCCACATGACGTATCCCCTTTCGCGGAGAGGGATATGGTCATCAGCCATCACAAAATTATAACTAGACATCGCTAGATGAGTGGCCCTCCACACCTCAGCCGGGCCTCGATCGTCACGTACTCCGGGTTTTTGGATGTCATGTTTCAGCCGCTCTCCACTATACCTTGATAACGGAACACGGTCTATATATGGAGGCTTATGTTGCTTAAGTGCGCGGTCAATCGAAGCTAGCTGAACGTTACGATGGGGATTGAGCAGTTCTCGACGATGTTCGAACTTCTGTGTCCCGCCGAGACGAAAAATAAAGTGCAGACCGAGCGATATCTAGAAAAGCGTATTTGTTAGCATATTGGGGGAATGGAAGGAAGTGGTTCATCCGCTGAGCAAATTAGTGTTGGAGACGGAGACGTACATAGTTGCATCTGAACCTGTTGATCGACAAAGCTTTGTATCCTTCATTATATTTAATCCCCCATTCACCCCACTCCACATCGTGTGCAGCAACATCGTTAAACGCTGTATGTAAAGTAAGCCTGAGAAAAAGCAAATGATTATTATTGCGAGTTGTTTCCAAGACTCACCTTCGTCGACTATCCTTAGCAGAAAATCCTGGATACAGATGATTTGTTCGTTCTCCCATGGAGCAAAATGATCAAAGTAAAGCTTGGAATGGTGCTGGAGGGTGATTGCTAGCTGTGGGTGTCTTTGAGATCGATCTTTTTTCTCCAATCTTTTGAATAATTTCCAGTAAAGCTCAAATCTGTACAGGGCCCGCTGGATACGGTACTGTTCTCTTTTTGTGACGAGCCACGGGGGTTTTACCTCATCTCCAGTGATAGGGTGTTTAGACAGTGCAGTAGAGATGAAGATTTGGGTAAACCTTTGGATAAGCTGATGATATTTCTCCAGTGCTGTAGCTTCACTTAATGAAAACCTTGGTCGCGGCCCCATGTTTCCCTTCAGCGATGTAAAGTAGCGACCAAGAAGTTCTTGGACGATTTCAGCATTGGTAGTCGGTAGTCTTGAGGCTTCGAAGAAAGTAATCGCTTCGGGGAACACCTCATCGGGAATAACCGACTCCAGAATCCGGTCGATGATCCCTTGTGGATGGTATAACACAAGGTCTTTAAATGTCCTGCATGTCACAGCAATATATTCCAAAGTGCGAAAGCTATCAAGCTGGGAGAGGATAATCTCTTGGATTTCGACGGGGAGGGAGGTAAGAGTTGGGTGGTTTTCTTGTCCCGGGCAAGCGGGAGAGGTATCCATGGCTGATCGAGTAGTTAAGGCTTCTGCAACTCTTTCAAAACAATTGTTTATGTGTATTCACAACTACATAGAGCAAAACATGTAAAAACAGCTTTGCAGGAGTTGAATTTGGCTTGGGAGTCATGATAAATACAAAGTTTGGCCTAAGGCCCACAGCCGCTCGGTCCCCGCCAGGGCAGCCGCCCCGCAGCCGCCGGGTCCACTTAGCTCGTGTAACGAGCCTTCTAATTGGCTAGTTCGCTGGTGCTCTCTTTTAGTATCGTTTCACAGTTGACAACGTTGACCATCCTATTTTCTTCTATTTCTGACCCTGCGAAGTTCCTCTTCACCCAACCGCTGCCTGCCTGTAATATACATCAACTAAATTAGCTGCTGCATAGCCCACTCGCTGTCTCATAAATGAGCATCTTATATAGTGACAGAGGGTTCTTTATCTGCGATTGCTCTCCAGAGTAGCCACGATTTCTGCCTATGGCTCATTATACATTGCTGCAATCTGAGGGTCTTCTATTATTTAAAGCCCAGGAGTTAGTTATATACCCCCGATATCCGTCAGTCTTTATAGAGGTTTTATGGTATGATACGAAGAACCTACTCAGCTACCCGCTGGGGTTGCCATACACATCCCGCCCCTTGGGTATTATTCAACTCACGAAAAGTTATGCAAGATTGGGACTGTTTGATTGCTGTTCTCCCAGAAGGTTCAATAGCTACCCTCCTATCCCCAGGGACTTGGTGCAATGCACGTTGCCGGAATTGGGCGCCTATGAAAGCAATTCGGCGGCAGAATACTCAAATATTTACAGTTATCTAAACGATTCTTATGGGGAAGACGCCGATGCAAGCCAGAATGAGGTTCTTGGGGATTTAGCGGCCAATTCTAAAAGGCATTTTCAGTGGTGAATTTCGCATGTGTCGTTAAACTTTGCCCCTTTTCTCTCTTAATTTCTCATTACATTATTTCTAGAAAATAATGCTAGTTACAGGATGTTTCATATGTTATATTTATCTTATACTTCGACGTACATCACACAATGGTTCAACTATTATATATGGATGTATCTGAAGTCGATGTAGCAAGCTAAAGCCTTATATTTGCTGTTGTGCCTTAACTCTATACTACTAATAATGAGGAAGGTTTCCTAATTTCATCTGAGTACATACTTTTATTCACACTGCCTTGATAAAAGAGAACCCGCCCGTAACAACTCTTGCGACGATGTAAAAGACCACGCATCCGGCCATCATCAACCCAGCAAAAACCTGCAGGCCCCAGTATGCCCCATTCTGCTGGTTTAAGATTGCTCCTGCAATTGGGTTACCAGTGAGTGTTGCAACACTGACACAAGTGAATAACACACCCTGGCGAACTCCAATCTTGCTCACATCAGGGGAGACTTGGCTGAGGAGTGCAGGCACCATGCCGACAAAGGCACCTGAGAAGAAGCCGTATAAAAGGCAGAAGACTATATATATTGCGGCAGAACCTGGGTTCACGAGTGTTCCTGGCAGCCAGAGGGCGAGGATAGCTATGGAAGAGAGCCCACACATACCAATCATTACATTGAATCGGCCCCATATGTCACCGAGATAGCCCGGTAGTATACGACCGGGAAGACTGCCTGAGAATTAGCATGGGAAGAACATATTCAGACCAACGAAGACGGGAAACCTTTACCTCGCAGCATTAAGTATGGTAAGCAGGTATCCAGCCAGATTAGGGTCTACTCCGCTTGTCTGAGCTTCTAGGATGACGTAGTTTATCGGTACAAAAGTCGCAAAGAAGCCAAGGCAAGATCCCACTGTGAGCAGGACAAAAGGTACCTCCGAGAATGGACTGATGTAGTCGTGGAACTTGACCGGCCGAGGCACAGGAGCAACTCTAGACCGAATGGTCAAGTTGGCGATTACAAGCAGCACGAAAACCAGAAACCCAACTACCCTGAGAGTCCATCCAAATCCGATGCCGGGTAACAGCCGGGACAGGATGATGGGGAATATGGCTCCACCGAACGAAGAGCCGCTGGAAACAAGGCCGAATGCCAGGGCTCGCCTTTTATCAAACCAAGTTGCTGTCGATGCAATTGACGAGTAAAATGTGAGACTGGCGCCCAAGGAACCACATATGCCCTGAGCAAGAATGAATTGGTAGTATTCGTTTGAGATGGAGGTCATCATCAGTCCGAGGACCTGTAGCACCGTACCAATGAGGAGAAGCAGTTTTGGCCCATAGTTGTCGAATATCTAGTCTAGTGTTAAAACGGGGAGGGGTTCAAGTCAAGTATAAGGCTAAATGGGAGGGAGGTACGCAACCCTTCCGATAATGAGACCGGCAGCAAAGAGCACGAACGGCTGTAAGGATAGAATCCAAGAGATGCTGGAGGTAGAGTAGGACTGCAGCTGGTGGGACTGATAGTACTCTTGAAATACCCCAATGGCTATATAAATACCGTGTTAGCCGTGTGTATCTCTATAATTATATGTTGGGTAACTAAGGGAAAGGAGCAACTCACCGTTGACCCAGCCAAAACCACATAGATTGACGCACCAGGCGCCCACGACAACTGTCCAGGCGCGTAGGCCTTGGTCTGTATCCCCGGTAGCTTCGAGCTGGACGGGTGTTCCATCTGCCACGATGGTAGTGGGAACTTCTGGATTTGCCTTGTCTGTTGGCTCGCCCATACTAGCCAGTTAAATGCTGATGACCTGGTTCAATAATCGAATTTACCGATGTTGATAACTACTTGATAGTTATTTCATGGACTGTTCAAGCCATACTTTTCAGCCTAGCCGAGGAAGAAGGAATTTGACCAGGAAAAAGCAGCCATGAGAGAGAAGAGCAGCAAGCTCTCTTCCCAATGGCTCAAATGATTGGTTCTAGCCGATGATTGACGGGCGAGCTCCCCGGGTGCTTTGTCGTTTGCCTTCTGTTTTCGGGTTGCTAACTCGGTCGAGTCATGTAAGATGCAGGAATCCATTGGTTCTGACAGGCTCGTCAAGACGATGATCTTTGGGGCGATGCAACCAGTTAACTTTCAGATTGCAGCAGCAAACAGATGGTAACTCAATGGAGAGATTTCATGCTGCTTGGTTAACCACTCCCACACTTCTGCTGTATGACTGTTCTTCCACGCGATTTCCATTACAACATCCATGACTCTGAAGGTTGAAATGCTGGGCTTTCACGCTCGGAAGACGGGGACTCAGTCGCGAGTCAGTTAAGGTTGGACGGGACTCTGCCGAGTTGCCGAAAGCTTGTTTAACGGCATAGAACTAGGAACACCGAGTCAGATAACTAACGCTGGGAGGACTCGCAGTCATTTATAGATCCAACACTTCTCCAAAAACCAGTAGTTAACGGACTGCTAAGGTCCCTTGGATACCTACTGTTAACTGGTTAGTCAAGCAAGCCAAAGGAAAGGAAGTCGTAATGCGTTTCCGAGTCCTAGCATTTTGGACCCTGGTAATATTGGTGCCTGTTTGGACGCTGTGAGTAGAAGCACTCCAACTCCTGTTTATAGCCCGGCTCAACTGCTCATACTTTATTCCAGCCTCTGTATTATTGGGAATAAGAGGCCAATTACGATGAACTGGTTTACTTCGCGCTCAGAATCAAGCCACACAGAACCATCCGAGGAGTTCATCAATCCTGCTCGCCCCGACCCTCAACCAAGATATCGGCTCGAGTTCATGCAAAATGGCGCCTTGGTCAAAGCCTGGCCTTCAAGGGATCCCACGTATCCAAAGAGATGCGGAGGGGGTAAATGGATAAAGCTTGCGACCATCCCAGAGCTCGACTTTCTCGGCCTCGATCGTTTCCAGCAGAGAGAAGCATCAACTGATAAGACCAAGGAGGATGCCTTTGCGGAAAAGATGCGTTTAATCGGCGCAAGGTGGCAGGCACATTATCCAGATAATCACACAATAGACTTTGGGGAGAGGGAAAAAGTGGCCTTGTATGGATGGCCTTCTGCTGGCGGGTTATGGGTGTATCCATATGATGCCTCGGACCCTGTTAAGCTCCGTACCTTCATCAAGCTCTCTGGGATGTTGAGGTTGGCTGTTACTATGGATGAGCAGTCTCGGCTTTTGAAAGACCATGGCGCACAGTTTTATGAAGATCCTAGAGAATATCCTCCGTTTGCTGACCTGAAGGCTCTCAAGGGAAGGGAGTAGGATACAGCCAAGGAAGCTGAGAGACAACTATTCCCTAGAGCCAAGGTTATGCAAGTTCGGATAACCAGATCTATACGGAGTAGAGGAGACAGAAACAGGGGCGGAAAGCTCCAACAGCCCATTATCTATTATTGAGATTGCAAGGCGGAAAATTCGGCACAGTAGAATCGCTGGCCCTTTTTCTTCTGTAATGGCGGCCCGCTACAATTAGAACGAGCCTAGGAGAGGTCTTTTCTTCAAGATGGAGAAGGGCTGATCCTTTAGTTCTATCTTGTAGCTCTTCTTCTTCTTCTTCTTCTTCTTTTTCCCGTACTCCGTAGAGTCCTGAGAGTTGCCGCAAGAGCGTCCAAGTTACTTAGGGAACGAAGGTAAAAAGGGGGAACTTTATTTTTGTGATGCATAAAAGGTTGTCTTAGGGCTAGGGCTTGATAAAATCACCTGACCAACACAACAAAGGAGGCTTATTAAGCATAGGCTAGTTATTTCGTCCACTTAAATTCACACAAAAAACTTCAAGAACTTCGAGAACTTGACCTTTTGTTTTTCTGCCGTCGTATTTTTGACGCGTTTTATCTTGCTGTGCCCCAGACCCTGCCCCAGACCGTTGAGCCCTTGCCCCGGAACATCACCTTGCTGAAGAGCCATATCGTTAATATCTACTTTAAACATGGAGTTCAAGTTTGACTTTCCCATAGCATCGAGCCCGGTCCCCAGCAGCTCCTTCAGCCAGCTCACCAGCGTGTCTTTCGGAGAGGCGGAAGATCTTGATCGTCAATGCAGGGAGCGGTTCCAAAAATATGTCCCTGTTAATGCCCAGGACGACGTTGTCCGTCTGCTCGCTGCATTTATGGATCATCTCCCAAAAGATGGCTCCGTGAGGTTGATGCAGGATATAATAGCTCTAGATGGCGATAGTAAACTTCGCCAGCTCAGAAACCATCTCGTGGATGCCGTGCTAAAGTCCAGTGAGTACTCCGTATATATATCTGCTATTTAAGGGAGAGCTACATTTATTCAGGCTAACGCTGTTTCAGTGCAAGCACCAGGTGGAAAAACTCCTGCTCCCACCCCATCTCCCTGTGTCGACACTCAAGTGCAAATTGAATCTCTTGTCGTAACATCAATGAATCCATCCTCTCGCAGCGAACAGTCTATACTCAAAAAGGACTGTCTTAAGAGGGACGGCTATCGGTGTCAGGCTACCGGTCTTTGGGACGACCGGTCCGTCGAAAGAGGACTCATAATTCCTAACGATCATAAGGCCTTAACAACTACTGAAACTGCGCATATCCTTCCTTTTTCTTTGGGGAAGTTTGACGGGGATAAAGCCATCGAGGTTAGTGCTTTCTCATACTTAATAGCTCTATACGCGGTATTCTAATTAAAACGTCTAGACTGAGAACAAGGCAAGAATTTGGCAATGTCTATACAGGTACTTTCCGGGCTTACACAGAGTGCTCTCCCCGGAAACCATCAATACCCCTGCGAATGCTATCACACTCGACCACTCTCTCCACCCTCAGTTCGGCTCTTTCAACCTTACTTTCAAAGAAACAGTTAGTACTCCGTACAATATTTCCATTGAGTATGAGTGCTGGATAACTAACAGGTATCGCCATAATAGGACGACGCTCATGTTTACAAAATCATAAAACACACCCAGGCAAATCACATTGCGTTCTTTTTCCTCCCTAGCAACGGTTTAATGGCTCTTCGTTGCGAGGATAGTTCAGTCCTAATGCCAAGCCCATTTCTTCTCTCAGTACATGCGAGAGTTGGAAAAATATTAAAAGTAAGTGGGCTAAAGGACCGACTCGAGAAAATTATGTATACCTTATTCCTCCCTTCTGAAGTTGATCCTAGTGGATCTACCGATCTAGGGACGATCGTGTCCAATAGGCTGCTTATACTAACGGACGTTTAAGAGACTGTCTTAGTATTGTTAGAGCATAGTGGCTTCGGCATCATTTCATCAGCATTGACTCCACCTTCAACTTGAGTGTTTTAAGTGTCGGCATTTTTCATACTGCATCATCGGAACAGAACGCGCTAAATGTTTATCTCCATGTTTGTCATTTCAATTCATGTTTTCTCCCTTTGCATGCACTTTGAACATGTATTGCAGCAGAGTCTCTCTAAAGAGCCTAATTTCATAAAACTTGTGCCCTGGGATGTGTTAAACATGGCCAATCCTAGACCTCCCGAATTACATCCCAAATTAATAGTAAGGAGTTTTGCTACTGTATAGCGTAGACTCTAGAGAAACGTGTCTAACTCCCTAACCCTAATGCGTGTATATATATACTCCAACTTATATATAGTTATTCATTCTTGACTCTTGAGACAGGACTGTAGTGCTCCAATTTATCCAATTGTATGAAATCAGGATCCATTTGAACCTTTGACATATGGCGCCTTGTAGTCGTATGGAGGAGACTGTCCGTTGTAAAAGGGGTCAAATGTGAGGAGGGTGAAGCCTGGATCCAGGGCAGCAATACCAGATGGCCAACAAGGGTTAGCCTCCAACCCATCTCTATATGGTGGATTTGCCGAATGACCCCATGAGGTGAAACTGAACTCGGGTCGCGTGGGAACGTCGACGAGCGCCATCGTCTGCGTCAAATCCCCAGCCCTTAAGACCCTCCTATTGACCCCTGACGCCCGCTCGACCTTCCTTCTAAATTCTTGATCAGAGAGAGCCTTGACTGGGCCGATGAAGCAAGCTCCTGACCATATCTGGCCGCCTCCTCCATTTTCTCTGCCAGGAAGCCATCTTATCAGTTGTCCCTGGGCATTCAATCCACTGTTTGTGCGCGCCGGATCGTTGGGACCGAGGAAGTAAGCTGGTGGATACTCATCTCTCTGACACTTAGTTTGGGCGCGGTTGGCTCCGTCCTGCCACCCGGCACCGCTATGCTGTGAAGACCATGCTGCGACTGCACTGCCTTCCTTCCGATCGTTGGCGGTGACGGCGGCTTCGGGGGGGCAGGTCAGCGTTGCCCAGTGCGGATTGACTCGAATGGCTGAGCTGTAGTGAAAACAGGCTTGTGATAAGGATTTAGCACAATCTGCTGTTGTTGCAGTGGGCGTTGGTCCGTATGAAATCGATGTGATAATTAACTCCTGCCTTACTGTTCTGCTGGAGACACATGACTGCACTCGGATTGTATTCTTGGCTCTGCCGAGGCGCACCGTTTCCTTACTAGGTGGGATATAGCATCTCTTCTTTTTCGGCCCTGTGGGTTTGGGCTTAGTAGGCGCCTTAGGCCGGGGCTGCGTGGGAGTTCTCGGGTTACCCTCATCACCCTTTTTACCACTTCCCCGGCCAATATTTTTTGGCTTTCGGAAGCTTGATATTCCCTCTGCCACTCCGCTGAGGATATCGAAGGCCTTCTTAAGGTCGTCTGGCACAAGGTCAGATCCGCCACATGGGCTTAACCACCACTCAAACGCGCCGGCAGGGTCTTCCGTCTCAGAATAAACGTATGAAGCCAATTGTGCAGCTGTCATAACGGCATCTACTCCCTATTGTTAGCATCAATAGATAGAAGAAGAAGAATGGTGGGGGGGGGGGGGGGGGTGGGGCATAACATCCTACCCAAACCAGCACTGATGGCTCTCCCCGCAGGAGGAATAATCGCCGTGCCTATATCTATCACCAATTTGATAGTTGATAAAAGAATATAGCAGCCGATCTAGTACAGTTAGTAATGTTCCCCTCCGTGGCTAAATGGAGTTAAACGACGTACCTGACCGATGGCTGGCAACGCTTCCAAAAAAGTTGTTGCAAGTTCATTGAGAAATACACTATCACATAGGCACATCCCATCAGCAACTTCATGCATACTCGAAGGATCTCTTACCCAGGGCACTTCCTTCTCAAGGGGCCAAAAGCCTAGGCAGCCCACGTTGTACATTCTACCGGCTTCTTTGGCGGCGTCAATTTCTGGTTTGCATGCACGGCTGCATTGTTCCAGGCCTATATGGTCATATGGGGCATCTTTGTAGACAAAACATCTATGTGAGTTTTGCCACCTAGCGTCGGATGTATTGAAGGCATCAGGGTTATCGCCAACCATTTCTGGTCCATCGTTGCTCCAATCAACTGGGGTTATGCATATATCGCCTGGACAGAAACCATACTTGCAGGAGAATATGCAAAGGCGGGTCATTTCCACGTCATTTTCGTCCTCGGCTACAACGTTGACCCCAGAATGTTCTTTCGGCAGGTTCCTTAACGGGCCCATCTCTAGACATGTACACAGACTTTCGGGGCAGAACCCCAAGTAGCAGGAGTATTCACAGAGGGATCCAGTATCAAGTGTTTTATCCCCTCCCCGAATACAGCCCATCCCGGATGAGGCCCTCTCAGGGGTCGATTCATAATCGGTAGATGTGAAAGACTGTAGGTCAACAGCCCAATCAATACTACCAGCAAAATTCAGGTCCTTCCAATCAGCGCGCCGTGTATCCTTAGTGACAGGCGTCATATAGCTGATATAGTCACCTATTATATATCCAAAGTGTGTTAACACTATGCTAGAAGAGGGGGATAAGACAGAGTCAACAAACCTTTATAAAGCATAACATCCGTGTTAGAGGCATCGTCATGGAACACATTAACACCATCACCACGCTTGATGATCTCGTTAATCTCTGCAAAAGAGATATAACCTGCAGTCTTAGTACATCGGCCCGGTTGCGCATCTGACTGGGTTCTAGAGCCAGTGAATTCACATAATGGTCCCCAGCAGCCGTCTTGGGCCATATGGAATGATCTACCATAGCTAGATTCACCAACAAAAATCTTATTGTTAGGTACACCTGCTTTGGTAACTATAACCTTATATTAGCACTTATGTGTAAAAAAAGGGATAAATTTAACGTACTCATAGAAAGAGCATTGCGTGTCTCCGTCAAGTTAACTAGCACTCAAACGTTAGTAGCAAAATATATAAATCACGGGTAAGGAAGGACGGGTTCCTACCATGGCTTCGGATACATTTTCCTGACGGACACATATCGAATGCATTTGCATTACCATAGTCCCACTGACCGTGTAGGTCGTAGGTCATATAGACGATATAGTCTATAGCTCTGGCGATTGTATCAATAGGAAATGCCTTCAGATACCAAAATGACGCAGGGGCTGCAATTGATACTGATTTATCTGGGCCCATTTTTTGCTTCAGGACAGTAAGAAACCTGAGATAGGAAAGACCATCACGCTTTTCGCCAATTGGTTTACCACCAACCGTGATGTCTGGTGCCTAATAAAAATAGTTAAGACGAGTATCAGTGTAAGAAGTAAAGTTAGGACTCACTCCCGGGTACTCCCAGTCAATATCGATACCATCAATGCCCTCATCTTCAGCAAATTGGGCGAGGTTGCTGGCGAATGTGTCTCGATTGGTAATAATAGCAGAGCGTAGGATATTATACGTAGCAGCGTCGGTTGAATATGCCCAACCGCCAAATGAGACAATACGTTTAACATTTGGCAGAGCTTTGAATTCCTCCCATTGCTCTTTGGATTCCTTGATAATTGGCTTGAAAGTGTTAGGGTCAATTTCAGCAAAACCCCAGTGCATATGGGTATAGGATCCGTCAGTATTGGCATCTTTTGCCTTTAACTTTAAACAATCACGTTTAAGGTTGTAGGCTTCATAATAGCCAATCCGCTGAAAGCTTGCCGGTGGTCCCGAATTTTGCTTGATTTCATTGCCACAGTTAGACACACAGGTATTCTCGTAGCCCTTCTTCTTGCTACCCGGCCCTCCTCCTTCGGGCGCATTGATAGTACAGTGCCCGGGGAATACACCACAGTAGCCCCAGTTACTGCAGCAGGATTTAAGAGGACATGGGTTGAGATCAGCTAGTGAGATTGATTTGTTGGTTGGTTTTTGTGTACCGGGGACCAATGGGCCGCACTCAGCGCCTTCCTGAGGCGCAGGCATAGGTGCCGAACCATCGCTGATACATATCTTGTAGCCAACTAGAATGTCCTTACATTCAGTCCAGGCCCAAGTTTTGGCCTTATTCCAGTTTTCGAGGTCAGCAACGGTAACGCGATACTTCCGAGCAATGGCGTCACAAGAATCTCCATTCTGGACAATATGGCTGGCACAGGTGCCATCTGGATCAGGCTTTGGCGTTGGTGGTGTATAGGGATCTCCAGCCGAACAGCAGATGTAATTATTGGGCTGCAAAGTTGCGCAGAGATCTTGTTTGGGGTTGAATTTGAGAAAATCGGCACCCCTGATACCGCATCGCATAGAAAGAGAGGTGCAGCTGTCACCAGGCATGATTTGGATGTAGCGACACACATCGCGTTTGCCAAGGAAGTTTGTGTGCAATAAATTATGCCTGATCTTTAGAAGCCGGGGGTGACTATGGGTGCTATCGTGAGTACCGTTGTTGGTGGTATCATTGCCAGAGGTGATGCGCATGCCAGCGATATCCATCACCTTCACGTCTGCTAGATCTCCTAGAGACTTTAACCCCGTCATGCAGTTCCCTTTGCTCCATTCGGAGACTGTCTTCTGGACTGCTGTAAGATCGCCAGTGGTATCTATGTATATTCCAAAAACTCGATCTGATTTACGGTCATCACCGCACAACTGGACAGCCGTGTTTGAGACCGCACCACGGGTCCGTATGTAGCTCGACAGGGCACTGAGCGCTGATTTTGCAGTAGGTTTACCCAGACCAGGGCCAATATAGAGCCCTACAGCGGTCCCGTTGTAATAGGCAAACAGAAAGTTCTCGTCACAGTTATCTTTTGCACTGAAGAACTTCTCCATGCCGTCAAGAAGGCGAGTAGCATGGGTAATGTTTCGTTCATTGCTGGCCCCAATAGCCAGATTTAATCTGTCCTGGACTTCGGTGCCGGTGGTAACACATGCAGGTACGGTGTCAAGTCTTCTCTGGTATAGTTCTTCGGATTTCTTGGGGTTATTGATCTGTTTGGCGGCAAAAGCGTGCGATATGTTGGAACTTGAGGTACAGGTGCGCAGGAGTATGGTAGACTCCAGGTCGTCCAGCGGCTGGGTAACGGATAACTGCACAAGAAGCGGCTCCTGGCAACGGCGCAAGCGATCCACAGAGAAATAGGGGATCCAGCTATGGATGTTTGCATAGTCAACACAAGGCAGTGGGCAATCATGCTGGTCAGGATAGTAGGTGGTAGGGTCTCCAATGGGAGAAGGATCATGTTCACTCAAAGGCAACACCGCTTGGGAGCCGTTGAGGTTGATAGCAGCGTAGGTCCAACTTGCCCCCCCATAGAAGGGCAGCTGAAACACAACTCACGCTTGACCTCATTATGGTAGTGAAAGCCTGTGATTATAGAAAGGATGAGAGGTGGCATCCATCAGGAGCAGCTTGCACGCAATATATATATATATGCATGCATATACCTCTATAATCGCCACATGGAGGGTATCCAAACACTTCAAGTTATGTGGCCCGGCTTTCCGAGTACTGTACTTCGTCCCTCTAGCTATGTTCAAGCTATTAATTACTCCCCTGTAGTACCTAGATTGCGGCGAAGATAGGACCCCTGAAGCGGTTATTGTAAACCGCAGCCCCAAGAAATATAGCCGCATAATACTAGTATAGGCAAGCCTGAGACCTCGTATGGCAGGGGCTTCCTCAGTGTACATTCAAACATAGTGATAAAACAGGTATTAGACCCCTTCAGCAGCGCTCCGCTGCATGAAAGAAGATTGCACGGACTTCCTAATTAGGAAATTTGGTTGCAACCCCCTTGCTCGGTGGCATTTGTATACGAGATGTGTTTGCATCAACTGATGCAGTCTCTTTCGAAGTTAAAAGACTGCATATAATTCCTAATGTAGTTAGAACTAATGAGTAATTATCCGATGAAAAATTCTGCGATATCAAAGATCGAATTAGGATATTGCTTGGATATTATCAAGGACCTGCAGTCATGGAGGAACACACCCAAAAGCCGCTATATAACTCTATCGAGCAAGATTATCCGAACTTCATATCAACACCTAGCCAGGCTGAGTTATCATCGCGATTTCTAGGGGCAGTTACTGAGACCCCTATCGGCTCCGAGTCACCAGTCTCTACACCAACACCGGGGTTCTTCTCATCAACACCAGTACCTAGCAGCCAGATCAGTGAGACGCAGCTTACCACTGCAACAGGGGCAAGTCCTCGAGTAACTCGTTAGGAAGAGCTTGAAATAGTTTCTTTTGTTTTTCAACACTAGACCAGGCATGATGTTAACAATTGAAAATGTACGCCGTACCCTTAACACCATGCATGCCTGCTATATCGACTGTCTATTCATTCAGGGCTTCATCATAGTCAACCTTCTCGGGATATTTCTCCGTCAGCCGCTTTTGTATATCTTTGAGACATTCTAGCTTGTTGTATTTTTCAAGGTCAGGCCAGCCATGCTCTCGATATATCTCCTGCAAAAACTGGATAAACTGAGGCGAATCGCGGTAATTATAGACATCAATAACAGTGCCCGTACTAATGGGGATAAAGAGCAGACGGCGAAACTGGTCCTTGATAATCTCAAAGAAGTCTGGGATGGACCAGTATGCACCCTCGGCGCGCCACTCTGCCTCACTCATCGAAGCGTACTCGTACGGGTCGTCCCAGACTCGCTCACAGGGTGCGTTGGAGTCAAGCTGGATATCTCCGGGACACTCTGGCCAGTAAATAACACCAAGCTCTGTGTCGAGTAGAAGAGGGTAATTAATCCGCCCACCACTTGTGAGGCCGATAACATGAGGCGGCACATCATTCGCGCCATGGCCCTCTGAGCACTCTTTAATGCCCTCGAGCTCCAACCTGCCCTGGTTTATGGACATACAGGACTCCTCCCAATTTTCAAATTGACTGCATGGGAAGGTCAGGGGTTTGCCGTTTCCTAGATTGCGTATATAGGGAAGATGCCGCAGCAGCGCCGCGACTTCGTTCGTCTTGCCCAACTGTTGTATGGCACTAGGGGTAACCGATGGCCAGCCTCCTTCTGGCGGCTCCAGGATATCGCTCTCCTTCAGGTACATGGCGGTAAGAAACTGGTAATACCCACGGACTGCGGCGATGCACTCCTCGCGTGAGTAGGTGATGTCACAAAGCTCCGGCATATTGGCAGGCGGGCCCGTTTGACAGGTTGCTGCGCAGAATGTTACTGGATGCTCGTTCAGCTGTGTATGACGCCCGTACCCGTATCCTTATTGTTCTCGTAGGATATCGCAAACGCGTGCGGGTCGGATGGTGGAAATTTATATCCAGAGGGGTCACCTGGAGACAGTAACAACGAGTTAACAAAGGATGCAGCGCCCTGGCCGCCAAGGCCTGGCGTTTCAAGAACACCGAGTAGTTAATTCATAACAATTGGTGATCAGGCGAGCCCTAACCTATCGGAAGCTGCAGCTAACCTCCCGTCAGTGCATCCCACCGGAGCCAGGGCTGATGTCTTCCGACTGAGGATTTTCAATAATAGGTAGTTATCAATTCAACGGATCAGCTTTGCTAGAGTCCTAAGGCGGCTTTAAAATTGCAGAATGCTATTCGTTGGATTTAACCCCTGCCTATAATTTATGCTCATTCTATTGGTTGCTATAACTTCTTAGAGTTTATGTCTATAAAATTAACCAATAAACAGCGTTGGTTCCCATTGAAAAATATATGGTTGGTTTGGTCAGTTGGGTAGACCATTTAGCTTTCGCCAATACAATTGTTAGGGGATAGGGGGATATGCAAGTATAGGGGATGACGCCAATATAACAGTAAATCATCAGTTCTTCGTTCCAACTCTCCCGGCCATCAAGTTCATTCTGAGTGAGGTCTCGGCTATAGTATTATTGAGCTAATGAAGGCGGCAGCAAGCCCAGCACCGGCAGCCACTAGAGACCCTGGCCTGTTTTCGGCCCGGCCAAAAATGCTGTTTTTCATAGGAGTCGCGGTCGGTTGGCTATGGCCCGTAGCCGATGCTCCCGCACCTGGCATAGCTGTTGGCCCGGATGTGGTCGATAGTCGCTTCGAGGGTTCAGAACCAGGGGTAGGCTGTGCGTGAGCGTAGCATCCACCATAGATTCTGGTCAGGTTCATCCACGCCCTACCGCCAGGAATCGAAAGCATGGCGTCAAACCAGCCAAGTGGACACATCTCGGCGGCTGTGAAGACCGCAGAGCTATGTGACTTCCACCACACAGAGGCCACGCTACCGTAGGCGGAGTAGGCTGGTAGCACAGACGCGGGTATCGAAGTGCTGAGGCTGCACCAGTCAGAGGACTCAGGAAAGGGGCAATCTACTCCCTTCGTTGCTGCGACGCAGTCCTTGATCAGCTCACTGCCATGAGAGTAGACAGCAGAGTAAAAGGCGCCAGTCGGCCTCGGAACATCGAAGTACTCGGTGAGATTCTGTGTCAAGCATTGCCATGGATCAATGGTAACGGTTGGCCGCTCGTTAGGCAGGATGATGGTAATATCGTCGTCCGTGATATCTTTAGCGGCAGCTATAGCCGCGAGAAGGAGTGTGAACGTAGCCCGCATTTTTCTTATAGGCGCTGTAAAAGCTATGTAGCTTCGAGTGAAAGATATGATATGGGTTGAGCAACATGGAAGGGGGCGGAGTACAGTTCATCTCGCTTTTTATATATAATAATAACCGCCAATTTTTTCTCAGCGGAGCAGCGCCGCAGGCCAGAGCACATCAACTCCCCTGCAGGTACGGCGCAGTTGAGACACTACTTCGTTACCTGGTCCTGGCACAAAAATTATATTAACTATATGCATTGGACCTTCTCCACTGTTGACATGCAGTGGATCCATTGCTATTGTTGTTGTGTGCGCCAGCAGGGACTGACCGGCAAACGAAAGTCTCCACCAGGCCTTGCTGGGAGCTCGATATACTTAGTTATCGCGGAACGAAAAACTACGTACGGCGTATTAAGGTCCTGGCGTACGTTCGAAAAGAGCAGCAGATCAGCTTCGACCTCGCAGCAGATGGGAGCCAAGTGCTATGGAGTCTGGTTGGTTATCCAATAACTCCTTCTTATTTCTCTCCATCAAGGGTTGACAGCTTGTATTGGCTCGGGGAGAAGCGAATGTCACCCAAGACAAAGCATGCATATCCTGGGATTGTTTGTATCATGTCTCCTCTGCATGGGCTGGTATAGTCGGTGTTGCCCCTTTTCAGAACACCGATAATATGGTGCATCAAGCCAACATTAAAAATGAATGAATGAACCGCCTGGCTGGATTTGCGAGTTTTTTTTTTTTTTTTTTTTTAAAGAACTCAAAAGAATTTCCTCCGGAGAAGGTTCTGGAGTATTTAAACGCACTAATTTCGGACTAGGCTCATGTCTATACCTGGGTGTTCAACGTATACACATGCAGATACTTCGTGTGGACGGGAGATTTCCTTAAAATGTCTCCAACCGTTGCAGGCGAGCTATGCAGTCCCTGGCATTTCAGAAGTGCCTGACAGCTTCGAACCAGTACCTCCTTTAGAGTGAGCCAGATCCCTTTTTGGAAAAGCAATTTATCATAAGCAGGGAGAGTTGGCAAAGCAATGAGAAAACGGAGGAGGCTTTAATATCGTCTCCTCCATCTACTTGGATAGGTCCTCTCCGGTCAACGCTGTACGTAGATAGCTTGCGAAATTGCTCTAACCGGTCCCTGGTCGGGTTCTAGCTGCTTATTATCCCAGATCCAGATGTGGAGGGCGACATGTTCAGGAACTTGCATAACTAATGGAAGCAACTTATAATGAAAATATGAAAATAGTTCGCCCATCCGCCACACCAGTTAACCAACTAACTAGCCAATGAAATGGAAGACGCTTACTAAGCGTCGCTTGAACTGGGTTTAAAACGCACAAACCAAGCCAAGCTCCTCCATATTTTTTTTTTCTTTCTTTCTTTCTTTTTTTTTTTTTCCCCCCTCCTGGACTCCACCGTTGTGTCAAAACACAACCCCTGATTCGAGCCTGCGTGAGTTTTGATCGCCGTTATTCCAGCCTCATATAACTATCCTTGCTACTTCTACGGCAGCTACAGAGTACACTTCCCGAGACTTTGAAAATGGATCCAAAACTGACGGACGACGAAAAGTCTCGCGTGAAGGACCTGAGAGCTGCAGTCCGGAGGGCCCGCCAAGGGAGCAGCGAGGAGGTCTATGGGTCAGAGGACTACTGGAAGTATAGCAAGGAAGAGCTTGACGGTGAAGACAAGATAAGTGATTTGAGATTCCGTGCGCTGCAGAGAAACAGTGATCTATCGGATCCGAGTTTTGAACAGGCTGCGCAAGAATACAAGTCGCAACAAGAGCAACGGAGTGCCAAACGACTTTCTATACTGGAGAAGGAGAAGCTTTTCGATAAGAGGAATAAGATTCTCCAACAGTCATCGTCGACTACCACTAATCTCACATCTATGCGTGCTGCTTATGTGGACCTGCTTTTGACGATCCAGAGCAAAACAAGCCGTCAGAAGCAAAGTGACTTTTCAAAAGACGTCCTGAGAGCCTATGGTGGAACTACGAAAACCAACAACACCACGTACTGTTTTAGTGTCCTGGATGGCACTCGTCGCGAGAGAGATGAGTTTGTCGCAGCACACATCTTTCCGCTCTCAATTGGACCTAAGGCGATGGAATATATCTTCGGCAGAGATGCAAGATATGAAATAAACTCACCAAGAAATGCTTTGCTTCTCCCGAAGAAGATCGAAAAACACTTCGATGCCCACCAGATCGTCGTTGTTCCGGCTAAATCAGACAACCCCGACGTCCGAGAATGGCAATTCCTAATTGTCGATAAGTCGGGGCTCTGGAACGAGTACGTGTTTCCAGGTGGGGAAATGAAATTCTCTGACCTACATGAACGAAAATTGATCTTTCCCAATGACTTTCGTCCACGAGCGCGATACTTATACTTCCATTACCTTACTTCGATGATTATACACTTCAGAGCGGCGCAGAAGACTGGCATAGTTCGCAGTGAGCTTCCAGACGCTGAGTGGCCAGAGCTCACGAGAGCATGGGCTACGCACGGGGAATATCTGAGGGACAACATGATTTACGGCTTTATGGAGGAGTTGGGACACGATTTGCCGGAAGATCTCAAGCAAAATGCGTTAACACACTGTGCACCCATTCGTTCAAACAGTGAAGCAGAGGAGCTTGAAGAAGTCATCGATTCGTTAGGGATGATTCAAATAGGCAGTGACGATGACGATGACGATGACGATGAAGACGGGAATTTTGATGAAGATGATGAGGAAGGGGAGGCGGGTGGTATGTCGGTAAATTGATGTGGATGTTTGGAATTTGCTGTTGTTGATGAGTTCGTTAACTTGAGGTCGAGTGGATGAGGTCAGCAAGCTAGTTAGTTAGTTAGGGCGGTGAAGGCGGGCAGAAAGCTGACAGCTTGCAAGAAGCGAAAGACAGAAAAGACAGCAAGAAAGGCATCAACTTCACATCAACTTCAGGCGACGTCGCTCTTGATCCATTATTATTACTACACTGGCGGTCGGAGAGAAATTGATTATAGGTAGCTGATATACAATAGCCTAATACATACTCCGTACTCGTGCTGTGCTGCCTTGAATCCCCTTCGCGTTGCGTCGTCGCTTGTGCTCTGCGCACACATCATAGCTCAAGATGGTAGGCCTTTAGACACCCGGCGATATCTACGTTTCCCAGCTAACCAGCGTGGCTGTAGAATTCTCTATTCAACGCTGCCCTGAAACAGTCAGCGGCTGTCCGTCGCGACCTGGACACTTTTGCGGAATCTCCCACCAGCGGACCAGCAGCTCTACAAGGTACCACCATCTTACTACCCGGAGGTACTAGATCCCGGTGAAGGAGCCATGGGTTGACTATATACAATACTATAACAGGACAGATATCTGCATCCCTCACATCCTTTTCACGAACAATAGATGATTACTCCTCGCTCTCGAAAAAGGAGCTCATACCTGCCAAACAAGAGAAAGCGTTCGAGCGGGTAAAGAATTTCAGAACCGAGCTGGCGGACTATAGGCTGCAGTTTGACAGATTACGCAAAGAGAGGGAAGAAGCTGTACGTATAACCTGTGACGAGTGGCTGAGATGTTCCGGAGCTGAACTTTTGGTGGATAGCAAGTTACTGCAAACAGAAATGAACTACTAGGCCGCAGGCCTCACAATGCAGCGACACCCGAGAATCCTTATGCCCAATCGAACCTATCTACGCAACATTCAGCGTTCGCGAGCCCCCACCGACAACAGGCCCATGCAAGCGGCGGGCTTAGCTTCGGCGCTTCACCTTCAGACTATAACCGAGAGACACATGCCCTACGAGAACAGTCGTTCTTAGCCAATACAAATAACCAAATAGATGAGTTTCTTGATAGAGGCAGAGCTGTCCTAGCTGATCTTGGCCAGCAGCGCGAAATGCTAAAAGGCACCCAACGGAGGCTATACAGTGTCGCTAATACGTTGGGAGTAAGCGGAGATACAATACGGATGATCGAGAGAAGAGCCAAGCAGGACAAATGGATATTTTGGGCAGGGCTTGTGATATTTATCTTGTTCTGCTGGGCAGTTCTTCATTTCCTGCGCTGATACGGGGGTTGCTGACGACCTCGGTATTTTCAATCAATCGGCGCCATCGAGCTGCTGTACAGGAGGGAAGTAATTGGTTAACAATAATGGCTCTTTCTTGATGGTTGTCTCGATAATCTTCACCACGGCCCTCCTACCTTGGCTTCAACCAGCTAAGCCCCCAAAGCTAGTACCTGCTACCGGAAGCCAAAAGTATCTCCCAGTGGCGTTTGCGAAGGGATACAACACCTCTACCGTGCCTCGCTATTCCAGCAGACATCGGATAACGTCCTCGAGGCCGACAGCAAACGAGGCTTGAAACATTTAATTGGTAATGGCTGAATCTGAATGCCAGTCAAATAACTTGACAAAGATGTACGACCAAGCCTATCTGCATAGTTACGAGAAGGCTATTGTATACAACAATGGAGACGTTACTGCTACTTGTATCAACATGAGATATTGTTTAAACACCGCATCATCTCTCCCTCAAGAGAAGCGTGTAGTTATCTATGATAGCTCGTACGAGGTATATTCAAGGATGACCTCATCTTGTGGTAGAAAAGCGGTCAAATCCTTCCCGCTCATCAGGATGTCTCCATCGGACTAACTACCCATGTCACAGCACTCTATCAAGCCAAACTTCAAAGACGAATGGGCTGCCCTGTGGCCGTTATCAGGCCAATCATTGATGGAGCGGCTTTGCTGCCGGGCGTCTGTCCCGTTCAAAGGACGCTTAAGTCCTCGTATCAACTGGGGCTATGCTGGCTTCGGGCCAATCAGCCACAAACGAGAAAACGCAGCGACTTTGTTCAAGGATGAGAGTCCTGCAGAGTAAATATATAAATACGATGTTCAGCCGCGTTTTTGTGAAACGTCTTTGCTGGCGAAGAGGAGGTGGGATTATTAGTTATATGACTTCTGCTACAGCTGCTTGCGACTTCAGTTATCGAGCTGGGTCGGAGTGAAGTCGTCAGCTAAATGAGATGATTACCGATGCGCCATCACGTCGAATGTGTTTTATATACCGATGATCCGCCATACGAGACCCGGACGTGAGCTATGGGTGTCGATTTCACTATACGCACTATGCATCTTGCTGCTGGTCGAGGGTAGCAGGGCGGCACCAACCTCGACCTTACCAGCAGCCGGAGCCAAGTTAGAGCCCCGGGGGATCTTTGGTCCTAACGAGACAGCAGCGGAGGATGATTCTGTTCTCTGCGTCTTCCCGATAAGCGGACAGTATGGCTTTCTCTCTCGACTGTTATACTACGGCTCCCTTGTCTTTGCCATCATCGGACGAACCCATAGATGGCTTGTTCTAGGAGCGTTGGCATCTGCTCTGGCCTTTGCAGGCTCGACTTCTATCCATATGTTGACGCTGGTCACTTCCAAGACACCGGCGTTTGATCTGGACATTCTCGCTGCATGGTCGATTCTGACAACGGGATGTCTGGCCTTTGCAGCACTGATACATTGGTCTTCGTCTGTCAGGAACTCTGATTCGAGAGTTGTGTTGATTCTGTGGGGTATGATGGTTGGTATAGGCTGCGTGACGGGCAGGGCATTGCTGCTGGATGTCAATTCCCAGGCTGAGCCGGCCTGCAGGTCCTCGAACGGGACGCTTCTGAAGGCACAGTCTGAGCTGGCCAGCGGCATGTTTAATTGCACGTACAAGTGCTTTGGAGTCCGAACGCCGCTGAGAGACCCATCTGAGATCACAGTGATGCCAGCCAAGGTGTTTGTTGGGACGTATTCGACATTGACCGTGGCATTGATGGCTCCGATTCTCGCTGCTGCGCATAAGAGCATGTCGGTGAACTTGTCTCTGCACTCGCCTTCTGATCTGTGTGCACACTGGGTGCTGGGCTACTTGAACCATTCTCTGAACGCACGCCTGTCACAGCACATCTACAACGCTGCGTGCTCGACCTGGTACGGCGGGTACATCCTGTTGCTGCGGTATGCGAGCACAGCCAAGTTCAAATCCAACAAACGCCGCCTTATAGCCATCACGCTCATCTGTCCGCTGCTCGTTATCGACCTGGTCCTCGACATCCTGACGCCCTTTATCTTCATTGCAAACATCCTCATCAACGAAATCAACCTGATGATCAACCACTTCCCCGTCGAAGAAGGCATCCGTTCAATCGGGCAGTGGTCCCCCATGGTTTCTGCAGCGCTGGTCATCCTCGCCGCCATCATCAACCAGCTCACCGAGCGCCATCGAATACTGAAGGAGAAGAAGAAGGCTGCAAAGTCATCCGACCCTCACTCTGGACTGCCAGTCTGGTCTCACTCCCAGACATGTGAATCACAGACCTCGGCTAGTCCCTTGGTTTACGACCACAGAACCCGTCACGGAGACACTGATCGGAAGCCAGGACATCACCACCACGCTCAGGAAATCGGGGTTATCGAGAGAGACTTCAGTCGCCAGGAGACGCTGCACACAGAGCTAGAGGACTATCCCAAACACTCCCCCAAGGCTTATATACGGCCATGACCCCCCTGTAAACTTCAGCCAATCTACCCCAGATCGCCGCCTATGTACTTAGCTAGCCTAGAACTGTAACTGAGTAATGTTAAGTAGTTGCGAGCCTGCCATGCCATGGCCAGCATCTTCCCTGCTGTCTGATGTTTGATCGCTGTCTCTCTTTGCTTTTCTTCTTGATATCAAAATCCAAAAGTTTGACGCCGAAATCGCCGGCCGAGCCCGAGTGCACGTGACTTCCCGTCCGAGAAAAAACATCAACAACTTTTCGACTTTCGACTTCGACTTCGACTTCATCTTCTTCTTCCCACGAGACAAGCAAGACAAACAAAGTCGACCGCCACAACTCCTCCCTTCTCACCCGCTGTTTGTTGAGATCCCTCATTCAATTGCATTCACCATGTTCGCTGCACGCCGCACCGCCACTCTCTTCCAGAGACGAGCTTTCTCTGCCACTGCCTCCCAGGTAAGTGACGCCGGCCCCAACGCTTCCGGGGAGCTTCGGTACAGCTGGACGGAGCATTCCTTCGCTGCAGGATCTGTGTGCTAACGTATAACTCGGTTGCTGTAGGCCTCCAAGGTCTCCGTCCTCGGTGCTGCCGGTGGCATTGGCCAGCCGTTGTCCCTGTTGATGAAGTTGAACCCTCGTGTCTCTCAGCTTGCTCTCTACGACATCCGCGGTGGACCCGGTGCGTAGCCACGAAACACCCAATTGCAGCCTCCAAACTCTGCAATTGAGGTGAAAATTGAAGAAGAAGCCATAAAACTGACCGGTCAACTGCAGGTGTTGCCGCTGATTTGAGCCACATCAACACCAACAGCGTTGTCAGCGGCCATGAGCCTACCCCATCCGGCCTCAAGGATGCTCTCAAGGGATCTGAAATTGTCCTCATCCCCGCTGGTGTTCCCCGCAAGCCAGGAATGACCCGTGATGGTATGTTTGCTCTCTGCTGTTATGAAGCATCAATGGAAAATAGAGAGAGGTTTTGAAGCTGACTTGTCAGACCTTTTCGCTACCAATGCCTCCATTGTCCGTGACTTGGCCAAGGCTGCCGCTGAGCACTGCCCCAACGCCAACATCCTCGTCATCTCCAACCCCGTAAGTACTTCATTTGCAATAGTGACAGTCGAAATCGCCGTCTAATGTACGAATAGGTCAACTCTACCGTCCCAATTGTTGCCGAGGTCTTCAAGGCCAAGAACGTCTACAACCCCAAGCGTATCTTCGGTGTTACCACCCTTGACGTCCTCCGTGCCTCTCGCTTCGTCTCTGAGATCAAGAACACCGACCCAGCTGATGAGAAGATCCCCGTTGTTGGTGGTCACTCCGGTGTCACCATCATTCCACTGATCTCCCAGTCCAACCACCCCGACATTGCCGGTGAGGCCCTCGACAAGCTCATCAACCGCATCCAGTTCGGTGGTGACGAGGTTGTCAAGGCCAAGGCTGGTGCTGGATCTGCCACTCTCTCCATGGCCCAGGCCGGTGCCCGTTTCGCCGACAGCCTTCTCAAAGCCACCCAGGGCGAGAAGAACGTCATCGAGCCCACCTTCGTTGACAGCCCCCTCTACAAGGACCAGGGTATCGAGTTCGTTGCCTCCAACGTCCGTCTCGGCCCCAACGGTGTTGAGGAGATCCTCCCCATCGGCCAGGTCTCTGAGTACGAGCAGAAGCTCCTCGACAACTGCCTTGTTGAGCTCAAGAAGAACATCCAGAAGGGTACGTTACTTCTCATGTCCTTTGTTTCCCTTTATAGACCACGGCTAACTATATATTTTTCTGCAGGTGTCGACTTCGTCAAGGCCAACCCTTAAATCGTATCCTCTACGATGAAGCCTGCCCGTCCACTTTAGTATCCCTACCTTACTGTACTATGTTTTTCTCACCCTTTACCTCAATCCTGCCTACGATCTCCCAAGGGTTTCTAGTTTACGTGGCGTGTTGAACGTTAGCGGCTTGTTGCAGATCTAAGTCCCTTTTCCTCCCTCTAGCTTGTACTTTAAATGGCCAATTTATGATTCTATATCATCCTCCGATTGCTGTGGCGGTAGACTTAGATCGCGGTTAACGTTTCGACTTATTTTGTAGATATATATATTCTGGATATAAATATTCATTTCCATTACCTCCTCTCACCCATTAACCAGGCTAATCAATCAAGTTTGTCTGTCTCAAACAAATACTAGTATCAAATGAAAAACAATGCCATAAAAAGCAGAAAAGAGAACAAAGAGTACACCAGGTGGTCAGTATTATTCCCTCCACAAGCTCATCAGAACATTTAGAAAGTAACAAAAAGCCCCTTGAAGGTGTGACACGGGATGGATGGTAAGAAAGGCCGAAGCAACGAGGTGTTTTATATCTAATATTGCGTTTTAAGAGCACTGATGGAGGGAGTGGTCGAGTGGAGTTAAAACAGTGTTGATATCATAGGGCCGGGTAGGTAGATAGTATTGTGGTAAACCGGTAGAACAAGACTGAAGGAAAGATAGAGAAAGGAAGATAAGACACTGAAAATCGCACCGGGGGAATTGTACCAGGACCAGGACCAGGGCCAGAACCAGAACCGAAGCCAGAAGTATTATCATAACCATAACTTGAAACGTAAGAGAAAAACAAGGGTGAAAGGCATGGTGAGGTTGAACTAGTAATGACACCGGCGAAGTGAAGGAAAGGGAATATTGATGAAAGGCATAAAGAGAAATAAGAAGGGAGATAATGGAGATGAAGACCACATTAAGTGTAGCTTCTCATGGCATCCAAGTAGCCTGTTCCACCCTTGAGATCCTGCTCGAACGTCTCTGCTACGTCTAGGACACGCATAATATGTTGCATTGATAGGGGCACTTTCTCATTGATAGCCAGGGCCTGAGCAGTGCGTACTGAGTTTTTGATCTATATGTTGTTAGCTGGAATTGAGCTTGAACGCAAAAAAAAAAGTAAGTATATGAGCATGCTTACCTGTCGACCGTTTAGGTTATGCCTAGCAAGAGTATCGTAATCCTTATCCGTAAACTTGACGACCTCGATGCCTTCCTTGGTTTGGACACGGTCAAGGAACATTTTCCAAACAGACCGTTTAGCCTTGGTGGTCAAGTCTCCGTATCTCAGGGCAACGTGGATACGTGACTGGAAGGCATCATCGAAAGTCTCAACGCGGTTCGTAGTAAGGAAGAGAATGCCCTGGAAGTACTCTAGTAGACGCAGGAAGATGCTAACCAGAGCATTGCGGTGGATATCTTGAATCGTACGCTTCTCAAGGAAGACGTCTGCCTCATCCAGCAGCAGAACCGCACCCCATGAGTGGGCGATGTCAAGTATCTTATTGAGTTCTCCTTCGAGGGTGCGTGAGTCTGTTCCTAGCTCGCCCGCACTGACCATGTAAAGGGGTCGTTTGAGCAGTTCGGCAATACCCTCTGCCGTGAGTGTTTTGCCCGTGCCAGGTGGGCCGTGAAGGACAGCTACAAGACCCCGGCCTTTACCCTGGATAACATCGTCGATGTTTTCAGCGGCATGGAAAGTGTGTGATTCGACAAGGGCCTTGACGATAGACTTTTGGTTTGCGGGTAAGACAAGGGAGTCAAAAGCGCCGGAGTTCCAGTCGATTTCCGTGATGCCGGAGACGGTGAATTCAAGCCAGAGCTTTTCGCTGAATGCAAAGCCGAGAACGACGGGAGAGGCTATCAGGAGTTCTTCCTCGGTGAACTCGTATTCAACCGTTCCGCCATCTTCAAGCTTAGTGATGTTTTCCTTGGGGATCTCGTTGCCGTTTTCGTCACATTCCATTTCGACAACGTGTGTTTTGCCCTCTTTATCCTGGACGACCTTCAGTCGGGTCTTGGCCTTGAAGGTTTCATCGTTGCCTTCGCCGCCCTCAGAACCAGAATCGGAGCCGCAGCAACAGTCATCGCTATCGTCATCTCCGCCTACTTCCATGATCAGATCAGGTTCCTTGGGTTTGACGGTGCTGATGGCATAGTTGGGATTGATACGACGATGCAAAGCCGGATCTACCATGATACGTCCGTTGATATTGACCTTGATAATGCTTCGTTTGCGCTTTACAAACGCCATGCCCTTGTGGAACCTGTAGTTCATGCCCTGCAAGGAGACAAACTTCTTTCCACGTTCGATGAGCTGAGCCTGCAGCGCCTCGGGATCACGGTGGTATTTGAGAGGGTAGCATGCTAAGCTGGAGATCTTTCGGGGGCCCTTGAAATGGTCTACTTCGGCGGACATAGTGCCCATGCCGAACGACTTGCCGTCATATTCAAGATAGCGGCCTTCAATAGAGTACCACTGACCTCTCATGAAGGAGGATTCCTTGGTGGCATACTCGATCTTGAAGGCACGCGGTTCATCGGGCGTGCCATACGCCTGTGTGTAAGCAATTGTGTTTGGTTTGAACAAAGCCCACAGCAGATCGTATGTGATTGTATTATTGTCCAGGAGCGGGTATAGAGCGTTCTTAGTCTCAGCATAGTCCTTGTCGAGATACTTGACAAGGATCTTCAGGTGAGCTGCCTTGGTGGCAGCTCTCTTCCGGTTCCTCTTCTTCTTCTCTGACTTGGATTGTGCCTTGAGCTCATGCATGTACTCTCTTGTCTCTTCAAGGTAGAGGAAGAGAAGGTTTGGGTCAAGGACTGGGGTATCCTGGACGAGGCTGACACCCTTGACTCCATCCATGATGTGGGCCAGGGCATCTCTCAGGGGTTTGCTCTTGATATCGACGACGGTATCGGTGTATCTGTTTTCCCAGTCAAACTTGCGGCGGACCGTGAAGATGTACTGGTCCCATTCATCAGCTCCGGGATCTTTCACCGTTTCCGTGAGTTTGTAGTTGTGGATGGTGCTGTCCCACACTATAGTGAAAGTCAGCTATAACCGCTCATTGAATGCATAGATGACCGGCTCTCTCAACGGGGAGGTAAATAGGGGGAACAATGAAAGAAAATGGGGGAAAGGGAGCTTACGTTGATCAACTCGCTTGAAGGCAACCTTGGAGGCTCTCTTATTCTTCTTAGTCCTGGGTTTGAGTTGGCGTTGGGAAGTGTTATCTGCAACCGGTTGGTTCATGAGACGTGCACGCCTGATCGTTCTTCTGTTAAGCTGGTTAATGTGATTGATCTGTTGGGCGCGCTTATGCATGTCCCGAGTAATATTGGCGGCATTGCTGCTGACGACATCATAACCGCCAGTGTCGCCTGGTATACTAGATGGCATGTGTTGTGGATTCTCCAGGTGATGCTGCAACTGCTGCTGCTGCTGTTGCTGCTTCTTGAGCAGCTTCTTGACGATCTTCTTTGCCACCTTTTTGCTCTCCTTTTGCTTCTTTGACCCCTGGTCTTCATCTGATGAGTCGTCGTCATCACTATCAGAGGAGTCCTCGGTGTCTTCCTGCTTTCGAGACCGAGATTTCTTCTTCTCCTTCACCCGTCTAGTCCGCTCATTGGTCTTTTTTTTCTTCTGCTTTGACTTTTTCTGCTCAGACTCGGACTCTGACGAGTCTGAGTCTGAACTGCTGTCCGAATCCGAAGAGTCCGAGTCGGAGCTCACCTCTTCCTCGTCCAGGTCGCTGTCACTGTCACTACTGCTGTCACTCGACGAGCTATCCGTTTCGACCTTCTTCTTGCTCCTCTTCTTGCTCTTTTTCTTATTCTTGCTGGCCTTGTCTGACTTGGAGTGAGAGTGAGTATGTTTACCACAGCCAGGCTTCTTGGCGGCGGCAGTAGTGTTGGCCCCGTCTGCTGCCAGCGAAGGGTTGACCTCTGTCTTTGCAGCCAGGTTTTCCGCTGTGCGGTCCTGCTGCTTGATCTCGAGGCTATCTCCCTTGTCACCCATGCTGCCGGCTGTTGTTGTAGTTGTAGTAGTAGTATTGGAGTTGGAGTCGTCTGGTATGGCTGATGATGTAGAAGGCGTGGAAGGAGTGAGAGAAGCTGCCGGAGTGTCTCTCTTGGAGCCGTCGATGGTCGAAGACGCAGTTGTCGAGCTCTGGGGAGGCGGAAGAGGTTCTGAGCCAGCCATGTTGGAAGCTGGAGAAGGGGCGGGTGCTTGGAGATATATAAATATATCAAGCAGTGCAGAGCAGGCAGCAACCGGGCTCAACCAAGCTCAACAAAAAGGGCTAAGAAAAACGGCCCAGCAGGCAGCAGGACAGTGTAGCGGTGAGAACGCGAGCCTCAGGGCCCAGTTGGCAAGCCGAAGACGGGGGCCAGGGGAGCTGTACGAAGCAATCACTGTGAGTCAGGGCCGCCGGGTCAGCTTCAAGCAGGCAGCAGCACAGGGATGGATGGGGGTGGATGGATCAACAGGCAGATGCGATGCTGAACCGGCCAGTGTCTTTTTTTTCACCCTTCGCGGCGAGCAGGAAAAGCCCAGAAGTCGGGAGACGCTCCCTCTGCAGGCGCTCGAGAGGCGAACAAGCCGGCCCAGAAGCTGCCCGGCTGAGTTGGTGGTTGGTGAGAGGTGACGCCGGCCTGGCTGGCACACTGGCGAGAAAGTGAAGCGGCCGGCCAGCCAGTCAGGCGCGGCGAAAGCGCTGGCGGTGGAGCTGCAGCCGCCTGGGGGAGCGCAGGGATCGCGACAGCTCAGCTTCCCGGCATTAGCACTGATGTACATACTTAGGGGGGCGCTGCGAAGGGGACCGCAGACGGGCTGCAGGCTGCAGGCTGCAGGCTGGCTCTTCGTCTTGGGGTCCTCGTCCTCGCCGTCTCTTCTACGGAGTATATGGACTCTGTTGCTTCGGCTTCAACAAACAGCTTAAGCTGGAGCCGGTGGGCCTCTCCACGCCCGGCGCTCCGAGCCCCATCCCTAGCGGCCCCGTAGTTAGCCCCCGTAGCCCCCGTAGCAAGGCCCATGTCAGCCCCTAGGACGCCGATGAAGCCCCCGGGCAGGCCTAAGCAAGCCTCAGCTGGGCCTGGCTGGCCCCTGAGTGGCTCCTCCCACGCCCCAGCCAGCGCCTACAGTCGTCGCTCGCCCCGTCCCCTGGCCCCTGTCCCGTCCATGGCCTGGCCCACCCTGCTCCACGCAGCAGCCAGGGAGCTGCAAGAGGAGTCGGTCTTACGGCGTTGCTTGCTAGCTATCCGTACGGAGTACTCTGTGACTAGCTGGTGATCTGATGGTGGACTCGACTCTGCGGCAGATGTGGCTCATCGATGGGCAGAGTCCCGGGTGGCAATCAGAACTACAGAGTGCTACGGAGTACTTTGGTCATATATGGATACTTTCTAAGAGGTGAAAAAAAAAATCTCCATTGTTGGTTAATATTCACTGACTGCCCTCAGGGATGGTAAAAAAGGTACTCCGAGATCGGCCTGCAGGGGTACAGATGAAGCTGCAGTGACACGCTGGAGGACTTCCAAGTATCCGTTCGAGCCCCCTAATTCGCTCCTGTTCCGTCTATCCTAGCCAGTCACCATGTCCATCCAGCATGTATGTATGTAAGAGAAAGAAAAAAAAAAAAAAAAGAGTGACTGCTTTTCCAACTAGCATAGTTACCAACGGAGTTAGCGATTGTGTCGGGTTGGCTGGCTGGCTGGTTACTCGTCGATCCCGTCAGCCTCCTTGGCAGCCATCTTCCGTCCAAGATCCTTGAACTTCTTCTGCAGGGCGGCTGCAGGGTACCGCTTCCCGCCAGCTGCCTCCATGGCATCCGCAATACGGCACCACTTTTCGTTCTCAAACTTGTCCTCGATATCCTTCTTGTATTGGATCAACTTTGCCTCCTATTCACACAGTTAGCACATATCATGGATACCAACAAGTAATAAATATATATAAATAAATAAAGGACTAACATCCTCGGGGCTGAACACGGTAAAGTTCGCCTTGATACGCTGGTATCTGTTGGACAAGGTGCTGCCACCCACGGTCTCGCCCGTGGCCTTCTCCCATGCAGTCTTGATCTCGCTCCACGGCTTGTTCTCCTCATCTTTCATGCGAAGAAGCATCTTGTCCTCCTCACTAGCCTCGTCAAAGTTACTGGGCAAGGCGCGCTTGCCGGCTTTGCTCGGAGTGCCCTTGGCAGGGGTAGCGCGCTTCTTCTTAGATGGCGTCTCCGCTTCATCGTCAGCCTCTTCGGCAGTGGCGGCGCCAGTAGCATCGCCAGCCTTGGCTTTGCGGCCTCTCTTGCGAGGAGTAACGGGGATCTTGGCTTCCTATATTGATGCTAGATGTTAGATATAGATATCACCACAGAGTACAGTATTTGCTCTGATGCATGAGCCAAAACAAACCTCTTCAGTCTTGATTGCTCCGTTAGTAGCCTTCTTCCCATTGGTACCTCGTCCCTTGGCTGCCTTGGTATTGGCGACCTGGGCTTTAGGCGCCTCGCCTTCGTCATCTTCAGCCTTCACGTCGTCGGCATCTGTGGGCTCAGGCGCTTCCTCAGACATCTCGGAGGCGGGAGTGGACTTCTTATCCTCAGAGACCTCGCCCTCGCTCGCGTCTTCCATCTTGACGTCGAAGGGTTCGGTCTCCACCTCGTTCAGGGGGGTAAATTCAGGCATTTTGCTGAATATCCGGTGGGTTTTCAGGTAATGAGACTGTTGATAATGGTATTTTTGTATGTGTTTCTACCAAGAGTGAATGAAAAGCAGAAGTTGTAAAGGAGGCGCGAAGAAGAAAAGGAGGAGAAGAAAAAAAAGAAGAAGAGGAAGAAAGCGGGAGAAAATTCCGCAGCCCTAGATAGTGCAGTAACTGAACGCTACACGATCCTACTTCAGAATTTTCTAGGCAGATAAAGAAAAACTGAGGGTAGCAAAGGTACTTTTCTGGGTCTGAGAATCAAGAGAGAGCTAGTGCAAGACCCAACTAAGGGAGAGAACAGGGAAGGCTTCACTTCTCCTATTGCTCATCATCACTTAACTGAGATGCTCTAACATGACCATATATAAAAAAGAGTACACTTTATACATTTCAAAGTGAGAGCCCCTTGTTATAGATAATTTTATGGCAATCTTCTGCCTATAACATCACCTTGCAGCAACAGGGAAAGCCAACAGTACCAGAGCCAGAATACCCGGTAAGCCGCCCACGTCGGTACAGGTATACATCATATACCTGGCGATCATCAAAACGCTACTTTCTCAAGTAGCTTATTCATGGCGAATGTGCCAAAATGTTTTACTATTGAGGGTATCTTCACCTTCTTCCACTTCTTTTTTCTGTTTTAGCATCTTCCATGTTGATATGTTGATGTTAATCTTGATGTTGACGTTAAATTTCTTCGACGTTTGAAAAAAAAAAAAAAATTTAACTTAAATCGCAGGACCCACTTCCCGCGGAGTTAAGGTTCGGAGCGCTTATGTAATGACGATTTAAACGCGACAGCCGAGGAAGTCGAGTTTACATTTAGACTACACCATCGTGTAACTGCAAGCGGTGGTTCTAGGTAAGTTGTATCTAGGATGAGAAGTAGAGGGTCCCCAGAAGGGCTGTATATGGTAATAATCACATCCTTTTTGCAGTGTTTTAGGGATTAAACCTTGCTGTTCAAGGGCTACTAGAGGGACATAGGATGGTGTCATCATCGACTTCACTTTCCATTTGGCGAACAAAGGAACCAGAGACTAAAATTGCCACCATGCCTCAGTCGAAATATTATTTAAACCCCGGTCACACCCACTTCCTTCCTTCCAAAAACAAATCATTTTTTATGAACGTTTCAGAACTTCCTACCACCTGAGTATCCGTTTCAACTTACTTCGAAGATGTTCCCAACCCCTCCACCCACGCGAAGTATCAGTAGTAGGCAGCAAGGAGGATCGTCTGGACATGGCTCGATGAGTTCTGCCGGTTCCCGAATTTCAACTCAGGATGCCTTCAGAATGGGTGGCCCTGGACTGCTGCCTTCTTGGCCAGTCCAGATGGGCGTCTCCGAAGGATTATCTGAGCAGTTCCGTGAACGACTAATGAATCTTGCGTTGGAATACCTTGGGAGGTACCAGTTGAGCTACCACCGTTTGATGGTGGTCCGGCGGTACTCTGAAGGTCTGAACCCGACTCCCGCGGACAATACTCTATATATCTCGCTTTACACTCCATCCAATGACAACTGGGTAAAGGCTCTGGATGATATACTCTCAGCAATGGAGCCCTTGCACTTCCCTGGAAGGGTCGAGATGATTGACCATAGAGCCCTGGGGGGCATGAAAACGTTCTCCCCCAATACACCAGACCAGCTAGTCCAAGAATGGGAGCAAATACAATCGGTCATCATTCGCCGTCTGGACTCCATTCAAACAAACTGGAAAGCAATAATGCTTCTAAAGAGGGGATATTGGGAAGAAGTTGCTGTCAATACGATAGTGATCAAAGCATCCATCCCATCAAGAGCGTTGGCAATCTCTACGCGTGATCGAGTGGCTTTTGACATCGACAATGTCCTCGAACGATTTGATCTTCAAGTTGAAATAGTGAGATCTGATCTTATGTGGGGCGCGTTTGCTGAGACACCATCTACAGACTCAGGAAACCCCAGCCTTGGGTGGCCATTCACAAACATCTACAATCTAATGGGGATGAGTATAGCCAGAGCCGATACCCCAAATATGACAGGAACGCTGGGTGGTTACTTGTGCTTTACAGACGCTGCTGGTTGCGAACAATTCCTTGGGCTAACTTGTTACCATGTCATCGGAAAAGGCCCTGATGGTGAAGCTGACTCCGGTAAGTGCGAACTCTATTACTACATTACCATTGGTGACCTTACTGCTATTCAAGATAGTGTACTAATTGATCACAAGCCATCCAACGATTTGGATCCAATAACCTCAATTTTCCATGCCAATCCCCCTCAGGCTCCGATATACAGGCCGCCATTGCTTATATCACGCAAAAGATGGGCTCACCCTCAGAAAATACTGGAGTGAGGAGTGAGGTGTACCGGGAGATAGGAAGGCAAGCTAATGAAGCTAGAGAGAGGGAGTTAAATGAGATCCGGTCCTTCAATCCCAACATTGGAACCGTGGTTGCCACATCAGGTCTTAAAAATAGATCCCTACATTCGGGGCTTGGTTCACCTTTGATCTTGATGGACTGGGCTCTCGTTCATATCAAGAATGGACGGAAATCATTAAACTACATTGCTGAAACCGCACCTGCTGATACACCTTTATGGAAACCAGAAACTCAGTTTGCTATTAAAGGAGCTCCCATACCCAATTCCCAGAATCCAGTTGTGAAGAAGGGTCGCACAACAGGCGCAACATCTGGAATACTAAGTGGACTTGTACATGCTGCATTACGCATATCAGGTTTCCCTGCCGGCCTGCACCACCGCGGTTGGGTAATTGTGAACGAGAACATGCCTTTTGCAAAACACGGGGATTCGGGTGCATGGGTATTGAATATGTCTGGGCAAGTAGTTGGAATGATTTTTGCCGGTGACAAAGCCGATGGGACTACATTAATCGCACCTATGGACCTTATCGTCAAAGACATAGAGGACAAAGTGGGGATCCCAAGAGGCTCCTTAAGATTGCAAGATTGATTAAGCCTTCGTAACTGGCGGAGATACACTGTGATAAAAGCGAAAGATCGTGTTTTAATAGGCGAACAAAATCTGGGTTGCATAAGCTTAAACTACTTCTATTCTTGAGGGCCACAGGTGGCTAGGCATGACCCCGCGTTAATATTTACTACCTTCCATAGATTTTATAATCGATGCCATAGCTATGTTCAAAGCGCTCTATTCAAGTAACCCTTACTATTAATTATTATTGCTATGGCCGGTTCTACGTAGGTGACTATCGAAGCAAGGCTTAATGCCATATCAATGACGGCATGTGAACTTTCCTTGAAGCTGCCAAAGTAAAAAAAAAAAAAAAAAAAAAAAAATCAAGCTTTCAAACAGCCTCTAAATTAATGATAAATCAGCGAAGGCTTGTCGTGGTGGTTGAGCAAAAGGGTTTGACATAGTAGATCGATGGATCACGTTGAATAAATGAGCAACTCAGCGCACCCAAGTGGCTGCAAGCTCCTGCTGTGGCATTCACTATCTAGATGACTACTCACACTCAACCTGGTGCCCAGCCATTGGATTTTGAACTACAAAACTTAGCAGAACCCATTTTCAACAAGCTAGTTAATTGAACATCGCGAGCCGGTGACAAAGTATTAAACAAGCCATGCCTGTACAGCTGATGTAAATATGAACAGTCGCACTCGAGTTCCATGTTTCTCGAGCACTTTTCACCTTTCTGGGACCCATCAGCGGGCTAGATGTCTTCTCAGCAGAGCCGCAACGATGCTCAAAATGTCCCTCCTCGAACACAGACGAGGAGAAGGGCGAGGAGAAGGAATATGCAGGGTCAGCAGCAGAAGAGTTTTGCGGTATATCTCTTCGGGAGGTTTTACTCCCTTGTAAGTTGTTATTCGCAGTAGCCAGTGTAATAGGTTGGTATGGGTATAGTGAAAGCGGCTGCTACGAAGACATCGCAACATACTTCAACAGCTTTCTCTAGAGCACTCCAAAATGCTGTCGGGCCTCCCTGCGACAAGACTGTCCAATCTGTGATGACCTCATTAAAAAACCTGGAACCCACCGTTCGATGGAGAGGCTCTTATGAAGATTAAAGACTGGTTAGTTGCTTGACGAGGGTATCATGTTGGGCACATCGACAGGAGAAGAGAAATAACAGGTCAGGACTTAAGTATCCGACCGAGGATGCCCACCTAGCCCACCCTCGCCGCCCTTTTCCCGCCTGTGCAAGTCTCTGGTCCAGCTGGTCAGGATACGACGCGCCTCCTGCAAGTCGTTCTTGCGCATTAAACGCAGGAGGCCACCAGTTCGATCCCCCCGGCCTTCGGTGTTCCCGCAGTCGCCAAATCAGCGGCCGCGGTCGAAACTTCACCCTCAGAAAAAACCCAAAAAGACACGGAAGCGGCCCAAACGGCCCACCGCCCGTCGCCCCCCAACCAACGAACCAACGACCAACAGTCTTGGAACAACCAACGACAGCCCGAATTCACTCGGCTGAACAAATCTCCCGGAATTCCGGAACAAACAAACAAACAAAACAAACAAACGAGACAAATCTCACCCCCCAACCAAAGTCACATTCCAGGCGGGTACAAGACTCCCTGGAAATCAAAAGGCGTCCAGGGGCCTGGCTGCCCGGAGGATTGCACAGGCTTTTTTTTTTGCATTTGGGTCCTTTGGCTTTGGACGTCTCTCTGCTATAACTAAGGGTTAAGGCCGGCGGTAGCAAACAGATGATCCATGGCAAACAAATGGCTGCTTTATCTCTTCTCAGAGATGCCCTGCTGTGTTTGCTGCCGTCTGCTTGCTGCAGTCAGCCGGCCCTGACCATCCCATTGTGCCATTATATCCTTATATCACTGCTTGCAACCGCCCTTCTTTGATCGCTGGGGATGGACAAGACAGCATGGCTGTCAAACGGCGGGCCGGAGGGGGCTATATATACCCCCTATCTCTCTTGCGTAGCTGCCAGGTAGCCAGAGAAGCAGAAGAACCCAAATATAAAATTAAACAACCGGGCGAGACTGAGTGAGCATGGCTCTCAGGTTGTTCCCTCGTGGGAGAACCGCCTACTACAACATCTGCATTGATGGCTACCGCATCCCGGGCTCGCTCGACTATGCCACGGTGATACACCACATCCCCCATCTGCGGGACTGCCCCCGCCGGCCAGCCACCTCCCAGTCCGCCCTGGGCAGGCTGACGGTAGACATCGACCTGACCGCCGCCGTGCGTCGGTGCCGGCTCGTCGATTCGCTGTACTTCCCTCTCTCGCGCTTCCGGGAGTGTCTGGACATTCTTGTCCGCGTCCTGAGAGACCACCAGCGCCATCCACTGCACGATCCAGGCTCGACCTTGTGCGAGAATCTGGACCAGATGCTCCTTCACAGCCGCTACGACTGGGCCAGGATGCTCGAATACTTTGCTTGTTTCGCATACTTGTTCGACGATGCCGTTCTCAAGGCCTCGGTCTCCCTGCACCGCGGCATGAGCAGTTTTATTGCCCGGAATCGCAGGGAGATGGCACTGCATGCTCCGCTGAATGTATCCTTGCAGTTTGTTGACTTGTGTTTCCACGAGGACTTCACTACCCTGATGACGGCGCTGTTTGAGCAGCTAAGGAGCTCCGATCAGGCATATCTCGTACGGTATATGGGCGTGATACCGCTCTTTTTGGATGGTAGGCCATCGATGCAGATCCCCGGGTATTTCCAAGAACGGTATGGTCCTAGGGGAGGCGTTCGTGACAGGATCAAGATCCGTGCTCGTCGTAGGGTCAGGAGGCGCCATCCTGACTTGCTGGAGAGGGGGTTATTCATCAATTCTCACTGATGGCATGTCCTTTTTGCCGTCTTGCTTTTGCATCTTTTTATGTTTCAGCCGCCTTCATACTCAGTGCTCATGTATTGATTGAATACCTGCTGCAATTAAACCAGTCTTGTAGTAGTACTCCGTAGTAGTCGTAGTTATCCAGTTGTTCGCCTCGCACATACATACCTACTCCGTACGGAGTACAGCTAGCCACAAATGTGATCCCAAACTTGAACAAACAAACCACCTGCATAATATCGATAGAAAAGAAAGAATAAAGCATCGTCCAATAACACGCACTTGCTAACGAGGTGGCTGTCTGTCTCGATTTGAAGAATTTGAAGATCTTCTCCAGGGATCTGCACTGCCTAATTGGAATAACCTATAGCTCCATGGAGGCACGGCCCGTAGACTGCCATGGCGTTGAGTTCTGTGCTGGTCAATGGCCAGATACAGTCCTCATCAAGTCACTTGGTCGAATATTGATGTTTGTACGGAGTACATTTAGGCCATAGTTACAGGCCAGAATGAAATAACTAGTGGAAGTATTCTCAAAATTGAGACTTGCGATCCATGAAATGCGATGGACAGGACGGAGGTTCAGTCTCCAGGATGCCCAACATGGAGGACGGACGAATATAAAAAGGCCCATGGGCTTCTCTGTTTCTGTCAGGATATCATCAACATCATCACCATCACCATCACCATCATCAACAGACACCAGACTGACTGCTAATTGTCAAAGACAGCCACTGCTCAAGTCGTCAAGTCAGTATCCCCTTACCCATCTGACTCGTCCCCATTCTAACAAGACATAGAATGCGCGTCATCAACCTCATCCTCGTTGCTCTCATGAGCATCTTCGTCGACTCCGTCCTCGGCGCTGCTTGCTTCTCCGAAAAGGCCAGCGGAAGCTGCCTGACCAAGGCTCGTCTCGGAACCGCCATCAACACCTATTGCAAGAACAACTGGCGCCAGACCACCACCAACTGGCGTCCATGGAAGGGTGCCAACGGCGCCATGGGCCAGATCGGTCATCTCGGCGTGTTCAAGAGTGAAGCTGCCTGCCGTCGTCTCGGAAACCATGTCGTTGACAAGTGCTATGGCGGCCCCAAGGGTGGTGCTGCTGAGAAGGCCGGAGCTGCTATCAACATCATCTGGTGCCCCTTTTCGTCTCAGTAGACCCACCTCAACTAGTTGATGGGAGGAGCTGATGTGATGTACTCTGTTGGGAGGGTAGTGGTATCACGAAGTCAAGAAGTCAAGAATCCAAAATGATATCTGATGTACCGAGAGACCAAGAAATCAAGTAAAGTCAAAAATTCGTTCATTCATTTGTAACCTGTAGGCCTGCTCCGACCAGAGTAACATGAAGTTTGAAGAAAAGAAGAAGCAAACATGGAATAAGGGTATAATATATACACAGAGAAGAACGATGCCCGGGAAAATCCACAGCCCACTCTGGGGGAGAAGAAAGAAAAGAGTTGAAAGTTGAATAACCCACGCCCGCCATCCGTGTAATAAAAGAAAATAAAGAAGAAAGTCGAAATACGCAAGTTCGAAATCCCCGGGAATGCAATGCAGTACAATACAGAGAAGGTGGAGCAGAACGGTTTCGTCATGGCCGTGGTGGCCAGCGGGTGAGGTTGAAAAGTGAGGTGGAAGGTGAAATGAGAAGCAGTGAAAAATTCTGACGCTTAGTGACGCGGTGTTCACCATCCGGTTGCATCTGTACCTCGCGGAGTCTCGTCCGTGGACTGATAATCGGCCTGCTCCTCGCTGGTGTCCTTACGGGGTGGTGGAGGTGGACGGATCTTGGTACCGACGAATCCCCGACGGTTACGGCCCGTTCGGCCACGACCAAGCCAGTTGTGCTTGAGTGCTTTGCTGAGCTCTTCAATTTTCTGCTGAGCATCGTCGTCGCTTTGGACGCTGGCTAGCACGCAAATGCATTGGAGCATACGGCCGGCAGTCTCAGTGACGTGTGAGGGATCTGTGGGTGGAGGTTGAGGAGGTGCAGGAATGTTGGTTGAGTGAGAATGGGTTTGCGCGAGGATGGAGGGCTGAGATGGAGAGAAAGAGGAATAAGAAGACGGGTAGGTGTGTTCTGGGTTGGAAGAGGTGTTTGATATTGCGCGTGCACGGGTGAGAGATGCAATGGCTGATTCGGAGGAGAAGCTACCGGCGTTGAGATGGGACGAAGACGGCTGGGAGGCATAGCTCCCTCCGCCGACACTAGTCTCGTAGCCGGCAGCGGTGCTGGGTCGACTGGCGCTGGCGGTCGTAGAGCTGTGTAGAGTAGCGGTTGGTGGTCCGTTGATATTGGCGTTCATTTTCTCCAGGCTGAGGCGAGAGAAGGCTGCCTTGAGCACATCGTAGCGGGTTAAGATGACGTTGTCGCGGAATGAGGTGAGGACTATCTTGCGGACATCCAGGGCGTCGCCGGCAGAAGTAGAAGCATCGCTTGCACCCGGTTGGGCGCCCCAGAACTCCCTTGCTTCGCGGGTATTCATGATAGAGCCGTGGCCCTTGAATTCGAGGTCCAGGGGCAGGAAAGTGGCCTGGATAAAAGGCAAAACGTTGCCAAACGCAAAGACCCAGACGTTGACGAGATGTGGAATGATATTCTCCTCGGGCACCTTGGCGAGAGAGTAGTTGAGAGATGCAAAGCCGGTCTGGAGCAGGTCGCGGAGGTCCTCGACGACCTGATGGGGTGCATGTTTCTGGACACAGCAATGGATATGGACTCTGACCAACTTGTTCAGGTCCTCCAGCGCAATACGGACGTCTTCTCCTTCAAACAGGACGAGCAGTTTAGCCTTGAGGAAGTCCCAAGCATCATCGGGAGTCATGTTCTGCAGCCCAAAGCCTTGCAGAATCTCCTGGATGGCAGCGTTGCTTCCAGGCATGATACCGGCCCCCTGGGTACTGCCCACGGAAGACGATGGTCCTCCAAAGGTGACGGTGGAGCCCGTTACAGACGCAGCACCGGACCAGTCGGCCTGGTGATCTGTTCCTTCACGCATCATCGCGTCTTGTTGAGCTTGAGCCTGCGCGGCGGCGGCAGCAGCAGCGGCAGCAGAGGCCTTTTCTTCCTTTTTCTTCTCTCTCAAAGCTCGTCCGCCGTGTCGGAGATCAAGACCGCTCATAGACTTGCCAAACGTCGAAGCCGCCGGAGACGAGGGTGCAAAGGAGTAGAGAGACTGAGGCGCGCTGGGGTCCAGGGGGCGGGAGTTGCTGCTGGCCGAGGACAGGGGAAGGTGGAAGTCTTCCTTGTCCTTCAGCTTGAGCTTCTGGCGCGAGAGAAAGTGGTGTCTGTGTTTTTCCTTTTCTTTGCCTCTGTCCTCATCCAGCGAGTGTCTCTCAATAGGCACAACAGTGGTGGCAGAGGAGTTGGCCAGAGAGTAGAGAGATAGGTTGTTTGCGGAAAGTCCATTGTTGCTATTGTTGATATTGATATCACCACCCGCACCAGCGCCGGCACCGGCGCCAGCAACACCACCAGCAGGATCATTCAGACTGACAGTTGACGCGTTAACAAGCCTAGATGCGAGCTTACTGGGAGATGGCATGGTCTTTTCTTTCTTGTCCTCTTTGTCTCTGGACATGCCTATGTGTTTAGGCTTGGAGAACAGCTTCATCTTGGACTTCTCACTCTTCTGCTTCTCCTTCTGCCCGCTAGGCTCAGCGCGGTCAGCTGCTCCCCCACTTATTGTTGTCGTTGTATTGCCCGTAGCCGATGGCAGCGCATTCTGCGGCGTAGGAGTCCTGGGAAAGGCGACGTTGGCAGCCGTCGTTGCGGCTCCCGCGGCTCGCCCTCCGCCAGGACCGTTCTGGAAGCTCAACTGTCCAGGCACAGGCAGTGGCGGCCGAAGATTGTTCGTCTGGATCGGTGGAGGCGAATCCCTGGCACCTCTCCTGGCCGCGAGTCCGCTCTCCTGTGGCGGGGGTATTGTCTGCGATCTGTTTCGGATGTGGTGGTATTGCTGGTGCTGGTCGGTCTGGTGCTGCATTGCCGTCTGAGCCGCAATCCGCGATGCGGAGACCGCAGCAGAGGAGCTCTGGGAGGCCGTCGGCAGCGAAGGCTCGAAGAAGCCCTGGGAATGGTGGCGTGAACGGAAACCTCGAGTGTCTGAGGATGAGGAGGCTGATGGGCCCTGGGCGAGAGGCGATGCCCGCCGCTGGACAGGCTCGTTCTGGGGCCGCAGCGCCAGTGAGGTGTTACTGCCATTGACGCTGCCCGCCGCCATCACTGGAGGCCGTACCGCCTGCGGGAGTTGCTGGTCGTGCTGCTGCTGCTGCTGCGCAAGGCCGTAGAGCGTTCCCTTCGAGACGTTGAGGGCTGTCTGGTTGGAGGCGGTCGAGGAGGCGGCGCTGCTGCCAGATGAGCTGGACCGCCGCGCCTGGAGGTCTACCGGCCGCGACGGCCGCTCTGTGGGCAGCGGAGGCAGCGGAGGATGGTCCTGGGGCCGCTTGGGCGAGCTCGCGGGCTTCATGATGCTGTCCTCCGGGTCGTTGGTGGGCGCGGGCTCGTAATTAACGGTGGTGGTCGTCAGGTCACTAACTAGGTATCTTGTCTCTGGCGGGCGGCGTGTTTCAGTCGGCGAGGGCTCGGGCAACCTGGAGGACCGCAGTCTCGTCGTCGACCGTGAAGCTCATCTTCGCCTGGCCGTCACTCCATCGTCTGCTTCATCTTCGGCGTTTCGTCGTCGTCTTGGGCGTCTCGTTGTCGGTCTTTCTGGCTGTCTTTTTGCTGTCTTTTCTTGTTGACGTCGACGTCAGAGACAAGCTTAGTCAGCGAGTCGACGACGATGGAGAGGAAGACGAAGGAAGACGATGTGAAGAGTTGAGATTATAGAAGACGGCTAGAAGACGGCTAGAAGACGGCTAGAGGACAATACAGAGGAGGGTAGGGAGATAGTAAGTCTACGAGTCCTAACTAGAGGTGGCTGATTACTTATATATAGTTATAGATCTGGTCTGACAGAGTCTAGAGATGACATTAAATTGACAGCATTGAACAGGACACCCTCAAGCTTACCCGTCTAGGGTATAAAGACGCCCTGCATTGATATACCAGTTCCATCTAGCTCGTAGATAGCGGCTCCAAGCTCTGCAGAAGGCAGTTCTGGTATCTCAGGGTCTAGCGATTCCGGAGCAGTGTATACAGAAACGGCAGACTCGCTATCGGAGTCACCTTCGAGGCCACTATCATCGGACTCGTCTTCCGGTGATTGCCTATATATTTCTTCTGAATACCACGGTTGGGATTGGTTGTTGGTTGATGGTTCGTCTGGCACGTGTGGTGCAGGGCTAACGGTAACATTTCTACCCAAGGTATCAAGGGGGGAGACACCGATATCTTGACGAGCTGGAATATCTCGTGGTGGCAGATCCTGAGGTTGGGAAACAGGCTGAGATGGCGGCTGATGGCGAGGATATTCGAATATCGGCAGTGGTGTGGCTATTCGGCTGGGTATTGTGGGCAGTGGCTCTGCCAGGGCAGAGACAACATTGGTTTGTTCTCCGTGGTTAGCATGGGGGCGTTCGATGGAGACATGGCTGTTCTGATTGTTGCTCGACTGGCCACTACTACTCCGCGTGGTGGTATTCTGCGGCGCTTCGAATAAGCCCGGTCGTATGTCTGGCGGCTGATCCTGCTGTATGCCCCCACTGCTCGGCTCGATTGATCCAAGAAATCCACGGCCGGGTAGGGTAATGGGTTCAAACGCAGGGAGTTCAATGGCAGTCTGTGGAAACGACGGTATTGGTGGAGTTATCGTGGAGGAAGGAGGTTGGTGGAAGGATTGCAGCATAGGTACGTATCCCTGCATAAGCCTACTATGACCACTGAACTCGTTGACATCCCTCATCATTCGAGGATTCCCGATACCCTGGCTGAGTAGTGGCTGTGTATCCTCAAAGACAAGCCTTTGAATTGCCTGCGCAGTTTCTGCTGGTATTGAAAGATGCGGATGGAACCCAGTCTGTGAGAACATTTGACCTAACTTAATCTTTAAAAGAGAGTTGCTCTTAGACAGTAGCAAACGCAGGGCTTCTACGTGTCCATAGTGTGCTGCATACAGCGGAGGGTTCCAGCCCCTTCCATCATACTGCTCAACAGATGCCCCCTTACCAAGTAGGAGGGATACTATTCGCACGTCACCAGCTCTCGATGCAATTGCCAGGGGCGAGTGTTCTTCCCGAGTGCCATTCCATGAGCTCGAGCAGGACGTAGCTGCACCTTGATTCAAGAGGCGCTCAACTATAGACGCACTACCCTTACGACAAGCTATGCACAAGGGGCGTGTGCCAGATGCATCAGCAGCGTCAACTTCCACTTGTTTCTGGCAGAGCAGTTCAACCAATTCCATCGAATTTCTAGCCACAGAAATATGAATTGGTCGCTGTTGTCCTTCTCCTTGAGCCTCGATGCTTGCTCCACACCCAATAAGATGTTGAGCTATCTCAATATCTACCAGATCGCAAGCATAGTGAAGCGGGGTGAACCCGCCTGAACTTCTAACCTCTGTGGGTGCTCCCTTGCGTAGTAGGAATTCAACAACTGCAAACTCTCTAGACATGACGGCAAGATGTAAAGGGGTCATCCCGAGTTTATTCGTAGAGGTTATGGAGATCTTCTTCTCTAGTAGCAACTGGACAACTTCAACATGGCCGTTAGCAGCCGCGGCATGCAGAGGGTTCATCCCGCCTTCATCTGTAGCCAATATATAGGCCTTTTTCCCAATCAGATACTCCACAATGCGCACATCGCCTGCGATTGCTGCGCAGATTAGTGGTGTTCTCTTATTGATTTCAATGGCTTCAATGTCCGCTTTGTACTGAAAAAGGGAGCGGCAAAGGGAATATTGACTATTCTCGCAAGCATGGTGAAACGCAGACTTCATGCTGGCATCCTTGGCTTCAATATCTGCACCAGACTGCAGAAGAAATGCCACCATCTCGCCATCGCCACGAATTGCTGCTTGGTGTAAGGCTGTAATCTGCCCTTTGGCTCTAGCTGTTATTTTGCAGCCCGCCCCCAGAAGCATCCGTGTTGCATCAATATGACCTCCATCAACAGCTATCCAAAATGGTGTTCGGCCCAAGCCATCCTTTACGTCCACATTCTCAACTACTGAGAGGAGAACTTGGATAACAGCAGTATGGCCCCTGGAGGCTGCCAGATGGAGAGGCGTCGAGCCATCTATTTCCTGGGTATCATACTTTGCCCCCTTTTGGAGCAAGTAGTCAACTACTTCCTCATTACCACAGTGAGCGGCAACAGCCAGTGCTGTTCGACCCGTGAGTGCGTGATGACAATCAATATCGGCCCCTTCACCAATTTGCATTTCAACCTGGACTAGTGACCCAGATTGGGCGGCTTTTATGATAGGAGGTATAGATGTGCTATCAGATGAAGAAAGATCAATGCTAGTATTTGAACGAGTCCGATCAAATCTTGGTGCCGCGCCCCGCTCTGGTATGGGAGAAAAGGAGCTGAAAGACTTTGGCCCCAGACGTGGCGATGTCTTTTTGAGGCTGCTTCGGCTTGACGTATCTAACTTCCCAAGGACCTGGCGAATCTTTTCTCGTTTTGAGCCAGACTTGTGAAGAGGAATTGGGTTTGACTGCCATCTCCGCATAACAGGATTTGTGGGCTTTATTGACGTCCTCCCTACAGCCATTGAGGCGCTTCGTCCCATTTCTCCCTGGCCCTGAGGCGACAGCTCCTCTGCTGGTGCTTCAAGGAATGTACTAGGTGGGGAGAGAGTATTTATGCCCTTAAATGACTGTGATCGGGCGGTTCCACTAGCATAGCCTTCATCGGTAGTGGCGGACCCCGCAATCTGCGGTTGACCTGTTGTACTATGATTCGATTCTTCCGTACGAGCTCGATTTGAGGCTGAACGGCTATGTGCTAGCGCTCTTCTGTACGCAGTTGCATTGACTATGATATCGTCCACATCCAAAGCCGTCTCGCTGATTGTTGATTGAGAAATACTCATTGTAGATAGGTCTGCTTGCTGCTTAACCGAGCTGCGCAGGGTCACGGTATCATCTGCAACTTTCTTCAGCAACTGTCTGTTCTCTTCTCGCCGCAAAAGCTCAACTTGCTCCGTTACAGTACGACTAGAAGGGATATATGTGTTAACTCATAGCCTTTCTTTTGAGTAAATGAACAAACACTGGTTTCAAACGCACCATTGGCAGACCTGCAATAGAAAATTCAATGCTAGGACTTGGGACTGGAGCCGCTGTTGGTAATCCTGCATGAGATGGTCATCCCAGACTGCCCGAATCTTCGCCGCAACTCGTAATTCGGGCAATTCTCTAGCATCTAGAACACTTGTGACTTTGGAAACCTGGGCAAGGAGGCATTCCATGCTTGTTTTGCATCCATCTATGGCGATATCCAGCCCATCCAAATAGTCTGGATGCTCCGCCCGGCCAGTACCATAAGTTGCCCAATCCTGGAGCTGCGTTATGGCAGATTTTATTGTGGCAGCTTGAACAATAAGCGAGTGAATTGTCATGTCCGCATCGGCATATTTACCCTGCAAAGCACGCAGACCTTGGACTGTGCTGCCAATAATCTGCACCGTTTGCATAGCACCAGTAACGATGCCAAAGGCTGATGCTGGATCCATCTGGCTGGCTAGCTAGTGCGTTTCCCACCGGCTCGAGGATCAACTGTCTTCGATGCCTGTTCCGCTAGCCGGGCGAGAGAAGATGGCAACCAAATGACTGGAACATTAACAAACTGCTGCCCTTTCCAACATCTCAGCCTGAAGACAATTGACGAGGGCGACGAAAGGTATGACAGAGTGCTGGCGTTCACATGGGGGTTTTAAGGCAACGAGGCTCTCCACAAACTCAAGCATCCCTGTAATACTTCTGGCTAAAACTCGCCCGTCGTGCATGTGTGATATGCAGCCGTCCTGAGGCTGAGGCTGTGCTAAACGGGAACTCAGCCTCCCGCAAGGACATCTTCGTCATTATGAGGGGCCGCTGTCATCTTAACATGGTAAATTTCAGTGAATCAAGGTATAGAACAAGCCTTTTGTATTGAATACCTCATCTCGTATGTTTCCTGCGAAGTTGATGAAGTTGATGAAGTTGATGAAGAGCCGTCGTATTCGCTATGTGATATAAAGTCATGGTGCTCGGAAGTAGTTAACGTAATCCACCACTTGGTGACCACTTTTAAAAATAGATAAAAATAATTAATAAAAAATAGTAAAAAAAATATCTACTATAAAAGTTAAAATTATAATATATATATATATATATATATATTAAATCTAGTTCAGGCTTATTGTCTTAGCTGGACTTGATTATGTACAGTTTATCTTCAGATGTATCTAAAGACACACTCTGAGTATATATACGAGGTGCCAATACATTTGGCTGGATGTACATGTGGATATATCGCGAAGTATTGTGTTGAATGTAATACAATTTCACCTGCTTTTCAATCTACTCTTACGTCCTGGTAGTTAGTAAAGTGACATTTCATTTACGAAGGTAATAACGTATGAAGTAGTTGTCTGCGCGAAGATGATGCCGCTGGTGGTGGCAGATCGAGATGCATATCATCTGTCTTCGTAGACTTCAGGGTAATCAGAGTAATCATCGTCATCATCGTCATCATTAGATTCCTGGAATACTTCGGCGCCGCCAGCTAAGGCGACGATGCGTTGAAGCATCCATTGCAGTTGTAGAAGCGCCGGGTCAGGGAGGGGAATCCTGTCGTATCCAGTGATATTGATGAGTGTTCCCGAAACGATTTCGTCGCCGGACACCACCTCCCACAGCCGTATCCGGCGGCCGCAACCAATACCACGAGGAAATGATGGGCGGGTATCAACTTTTAGTCTGCGGAGGTTGGCCATATGGGGTAGCCAATGGAAACGAACCGTAAGAGTGTGCGATTGGGTGTCCTCCTCGACGGGCTCCAACGCAAAATAAGCGCGTTCATGATACTTGTGAACTGACGGAGCCAAGCACATAAGGTTCTGTACGGTCTCAGTGGCCACAGGGCCTGTGATGGCATTATACCACGCGTCGACCCTTTCTTGGCCCCAAAACATACGTAAAACGCTCCACGGATTGTATGTGTCATTGACGATATCCGGGGCCTGTAACCCCCTCATGGAGAATGGGAAAATGTGAGCCGCTTCAACAGGATCGTCAGCACCAGTCACGACGCATCTATTACTGTCTCTTAGACGGCACTAGCAGCGAATAGTTAACTAGTTAGTTAGGGTGAAGTAAGTCTTTCAGCATATGAATTTGAGGTTCTAACCAGGTCTGCTGCTTTTTCGGAACGAGTACGCGGCGTACCCATCCCGCTTGAGGTTGGTGAGCCAGGCCGATCGCCCAGTACTGCCATCTCTGAAAGCCTTGACATCGCTGGCGCAGGAGAGGGCGTCGGGGAGGGTGTACGTTCGCGAGTTCTCTGGGTCCCTGTATATTTAACAGTAGGAAACCAAAAACGTCAGTAACTGTGCACAGACATCAGCATGAACAAGCTTACATCTTGCCAGCAGTTGGCTGTCTTCAAGTCTCTTCGCAAGCCCAGCTAGATAGGTTATCAGGTCAAGTTGCTTAGAGATTTTTTCGAGCTGCGGGATATCTGCCAGCCATAAAACGGCCACAGAGGCTGATCAATCTCTCCACCGGCACCAGCAGCGATCTTGTTGATCAACTCGACGCGTCTCTGAGAGCCAAACTCAGCTTCAGCCATACTTTGTGCTACATACTGATGACAATCACAGATTCACAGATGCAGGCTGGCTGATAACTAGATAAGAGAAGAACAAGGAGGGAGGAATCTCTAGTGGGGAAGCTCCTTGAGGTCTGGATTTCCAAAGGCCGGGGTTAAGAAACGATCACGTGCCATCCCGCCGTCGCGCCCGCAGAAGCCAAAGAATGCAACCTTCGTGAAGGCCTGAAAACGATCTTAACATCGACATACCAAATCACAAGAGAGAAGAGACGGGACTTGACATCGGTCTAATTAAGCGTGTTACTGCAAAGATTCAGATTCAGCCATGGCTTCTGACCCCAACTCAAGCAAAGACCCCGTTCTCAAAGCTGTCTACCAGGCTCCCCGCACATCACAAGAAACGGCCGAGCCATCAGCGCACACCTTTACCCGGCAGCTCTCTGCCTCTATCCCTCCACCCGGCGAGAATAGCACTGCGGAACGAACAAAGTACCTAGAAGAGTTACGAGGATCAATTGTATCCTTACAAGCGGATGTTAACGCCTTTCTTACGGAGAAGATGGAGGAAGATAAGCTACGTGACGCACAAGGGGGCGCCACAATAGACGACAAAACGGAAGAAGACAACTATGGCGAGGAAGTTGTCGATGACGATGAGTGATGGATCATGGTTGATGCATTAGCGTACTGGGAGCTTCATTACTATGTTTACTATGATGCAAACATGACAGGTCGGGGGTATCCAATAACAACGCAATATCTAAAGAAACATAGCGGGGGAAAGGGAAACAGATGAATTCGAACAAAGATGATACCGAGACGCCATTATGCCGCCGGGTGGACTGGAATCATCACGCTTCTATAACGCCATTTATGTTGCGGAGCCCAATCTATTGGCGCAGCCTAAGTGAACTACCGTATTACTAGTGGTTCGAGATGTTAGTGAGAGATGTTTGAGATGCAAAAGACACGGTCGAACTTACTTTGGAAACACACTGATAACGCTCCCACCTAACCGTTTATGACAATGGCTGCACACCCGATCTTCGCTGACGGTGATGCAGCGGTTTCTTCCTTTGTTGCTGCCAACATTGTCACCCAAACGCAGTGCTGCCTCTATTTCTGCACTTTGAATCTTATGCAGCGAGGATATAATTCGACCCTGGTTTAAGATGCTGTTGGCTGCACGGATACGGCTGCGGAAGTAGAATTCGAGGTCGTGGATTGGCAATGAGCCTGGGATAAGGCTGAGAGTGGAGCTGGCAGGTAACCGGGAACCATGTCGTGCAAGGATCTCGATTGCGGGGCCATATCGTGGTTCATAACCATGTGGCGGTGACAGGTACAGAGAAAGAAGTGTATGGTAGATAGACGGGCGGGCCTCCTCATCCTCAACTGCTGGAGAACTACCATATGGAACTGCACGTTGCTTGGTAGATGTGGAATCACCCAAATGGATTCGATTGCAGTACCTTTGCACAGGACCAGTCAGCTTATGCTCATGTCTATAATTAATGTTCTAGTAACTCACTCTTCTGCTTTTGCCGGATTGTCCAGCTTAAACACATATATCTCAAGAGCTTGACGGTGTTGTCCCATCTTACTCAACGTAACAGCCCTTGGCTCAAAGAATTCCGGATCTATCAATCCATAAAGCAATTAGTCTCCATATCAATATGAATGTATGATAGTAAAGGGAGAAATATGCTTACCATCTCTTGGGAGCCGATCAAGCATTTTGGCAGGAGAATATTGTTCGCTCGTTTCTAGCATTTTCAAGAATCGGTTCTTGCACTCCTCTCGCTCATCCTCGGTTGGAAAAACATCCTTTGATTTCTTACTCTTGAGGATCCGCTCAAGGTATAGCGTTAACAGCCGGAAATGTATATCTGGTGTTAGGTCATTTAGCTCGTTGATAACATGTTCTGAATATTTAATGGCGAGCTTTGCATCGATTCCATTAAGGAATTCAAGAACCTTCTGACGAGGCAGCGTCTCTGCATTTTCTGTATCCGTAAGGAAGATCTCCATGCCGAGCTCAGGATCACTTCGAAGTGGCCATTCAGCAAACTCCAGAATCAAATCGATCATGTCGGGTGGTAAATTCTGCAGATAGGCAACTGTGCGTTTGGGGCCTTGGAGTTCCGGCGAGATTTCCTCTCCGGCCTCTTTTTGGCCAAACTTCTTAAGCTGTTCCAAGGCAGAGCGATGAAGGCGCTTGCCAAATAAAAAGTCTATCAAGTCGCCGTAGCGAGCGGTCTGTTCTAGCTTCTCCATCACCACCTCAGGGTCACAGAAATTATCGATGCGGAAGAGCGAGCCAGCTAGCGTAGGGGTTGCGAACATAAGGGCTCTGAATAGGGTGGTATCTACCAATGTAGCTGTCTCCCGCAACTTCTGGCTCATGTCGATGTTTTCTAGATCATCAGAAGAGATACCCAAGGTCTTCAACATAGATTGGGTGGTTTCGTCTGATTTATCCACGTTGACTGAGGGCTCTTTAAGTGTGCCATCGGGACTGATAAATCTAGAGAGTCTTCGGCGAATATCAGCTAGGAACCCCTGCAGCTCGTAGACAGCTGCTTTCAAATCTTTCCCTTCTACAAGTTGGGTTAGTTAGGAGGTAAATGTATAAGAAAAAAGATAATATGAAATACATACCAAGCCGCTTGTCTGGTTCTTTCAGGTCTGCTGGTTTACCACGCATGCTACCAGTTTCGCTAGCATCATCTGGTCTTCCTCTTAGAAACGAGGTTACAGATGGTGCATAAGTCCCATTCTTAACTTTCGGCTTGTCATCGGGTGTAGTGGGTTCAGCACTGTGAATGCTGGTACCATTTTCAGGCTGAGAGGGATTCTCCTCTGAGCTCTCCAAACTTTCCTGTGCAGGTTCTTCCTCAATAGATGATAGCTCTCCAGCAATGAGTTTAGGGAATAACCGTATAACTATCTCGGGAGGAGCTGAAACTTCTGTAAAAAGGTCCAACGACTTCCGGTATTTCTGCTTTTCGAATAGAGTCTGGGCCTTGCGAAGCTTGATCTCTCGCAGTCTACCCTCTTTGTCATTCAGAAGGGCATCTTCAAGCATTCCAAGAAGACTGATGGCTTCGTCGAGATTACCTTGTTCTACTAAACCATCAATCTGCGAGTCATAGTCGAGAGCACTCATTCTCCAGATCACACGTCCACTAGCCACGAGAAACCCCTTTCCTGCATGGGCAAGACTGATATTTGGCTGTGGGATATGGATCATGGCAGCTGATGGGAGGGATACCGATTGAAGAAGTGATAGAGTCTCTGGATTGCGCACTTCAAGTATGCCTTTGGATGCATCCTGAAGTGCTAGTAGGTAAGGGTATGAGTAGCCAACAGCTTCAGGAGCCACCGTCCAAGGAATCTGACGTCGTTTGAGGCCGTTCCCATCCGTGTCAATAAAATGTGAGTTGACATCCTTTGCCAGTAGCATCTGTCCTTCGCACAATCTTGTAGCGAGCGGTTTGGGAGTTGCTCCGCCCATGCCTATGTAGCTCATACTGGCACCTACTCCTCCCAGACGCCCCGTATCAGATCCGCCAGCCCCTCCAATGCTTCCAGGTCCTACAATATCCGTAACTTCTCTTGTCACAACATCAACAAGGACATAACTTGAGCTAAGTCCGGCTAGTAGCTTGGTACCGTTCGCCCAAGTAATGGTCTTTATCCCGCTAACAAGTGTTATCTCCGTAGCATCATCTTCAAGCTCCATGTCTTGCCATGTCCATAACATGAGCTTCCTCTTCACCGCAACAGCAAGCCTAGACACAATCGACGGAACCCCAGTGTCCTGATCCTTCTCGATGTTGGAGGTAACCGCGAAGGTGGTAGCCCCTTTAGTTCGAGTTAACTGTTCATGCAGCTCGTAGGACTGCAGATCGTGTATCGAGACATGGCCGTTCGAAAGGGAAAGGAGAATATTCGCCTCCTTGATAATCGCCAACTGCTCGATCTTATACCGCGAGAACTTCTCTAGCTCTCGCAGTAGATCTGTCGGTTTGGTTGCTGGAGATGGCTGAATGACACCACCGCCGTCACCACTGCCCTCCTGCGCCTCTGTGTCATCGCCAGCCCGTATCTCTGCTTCGTCGACGTTCACTTCATTAACCCTGTATATTCGCAGCGATCCTGTGTTCAGCCCGACCAGCAGCCTGTCCCCGTACGTCAAGATGGACTCTATCTTCGACTTGTCGCGAGGTCGGAACTCCACGAGGGGCCTCGCCGTGAATGCAGTCAGCATGGCTAGAGGGATGGGGGTAGTTTGATGGTATCGCGGACGCCCATGGACTGCACCGCTATGTCCATGAGGCCTGTGACCGAGCTGTCTCTCGTCTTCTTCCGCTTGTCCGCTGCTGCGTCCCTGAAGCTTCTCGTTCGCCGCAAGATGTCATGCTGCAGGACACGGCGGGCCAGGGAGACCAAGTGTGCAGTCACGTGGAACTATAATATAATAATGGCCAATAAGGAAGCTTTATTTTGTTGACGTCTGCATTTAAGGTTATCTCGTTATTGATTGGGCAACGGCTAGTCAAGCGTAAGCAATCTATTGGTCAGCTACCTGTTAAACCCTCAGCCAATCACTTCCACTCTCAACATTGAACCTGTCAATTCTTCTTTGACCAGCCTTCAAGTTGCATCCAAAATTTGTTTCACAATAGACAAGAGGCAAAAAACTAAGCATATATACTGTACTCTATACAGTAATTCAATAAATATTCGGGCTGGATAGATTAACTCGAGAAACGTAAGATCGATCCGAAGCTGTTATAGTCATGGCTAGGGAGTCCATTCTTCCTAAGCTAAGATAAATAAATGCTATGTCAAATAGATAGCATAAGAGTAGAGAAGTGACGTGAGGCCGTCTACCGGCCTTTAGTTTCCATATCTTATCCCCACTGTCAAGAGGGAGTCTAATTCATATGATTAAATCAAGTTCTCCCTTCCACCATGTATGCATGTTCCTTGAATTCCGTCCTAGAGAAGAGACCGTTCCACACACCATCCGACGCCGACATCGTGTATAACTCTATTTCATGCGGAAGTTAACCGAGTGAGGTGAAACAAATGGAGAAGAGAGCAATCGTTTGCCTGCTAGAAAGCCTACCACCAGCTTACTTTGCTACAGGCTGGCAAGCTGGTTCCTGATGTTTTGCAGACGATCCTTTGCCGCGCCAGGTCGAGACGGCAGGGATATTTGCTTTGAACCTCTTCTCTTCAGTTCCATAGGCACGAGGAGTAAGCTTTATCAGCGTGTGAAGTGGTACCTCCATCCATGGACTCTGTTCTTGGGACATGTTTAAGAAGTAAGAATATATGCAGCGGAGGACAGCCTGGTGGGTGACTATGAGGACGTTTTCGCTTCTTTCGAGTTCCATTATAATTGGTTCAAGACGGATGACGACGTCACGGTAAGATTCACCACCTCGGTAGCGGTAGTTGTATTTGTCGTCGTCACGGGCTTTAAAGTCTTCGGGGTATCTTTCTGCAATTTCCTCGTAAGTGAGACCATCGCAGACTCCAGAGTCGAGTTCGTCAAGGGCTTTCCATTCAAGTTTGTCATATCCTGTTTCTGCCTGGAGGAAACGGGCAGTTTGGATGGTACGTTTCAATGTTGAGGTCCAGATAACAATTTTGGTGCCGGGAGGAACACCAGATTCTTTGAGAAGAGAGGGTAATGCTCGGGCATATGCCTCACCACGGCTGGATAGATTGGCATCTCCGCCTATTTGGCCTGAGAGGTTGAACTCAGACTCTCCATGCTAAATCCTAGTGTATTAGTCGGCCATGCCATGGCAAACGATACAGAGGCGACAACTCACCCGAGATAGCCAGATAGATCTGGGCTTAATGTGAAGGTTGATGGTATAATATACGAGTCTACTAGACAGGTAATCCTTGATATTGTTGATCACCACGGACGTCCCGACATTGATGAGCTGGATGTACGATACATCCTCATCCTCCTCTATGGTTTGGTACACCTTTTCATAATTGCTGATCCGCTCCATGAAATCTTGGGCAGCTACTTCCGGGTCCTGTCCAACATAGTCTGGAGAAGTAGTTTTGACTTCTCTGATATTGTTCATGATGAGTTCCCGATCATCACACTTGGATTCAACAAATAGCGGCTCGATCCCAGCAGACTGGCACACATCACGGATCCACTTGCGGCGTTCCTTTGTCGAGTTGGTAGCATCAAGGATAGCGACCTGTCCACCGGTCGTTGAGAACCAGTGAAGCATGTCTGTAACTGCGGCTTCAGCTGCTGCTCGACGCAACCGTTCTCCATCGAGATTAGATGTGTCGAAGAACGCCGCTGTGGGCCGAGGAGTATCTTGTCGGCGATACTGCCCGACGTTGAAGATCTTTGCTGGAATACCGATCCATGAGAGATAACGTAGCGCTGTAGGCCCTGTTGTTAACTCGTGTAAACATTGCAGTAACGAAGACGACCTTACCTTTACCGGCGATAAGGCTCTTTCCCCGGGCCGGAAGGCCAACCATAACTACACATATCTTTGCATCGTCATTCTTCTTGCTGTTAGCTGGACGTTCTAGAGTACGATGCTTGCCATCATGCGCAGCCGGAGACTCTTCAGGACATGGGTGGTAGGCAGAGGATGCTTTAACTAGGGCCGCCATTATTATTCACGATGTTTCTTTCTTTTTGATAGTGCACAGCAAAGAGACAGTTGGGTGTTGAGACAGAATCAAAGACAGAAGATAGAGACAGACAGGGCGCGGGTATAGAGCAGAGGGTCTGGGTATAGAGCAGCAGCTTTGATATAGCTAGCCCTCCTGGCCTCCTGGATGCTGCCTCTGTGCAGTCTGCATTCACAACACAACTGGCGGGCTGTTCATCCGCTTAGTCGTCCACAGCGAGGAAGTTCCCTCCTTGCATGCATTTCTTGTGTTCTTGCTGCAGTCTTCTTGTCTTCTTGTCTTCCTGCCTTCTTCCGTCGGCCGTGGGTAGGTATATACTCCCTCATGTACTGGCGAAAAGGGGCTTTCCCCCTTATTATATACCCTGCTGCCTCCACACTCCATATTCCCGGAGGCTGTGTTTGACAAAAGTGGCTTGACTCCCCCATCTCCATCCTCGTCCTCTCCGTCCTGCTCTTCATCTCCTGTACGGGGGGACCTTTTGCTCCTCGTCGTCGCCGTCGCCGTCGCCGTCGCCTCCGAATCTCCACGTCGGAAAGTCTCGGAGAAAAGCGACTGTCTGTCGGGCGAACCCGCGAAGTCATGTGCCCGCTGCCAGGGTTGCCTGATTAGGAAATCCGCGGCGTGCTTTTTGTTTTCTGACGTCGAAGAATGAAGACGAGGATGAAGACGAAGAAGACGGAGAAGACGAAGACAGCAGAGACGGGCAGCAAGAAGACAAGATGCAGCGTGGACAGGGCGAGGCTGCGAGTTTGACAGCAGCAATGGCAATCATACAAACTGGCGGGAACAGTGGGGGAGACGAAGTGGGCTTTTTGCAAGAGTGCCAGTCCAGATCAACAGCCAGCAGAGACGAGCAGCCATGGCAGCAGCGAAATGGCGAGACAGCAAACAGACATTGATACGTACCGGCTCTCCGAATATCTTATACACCGACTGGCGGCGGCCAGACTCACCAGACGCCATCTTTTGCGCTGAAACCGGCCGAATAACCCAAGGTTAAGAGACGTTGCCTTTGGGTTGGCGTTGACGTTGACAGTTGACAGTTGACGGTTGGTTGTTGAGGAGGACGATTGACAGTGGCTGCAGCTAACTAGTTATATCAACTATTCCTGCCTGCTCGAACCGGCCCGGTCGTCTCCCTCTTATAAATATGCCATACAAACTGGCCACGAAGGTCGATGTTGGAAACGAACAAACGTCAATCTCTTCGTTGCTTTTCTTTGCTTTTTGAGTTTTTTTGCGCTCTCTGGGGGAAATCTAGAAGCCAGATGCTGGTAACCATTAGTTACTCCTGGGGATGAGGCGGCGGGCCTTGTCACCCGAGGAACAAAAATTTCAACGCTTGCTCCACCACCGAAATTGGCAGCCCACCAGCAAAGTTCCGCTCAACAGGATCCGACACGGCTTTATCCCAGTCGATATGGCGAGATCAAGAGACAGATGGCCTGATGAAGCTGCGGGGTTATCCGTTGGAGCGTTACAAATCAGCTTGACGCTAGCTGTGGTCCAGTTTCGGTGCGAAACATCGCCTCTCGCCAATCCCTGAAATCCTCAGGACGACAAGGAGACGACAAGATGATGAACTACTTACACGCAGAGCTTGTAGCTATGTTTGTCCAAGTATACCAGTCATATACCACACGATGGTCAGCTATGGAGGCCTTCCAACTTAATACGATACCCTGATACCCATGTCCCCTCCATACTTAAATCCAGGCCCAGAGTTTTTGAGCCTCACTTTGTTGCCTCTATGCATGTTGCCAGGCAGTGCATCAACATCATGCATCAATAATGTATTGATAAACAAATAGACATTGAAGACCACCACACGGACCTCCCATGGAACTGACAGAGCACAGCATGGGTCTGATAATTCCGCCAGCAAGATCGGTTGAATCCATGTCAATCACACCCGAGGGGAGGGGGTTGCTGCCTAGTCACCTTGCATGAATACCTGTCAAAGACACAGCCTCATCTTGTCCACAGGTGTATATTCACCCTTTTGGCTTAGTCGCTTTGATGATATCATCTTCATTGGCCTTTCCGAGTCTCAACCCCCTCATTGATCATCCTGAACAGTATGTGATAACCAAGGGTGGAAGTACCTTTTGCGGCGCATCACTTTTATCAGGACGATAGCCTGGTCATTACCTCGCATTCCCGTCCAACCACCCAGTGATATGCAAGGCATACTTCCCACCCCTGCGCTGCTGCCTGGACTTCTAGTCCCCTCAAATTGCATTATAAAAGGGGCTTTCTTTCTCTGTAGGTTTGCTTCCTCTTCTCATCCAAAAAGCATCTCAGTCACAGCTGCCCTCTGCCTATACCTGATATTCCCCCCGTCCAACCTACAAAGTCTTAGAAGGCTCTTTCAAGTCACCTTCACGTGAAAATGGCCTCCCGTTCCATGTCCCGCGAAGATATAGCTAAGCAGTATGAGAACTACTCGATTTATGTCATGCTCAGCAGTCGTGGCGCCAACCCTGGCTTCCACTGGGGTATCTTCATACCTACCAACACCCCCGATGGCCATCTTTGGCATGCCACCAACCGCGAGGGAGGCTGGAAACTTGATCAAAGACCTTCCAAAAACGTCCCATATTCCTTGAGTCTAGTCCTAGCCCATAAAATCGGCTCCGTCAACAACGCCAACTGGCAGACTTGCATCGATACCTTGAACGGAATTCCAGCTGGACCTCATCCTTCCCCCAATACTGGCGAGACGTTCTCCTGCAGGACCTGGGTCAAGGACGCCATCATCGCACTAGAGAAAAATGGGATTATTACTCTTAGTAAATCCATAGCTCGTATTGAGGAGACATTGCTGGATGCTGCTGCTTGTTACAAGGACGACGTGGAAGTCGGTGGGAAAATCGCCAAGGTTAAGAATTCTCAGATCTAAAAGAGTTCTCATATCCATTACGTGCAAGAAAGATACTCTGAAACGTGATTATCATATATATATGAGACTTATTGACCTAGAAAAAGGTCCTGAGGACAGGACAATTCTTATTTACTAGTAACTTGCTTCATTTGATTATGACATGCGAGGGGAATAAAATAAGAGATATACAAAATGCTAGCTATTCCGAGATTAGGCTTGCTGACATGGTAATATGACTTGAAAATCAGAGAGAATAGACAATGAGGGAAGGGAGAAGAGATTAGAATGGACCTAAAAGGTCCGAAAGCATATTTTCCACCCATAACTCTTCCCGATAGCCGGGAAAAACACTGTCGACTACATCAACAAGCCAACGTTCCACACTTCGAACGGTATAATGCATTTTGGTATATTCCCAATATTCCGGGAACCATCCTGCATTTTCCCAGTCAACAATACCCGTAATTTTTCCATTTTCTGCCAATATATTCCTTGGGTTGAGGTCGCCATGAGTAAAGACAACCTTATGGGGAATGTCATGCGATTTCGTAGCACGGGTCCGAATCTCTTCCCAGAAAGGATCAGTAAGATACTTGTTGAAATCAGCCTCAGACTTGAATCGTAACTCCTTATTCTGACTGTCTGGAATTCGCCAGTCTAAGAAGCCACCGCCTTGGGAGTTGCATATAAGATATTCTGAAGATGGATCTCTTGGTATTTTCCGAAGCTCAGAAATGTACCCCTTTAAATCAACCACGACTTGCTCTATCTCTTCATCAGTCATTGTGTTCAAACTTGGGCCAATGGGGCGTCCAGGAACGCAGGTCATTAGTAAATACGAATATCGTGACGTCTGTGCAACATCAATTGCCCTGGGAGCGGGGATATGGGTTGACTGTTCTATCATTTTTAGGGTGTGGGCTTCAACGTGATACTTTGGTGCAAGGGATGGTGATCCTCGGCGGAGGTATAAACCGAACGGGAGTTTATAGACGGTCATAGACAGTGTAGGTGGGTACATTTTGAGGCCAATCTGGGCTAAAAAGTCGTATACGGATGTTCTGACAAAAGAAGGTAGCGATGTCCAGAGCCGTCGGAAAATTGAGAAAAACGGAGAGATTGAAGATTTCACTGTTGAAGTCTTTTCTGGTACAAGTTAGAGGGAAATATATTCATGGACGAAGAGAAAACCTTGTGACTTACTTGAAGCATTGGCTAGACGCTTCTGCATATATTCATGAGCTTCCATCCACGCCAATGGTCTTGAGAAGGATCTGTGTATTGCAAAGAGATTTTTATTAGGAGTAAGCGTTAAATGAGGTTTTCTATTCTCAATATGAATGGAGCCGCCACGATCTAGGGAGAAACTTTCGGGGTGACTAGGCGTAAATCCGCTATGAAAGACGCTATACTTTTGCATGTCAATACTATTAGCTATAATATGGAGTCCAAATACTCACCTCTTGCTTCAAATTAGATTCTGTTTTGTTATCCCCACGTTGTACCCGGAGGTATGCGTCTCCCTTTCTAAAATAGTCCCAAGCTGTGGTAGAAAGTAGCCAAACGTTTCCCAGTTTGTCTGTCTGTCCGTTCTCTAGAGAGTAGATGATATCCAATAGTTCTCTTGATAGAAAGTAACTCAAAGGCTCAAACAGAATACTCTGGCACATCCATTAGCTTTGGGTTGAATATAATGAAGTAGCAACATGTACACATACCCCTTCAGATAGATCTGGACCGCTGGTAAACACAGTTGGTGGGACAATATGAAGGTATACAAGCCCTTCAGCACGGTGATTCTCAAAAGTTATTCCGGTAAGGCAGCACCGGCCTCCGTCCCGTTCGAATACCAACTTCTTCTCCTCGTCGGAGAGCGAAGTTGCCTCCACCGGCCGAACTTGACCTTGTGTCAAAACAATAAACCTCGTAAAGGATTTCCACAAAAATACTTACACATGTTTATTAGAATCTTCCAGTTTGATAGAAACTGATAAACAGCCTTATTGGAAGGTAGACTGGAACCGTCACCCATAGATATCTTATTAAGGAAAAATTGCGCAGCTTTTTCGGAATCAGATGCATTTTTAATAAATGCACCTAGAATGGCCCTGTCGGGATGGGGTATGTCTGCAATGACCAGGTATGCTTTGTATTGGGGTGATTCCTTGTCGAGAAGGAATAGCTGGGAGGCCGACCGAGCGACATGTCGGGGGATAGCCATGATAAGGGTAGATTAGAGTGATAAGTCGTTGAGTTGTAGTTACTGTTTCTCAGAAGTATGAGTACCATAGATAGCCCCTATGGTGCTCCACAGGTAGGGTGCTTGTTTACACTTTGAAGTGAACTCTCCTGTGCAATAACCTCCTGGTCCGGTGTAGTGGAAGTTGGCCAGCGATTTATACACACCTAATAGAAGATCACTCCAAGCAGGTGGACATAATGACAAATAGCAGAAACTGGTCAACACGAAGGCGTAATGTGAGGTTTAACAAACAGGAGAAGTGTTTACCTGCGAAACTCTTTTGGCGCGCTTGATCGGCTGCCTAGGCGCCAATGAGCGCTTTAGCTCGGTCACGTGTAACTAACTAGTGGAGGCCGAGTTCAAGGCCTAGAACTTGCGGCCAACGATGGGGATAACTAGTTATTGAGTTACGTCGCGAATGTTGAAAAGAGAAGAGAGGTTTACCACGCTGTCTTGACTTGACATTAAAGGTTGAGAGTAGGGGACCTGTGGCTCTTATGCGGAACATCTGATGTTGAGCCGTGTTTTTTCGTTTTTCTGGCGGCCATGGTCAACGGGTCTACTCTCCAATCTATCTGTTTTCTTTCGCTCCCTTAGTCGGCTGTTTGGAATATCCGAAGGGAGATCCGAGAAATACAATGGAGACATAGAGCAGTGCAAGGTAAGTAACTAATGCTCCTACTACCGTGCAGAGTTACACTCTGATGAATTCTTCTTTACAATTTCAGACTCCGACGGCCGTTCATCCTACTGCTCTCAATTACTCAAAGGACACAACAACCCTCATTACCCCGGGCCTATGGATGCGAGAACTAAATCCTGATCTACCGGACGAATATTTCAAACCCCCAGCCAACACAAGAGCAGATAACATCTATGTGTCCAAGGGAGTTCTTTTAGATATCGGCGGGACCGCGTATCTTGAACGGCCCCCCTCTGGAGAAGTGATTAAAACACCTTTACCAGACGTAGATCCTCGATGCTTCCGAGAAAATTGCCGCAACATGCGCATTGAAGCTCGAGTTTATAAAATACTTGGTAATCACCCACGGGTGCCGACACTGCTAAGTTGGGACCCGGAGACGTGTTGCATCAGGATGGAATACGTGGCCCATGGCAGTTTAAAGGATTACATGGACAAGAATGAGGAGAAGTTATCTCCCGAGCTCCGTCTTCGATGGGCAAAACAAGCCGCAGAAGGACTCACTCTTCTTCATTCTCATGACATACTTCATTGCGACATTTCGCCTCGGAATTTCCTACTGGATGAGAACTTAAATCTCAAAATATCTGATTTCGGTGGTGTTTCAATTTCTGGTGCTGAGCCTACTGCTACTGCAGGAACAAGGTTCAGATGGCCTGTCATGGACTGGGATATTCCTCCCACGGTTGAAGACGATATTTTCAGCCTTGGATCGTTGATCTACTTTATTATGAGTGGGGTGTATCCTTACAAGGACGCAGCCAGCGATGAAGTAGAAAGGTTATATGTGAATTGGGAGTTCCCTGATGTCAGTGACATTGTATGTGGTGACATTATATGTCGATGCTGGTACCGAAAGACAACCGCTGGAGAAGTATTCAACGCTCTAGAACACATTTCACACCAACATATTGCTAAAGTCATATCTGGATTGTGAAAACATCTTATCGAGGATCGTAATCTTGAAAGCCTTCGTCCCTATGGCGCAGACACCGTGTACGACTGACTGTTCTTCCTAAATACACCTCCGGTGGGTTTTGGCAAACTCTTTTGCTCTCGGCGTGTTGAAGGCATTTTATCTTCTCCAGGTGTCGTCTAACTTTGGTGCAGGCCTCTGAGCATTTTGCGTATTTTATTGTGGTGATGTGTATCTCACACATTTCTATTTCCTACCGGTCGTTAGGTGCCATTATCCGGTATGGGAGTCTGGTACATTTAATTGAGCCTGTACAATACCAGGCCTGAGGTGAGTGCTCACCCCTTATAAATTGCGCAGAACGTGATCAATGAATTCTGTCCACCGACTGGTAGGTCGTTAGCTATTTCGACCGGCACAGAGCAAGGCTTTCAAGGAGGAATAATCAAGGTATTTGAGCCTCTCTCAATCTGAGACTTTCCTTGCTATTAAGCATTGTGGATAGCGAGTCGGAAAAATCACAGTATGATCTTTTTGACTGATTCACGTTTATATATCGAGCCTCACTGAGTTGGACCCCTCTCGCTAGATAGAGATCTGCATGGTGCATATTGCTGCCTAGATGGATTTTCTTTTTTTCTCTGTCATGAGGATATTTGCCACGCCTCATACAGAGTAGGTCAAGGCTGATTTCCTAAAGTTTAGATACATATACAGACACAATGCGACGACTAGATGCTACATATCATGGACTGGATGCTACATGTCATGACACTGGCCCAGCATTAAAATGCTATTACGGAGTACAGAAGTAAAATATACTGAAGTCAGAAAATGTGATTCGCCTAACTAGTCAATGTACAAACATTAATCCGTATATTGTTCAGCATTCGACAAGAAAACGAAGCCCGGTATAAGCAAGATATCAAACAGAGAACTAGAAAGGTACCATCCTAAGGCACAACTCCGTGTACATCAAGTGTTTATTTCGGAGGATACTTGTTCTGGAAGAACCACCTTTATCAAGTCAATATACACCCATTGCCTTGATTATGCGATATATTTTAACATACCTGCTGACGTAGTAATCGAAGAGACCTAGAGCGCCGATGCCACCGGTCCATGCAGCAACCAACTCCCACGTCAATGCTCCGCGCAGGTGCTTCTGGTACGCACCATATGCCAACCCGGCACTGGCAGCAGTGAGGAGAACCATGTTCCCAATGACGACGGGATTAGACTTGTTACGGTCGAACTTGTCGTAACCTCCTGCAGCAGCCTCCTGGGCACGTTCACTGACATCCTTCGCCGTCTCTTTGGCCTTCTGTTTGCCCTCTCTGTACTTCTTCTTTAGTTCTTCTTGTTCCTTCTCGAGCTCAACGCGGGCTTCTTGCGTCTTGGTTTTTATCTCCTGTGCATTAAAGTCTGATGGGACGGTAGAAACATGTGGCGAATCGACATCTACAAGATTAGAGGTGTTGTTCTCTTCTCTCTTCACCTGCGGAGGCTCAGGAGCTCGACTAAGTGTTGGTTAGTTTGTGATCCCTTCCTTCAACATTGCCATTGATGCGTATACTCACGCCTAGCAGGTTGTCAGTAAGGTGATCAATTATGGGGTTAAGTGTGGAATACTCACTTCTTCTGCGGTCTGTTTAGCATTCTGAGCAGCGGCTTTGGCGTACGACATGGTGCTTGAGGAATTGACTATGACGAAGACCACCTCAAGACTAGTTATCAGGCTCGTATAGGATGTAGCGCTGTATCTTTAGCTGAGGGTGGAGAGGCAAAAGAAGGCCCGGGAGCAGATGTACTCTTTATATAGGTTGCTCTGGAGCTTTGCTTCTAGATACCGCTATTACGTCATACCTGGGGGCAGGACTTCCAAGGCACAACACGGAGGCCGGCAGAGGAAGAGCGGCAAATAGCATGGGATTTTCACATGATTATACGTAGGGATTAGATGATATAACGTATTACCAAAAGGATAGAGGAGGGTAAGATCTGTAGGCAGCGGGTTAGTATCGCATAGTCTGTGTTTCACCAGCCACGCATATGTGAAGTGCTGGCAGCAGATGTGGTCAGTATTCTACCAAGACAGAGCTAAATGAAGTTCGTAGAGACAACAGAAAGAAATCCAAGATGGAATATTCGCTTGAAGGACGTAGTATATAACACATGAGAGAGGAAGAAAGGTCGGAATAAAGCGCGAGGTGCATGAGGGACGGAAGATAGGATGTAGCGCAAGGGTAAAAGGGGGTCAGGGGAAGTACATGTTTTAATACACTATTTTTAAACAGGGGAAAGGACGATTTCCAGCTGTAAAAATCTGCTATATGAAATACAGGATCAAGTCTAATAGGAAGATCAGGAAGAGAATCCGGTTAATGGGGAATATGGAGGCAGGGAGGTAGAAGGTTCGATGGGTAGATGAAGTTGGGAAAGATTTGAATGAGTTTAGAGGAGAAGTTCGAGAGGGTTCTCGACAACTCTCTTGAGCTCACGCATGAACTCAGCTCCGACAGCACCGTCAATGACCTTGTGGTCAAAGCTGCCGGTGACCACAATCTGGTCATCCCATTCAATTTCAGTGCCTTCCTCAAGCTCGGAGCGGACAGCTACCTTGCGAGTGGTACCGACCGCAAGGATAGCGGACTGAGGAGGGTTGATAACGGCAGTGAAACGTTCAATGGCAGGGTTCATGCCCATGTTGCTGATGGTGAAAGTACCGCCGTTGTACTCCTCAGGCTTGAGCTTGTTCTCCTTTGCGCGCTTGCCGAGGTCCTTGACTTGGCTGGAGATGTTGGACAGGCCAAGTCCCTCGACACCCTTGACAATAGGAGTAATAAGGCCAGATGGAGTAGCAACCGCAACGCTGATGTCGACGGTCTTGTGCTCACGAATCATCACTTGGCCGTTTTGCTCGATCCATCGGGAGTTAACAGTGGGAACTCTCTTGAGTGCAACAGCGCAGGCCTTGATAAGGAAGTCATTGACAGAAAGCTTGTATCGACCCTCTGAGGATTCGTTCAATGCTTGGCGAAGCTTGAGAAGACGGGTGACAGACAGAGTGGAGGAAACGAAGTAGTGTGGGTTCTCGCGGATCGACTGAGCAAGACGGCTGGCGATAACCTTGCGCATGGAGGAGGCTGGAACGTCCTCATAGGCTGGGCCAGCGGCACCAGTAGCTGGAGCAGAAGCCTGGTGCTTTTCAACATCTTCCTTGGTGACTCGTCCACCTGGGCCCGTTCCCTTGACGTCCTTGATTGCAACACCCTTCTCAAGAGCGAGCGCCTTAGCAGCCGGGCTGACAAATGGCTCTCTGTCAAGACTGGGCTGCAATTTCTCTCCGGTAGTGTCTGCTTCCTGGGCCTCTGGCTTGTTCTCCTCGAAGGTTGGGGTTGGAGCGGCCTTGGTCTCAGCCTCCTCGGGCTTCGGGGCCTCCTTGGGTGACTTGTCAGCAGCAGGAGCTTTGTCACCGCCCGCATCCTCCAAACTGAAAGACTCGAATGGGCTGATGTCCTCTCCTTCTTCAACCATGACGGCAATTGGCTATCCAGAATATCAAGTTAGAATTATCCCGGTCATGACGGTAATTTTTTTTTTTTCTGCTTTGAATACTTACGTTACCAACAGCGACATCCTTCTCACCAGCATCCTTCAAGATCTTAGCCAAAACACCTTCCTCCTGGAATTCAAAGTCCATCTGGGCCTTGTCGGTTTCGATTTCTACCAAAACATCGCCGGGAGAGAGAGTATCTCCAGCTTTTTTGTTCCAAGCTCCAATATTTCCAGAAGTCATAGTAGGCGAGAGAGCAGGCATGCTAATGATGGTGTGGGGAGGGTAAGCTATATCACTGTTAATATATGGTTTATTTCGGCGTCACATCGGAGTATGGAGTAAGGCATTGTTCGCATACATTTGGAAGCATAGTATCTGGCCAGCGAAGCGTAGGCTGGCACTGCGGACCTAGAGAAGGCCGATGTTAGTCAGAATCAATGCAAATGGCACTCTCCGATACCATTGGCGGTCATACCTGAGCGCATCAGAAAGACGAAGCACATTCCGCGACTCCCTCAGTCCATGTTGTGCGGTCTTGGAGAGCAGCAACCGCCGCGACAGCACGGCAGCAGAGGCCATTGTTGATATCTGTCTGGAAGGAGTGAAACGGGCAATTGAATCTGCAATCAAGGGGTGTGAGAGCAGGCTGCAGACAAGCTGGCCCAGGGGAGCGAGGTCGATGGAGGATAAGAGGAGTGGGAGATGTGAAGATCGTGGACAGCGTGAGATCTCTCGTCTTCGACTCTGCGTCTGCGCTGAAACTGAGATGATTTTGTTGAGCTTCGCCGGAAAGCGGATCCTCTGTCGGGGCCGCGGTCACGTGGAATTTCCCACCAAACACGGCCGATAGCTTAGTCACGATCGACGCATCTGGACTAGCGGCTACGGCGGACGCAGCAGCCCAGGCGCGCTGATGACTAACATGATGACCAAGGACTGACGTAAACCAGCTTATATAATCACCTGGGGAAAACGGCAGAGAGAAGGCCAGTTGTAGGCATTAGAGATGTTGCCTGTAGATGCATCCAACGAACTACATTGATGAACGACATCGACAAAGGAGCCCGGAACCGCGCAGACGCCCCCCTTACCTCGCCCTCCACTCGTTTGCCGCTCCTTGCGCTTATGGTTTTCAGCGTCGTCTAGTTCGGACCGGGTCCTTGTCTGTTTAAAAGGATATATCTGACCTGCCAGCAGGCCTGCTACACTCCCAATGGCCGATTCCGAAGAACGTCCACCCGAGGCTGTACAGCAACCGGAAGCACATGCTGAGCCAGATACCACGACGGCGGATGAGACAGCAGTGGCAGAAGAGCCCCAGCCGCCACAAGAGGACACGGTCGAAGACGAAGCTGAACAGCCCGAGGGGGAACAACAGCCTGGCCCGGAAGACGGGGGAGACGAGGACGACGATGCCACGGAGACAGACGCTCGCGAGGGCGCTGGTGCGGAAGGTGGAGGTGACAATGCCACGCTAAGGGCTTCAGAACAGACTCCTTCGGTTGTAATAGAGCAGTCGAGGTCGCGGTCTGACTCCCGGTCAACGGTTGCAACGCAGTCTGGCCAGCAGCGTTCAACACCTCTCAGCTCAGCTGTATTCGTGATCACGGCTTTGGATACAATTGCGGCCTCGAAGGAAGCCCGGAAGAGCAAGGAGCTGGAGGACGCAGTCAAGCTGGCTCAGGCCAACATTAAACAATCCGACCACCATCCAATAGATCCAGAATCGATCTTTTTACCCTTACAATTGGCGAGCAAGACCGACAGTATCCCGCTGCAGGTCACTGCCCTAGACTGTATCGGCAAGCTGATAACCTATTCTTACTTTGCCTTTCCCTCTGTTCCCGATGGAAGCGAGTCTGCAGACCAACCTCCGCTGATAGAACGCGCAATCGAGACAATATGCGACTGCTTTGAGAACGAACATACCGCTATAGAGATCCAGCAACAGATTATCAAGTCTCTCCTGGCTGCTGTGCTTAATGACAAGATTGTTGTCCATGGTGCCGGCTTGCTGAAGGCGGTTCGACAAATTTACAATATCTTCATCTACTCCAAGTCTGCGCAGAACCAGCAGATAGCACAGGGATCGCTGACTCAAATGATTGGCACTGTCTATGATCGCGTACGCACCAGACTGGATCTCAAGGAGGTCCGTATACAGGAGACGGAGACTCGGGAAAATCGCAATGGCTCTACAGTTGACTCACCTCCTAACGCCGCGGAGGATGGCGCCGTCACGGACGTTGAAGGACAATCCGATATTGGATCCTCAAATGTTGTAGATCAACCTGTCGCTAAGGAGCCGACGGAGAAACTGACTCTACAAAGTTTCGAGACCAACAAGGATGATACCATGGTCAATGATAGCGCACCAACAATGGTCACAAGAGCCAAGGTGGTAAGAAAGACATCAAAATCTGGCGAGGAACTGGATCCGGCGGCCGATGAAGAGGATGAAATATATATCAAGGACGCCTTTTTGGTCTTCAGGGCTCTATGCAAACTGAGCCATAAAGTGCTCACCCATGAGCAACAGCAAGATTTGAAGGCGCAGAATATGAGGTCAAAGCTACTCTCTTTACACCTAATGCAACACCTCCTAAACAACCATATCGCTGTTTTCACCTCTCCCATTGCAACCATCAGACACGGTTCAAACTCTGATGAAAGCATGACACTACTACAGGCCATCAAGCCACATCTTTGTCTTAGTTTGAGTAGGAATGGCGCTAGCTCTGTTCCCCGCGTATTTAATGTCTGCTGCGAAATATTCTGGCTCATGTTAAAGCATATGAGGGTGATGTTGAAGGTTAGATTATCTCCATTATACCCCTTTTTCACTCTTTCATTCATTCGGATTTACTAAACCATAGCTGCAGAAGGAACTGGAGGTCTTCTTCAAGGAGATATACCTGGCTATTCTTGAGAAGCGTAGCTCCCCTATATTCCAGAAACAGAGCTTCATGCATATTTTAGAGCGTCTCTCTGGCGACCCAAGGGCACTGGTTGAGATATATCTAAATTATGACTGTGACCGTACTGCATTGGAGAATTTGTTCCAAGGGTATGTCAGTTATCTTCGGACCATGACCATGGCTAATATTGCAAAAATAGAATCATTGAACAGCTTTCTCGAATGTCAAGTATGCCTGTGTCAGTTACTGCGTCACAACAACAGCAGTATGAACAACAACATTCCAAAGCCCCATCTACCCCTAATGACTGGCATAACCGTGGTACTCTTCCCCCTTCCCTCACCACTGCCAAAATTGACCAAACTCCTCCGCCCACTAATAACCAACATTACCCCCCTGAATACGCCATGAAGCAGAATGCGCTGGAATGTCTAGTAGAGATACTCCGCTCTCTCGATATATGGTCCTCTCAGGATAGCGAGCCTAAGTCCTTAGGCCGAGGACTGATGTCGCGTAGCTCAGTTGACGTTTCCCGAGATTCCATGGATACAAGCCAAGGAGGCCCTATCATTCCATCACCTCGGGTTGACAACGCAGATTCAGACACAGGCGCATCATCACCTGTTCCTGAAGATGACCCCAATGAAATTGAAAAAGTCAAGCAACGCAAAATCGCATTGACAAATGCAATTCGGACCTTCAACTTCAAACCAAAACGCGGAATGAAAATCTTGCTATCTGAAGGTTTCATCCCATCGAACTCCCCCACCGATATTGCACACTTTATCTTTAGGAATGACAGACTAGACAAGGCAACCCTTGGAGAATATTTAGGAGAAGGCGATGCAGAAAATATTGCTGTCATGCATGCATTCGTCGATTGCATGGATTTCACTAAACGCCGGTTCCCAGACGCGCTTCGAGACTTCCTACAAAGCTTCAGATTGCCTGGAGAATCCCAGAAAATCGATAGATTCATGCTCAAGTTCGCACAGCGATATGTGACTCAAAATCCCAACGCATTCGCCTCGGCAGATGCAGCTTACGTTCTCGCTTATTCAGTTATTCTACTTAATACAGATCTGCATAGCACGAAGATGAAGGGCCGCCGTATGACAAAGGATGACTTCATTAAGAATAATAAGGGAATTAACGATAATGCTGATCTTCCAGTTGAATATCTCAGCGGCATTTATGACGAAATTCTGAATAATGAGATCGTTCTACGCACCGAACGTGAGACTGCTGCAAACCTGGGTCACTTGCCTGCTCCCCAACCAGGACTAGCTTCGAGAGCCGGTCAGGCACTGGCTACTGTTGGTAGGGACATTCAGGGAGAAAAATACGCACAGGCGTCAGAGGAAATTTCCAGCAAGACTGAGCAATTGTATCGAAGTCTGATTAGAGCACAGCGGAAGTCAGCTATGAAGGAAGCACTGTCGCGTTTTATCCCCGCTACTTCGGTACGACACGTTGGGTCCATGTTCAATGTGACATGGATGTCCTTCCTTTCTGGCCTTTCGGCTCAAGTGCAGGATACACAAAATCGGGAAACAATTCGTCTGTGTATGGATGGAATCAGATTAGCTATCCGTATCTCGTGCATGTTTGACCTCGAGACTCCAAGAGTCGCTTTCGTTACTGCGCTAGCCAAGTTCACCAACCTAGGAAACTTGCGCGAGATGGCTGCGAAAAATGTGGAGGCCCTTAAGGTTCTGCTAGATGTTGCTATAACCGAAGGTGATCATTTGCAGAGCTCCTGGAGAGAGATCCTCACCTGCATCAGCCAACTTGATCGATTCCAGCTTCTTACAGATGGAGTGGATGAAGGCTCATTGCCTGATGTTTCACGGGCATCGCCATCTACGGACTCACGTTCTCAAAAGTCCCTTCAAGTTCCAAAGAAGCCCCGACCACGTTCTGGTAACGGACTAGCATCCTTCCGAAGAGATGTTGCGATTGAGAGCCGCTCGGCTGAAATGGTCAGAGGTGTAGACATGATTTTCACCAATACCGCCAACCTCAAACAAGAGGCTCTCGTCGACTTTGTGCGTGCACTTAACGCCGTTAGTTGGCAAGAGATCCAGTCCTCTGGACAAAGCGAATCCCCGCGAACCTATAGTCTCCAGAAGCTAGTGGAGATCAGTTACTACAATATGACGCGAGTTCGAATTGAGTGGAGCAAAATCTGGGAAGTTCTCGGTGAACATTTCAACCATGTTGGTTGCAATGCTAACACGGCCGTTGTGTTCTTTGCATTGGATTCGCTCCGGCAACTTTCAATGAGATTCATGGAAATCGAGGAACTCCCTGGTTTTAAATTTCAGAAGGACTTTTTGAAACCCTTTGAGCATGTCATGGCAAACAGCACCGCAGTAAATGTCAAGGATATGGTGCTGCGATGTCTGATTCAGATGATTCAAGCTCGTGGAGATAACATCCGCTCCGGGTGGAAGACGATGTTCAGAGTGTTCTCTGTTGCAGCTTCAGAACCATACGGTACGTTAACCTGGGGCTACAGACCCCATTATCTCATTTATCTCGTTAACTAACCTTTCACTTAACAGAGGGTATTGTAAACATGGCATTTGAGCATGTTACTCAAATATACAAAACTCGCTTTGGCGTTGTCGTTTCGCAGGGAGCTTTTGCCGATTTGGTTGTTTGCCTTACCGAGTTCTCTAAGAATCTCAAATTCCAAAAGAAATCTCTTCAGGCAATCGAGACGCTCAAGTCTACAATCCTGAAGATGCTGAAAACGCCGGAATGCCCTCTTTCCCACCGCCGTACAAACTCTGGCTCGTCACAGGGTGAAGTTGTTGCTCTGGCCGCGGGCCAGTCTCCTGAGGAGCAATTCTGGTATCCGCTATTAATCGCTTTCCAAGACGTCCTTATGACTGGAGATGACTTGGAAGTTCGATCGAGGTAATATTCCGCGCATATTTATAGTATTTATTGGTAGCTAATAGTTTGGTAGGGCTCTCACATATCTCTTCGAAACGCTTATTAGATATGGCGGCGACTTCCCACCTGCTTTCTGGGATGTTCTCTGGCGTCAACTTCTCTACCCCATCTTCGTCGTACTGCAGTCCAAGTCCGAGATGTCCAAGGTTCCTAATCATGAGGAACTCTCGGTCTGGCTTTCGACCACCATGATCCAAGCCTTGCGAAACATGATTACCCTCTTCACGCATTATTTTGACTCCTTGGAATACATGTTGGATAGGTTCTTGGGCCTTCTGACCTTGTGTATATGCCAAGAGAACGATACCATCGCCAGGATCGGAAGCAACTGTCTCCAGCAGCTAATATTGCAAAATGTCAATAAGTTCACCCCAGAGCACTGGGAGAAAATTGTCGGGGCGTTCGTGGAACTCTTTGAAAGGACCACTGCATATGAGCTTTTCACTGCGGCGACCACCGCACCAGGTATGGCTCCTGAGCGAAGAAATATAGAAGAAGCCACGTCTCAGGCCGACCCCGGTTCTCCTTCGGCTAAGCCTGACCGAGGCCAAGAGTCAACACGACCCAGTGAAGACGGGGATGAGACACATCAAGCGCAACTTCCAGCTGCCTCATCCGAGCTCGAGGACTACCGCCCTCAGCCTGACTTGCAACAACCTCCAACTGTCGTTACTGCCGCGCGACGACGATTCTTCAACCGCATCATCATTAACTGCGTCCTTCAGATCTTAATGATTGAGACTGTAAATGAACTCTTTTCAAACGATGCTGTTTATTCGCAGATTCCTAGTAAGGAATTGTTGCGGCTGATGGCGTTGCTGAAGAAGAGCTACCAATTTGCCAAGAAATTCAACGGGGCAAAGGACTTGAGGCTCAAGCTGTGGAAGCAAGGTTTCATGAAGCAGCCGCCAAACCTTCTTAACCAAGAAAGTGGTAGTGCCGCTACCTACATTAATATTCTCTTCCGTATGTACCATGATGAGCGCGAAGAGAGGAAGAACAGCCGTTTGGAGACAGAAGACGCTCTAATACCGTGAGTCACCTCCACCCTACTTTCCCTGTCCCATCGAATGTGTTACACTAACCTAGACTTAGTCTGTGTGCGGACATTATAAGACGATATGTTCAGCTGGATGAGGAGTCCCAACAGCGAAATATCACCGCGTGGCGCCCAGTTGTAGTTGATGTCGTTGAAGGATATACGGGTTTCCCTCTCGAAACCTTCGAAAAGTACATTGAAACCTTCTACCCTATTACAGTTGACCTCCTTTCCCGCGACCTTAACGTTGAGATCCGGCTCGCGATCCAAGCCCTGCTCCGCAGAGTCGGAGAATGCCGGCTTGGTATCACTCCACAAACACCCATCACCTCACCTACCAGTCCTCGAAGCTCCACTTCACACAGCCATTTCAACGGCCGAAGACAGAGCGTGGGACGATAGGCTCCGTTTCCTTTACCCCTCTAACATCACACTTTGTATCTTTGCGTTCCTGGCTCCCTTAGACGGTTATTCTGAACTTCTCGTCTCCCAGTTGATATCCGGTTTTTAACATCTTACTTTTTGTTTGATATTTTAGCTCCTTGGTTTATGTATTCTGGAAAAATTAAAAGCTAATCAGAGCGAAAATTTCACTTTTCCCTTTACCTTTTTAACTCTTCTGGGGTGTAGTTTAGTTTAAGGAGACTTCGCCATGTATGTAGCTTTGCACTTTAAGTTTATCTCAAAGCCTTCCATTAGCGCTTGGAGCGTTATCATTGGATGAGTGACCCCCATGCTTGGCATTTCATGTTTATCTTATCTGATCATCTAGGCGCTCTTGATCCAACACGCGGACAGTTCATTGTTGCTGCAGTAATACTACCATAAGAAAGTCATTCTTCCAGCTGCTGGTTTAATTAAATCTCGTAAGCATTTCAGTTTATATAGCTGCTTAGGAGGTACATTGCATTTAGAAATATTAATAAACTACTTGTTAATATGTTATTATTGGTCCAATCAATCTGTACTATGCGGTATGACGACATAGATTGTCTCTATAGAGAAGTGGCCTTGTATCCAGCCAAATGGCATTGTTGACATAACACGGCCCGTGGAATTAAAGTATGCATGAAACGGAGAGGCGATACCACCTCCCAAAAATGATACCTGAAACATATTACATCGTACACAGGTAGAGAGCGCTATGAATAAGAGGTACAATGGTAAATATTACCTAGATGATTAGTATATAGTAGTTATATGTAACTTGGCATATTGTACATGTTCGATTTTCATGAGCTCCAGCCCATGCTCCCATCAAATGGGGCGATAATATCACCTTGCTTTAGTCGAACTTGTTCAAATGTCGGGACTTTACCAGCTTCGTAATGCCGAAGCAAATTGTCCATATCTTCTTCGGTCATGCTAACGAGCTCATCCAGGCTCCATGTGTCACATATCCGGGATATCCTGCATAGAATGTCAGTGTCAATGGCCGGCATAAGTAAAGAACGCTCATATCATAATAGTCACGTACCAGTTCATTCTCTTTGGCCCTTGGTTGGGAGCTGGGACAGCTGCCCGCAGTTTCTTCCGTAACACCCCCACATTCAGAATTGCGGCACCGGCATTATCAGGAAGACTATCTGCAATCTTCTTCCGTATGATGCTAGCCAATTTGGGGCCGTTCCCGTTTGTACTGACCATGACTTGCAGGGGCCCATCACGATGTACGCTGCCAAAATAAAAATCACACTCGGACGGCACGTCAGCAATGTTAGCAGGGATGCGCTGCTCCCTGCACAGCTTCCATATCTGAGTGGAAGCCTCGGGATCGTCGACAGCCACGAAGACCATGTCGATGCCCACTAGATCTTCAGGTTGGAACTTCCGATCGACATGGCCAACTTGCTGCTCGGCCACGCGAAAGGCCACTTCGGCATTTAAACACGCCTTGGGACAGACGACGACGACCTTCGCGTCTGCATTTAGCGCATGTAAGATGCGGCCAGCAGCTACCTAGAAAGCGCATGCGTTATTAATGATAATATATACACACACATATATATATATCTTTAATTTTTATTTATTTATTTTTTTGATTGTCCGCATATTTATGTATTTTTCGAACAGCCGCCATAGCCTCGAGAATAGCTGAACAGGGGAAGGAAACCAACCTCACCACCGCCGACTACCAGGACTCGCTTGTCCCTCACCTGCCACGCGACAATGAGAGAACCGCCCGGCTGAATAGCAGGAAATTCACTGGACATAATCAAAGTCGGGACTCCAGAACTGCCATGTACTGGCGCGTGAAGAAATAAATATTATTTATTATTGAAGAAAAAGTGCTCAATTTATTTTTTATTTTAATTTTTATTTTTATTTTTTGTTTCCCGTCAGGTCACATGTTCTTCACCCAAAAAAAGCTGCGGCGCAAGTGAAACTCTAAAATCACCTCCATCTTCTCGACCGCCTGAAAAAAGCGACGAACGACGCAGAAGAAACACATAAAAGCAGGGCCAGAGAAAGGAGCCGGCCAGAGGAAGAGGACGCTCATGGAAGGCTGTCTTGACCGACGCTCGCGATATCTCCTGTTGATGCCCCTGGAATCCTATACGACCCTTGCCTAAAACCTCCGACCTCAGCCATGAGAGGCGTGCTAGTGTTCTCGGGGACCTCGCATCCCACCCTGACTGAAGCGATATGCGACAGATTGGGGACTCTACCAGCTCCTTGCGAGCTGCGGAAATTCAGCAATGGCGAAACCAGCGTCAATATCGGGGCTTCTGTCCGCAATCAGGATGTTTATATTGTCCAGAGCGGGAGCAGGAAGATCAATGATAGTGTAATGGAGCTGTTGATCATGATATCCGCCTGCAAGGGAGGTTCGGCGAAATCTATAACAGGTGTGTTCCTCCCGTACTCTAAAGAGTGGTAGAATGTGTTTTTAAAAAAGAATTCTCGACTAACTAGCTTGAAAGCTGTTATGCCGTAGGTTTATCCCTCGTTTTACTCTATACACCCCCGGCTTCGGCTCAACTAACTATGCGGCATTCCAAAGATATTTCCCATACTCACGGCAATCAAAGAAGAAAAGCCACAGAGGAGCCATTACGGCTCGGATGCTTGCCAACCTGCTATCTGTGGCCGGTGTTGACCATGTCGTCACCGTGGACCTACATGTAAGGATCGACAGGCTCTAGATAGTAATTGGCACGGGTGACTGACAACGTATTGAAAAAAGGCCTCTCAAATGCAAGGTTTCTTCGGCAAGCCCGTTGATAACCTCTTTGCTGAACCTCTTATCGCGCGGTGGATTCGAATGAACGTCTCTCGATGGAATGAGGCGGTGGTCGTCACCAAGAACGCCGGAGGGAGCAAGCGGGTTACGTCTTTGGCTGATGCGCTGAAACTCAACTTTGGCATCGTCACTACTGATAGAAGACGGCAGAGACAAGCAAAAGCCGGTACTATGACCGATAGTGCCATCTTTTTCGATTCTGTTGAACAAGGCTTCACGACTAGCCATGATGGTGAGCAAAAGTTTGACCGTATACCAAGTACAACAATCCGTCGCTCAGTTGTCTCCGCCACAACTGAAAGCGGTATCCTCACACCTCGTAACAGCACTTCCGACTCCTCTGCTAACCCAGCACAAGAGTCGGAATCATATAGAACGCCACATCCGGATAGCATGCTCGCTCCGTCTACTCTCGCTGACGGATTTTCCTCTGAATATACCGATGAGCGAGCTCGAGAAGTTATCACCGGCCGCTTGGTCCAGGGGCACCTTGTGGACGATGATTACCCATCTCCAGAGACTGCGTCTACCTCTGCATCCGCTTCCAACCACGGGGCGGACGCATATGAGGGATCGATCCCAGACCCGATGAGCATGTCTGCCGTGTCAAATGTCTCAGGCTACCAACCCGGACATGCTCTAGGGGGCTCGTTCGATGCAGCCGCATCCTCTGACGAGGAAGATGTCTGTCCACAGAGATCCGGCCAGGAACGAATGATCACCCTTGTTGGCGACGTGAAGGATAAAACTGTCTTCATTGTCGACGACATGATTGACCGGGCCTCTAGCTGGATTGCGGCTGCAGAGACAGTCGTTAAAAAAGGCGGCGCAAAAAAGGTGTACTGCATCGCTACTCATGGTATCTTTGGAGACGATTCCATGGAACAAATGGAGAATTGCCCCAGTATCGACTATGTCGTCGTAACCAACTCATTCCCTCTCCCCATCGAGAAAGTGAGACTCATGAAGAAACTGGTCGTCCTCGACCTTTCAGCTCTGCTGTCTGAGAGTATCAGAAGACATCACAATGGAGAAAGGTTTGCCTCTTTTGGTTGATTCCGCATGCCACATTACATATTCCCCAGCCCCATCCACAACCTGCACCGGTACCTGATTTCTTCAAACTTTTACTAACTTCTTTCGTTTCTTTTTAGCATTTCCGCCCTCTTCCAATTGCACGGTTAGCTAAAGCTGAAGATAGCCATCAATCATCCCAGAGTATCATGGAACCCCCCTTCCCCTCATCCCAAAGAAAAAAAAAAAAAAATGAAAAAAATGCAAAGCTTTCACACATGGACCAAATATACAGATGCATATCCCCATCTAATCTGCAGCTGACGGCACAACATGATATGTTGGAGCACGAATATGTATATGTTTTACGAATCAACCTCATTAGGGCAATCAATGACAACAACTATCATCAACATTTCTATAGCAACTAGCCACCACATGAATGAAGAGCGAAGACAGAAGAAAAGCAATTATGAAAAGAGAGAAAAGCAAAGAACTGCAGTTAAGATCCAAATATATCCCACATTTACCATTCCCAGAGTTACAAGATCTTCACGGGTTCGGGTATCAGCATGTGGGGGAAAGATATCCTAGCTCGATTTCCATTATTGCATGTTCCACGACTGTGATGACCCTCGATGCTATGAAGTGGCATCTCTTTTCTCTTCCTCTTGCTCTCTCAAGTCGTGTGCCAGAGTCCACCTTGACCGACCATACGAACCGCTCCCCCCCTATCCCGTTCTCTTCCAGTATGGGTACACTTTCCACTTTTTCTCTTTCTTTGACAGCCTTGCCCCTGCCATCCCTCTGTTTTCTTCTTCCTATGCTTTTCTTCTTTATTTCTTTTTCCTTCCCCCCTTCCAACCCGCCGTTCGCGTGTAAGGGTGGCTCTGCCACAGCTGCCATCCTGCCGACATGTCAATCACGCGAGAATCTTGAAAAGACGGGGCCGGGACCAGCACCAAGAGCTTCAGCTTTAATCTCCATGAATCGTTTGCCTTCCATGGCCCGGACAACGATGACCGTCAACGGCATGGCAACTGGCTCGTGTGTCCTGATAGTCAACTGTCAGCCCCATTCCAATTGGCCAGATACCGCCGTTCGGTTGACTATGCGTTAAGGTTTCTCAGTACCAAATTAATTCTCGTTTGTTTCCACCTAGCGATTACATCCATATACCTCCGGTATTCACCATGATGATTCCTTTTTTCACCTTTCACATCTACCTGGCCCTGGTATTATATTGTAAAGGGGGGGAGGGGGAGGGGGTAACGGCTGAGCCAACGGGAGTATGAGTGAGCTCTGTCGATCGCTTTCACTTCTTCAGCCAGGTGTCTGAGGATGTCGTCACTGGACAATGCTTCAGGGAGTACGCCGCATGACCGTGGGGCTTAACTCGCATGGGATGGACCCTTGATAGCAAACAAAAAGAAGTGACATGCAGAGTCCAATGTGCCTGGTGTAATGAGGCAAATGCAGCTCGCCTTGAATGACCCCGTATTTTCCTTCCTTTTTCCTTTCCTTTTTATCTATGGTTTTTTTTTTTTTTTTTTTTTTTTTCTTTAATTAGCTGTTCGGTGTTATATACAGTCATTCGTCTTTCTATATACATAACTCTAACGTAGTATATAGATGTTCAGCCCTCAAAAAAAAAGGGAATAGTAGCCTATGAATGCGGAGATACATGCATACAAACGTACATAGACACTACTGCATATGAGCCGACTGTCCACCAACGTTGCTTCTGCCACCGGGGCCACTGGCTCGCAACGTCAAAGGCCAGTCTGTATCTTTTCTTCTTCTTCCCTGCAGCGCTGTGTACTTGTCGTCATGTGGTTCAGCATAAATATTAGACACCTCGAGATCGACAATCTAGACTGTGCCGGCGGCTCGAGAGCGGCAAGCTGGCTGCGAGAGGTGATAGCATCTCGAAGCCAGCAGATGGCTTTGTGAGCAGTGATACCCCATATCTAGCACCTATCTCTGCCTGATATATATACGGAGCAGCCTACGTCTGCATTCTAACAGGAGCTCTAGGAGCAAGTATTCGACGGGGAGACTATAATAAGCTGCTGCAACGGGGTGGTAGCTGGCGCAGCGGAACCAGCAGCAGACGCGCCAGATATAGCTACCTGAGGCGCACGGCGATGAAGATCGGATCTTCGTGATACATCATATTTGCTTGTTCGCTCGTTGCCCTCAACCAGATAATGCAGCGAACTTCGCACAGGGACATCGATGTTGTACAGATACATACCGCATTGCAGGCCGGGAAGACAGGCAGATCTCCAGAGGGGGTCTGAGTCCCTGCACCAGCAGCCTTCCAACCCATCCATCTCAACTGTCCCCAGCCGTTGCAGAGCCAATTACCTGGAAGAACCGTCTGAAGCCTAAAAGAGGCAGCGCTCAAGATCAACTGGCGGCGATGACTGACGTACGCCAGGGCTAGGGCCAGGGGTGATGGGGGGGGGATGGGATGGAGAGCCACACGCCAGGAGGATGGGCGCCGGTATGTCGGGATGGATTTCCGCCAGGGATGTGGGAGTCTAGTTACAAGAGTGCATATCTAGAGCTATCTATACATACTATGTATAGTTAGAGACAGGTATGTGTGCGTGTGTGTGGTGGTGCTGGCTTCAGGTCGCGGCTCCGCGGGGATATATCTAGTGATTGGGCGAGTCTGCTGCTGAGGATGAGACAAGGAAAAAGGAAGCAGATGCTGGAGGAGAGCTGACGACGATTGATAGTTGCGGCCGGTGGTGGTGGTGATATCATGGATCCGGCTGGTCCGCGCTGGTATCTATCAATAGCCATGGTTCTTTTGAATAACCAAATGCATTCGGGCACACTTGGCGGTGGACGTTAGCTCGCCTGCCTTACTCTATATGGCAATCAGCGGGTGTCGTTTTCGAATCTGTACGGAGTATACGAGGAGATATCAACGGGCTAGTATCGGAGGCCCTCGACAGACACAACAATTGGTGATTGAGAGGAGACAGAGAGGAGAGAAATGAACAGGAACCAACCAGGATGTGGCTTTTTGAAGGCACCAGCAGCTTGGTTCCCGGGATCTTCACGCCAATGCTCCGTCCGCCTGTCTGCAATCCGAATTGAGCGTCGCAGACGGGCCATATATACAGGCATCAACTAGGTTAACTAGGTTAACTCCAGGGCCGGCCCTCCTGTGCCCGTAACCGCGGGAGTCTGGATACGGATTTCTGAGCGTCAAACGTGGAGCTCATCCCCCAGCCTTGACTTCTCGACCTGTCCTCCTGCATCGATACGGGGAAAGCATATATGCGCCCCTTAACTACAACACCAATGTATCAACCATCCTGACTCGTCAATATTATCTGCAACAACCATGGGGGCGAAACAAAAGCCGGGCCTCTCAACCGTCTTGCCAATTAAAATCGTCAAGCCGAGAAGGAAGAGAGGAAGGGCGAAAAATAGAGGGCCCCAATGCAAGGGAAGGGGAAAAAGAAATGGGATGATTTAAAAAAAAAAAAAAAAAAAAAAAAAAAAAAAAAAAAAAAAAAATAGGAAGCAACAGAAGAAAAAGAAAACCCGAGACAAAGACCAGACAGCCAGACAGCCCTCTCTCTCTCATATCAGAGCTTTCCATTAAGCTCTGGCCGTCAGAAAAGGGCAGACGGGGTTCCGGGACGGGCCTCAGGGGAGAGCTCAGCTTTGCTTCTTCCCGATAGAAAAGAAAAGAAACGAGACGAGAAGAGAGAAGAAGAAGAAAAAAAGAAAAAGGAAAAGAACAAGGTCACTGCTCTAACTATGTTCCCGGGGGTGTATAAATATACTGATTGAACAGCCCGGGTCGGTGGCCCTTTTCACTCCTCCATCACAGTACACCGTGCAATTTCACTCTACACACACACACACACACACACACACACACACACACACACAAGCCTGTCTTCGCACCAAGTGATTAATCCCTGGTGTACCACTGTCCTGTGTCTCTTACTATTTCAATTATTCATAGCTGGGGACCGGGAAGCAGGATACTGTGGCCGGGCCAGCTCTATATAAAGACCGACTCCCCCTTCCAACTCGGAGACTCCCTTCTTCCTCTCCTGTTCTTATTATCATCACCACCACCAAAAAGCCGTCTTCTTGACCAGCGGAACATCCAGCCTATCCAACTCCCAAACCCCTCGCTGGGATCTGCTCGACTCTGCCCTTGCTCTTCCACTAATCGACCCGTCGTGCTGGAACACCCCTACGCCTTGGCTGTGCTTAGCCCCTTGCTCCCAGGCCTCCCAGAGTCCCAGCGACCAACCCCAGTGTCCGCGCAACCCCCTGACGCCCCTTAGTTACCCAACCCCTCAGGGCCGAGCTGTAACCTGCATCATAGCGTCTGTTCCTCTTCGGAGAACTTCTGCCGAATCAAACATCCGCACGCGCTTTAGGCACCGTCAACGTCACTCGCACACCCAACCGACCAACTTAGCCAGTTAGCCATGGCCAACCCGCGGTGTCCTCACCAATGGGGGATCGTCCAGACCAGCAACGGCAGCATCCTGACCTGGCGCTGCTCGATATGCAACGGCGGCCCTTTCGTCGGCATCTGGCGCTGCAAGGTGTGCGGCTTGATGAAGTGCAACCCTTGCTACACCAAGTGAAAAAGTAATAACCAGCCGGCAAATGTATCTCGACCATCCATAATCGGTGCTATGATCATGTTTACTTTTGATCAACGCCACCGGTTGTTTTCCCTTCCCTATTATTGTCTTTTTCTTTCTTCTGCAGGGATCTTGGGGAGCAAAGGTACTTGCATCATGCAGGCAATTGGTATTATTCTTCTTCCTGTCCCCTGCCTTCAAAATAACAATCGCAATTCTCAGTACACCTTAACCATTGTGCCCTGCATGTTCGCATACATATCCTTCGCCACGAGATCTCTCACTTCACACCGCCCGTGCAAACACAATAGTGTATCTTGAACATGCCCAGCTGACAAACGGATCCATAGATCTCACCCCCTGATGCGCCCCCCCCCCCTTTTTCGATTTCTATTAATTTTATCCTCGACGTATCGGACCTCAGTCTTCGAATTTGCTCACGGCTACTCCGTATACTTCTCTTCTCTCTTGAGGGCCTGTCTCTTCTTTTTTGTTTTTTTCTTTTTTCCCTTTACCTTTTTTCCCTCCCCCGTCGCTGCGCTGTTTGTTTGTATCAGTTCTTTTTTTCTTTTTGCCTGTTTCCTCAGTCAGTCGACTTGATACCCAATTACGAGCCTGCAAATTTCACGGAGTATATGCATCCTTACTTTTTCTGCGTTATTCCACCCTCCTCCCCACCTATTAGTTATTAACGTTTCGCCTTTTATATACATTATTTATCAGCCTGACTAGTTAACTATCGGAATATAAAATGTGAGTCCGAGAGGGCATTTTCACGGCAACCTACAGCGTACGAATTAGTACTCTGCAGACAGGGAGTTCTTACGTTGTTCAAGTAAATCAAGTAACTAACCCTGGTCATATGGGGAAGGACTGTCCGAGTAGTTAGATTGCAGCGAGCCCTACTTATCGCCATGCATAAGCACTTTGCACGAAGTATGTCATTTTTACCTCAGTGTGAACTTAGCTAGTTGCCCCTGGCCACATCCTGCCCTGAGCTCGGAGTCTATCTCAGCACGGAGGCAACGCCACCGCAGCAGACTAGGCGAAGAATCCAGCATCAAGCTCTCTGGCTGATATGCTAGTCAACTTAGGCGAGGGTGCAGAAAAATGCGCTCCTCGCCTAACCAGCAGGTATCTTGATCTATCCAATTTCCTGGGCGGAGACATCCCCGGCGTGGCGTCATAACTCGGACATGAACGTAACTAAAGCAGGAGAAGCCACAGGAAGTGGACATCGTAGGTCGTTCGAGACGGATGCTGAGATTGCTATCAATTCCCGACCCGATAGCTAATTCCGAAAATACGGCCGTGCTGACAAATTCAGTCACTGTACGGAGTACGAGGGGGTTATTATTAGCGAAATGGCCGTATGAATCATACTTGGACGGGGCCATCAAAAGGAGCAGAGCAGACATATTCACTGAATACATACCTAAGGGGGTGAGATAGCCAGCACGCAAGTGTTGATATCGCAGAAATCAAAATGGCAGCCCTTGACCTATCTCTGCCTACCGTCCTTCTCATCATCGACAACCATGCAGCCTTCGACAACGAAGCGTACTGGGGCAAGAGATCAAATCCGCAGTACAAGGAGAATGTCACCGCGCTCATAAATGCATTCCGGGATGCGCACGCGCGAAACCCCCATATCGAGGTCATCCACATCGGCCACTCGTCCACTAACGTCAAGAGTGTCCTACATCCCTACCATCCAGACGGCGGTCCGGCCTTCTACCCGTTCACCGAGCCCATCCCTGACGAGCTGGTCTTCTGGAAGAACGTGAACTCGGCCCTGGTCGGAACCGACTTGGAGAAGACGCTGAGGGCCAAGGGCGTGCGACAGCTGCTGCTGCTGGGCCTGACGGCGGAACACTGCGTATCTACCACCACTCGTATGGCGGCCAACCTGGGCGTTACAAACGCCCCAGACGGCAGCGCAGATGGCCGGGTTATCCTGGTTGAAGATGCTACTGCCTCGTTCCCCTGCGGGCGGTTTGATGCAGATACCGTCCATGGCGTCTCGGTTGCAACGCTGAGGGAGTTCGCGGAGGTTGTCCAGACGGCCGATGTTTTGAGAGACTTGCAGCCGCTGCTTTCGTGATTATGTCGGTATTATATGCATGGATCTGGCCCAAACTCCTCGTTTAATTAAGTGATCAATTAACGGCAGCGTGTAGTTATTCGTAGTCGGTTAGATCTATATCACATTTCAGGCTATTGACTAATATTAGTTTATGCAGCTACAGTTAGTTATGGAATAAACATGCCGTAGGGCAATCCCACATACCGTCTAGGGCCCTTCTAGTACCTGCATGGAAGCCCGCAGGCAAGCATCGTAAAACGAGCGGCCTTTGTCGATTTGATGAATGGTTAATAGTGTCGAGCGTTATATGTTGCCTTGCAGTGCGAGGTGCATAAGATCCGTTTCATCGCTGCAGGCTTGACACAAAACACCCTGCGCCCGCCAGAATTGAGGACTCGCAACGATGGACTCTGCAGGGAACATCTATCGGCACAAGGTCGATTTCACGGCCCTGGCCCTGCAAGACCCGGCCTTCAAGGAGTTGTAAGGCTCTCTTCGTCGTCTCGTTCTGGATGTGGCCGCATGATCGCTGACGGTTCGTCTCGAGAGCAGCTTGAGTGCAAACGGACGGCTGGACTTCAGCAACCCGGATGCTGTCAGGTAGGGAGATTAATTGATACCGGCAACTTGACTGTTTTACTCCTTGTCTGGGGGGCCAATCTCTCTTTGGTTGGCTGCAGTTTACGGTGCGGTGGTTGATACCCGGGTTTCACAGGCAGTTAACCGTCAGTCTACTCCGTCGTGACTTTGGCCTGGACGTCGAGCTCCCCGATGACCGACTCTGTCCGCCAGTAAGTCGTATTTATGCCAGTTTTGGTCTTGACAAGGATGCTGACTTTGGCCTGTAGGTCCCTAATCGGTGCGTTGTTGTGGTCGTTTAGCTGCTCTGATGTTGATGTTTATGGAGTCTCATCGATGCTTTGCTGCAGACTCAACTACATCCTCTGGCTACAGGATTTGATAGACTGCACCGGCGATGACTACCATGAGGGATTCAATGCTGATAGAGATGTAGTTGGACTTGATATGTAAGATAATACCCTTCCCCTCATGACATATATATATATATATATATATATATATTCAGGGCTAACAATGGTATACTGAACGGGCAGCGGGACGGGGTCGAGCTGTATATACCCCTTGCTAGGAGCAGTGCACAGAAAACGATGGACATTCGTTGCAACAGGTGTGTAGGTGTGAATGACAGTGTAGAGAACTGCTGCTGATGCTATCTAGATATCGACAAGAAGAATCTACAATATGCGAGACAAAATGTGCAGAGAAACAACCTGCAATCGCGCATCCAAGTGGTAGATTCAGTACCGGATGGGCCATTGATCCCCCTTGATAGGATCCAGTTAAAGATGTAAGCAATTGAAACCTACCTATGCTTTCCAAAAACTTATTGACTTGGGCCTTGAGGCTGGATTTCACCATGTGTAATCCTCCATTCTATGAATCTCATGAGGAGATGAAGCAACTGGCAGAAGAGAAGCAGAACGAGCCGCTTTCTGTATGCCGATGACCTCACAAAACACGTTGTACTGTATATCAAACTAAAGATACTATAGGTCTGCACTGGAGCAGAGACGGAAATGATAACACCCGGCGGGGAAGTTGCATTTGTTAAAAAGATGATCCAGGAGAGCCTACATTTACGAGAGGAAGTAAGGTGGTATACCTCCATGCTAGGCAAGCGGAGCAGTCTCCTCTCCCTTATCGACGAGCTCCAGAGCCTCGATAACAAAAACTGGGCAGTCACGGAATTTATCCAGGGGGATAAGACCAAACGCTGGGCTATTGCCTGGTCGTGGAAGGATATACGGCCGACAATGGTAGGTGGTGGATACGGATCAGCGGAGACTAAAGCAGCTATGCTAACGGATCGCCATGTGGCAGGGCGTTTCTAGGAGCGTATCCAATATACCCAAAAAATACCTACCGTTCCCATCTGAGTTCCATCTCAGCTTGCCGTGTAAATCTGTTGACTCTTTGATCGAAGTGATAGATACAGAGATCAATTCATTCCGGATTCCCTGGAAATGGGATAATCAACGGTCAAGTGGATTAGGATTCACCATGGAAAACGCTTGGTCTCGGCAGGCAAGAAGGAAACGGCAGCAGCAGGAAGCTGCTCAGGATGGATCTAACCAGGCAGATATTTCGTTCGATACAGAGAACGCTGTATTTGGATTTATCATCCAGGTGAGGCGTCCGGGCCTCAAGAATGCCGATGTTACCGTGCGATGGGTAAAAGGTGTTGATTCGGTCATTTTTGAGAGTTTCTGCGGTATGTTGAAGAGGAAGGTAGAGGGAAGGTAACCTCCCTCGGCGAACAGGCAAAAATTCCATGGGGTTCACCCTTATGAATGTATGATTAAAATGGAGTATCAAAGGAACTCAGTTATTAGCGGATGCTAGCATTCTAGGATCTGACGTGGTTGATTGAAAGGCTTCAAGAGGGTTTTCCGAGTCCTCCTTTTGGTTTTTATCTCCCTCTCCAGGTTTACTGGACTGCCTTCGAGAAATTATCACCCGTCCAGTCTTCTGGTGAACCCCTTCAAACAATGCCAGCCCCTTTACTGGATCTACCTGGCGATAGATAGGAGCTGGGGGCTGCCGTACACCCCAGGAAAACCACCATTTATTTTTGCTGGAATCCCACTGGATAAGAGGTGTCAGGGCACAGATACGCTCCCACATATGGCGCATAAGTCTTCTTGTGATCTGGTGTGGCCGACCTCGGACGTATTGCGCGAATGTGGGATCCTTCGTGGCGCCTTTGATAAGGAAGTCGGTACTAAGGTAGCTTTGTTCGGAAGCACTAGTGGAATCCACTGAGGTGATTTGGCTGGGCCCTTTCCTCCGTACTGGTGGAGTCCAAGGTTCACTTCCTTCTACCAGGCGTTGTAGTGTTTCCCAATCGTGCCGCGGGAGGGGAGGGAAGGTTTTGTCGAGGACATGGGCGTACCACTTTTGGCGAATGTGTATTTTCCTTATATCTGCAAGCGGCCGCGCAAGAGCATTTAATTCAGGTATGCGAGGTTCCAGGTCGGTTGTTCTAACTGGCCTTTTAACCTTCTGGGCACCGATATTGCTATTCTCACTCTGGCTCTGCAGCAATGCAAGAAGCAGGTCGGACGGCCTCCAGTGCTGTGAAAACGCAGTTTTGGACCCAGACCCGGACTGTAAAAACGGCCGCAGTAGTATTCGCTTCCTCCGTCCAATTCGGCCATAGGACATGAGTAAAACACGCTCAAGGGACTTTGTATATCCCTGGTTTGCGTGTTGTAAGAGTTTCATGTTTTTCTTGATGCGAGTATGCAACCGGGCAATTTTGGCAGCATTCATCGACTTCTGCTGCTCTGTCGAGGTGAATTTGCGGTATCTCGACGTGATATACTCGGCCATATATCTCTTCGCAACGGGATCGGGGAGGTAGCTCGCTTCCCTGAGCAGGGCTCGGTAATGGCTTTTCCATGCGATGGTGGTCGCCATGGCAGTTGACGGACTCGATTGTACAGGTCAATCGATGCGTAGGCAGTAGGTCCAGATACCACCACCCGATATCCTGCACTCCGTATATGCGTTTCTCTTGCCTTCCCCTCGCCCGGCTGCGGTCTTTGCTGTCTTTGCTTCATGTTTCTTCCTCCTTGCATACAAAACGAAAAAACGGCGAGGTTGACTACGCGCGCTTAGTCATCAAGCGCGCGCTTAGACGCGAAAGTGGGAAAAGCCGAAAAGGGAAAAGAAGGAAAAGAAGAACATCCCGACGAGCCTCATCTTTTCTCTGCCAGCAGATTTCCGTGACCCTGGATGGCCTGCCGACAAGCCTCCTGTATAATCTGTCTTTCCTCAGCAGCCTCCGCCTGTCTCGTCGACTTCAGCTTCGAGCGGGTAAAAGGGCGCGGGTAACGTGACCACGCGAACCACTCACAACTTTGCCAGGTCGCGACGCCGGCAGGAGGGCCGCAGTCTGTCGAGTTAAATCCATAGTTGGCTCAACGTTCTTGGTATGCTGCATTCTGCTTTGTTTGACTATAGTCACCTCATTATGGACTACTGATTTCGATTACAGTTAATTACGCCTATACCAAGACCGCATAGCTGCTTAACGGTTGATCCCGCCCTTAAGGGACGGCCTCGGCCCCTTTGACTTGACTCTGGAATAACCACGGAGAGGCTGTTTCTATCCCGATGTCGTTCTCAAGGAACTCTCACGGTGGACCGCCGAACGGTGCCTCATTTTCTCAATCTAGACATAATTCTTTCCATGCCTCGCAATCTCATGCGTCCACTCCGGTTGGGTCTCCTCCACCCAGGGCCTCGCAGCACTCCAACGTATCGACTAGCTTTTCTACCAACGGCATGAAAAACTCAGTGTCCAGAGGCAGTTATGGTGGCTATAATGAAGGGAATGGGTACAGATCTATGCCTTATCAGGATGGATATAAACCACAGATTTACACCGTTCGTTTGGCCCCTTGAATTGCACCAGGCCAAGGTAAAGGCTGTTTAGTAAACTAACAATATATCCTCTGTACAGGCCGTTTATTCGAACGTCTCAGTGTACGAAATGGAAGTGAACGGGGTGGCTATGATGCGTCGACGTTCGGATTCCTGGTTGAATGCTACTCAGATTCTCAAGGTAGCAGGCGTAGCGAAAGCACGCAGAACCAAGACCCTGGAGAAAGAGGTCGCGGCTGGTGAACACGAGAAGGTTCAAGGTGGGTATGGAAAGTACCAAGGCACATGGGTCAGTTATGAGCGTGGTCTAGAGCTTTGCAGACGGTACCAGGTTGAAGATTTGCTGCGGCCATTGCTGGAATATGATATGGGCCAAGACGGTGTCAGCGCAGCAGGACAGGGACAGCTGGACACACCTACAAAGGAACAGGCTCTGGCTGTACAGAGAAAACGCTTTGCACAAGGGCTAGATGCTCATAGCGGCCCACAATCTGGGGGCACCTTTTTCCAAAGCATATCTCGGACCGCCGCAACTGCGGTAAACGCCATCAGCAAAGCTAGATTTGACACTTCTATCAGAGGGCCCGATGGACGACAGCCTAGCATGACAAGGAAGTCTTCCCAGATGAGCAGCCAGGATGCCCAGTATCAATCAGCCAGCCAGCAGAGCATTCAAACTGTTGTGTCCGACAGTGGTTTCGGTAGTAACCTCCAGAACAGCCAACGCAGCTTTGCTGAGTATACTCATGATGAAAACCTAGAACCTCCCCGAAAACGGATGCGCTCGTCATCCACCGCGCAGCAAATGTCTTTCGCCAACAACACACAGCCCACAAGCTCCATGGCCGAACCGACACCTACTGAGCCTAACGATTCGTTCTATCCAGAAGAGTCCGCCAACAATAGGATACCCGATGACCCAAGACATGGCATACCCGCACTTCCAGCAGCGACAACGCCCGAGAGATTCCAGAAAATGAAACTAATTATGACTTTGTTCTTGGATAAGCGCATGAAAGATTTTGAACATCACCCTGCGTTCCTCACACTCACAGCCGAAGACCTCGAAACACCACTCGATGAATTCTTGAATAGCGCTTTGCACTGGGCTGCGATGCTGGCACGACTGCCATTGGTAAATGCCCTTATAGCCAAGGGTGTGAATATATTCCGATTGAATGCCGCTGGCGAGACTGCATTGCAGAAGGCCGTTGGGACAAGAAACAACCTTGACTATCGCAGCTTCTCCAAGCTATTAAACCTTCTTGGCTCAACCATAGAGATTATTGACTTACACGGACGTACAATTTTACATCACATATCCATGATGGCAGCGACTGGCGGTGGAGGCCATGTAGCTGCAAAACACTATCTTGAGTCCCTCTTGGAGTATATTGTGCGGCATGGCGGAACCACCAATGGTGCAAGTGGATTCTCAGAATCGCCCAAGTTTGAAATCATTGGTCTAGGTAGGTTCATGTCAGAGATGGTGAATATCCAGGATGACCAAGGAGATACTGCGCTCAACTTGGCAGGAAGAGCTAGGACTGTTCTTGTTCCCCAACTTCTTGAAGTTGGTGCAGACCCTCATATTCCGAACAATACCGGCCTTCGCCCTGCAGATTACGGTGTGGGTGTGGATATGGTCAATGGAAATAGTCAGGGTCTCCAGATTGGCAGTGGAGGTGATGCACACATGAGTCAATTGGCAAGAACGAAGAAGGAGATTCTTGAATGTACGCCCCCTTTTCTTCTACCCTTTCTAACCCTTTCCTTGGCAGTGGGATATCATTTCACTAACGTCTGCAAAAGCAACTGTTTCTCAAATAAGCACAGCTATTGAGGCTTCAATAAGTTCCTTTGATAAAGAGTTGGCCAGCAGTTTCAGTGAGAAACAACAAGAGTTCAACGAGTGGCACGCTAAGATCAGGGAAAGTGCCAAGGCTCGTCAGATAGAGCAGAATCGTCTTGACGAAATGAAGAAGAAGACGCGAGAACGGATAGAGCTACAGAGGCAAATTAAAAATCTCACAGTGTCCTCAGAAGCTCTTGTGGAACAGCTTCGCCAGTCAAAGAATGGCGACAGGGCCAGTGAGACTCTGGCGGGCAAAGATCGAGTCAAGTTCGACAAGCGGAAGATTGATGAGCTCTTCCCTGACGGAGCCCGCATGAGAGCCAACACTGTTGGACAATGGAGGTTCATATTCTCTCTACCGCGTCTAGAGCAATTGAAGACACGCTTGAAATGCTGCAAGGAGCAGACGGCCTCGATACTCGCTGAAGTCGAGAAACTCAAGACGAAGAACGTTGTCCTGGGTGAGAACTATAGGCGCATGGTGATGGCCTGTACAGGGTGGTCGGCTGAAGATGTCGATAACGCAGCTGATGGCTTGACGGACTGCATTAAAGATTTAAACAAGAATCCAGTACCACAAGATCAAGCCATTGAGATTCTGATGAAAGACAGAGGCCAAGATTGGTGATCGTGGGCCATCTCTTGGTTCCTCGTGTTTATATCTTTTTCTCCTCTACCGTCTTGACTGAACGAAGATAACGACCTTGCTAAATGCTTGTTCTTGATTTTATCGTTGATCTCATTTTTTGCGTCACTACTACCCACTGTTATATCTATGTTCATGATACTGTATTTGAGACGGCGGGCGCGGGGTGTGTGTTTATTTCCTGGCTTATCGTGTGAAATGCCTGGCATATCTCTCCTGTTTGGCTTAGCCTATGTTAATAGTAGTACCCACGGAATGCTGAATATTTGACACTATCCGGTTCATCCTCCCACAGGCAATCTACACCCCTATAACCCCAGGTCACCTTCCCAGAAAGGCAGGACCACGGGCTTTCCCCATTTGGAAGAAAGAAAGTGCGGCTGAAAAGCTTGGCATAACGGAAATCGGCTCCACGTGATTACCAAAAGTAGACTAGCGTCTTCCCCACCGGAAATTAAAGTCACGGGACCGAGGTATGCAACATAAAACTACCTCGCAACTTCAACGACGCGGGCTGCAATCCTTCGTATTAACAAGTCTCTCTCTGTGCTGTGTATCTTTACGGACAGCTGTACTCCGTAGAGATCCCTATTCACTCCCTAGAACACTCATTCTTCCTTGTCCCTGTGATATAACTACAACAACATGTCCGGATACTACGGAGGCCCCCCTCAGGGCGGCGGCTATGACAACTACGGCCAACAGCAAGGTCAGTATTATCAAGGCCAGGGCCAATACCAGCAGCCCCCGCAGCAACAACCGTATGGGAACCAGCATCAGGGATTTCCCCAGCAAGGTGGCTACTATGACCAAGGCTTCCCTCAACAGCAGGTAATTAAGTCATTGTTTATACCCAATCACTGCTATAAATGGCTAGAGAATCAGTTGCTAAATGAGGCTCTTTTATAGCAGCAATATGGCTATAATGCCCATCAGCAGTATGATAACGGAGGTCAGCAGCAGTATGGCGGTGGGTACCCTCCCGCCGGCCAGCAGCAGCATCAAGGTGAGAGCAATGCATACTACGGCGGCGGTCCGCCTCAGCATGGCGGAATGCAAGGGGCTCCCGCTTACCCCCAGGGTCCAGGTGGGCCAGCAGGTCCAGGCGGCCCTGAAGGTGAGCGAGGCCTGGGAAGTACGCTGGTCGGAGCTGCTGGAGGTGGATTTATGGGTCACAAGCTTGGCGGGGGGGCGTTGGGCACCATCGGTGGCGCTGTTATCGGCGCTGTTGGAGCTAACGTCGCTGGACATGCCATTAAGGAGTAAGCTATTTCCCTTTATTTACTAGATAAAATATACCCGGTGCCTAGTGGGTCGGGATTTTTCCCTCCTTTTTTTTTTTTTGTTTTCATCGAGCCATTGCTCTTCCAGAATGCTACAACGATCAGTATGCTGACCTTCAAAATAGCCATAAGAAGAAACACAAAGGTGACAAGAAGCACAAGAAGGATAAGAAACACAAAAAAGAAAAGAAGAGAGGCCACGGATCCTCGTCCTCGTCCTCGTCCTCTGATAGCAGCGACAGCGACTAGGGAAGAAACTGATGGTAGCTGGCTAGCATAAGAGTCTTCATCCTAAGATGTCGCGACGTCTGCCCTAAGCCCTTCACCACGCGGCCCCTCGTGTTTATTGATGTACATATTGTTATGATTAATGATCGTTACTGTTATCGCGTATACGATCCGTTTCTTCCTCCTGTGCTGCTCCCCTTCCTCCTTCGTGTTTATGTTCACTTGTGTTGCCATTCTCCAGCTCACACTACCACTATAGCAGCATACGTGATGTGGAATGACTCAGCTAACTTAACTATCGTGTTTCATCTCTCTGATACCATTTACTCCCCCGGCAGTTTCTATTTACAGCTTCCGGCTGGGTCATCCGTTTCAGCGGAGGGAACGCCAAAGATCCCTTCTGTGCTACTCCGTACCCTTGGCGGAATAGCCCTTGGGATGATGCTTCTTCCCACCGCTCTCAATGCTAGCTTGGCCCTTGGCCCCTTGAGGCCCTGAAGCCCTCTCATTGGCAGGCCAACAAAGCTGTCGTTTTCGCGCCCATTCTCACGCTGAGAAGCGGTTACACCGCCAGGACAAACCTCAGGCCAACGTGGTTTAAGGAGTACGGCTTTCTCAGCTTCGGGAGCCCCTTAGGCTGCTCAGGAACGATTGTCTCTCCTTCCTTGAGTCATGGGTCCCTGTCGCGCTTGTACTCCCGATTCTCGCCCAACATCCAGCCACCGAACCTGTCAGTTTTTTCCTTCCGAACCACGCACCCAGCCCACGCCGTGGGGTTGGAAGCAGAGGCTAGGCACCTCTAATCTTAAATCGACGGTGGTGGCTTATCCGCGCGTTCTCGCCCAGTGCTTGGCGGGTGTTGATCTGCTTAGTTATCAGTTGGGCTGAGATCTCATCTTCCAGCTCCAGGCGTTGGTAATCAAGTCCTAGTCGGATCTGATCCATATCACTGCCTACTTGTAATATTCCGGGAGTTGGTTATGGACTCGGGAGCCAAGACGAACCTTAACTAACTATACCCTTTGTCAATTCTTTGCAGTTACTTGCAACCAAGGATGCTTTGAAATCAGCGTCATAGACATGACGCACGTCTTCCTCCTCTGTGCTTATTTGTGACAGAGGACAGCTTCAGTCTGCCTCCTGTCTATCAGTTTCTGCGCTCTGCTGAACCTGGACTAGTTATCAGTCATCGTATTCTCATTCAGCCACATGGTCGACAGAACGCTCCCAGCATGGTGGGAGTCCGAGAATGCCTATCACGCTGCAGCCCCTTAACCCGCGTGGCTTCGACTCAAGCACTTCTTGGCCCATCCAGGAGCGATTTCAGTTGGTCCGCCCTTCCGCTCCGTTGGCTCGTCCTTGTTCTTTCCGTTTGGAGAATTGGCGGGTTTCAGATTCGATTGCCTAAGCCCGGGAAGGAGCTTCTTTCTTCTTCGTCGTCAAAGCCTAGGATGAACCTTTTCGGAACTGGCTCTCTTGAGTATGCCAATATTGATATATATATATAAGTGGAGCCCCTTGGTGTCTTGGTTAATGGGGGGATCTCCTTGGAAAATAGAATGTATCAGACTGCCTGCTACAGACTGAGGACTGCTGGCCAAGTACTCAGAACCCCAGTTCTCTTTGTTCATTGAGACGATCCCTTTTTATATCACCATAACATCTCCCTTATCATTACTTATATCAATATGTCAAAGACAACAGAACAATCCGTGAGATTTGACACCGCCTCTACTCCGGTGGAGGTTACAGTCCTTCCCGTCCCAGCCAAGATAAACGAGAAGACTTTCGATGAGGATGTTGAACGAGCTCTACGGTCCTCAGCTCCCAGAGTGCGCCCTGGGCCGATCCCGTCCGGGAACTCGTCCTTGACTATGATCACTGGCTGGGCGGATGACATTGAGGGTTCGTCGACATCAGGGGGAGGAATAGTACAACATTTCAAGAGAGATATAAATAAAGCTGGCACCGAGATACTATTGATAGCATGTGCGTTTATCTCTGGCGTTATTGATAGTGCCGCCTTTAATGCCTGGGGCAGCTTTGCAAACATGCAGACAGGTAAACTCTTCCCCCTTTTGACTTATTTCTAGGTAATAATCATGCTGACCGGTTGAATCTAGGGAATGTTGTGTTCCTTGCTTTAGGCGTCTCTGGTCAACCGCCCACACCCCCAAACAGATGGGCTAAGTCCCTGATTGCCATCGGATCCTTTGCCATCGGAGTCCTTTTCTTTAGATATGCTTCTACCTTTCTACGGCCGCTTCGACGATCAACACTAGTGGCGTCATTTGCCCTTCAGACCACTGCAATCCTCGTCTCTAGCATCCTGGTAGAGACAGGTGTAGTGGACTCAAGTATCGAAGTTTCCACCCGCGGAGTCCACTGGATCCAGGTATTACCCATCAGCATACTAGCCTTCCAGGCCGCCGGCCAGATAGTTACTTCACGATTGCTCGGTATCGACGAGATACCAACTGTTGTCCTGACGACACTCCTCTGCGACTTACTCATGGATAAGAAGCTATTTAGCATCCGCCCACGATGGAAACTAACGGACTTCCGCACCAGGCGCCTATTGACCTTGCTAGCTGCCTTCTCTGGTGCCATGCTTTCCGGCGGCCTGTCAAAAGTAAGCGGCTTATCTGCTTCATTGTGGCTAGCTGCCGGGATAAAGTCAGCAGTAACCCTGTGCTTTATCCTATGGCGGGCAGAAAAGGACGAGAACTTTGGCGATAATTGACCATTTGGGTTTTTGGATATTAAAATTGGGATTCTTTCTTGATACGAGCTTTTTTTATAGCCAGGCTATATTTTAGTTATGACAGTATGGCTTCCAATTCACAGGCTATTGATGGCGGTACTCGTGTTTTGTAATATCTTGATCCTCTGTGGCCCAAGTATATAACTACATAGCCAAGACGGCTCTCCGCACTTTTCATCGGCGGATCGGTCACCTTAACTAACCACAGATGGATAGAGAGGCTGATCGGACGGCGTAAACAGCGTCCGATAGTCCCATATACGCGACTCTCCCGCCTACAATCCCTTGACTGAAAGCTGTTGTATCGGTTCCGACTTCTCCCGACACGCCGAGAATACGCAAAGATTACTATATTCGGTAATGGTTGCGAGGCATTCTATGTATATACGTGAGCGCAGCAGGAGAGAAGGATTTTCTCATCATGTTTGTGACAACTGTACGGCGCCATTGCAGGCATTTCTCTTCATTGAAAGGTCGGTTGATACATAACCATGAAGTCTACTATACGGCCGTTCATAAAGGCACAAGGTTAGTACCCCCCTTTCTCAAAAATTGGTCAAGACGACTTCGACGTCTTGAGATTTGTGTTTAGCCTTACTGACGGCTCGAGGTGATGATATATAGCCCTCTCCAGATATACCGGGCGTTAAATCGTCTTTCAATCTCAATGTGTTTCCCTCGTGGTCGTGAAGGTCAGGAGGGCCTCTACAACGCCAACTACCACCGGCCGACGGACAAATGAAACCACCCCAAGGGCTATGCTAGCCCGCCCTAAAAGGCTGGAAGTCCCTTTACCCAGCCAGGGAGAAGAGCCTACACCTCTCAGGCATATACTGTGCGCATTAAACCACTACCCACATCCATACACGCACACACACAGCTAACATAACACACCCAGAACCAAGTTCGACCAAGTGGCCAACTGGGCCCGTCAAGGCTCGTTATGGCCACTGACCTTCGGTCTCGCATGCTGCGGCGTAGAAATGATGGCCGTCTCCATGCCCCGCTACGACTTGGATCGTATGGGTATAATTTACCGTGCCTCGCCACGCCAGGCAGATGTGCTTATTGTTTCGGGCACGGTGACCAACAAGATGGGTCCGGCCCTGAGACTGCTATACGACCAGATGCCGGACCCGAAGTGGGTGATTAGTATGGGCAGCTGCGCGAATGGGGGAGGGTATTATCATTATAGCTATAGTGTGGTTCGAGGGGTGGATAGGTTAGTTCCTGTGGATGTGTATGTGCCCGGGTGTCCGCCGACGGCAGAAGCGTTTCTGTATGGGATTTTGCAGCTGAAGAAGAAGATTGCGAGACAGAGGACGACGAGGATGTGGTATAGAAAGTGACGGGGGAGGTAGTTATGTTATGTCGTTTTTGGTCTCTTTTTTGTTTTTGATTCATGTATGTGTGTTTGTCTAGATCTATGTTTTGGTGTAGTTAATTGCCGCTGACTTCCTTCAGCAGGGTATCAAGTCTGCTCCATCCTTCGGTGCCGTCCCAGAATGCCTTGCCCTTACCTAGTATCCCTCTAACGGCGCTGCGGGATTTGAATCTCCAGTCCTTAGCGACGAGTTCGGGTTCGTCTGCCTTAGACCCGTCCTCGGTTTCCTTGTCCATTCCCCCGTAAACGGCATACCCTTTTCGAACGAGCGTTTCAGTAGCTTTGACAATGTCGTTCCATTTATCCTCTTCGCCCATCTGGTATGCTCCCTGTGCACAGGAGGCGGTGGTAGCGCGCCATGCCTTTTCATGAGCAGCCAGAGCCTGGGAAGGTCGACCACGCCATTTCTCGAGATCGGCGACTAGAAGCCATAGTTCGGGAGAGTGGGTGATGAGGGGTATTATGTTCTCGTCGAATAGTCGGAGTAGCTTTGCGTGTATGGAGCCTGGTCTAATAGCCGCTGGATCATAGGCGATTGATATACTGCTTCCTTCTCGCGGGGTGGTCAGAGTCTTGACCAGAGCCGTTAGGACAGGGATGTCCAGGCATTTCTCGCCGTCCTTTTCACCACGGAGCTCAATCAGGCGTGTTTGAGCAAGGAGTACGTCACGGAACGGAGTGGATGGAGGGGGTATGGAGGCGCCAACAGTGAGAATGTTATCCCATATTCGGTGGTCGGTATGTTTGAATCTAGCTGCCCTGTGAAGTGCGGCAAGAGCATCCCGCTTCTGTTTGTATATATCTAATTCTTCATGACTTTCCTGCCCCTCTTGCTCTTCGTCATCTAGTGGTTTGGGACGAGGGATATCCCGTAGTGCCGAGGCGGTTGATGTTCGGGGCGGTGCGTTCAACAGCGCCACGGCAAGGTTACTCCAAGCCTCTGCATCCGTCTCCTCCAGCTGAACTGTCCTTGTGAACGAATCAATTGCATCTTCCCACTTCTCGAGCTCGAGCTGGATACACCCAATAGCAAACCAGGATGCATGGTTGAGCCTGGTCACCGCCAGACTGAGCTTGTACGCTTCTTCCGCCTTGACTAGGTTCGGTGGCTTTTCCTGCATGTACAGTCTAGCCAGCGAGCGTTGGGCGCGTGCATACCGCTTATTGGATACTGTCCAGGCTCGCTCGTACATCGCTGCATCGCGGTCGATGTCTCCGAGTATGCAGAACAGTCGTGGTGCGTCTGGCGGTAACGTAGATAGCTCCGCACCTTGCCATGTGTCATCGTCCCCTGTGGAATCCGGGTTGGTGCGTTGGTAAAGCTGTTTCCTGAGCATGAGTTTGGCAGTTTCTTCTCTGTCAGTCGCGGCATAGCAGAGCGCGGCTTCAGCCCACATTTGTAGCCGTTCGTAGATATCTAGCGCTGTGCGAAGGGCGCCGAGACCGACCCATCGCTGCGCCAGTTCGGACTCCAGGTTCCAGCGGGTAGAAAAGTTGAGGAGCCAGATATACTGCAGTCTTTCGGCTGCGGGGGCAGACTCAGACGCCTCTGGTCGAGGTAAGAAGGTGGTTGGCTGCTGCGTGGATGGTTCTGCGGTTTCTCCTGATACGGCGGGAGTAGGGGTATCACTTGCTGTGTCGGCGATGACTTGGTCGACCAGCGCCTGGAGCTGAAGTACAGAACGCTCAACGGTTCGGGTACGATACCCTTCTATCCTGGACCGAACGAGTAGAGCCTGCGAGTAAACCTGCCAGTTTGAACTGCCGCCTTCAAGAACTCGTACGGCATAGGGGATGGTTTCTTCACGAGTCAGGCCGTCTTCAGGGGAAGTGTTTGTGATTGCGGATGCGAGGGAGAGCAAGATGATGGAGTCCAGAGGGTTGAGGCGAGGTTGGTTTGCGGCGTCTAGAGAGGCCAGGCTGGCTGGTAGGTTGGAGCTATCTTTGACATCCACGGAGGCAGTGGTATCTTGCTTAAATGCAATGGACTCCAGAAGCGTATCGTCGTTGAGCTCAAGGTTCTTCGGCTCAACTGCTTCACCACCTTTCGCCTTCCCAGCCTCGCTTGAATCGTGCGTATCAGTGTCCTTGCTTCTGGCCAAAACAACAAGCTGACTTATATCCCTGTCCTGGAACTTGGTGCGACGGCCTAACTTGCCCGTCAACGCGAATTCAAACCCGTTCACACCCGCGGCGCGTAAGAGGTCTTCTCTCGCTTTCCCATCGAGCCCGTGGTGGGTATACATCACTGCGCGCTCAAGCATGAACCGCACTTTCTCGCCCACACTCACATCCGCATTCCCAGCAGGTCCGTCCAGCACTATCCTTGCAACCCGTTCAATGTCGGCACTTATATCAGCCCACAACCCATCAGCGTTCTCACCCAGCATCTTCTGATGCATGAAGTTCACTCGCATGCGCCCTGTGAGACCCAATATGTCGTCTCCATGCTCTATCTGTTCAGGCACAATAGCCGAATGATTGAATATCGACTTTGCAAGGACGAACAGCTCCACGGCCGGAATGCGCTTGTATACTGCTTCTCCGTCCACGGAGAGCTCGCGAATCATGCCCTCCCGTAACGCACTGGCCGAACCTAGCTTGGGTAGAATGCTGATTCCCGCCCCACCATTCAGTGGTGGACCCGTGACGTTTGACTGTAGGAACGCATATAGCGCTGCGTAGGCTGTGTGAAGTGCTCTCGACCTGCTTGCGGGGTCGTTGACTAGGGCTGAGATGCGGTCTGACACCAGCTTCGCGAACGAGGTGTTGTCGGCTACGAACTTGGCCTGTTCATCCGGTGCGTCATGGCATGTTATACTCTGCGCGAACGGGTGGGAGAGAATGGCTATGCAGTCTTGCTCCGTGGGATGCAGGGAGTCGTAGGCTGGTCGCGGGGCATTTTCGGCGCGGGGTGAGAAGAGGGTATCGTATGTTGCCGGCAGGGAGGGCGCCATAGTGCTTAGTTCAAGGAGCTAAGCTGGCTGTATATTTATATGGCTGTTATTCCATGAGAGAGAGAGTGTGTGTGTGCGTGTGTATGTTTCTGTGGATTATTTGGTGATGTTGATGAGCTCGAGGAGAGATGAAAATTTAGAGTTTTAGGGTTTTCAGTTGAGCCCCACTGATTGATAAGATTGATAGCGAACTACATAAGAACATCAAGTGTAGAATCAGGTAGAATGAAAACAACAATCAAGTGCATTCTCTGTAAAGACTATCTATCTCTATCCACTCGGTCGTCTATCTCGGTCGTCTATCTCTATCCTCTAGAGTCCAATCTAGTCAGTCATCACCCCACCCACGAGACAAGAAAGGTAGGAAAATAGAAGATTGCAAGTAGGAAAAGAAAGAGATAAAATGAAATATGAAATTGTTCGTTTAATTTTCTTCTATGAAAAGGAAGTTTGAAGTAATCAAAGAAAAAAAAAAGAATTAATCTCATCAGTCAAAGAAAAAGGAGACATCAAAAGAGAAAACATGAAATAGAATCCCATCCGCATCCATCCAATGACGCCGGGTAAAAGAGCAAGTTTTTTCAAAGAGCAAGAAAGTGACGATCGATTAGTGCGGAGGGAAAAGGGGGTGGGACATG